GGCTTATGTCAACGAGTCAATCTCTGAGTGACAGTCTCAGTCTGAGCTGAAACCGGGCGCACGTGACTGGTTGCCGCCACTGCCGGCTTCGCACCGTGAACTTTCCTCTTCCTCCCTTCTGACTCCCGAATTGGCGACATGGACATCGATATTAAGCCCATTGCTTCGCCTCCTGTGACAACTAGAAGGACCGCTCTTCCTTATCCTGGGAACACCGATGGCCCTCCACCGAAACCGAATATTCCGACCCAAACCACTGGCGAAGAGGCCAATGGCAATGGTACGCTGAAGCTAGTGACGCCAACATCGCTTCCGGGTAAGGCTGCTGCAGGGCCTTCCTCTGGGCTAACATTGCCTGAGGCTGAATGGTCGTTGCACATCACGGATGCGCTGAGCTACCTGGATACACTCAGAGTCCAGTTCAAAGATAATCCAGAGGTTTACAATCATTTTTTGGATATCATGAAGGATTTCAGAACCCAAGCGTGCGTCCGAGTATCGTTTGACTCTAGCATTCTCATTTATCTTATTCCCTCAGCGTTGATATCCCTGGCACCATGCAACGGGTAGTGCGACTGTTTCATGGATACCCTATGCTCATCAGAGGATTCAACACATTTCTTCCAACTGGGTATCGCATAGATCTATCTGCAGATCCGAACACAGTCACCATCACTATTCCCCAAGGAAACTACTGAGTACCTCGCGGATTCATTTCCCCTGGTCGTCCATTTCCCCTGTTGTCCTATGTATCCTTCAACCTCTGTTGGCTCTGTAAAATCATTGCGGCATGGCAGCCGACCCTCGCTATCCTAGGTCGCAATCTGTAACGGTCACGATCTTAGTCCGAGAGCGATGGATGTATTCCTTACTTTATACTCATGTCCCGCTGCTACAACTTCCATTACTTCTCACAATGAGCTATCGAGGCCGTAGGTGTAATTTACTTTTATTTGCCTGAGCTGTATCTATTTTGCCTGGATGAACATTAAGACCCTGGACATAATTCCTCCGTTCCATGCCCAAGAACGTACTCAAACTCCGTCCCATTCAGTGACAGCCTAGTGAAATATCGATAGATATTCTTCTCTCGGCGGGTTCCACTCCTCGATTCGCATCTCCAAATTGTTCCCAACAAGTTTTTCGATTGTCTCTGCGGCGCTATACACGTTTGGCATCCACCTGCATTGTAGTTCAACCGTTTTTATCATACCCATATCACGGCGGGAGCGTATCATGTCCGGCATGGGATACCACACCTCCATCTCCGCAGATATCGTTAAGCAAAGAATAAGATGGCGTAGATTGGGCAGGACAGAGGGAGGAGTGAGGGCCTTGGCAACTTGGCCGAACCGTTCATCAATCTCAAGTTTAAGGCGAGAGATGGTAGAACATGCCTCCAGTGAGAGCATATTGCCGATCGAGGCTATGGGCTCCGAATGAAACGCTGTCGCGGGCATAATGCAACTCAAACTCTCGAGATGGCATCCCGATCGATAAAAAAAAGAAGTGATATATGCTGATACTGGCGGAGAATGGGATATGGTCAGACTTTTGAGGGAAGGGGCAGTTAGGAAGCAGAGTATATCTGCGTGATTCACATAGAGATGACGCAGCTCGGCTACAACCACCAGCCCAGATTGGCGTTGGTCAAACGAAACCCGGAAGGCCATAAGATGACATGTTCTGAGCTTGGGTAAGTGGGAGAGGAGCTTCAAATCTTCCGGACAGGTGATACGCCCGGAATAATGAATTATTGAGGGCGGTAACCTCACTTCGTGGATCCCTTGTATTGGAATGGCTGCCTTCCAGAGCTGTGGGGCATTCAAGAATACGTCCAAATGATAATCAGGGCTGCGGTCACCGTTGATATATATTTCAATCGTCTGCAGGGCGGGAAGATGCAATATAGATTCTAGGTGATGCTTATAATCCGCTTCGATGGAAATGTACGCATGTTCCCAGCGATAGCAGGATTGAACGAGAAGAGAGATGATTTCACCGTTGTCTGTCAGCGCATTCTTTTCACAGACAGCCCAAAGACTGAGAGGATGTTCCCCTGTGCGCTCGAGATAGGTCTGCAACATCTCCCGAGCGTGCTTAGCGAAAGGGGACTGCACCACAATGTTCCGAGCCCAAGACACAGGAGAGGTGTGTAATGTATCCCTCCAAAGCCCACAGGTGCGACTTAAAACCCAAAGAGGCCATGATAGGTTTAGACTATGGCAAGCCAGTATCTTTGTCAATCTGTTATCCTGCCACCAAGCGTCGCAAACGAGATGGAAGATTCGATGAGAATATCTCGGGGGAGACGACGGATGGGAGCATATGTGGAGGAGCGATTACTCAGGGCTTTCAGGACTGGTCGTCGGCGCATCCGGATCCCTTCAAGCTGGGAATCATACAAAGACCGTAGCCGTTCTAGTTCAGCGATTTCGGCATTGATCAGGGCATGGTCAGAGTCGAGCAATGGCCGTGAGCCGTGTAGAATTTGAGAAACGAGGCTGTCGGAGCTTTGGATAGTTTTGAGGGTTGGTATCTGTGGCTCGGGGGGAAGGAAGTTGATGAATCCGCAATTGCTGCAGGCTAGGCAGGACATATTGTCGAGAATTTGGGAGATCTTGGACGAAGATAAACTAGAATAGGTAAGCGATTCACGTGACGGTTGTAGCCTGTACCGGTCCGACTTCTAGAAACACTCTTTTCTCCGTTCGTCTCTTTGCCTGATTGTACTTGAGATGCACCGCCAGCTACCTTTAAGCAAAAACGGTTTAATGTTTGCATAGGACACTATCTAACGGAAGCCTTCGGGTCATGTTTATTCGGTCTTGACGATGCCCTGGCTCCTTGGGTTCTCCCTAGAATATTTCACACCGACACTCAGTGCTAGCCGGCAGTTCGATTCTTCAAAATGACCCTGATATTGGTATGTACTACGAGATATATGAACACTGATAAACCGCTAGTACAATGCCATGAAAGGAGACGAAGAATAGGAAGAAAGTAATGGACACGATTATGGGCTAGGCATATGGACGTCAGGATCATCGACGACGGCTAGTCCTGGACAAAGTAAATCTCACCTGAACTCGACAATCGAAGTCTAATACGCTCCCTCCAGTCCTACGACACGTTTACTCACTGCAAAGATGAACATTCAGCATAAGGACGCTCAAGACTGCGATAATCATCGACTCACAGGAGGGAGAGGGTGATGTCGCCGTTGACCTTGGCCTGGATGGCGATCTCCACTTCGAGGTTGAGGTCAAGACGGAGCTTCAAAGCTTCCTTGGGAGCGACGGTGCCCTCGTTGGAGCGGGTAGCGACGGATGTAGTGGTTTGTGGGGCAGACATGTTTTGCTGAGGAGTACGTCCTTTTGGTGAGGCTTTTATACGAGAATCATCTAACCCAGGGTATCCGCAGGATGTGAATGAGGGTATCCTCGCACCATGATGCACTCTAACAAGTCGGGTGCCTTGTCTAAGCAACTTGACTTTTTTCGTCTCGAAGCTATTGTAGTAAGCCCTACGTAACGGCTCTTATTTCATAATAAACACACTGCAGATTCGGATTCTTCATTGACATGCGTCTGCGACTCGGGTCTTCTCATAGACCAATCAAGTAGAATGCAAGCCGTGCAGATACGCTATAGCATGCCGTTAGCGCTATGCGTGTTGGTAAGAATATACTCACCTGTATTGGTGCTCCTAGGCCCAGAACTCCAAGCAAAGGTCTACATCGTGCCAGGAACACCTAACATTAACATGATTGCGACCATCATCACCTACTTGCCACCTTCTGCAATTTTACTGAGTTTCTGTCATCAGTTCCGTACCGACGCACTTCTCTGTTGCATCTTTGGAAAGAATTTTGGAAGATGCTATCGCAATTTTGGATTCTATGCACTCTGTCCCGTCGTTCTGAACACCCAATTGTGACAGGCCAGACTCCCAAGATCAGAAGTCACATAGAACCAAAGCACCGCAGCTGCTCACGAAGCTGTACTGTTGTCAAAGGCCGTGTTCTTGGTCCATCCCCGAAGCTCATGATCTTTTCGCAGCCCTACTGCGACAAATTACAGCAGCGCGATGCTCGCCCTGCTGCTTTTCTTTTTTCCCACTGCTTCCAAATCAGATATCTCAAACACCGATAGCTAGAGCGGCAAACCCGTGAATAATATGGTAATCATCACACTCGGGAATGCGCTGGGTCGACAAAGCCCTTCTTTTGCTTCGGGACAATCCGAGCGGTCTCTGGCAGCCGTTTGTTCCTTTATGGGCTTTGGGATTTGTGACGTGATCTCCAGCTCCCGCGGAGGTCCAGTCTTCTCTGCTCTACTTACTTACTGCGGCTTTGGCCGCCTCTGAGTTTGAAGGGTGAAGTAAAGCAGGTTCGACCCGGGGAAGTGGGTTCACAGCGTCTATTGGCAGCATGTAACGCGGCCTGCCGGCAATCTTCTGGAAATGCCAAGGTAAGCTCTCCCTGGTGAGACGGATACTGGCTCATACTCAATATACACCTAGGCCACCGGGACTGAATGATGGCCATAATATCTGATGTGCTTCTTTTTTTAAACCTTGCTCCTGTCATCGCGGGCGGATACCAGAGTCTGGACACACAGTGAGTCCAACAGTTTGATCGGTTGCTTTAGGATACATATTCATGGAATGAGGTCCTAGTAGTACGCGCTGGACCCTGGGACCGGCATCCTGGACAATACAGTGACCCAAGCAACGACGTGTTTATGATATTCATAGCCGCCGTAACTTTGTGCGAGTTTCAAGGCTCCTACCTGTAATACAGGTACCGTGTTTGTCATCAGCTGCTCTATGCCGGGGAACCCGTTTCACTCCCACCCATATTATTCTCGAACGTGGACTCTATGTTCAGGAATTCGGCACTTTCTTATCAGTGTACCAACCGTATGCAGTGGCGCAATCGTCTCACGTTGACCGCGCTGGTAGCATCTATCCGTTTTCGTATACACGTATCACCAGGCCTCTGGTTCTATTTTAGTGCTCATTTTCAGTCAATTCGCGTCTCTAGCGAAGTGAACGAGTACGCTTTGTACAAGTAAATATGAATCCCAACATAACAACCGGACCTGACTTGGTGGCTCCGAGTTTTCCCTTTATGATCGATAGGTTTTCTGTGGCAGACGCCCAGATGCTGAAGCCAACTAGTGTCAAAGTAATTTAAAGGACTGAAATAGAACATGAATGTATACTACATAGCAATTAAATTTGTCTTGGGGTAAACCGATAACCATCGTGAGTAGCGAAATGAATTGATAATCAGGCGCGAGACGGACGATGAGAGCTAGTACGGTAACGTTGGACTTGAGTCTAACACGGTCTGGAGGCTCCCTTGCGGGACGTCAGCGAAGATTCACATACAACCTACGACACACGTAAGTCCTCTTGCCAAGATCCCCAGTTCGTCATTATTAAGTGGCAGTGGCAGAGCAATGGTCGTAACCCGCGTAGAAGCTAGGACTTTTGAAAGAAGGTTTCCAGATCGGCACATAGTTTCAAGGATTTCGTCGTTGTGCTGGGTTAACATGAAGAGAAAAGACGCATCCTTTTTTGACGGAAACCTGCCAAGCCTCGAGTGGGAATGTCGGTGTAAGACGTGGGATAAACCAGGAGACCAGCCATAATTTCGCTGGAGCTGGGACTGCTGGGACAGATGTGGTAGGACAATCAGCACTGGGAGTTTCCAGGAGTTGAAGGCGGATAAATCGGAAGCAGGAGTTCGAAGGCGAAGCTGAAGTCGTGAACAAATAACCAAGTTCATTCCAAGAGAGTACAGTGTTTGTTCGGAAGGAGAAACCGCAACCAACAGCCGGATTGCAGCTGGAAAGTCCGACGTCCCGTGAGTCGGCGTGACGGCTGGATCATTGCTTACCATTTGCGTTTCATCAGAAATTCGTGTCTGTCTTAGCCAGAGCCTCTCCTCTCCGCCTGCTTGGAGGTCAAAATTTTTACTAGTGATATGTTGAAGACACAGGAATTCATTGATAGCGGCCAACATGACTTTTTTGTTGCAGGACTTGGCGGTGTTCAAGTTATTACCTTCTGGAATAACGACTTCGTCTAGCATGTTTCGCTTATTTGGTGTCGCCGCAACTGCTAAGGCAAGCCACAGCGGGCAAGGACCACTTGTTTCTGTTGGGAAAGGTCCGCATTTCTCACTGAAGCTTGGACTTGGAATGAATATCTACGTCGAAGGTGAATTCACTCGACATCCTCGGCATATCTGAAATATTTTCCCCTTTGAGTAGCAGTTCTCTAGCTTCGGATGAGACTACAGCTGGACGCTCTCAGGATTCCCCTGTACCGTATGAGACTGACGGTCCCGCCTGGATCGTATTTGGTTACCGCCACTTGAAGGCTCCCTCGCAGATTACGCTTGGCTACAAGCCTCCCTCTTGGGCTTGTTCTCAGTGATGTTTCAATGTGACGTCCTTCTACTTTGCCAGGATATTCACTTACGGGCCAAAGAAATATAAAAAGGCTACGAAATTGCCCACATTCTCCAGACAAACCATCTCCGTCTACCAACTCAGCTAGCTCATCGACCACAATGCGTTTCTCAATTGCCACTCTTATCCCTCTCGCTGTTCTCGCAGTCTCCGTCCTCTCGACGTCCGCTCAGGCCAGGGACGGCGGTGTCGATCGCAAGGGCAAGGACCATCGCAATGACGGCGGCAGCAAGGACTACCACTATGGCAAGGGTCGCAAGGACTGCACCTGGGAGCCTGTGTTTGAGCACAAGAAAGATTTCAAGGGGTGGAATAAGGGCAAGTACACCCCTTACGACCACAATGTGATTTGTGTATACTTCCTTCATTTCTTCCCTTTCGTTCTTTGCGTCTTGTAATCAGACGGAAAGAACATCTTTGATCCTGTAGCACCAAAGAGTGATTACATAGAATCTGATCTCGATGCATGGACCCAAGTAACAACTGATATTGGTATGTACTAGCCAGTAAAACGATACAACGTTAGGCGAAAGGAAGGAAGCTATATGCTGGTTAACGATTGTCAAGAAGGCGGATGTCACTGAAAGCCGACAAAGTCACTATAATACTGTCTCTCCAATCTCGTGGTATGTTTACTTGCCGTGAAATCAAACGATCAACTGGAAGAACGCACGACTACAATAGATAATGGCTCACAAGTTCACAGGAGGGAGAAGGCCATGTCGCCATCGATCTGACTTCAATGTTACATCAAGACTAACCCCAAATCGTCCCGTGGTGGCTGCCCGATCCGCATCTCAAAGTCGTCCACAGTAAGAGCTCGGATATCTTCTTCCATATAATTCTCATACTGATCTCCCTCAAATTGCACCTCAACCAATTTCAGCACTCCCGCATCACGGCGAGAGCGTACCACGTGAAGTATGGCAAACCATTCGTCCTCTGAAGGATGTGATAGACACAGGACGAGATGGTGTAGATTCGGTGGAAAAGAATAAGAGGCGAGGTCTTCGGTAACGTCGATTATTGGTGAAGGCAGCTCAAGTTTGAGGCGAGAGATGGTAGAACATGCTTCCAATGTGAGAATTTCGTTGATTTTGGCCAATGACCCAAATATGGTCCTGCCGATGCTCAGACTCTCGAGATGACATCTCGATCGATGAAGGAAACGGGTAACAGATTCTTGTGCAGAGGATGTCCAGGCCAATTCTCCGGTATCGCTAACGGCCAAACTACTGAGAAACGGTGTAGTTAGGGTGTCGAGAACATCCGCATCCTCAACACAGAGGTGACGAAGCTGCGCCACAACCACAGGCGCCAACTCCGCGTCTTGACACATCCAAAGGACAGACGTTCTGAGGTTCGGTAGCTGGGAAAGAAGGTGTAAATCTTCTGAACAAGTGATACCCCCACTATAATGGGTTATCCCAGGCGGCAACCTCATCTGATGGATCCCTTGCCCGTAAACAGTTGCTTGCCGTAGCTGCGGGGCAGCCACGCACATGTTCGGGTGATAATCAGGATCATCGCCATCATCGATACATAATGCAATCGTCTGCAGGGCTGGAAACTGCGATATAGATTCAAAGTGGTGCATGTGATGTTTGTCAATGGTAATGACCAGGTTCTTCCACCGTTGGCAGGATTGAACAAGCAGTGACATGATTTCATCTTCTCTTTCCCGTTGGGTCTCTGCGAACCTGAAGAAGACCCTCAGGTTAAAGAGATGTTCGCCTATGCGCTCGAGATAGGTCTGCAATATCTCGTTAGCGTGGTAGGAGAAGGGGGACTTCACCACAATATTCCGAGCCCAAGACGCTGGAGATGTGTGCAACGTATTCCTCCAAAGCCCACAAACACGGCCTAAAACCCAAAGAGGACCGGATAGATCTAGACTATTGGCACGCTCTATTGCAAGGGTTGGTGCTCCGTTGGGCCTCATGTACCAAGAATCACAAACAAGGTGGAAGATTTCAATGAGAATATCTCGGGGAAGACGACGAATGGGTGCATAAACCGATTTGCGACTTTCGAGGGCTTCCAGGACTGCACGTCGCCGCAACCGGATCTCTTGAAATTGGGCATCACACAAGGAATGCAACTGCTCCAGCTCGACGATTTCGGAATTGAGTAAGGCATGGTCAGAGTCGAGCAGCGGTCGTGACCCGCGTAGAATTTGTGAAACGAGATTGTCGGAGCTATGGATGGCTTTGGTATTTTGGAGGGGTGGCTCGAGAGGAAGAAGGTCGATGAATCCACAGTTGCGGCACGACATGAAGGCAAGATGCAAGAGCCTGAATAGCACGTGGTCTCACTCATTGCTTACCACCCTCATCTGTTTGTCCTGCTGTTGATTCCTGCGTGTTTTTTCGCGTTATTCCTCCGTCTGGTCTCAAATTTTTCTCTTCAAGAAATCGTGGTCTGATGGGCCCGAAGCTGGAGAGGAATTGAACAGAAAATTGTGAGGACTGCATACCGACTGGGTCGCGATGTGATTGTTGGTGAGTGTCTCTTCGTCTCTTGTTCACTGTATTCAACATTCACCTAGACACCATCAATCAGTCGCGCTATGGCTATCGTCTTGTTGCTATCACGAGGCTCAAATTCCTGACTTTCGTCCTCAATGTCCCTCACATGTCGAGTCATTTTCTGTCTCGTTCTGCTCCGAAAGTCTCCATGTATTCCAAGGCCCTTATCGTTTCTCCCTGCAATATACCTCATCTCAGTTCGCCGAAAGATTGTTCTCGAGGACAGTTGCGTCTAACTTCAAGAAGCAGTTCCCTGTATGCGCGTGCATCGCTTGGGAGGTTGCCTGCAGGTGTTTGTGGAGCCAGGTTCCCTACTTTTGTGGTGGAAGTGAAGCTAGGTGATGAACTTGTTAGATTTCGTCGCATGCATGAGGTGCAAAGTGCAGTTGTTCTCACTACTGGTAAATAACCTTTTCGACATTTTCTGCTGTCGGACTGAAAGTTTATTCGGATAGACACTAACCCCAGCGTTCTTACCTCGACCTCGGCTGTTCGTATCATATCCAGGAGAAGAAATCATATCATCATCCAATAGCTATCGCCATTTCTCTTCCCTGCACGAGTTTCCAGCGGCTGGGTTTTCTTGTTGTTGCCGGAATTCATATTTTCCTGTACTCTTTGGACACCGAGGACGCGCACTCATGGGTGCATGGATCCGATGGTAGTAGTTAGCGTGGAGTTCGGCTCTCCCGAGGTGCCTTCTTCTCTTCGTATGCTCTCAGAGATAGTTCGACATCTTCCCAGCACGATAAATTGGCAGATTTTTTCGATATGTCCTCCCCTTAAGTTGGCTCGGACACCGGCGTCATACCTTTTCACAAGAAACCACGATAGCCAGTCTGAGCTGTCCGGGAGATGCTTGCCAGCGTATTCTGAGAGCAAGACATCTCGTTGTCATTGATGTTGTCTGTAATGACTTGTCCCTGATTCCTTGAATCTGAATAGGACCTTGAACACAGATCTGAAGCCTGTATACGACAAGAATTATTGGCAGCTTTAGCTTTTTTGGGTCTGTGTGTAGGCCTACCCGACAAAATGACGTTTCATACCACACTAGTGTGAGCGCGACATCAACGCAATCGCCGATTTCATTCTGTATTTTGCAAAGGGCCATTCTTATCTTTATTTTGGTTCACAATTTCATGCGCTTTTTCTTTGCTTAACGCATGCGGGAGCAATTTGGAGTCACTCGTAAAGACAGCAGCAAGGTGTACGATTTCAAGCAAACCGAAGAACTACGGCATGTATCATTCCTAGCTACAAGCAATGAAGTCCATGACTCATGCATGGTAGTTGAGACGAATATCAGAATTTGGACGTTGAGCGAGCACGGAACTGGGTAGTGACTAAAGAAATAGAATATAGGACGAGTGAGGAATGAACGCGGTCGGTTAAAACAAACAACAAGGATGAGTTTTTTTGAGATATTTGAATAAGGATGCTGTCGGTGAAAACAATGAATGTGTCGGAAAGGCGCTAGCTGGTGGCGCTGACTAGAAAAAGGGACAGCAGTGAGGGAATGTTACAGAGTACTATCATTAGACATACAGCTGCGATGTGCAATTCTCTCATCAAGCCACGGTAACGGCAACCGTGAACTCAGCGCCGGGTACGGTCCCTGCCGCTTTGTTAATATTGAGATTTCCATCGTTGAAGTTCATGGTGGCCCCAATGACGTTGTTGAGGTTGATGGTGTATGGTCCTGGTATAGCGAACGATGCTGAAGCATGTACGGGTAGTTGGGTGATAGCGCCGCCGGGGTCACTGATAACGCCATCTACGGTCCCGGCGTTGGTGATGGTGAATGAGGTTACCGCAATAAAAACGCTCATGATAGTTGTCTGGCAAGGAACGTTCTTCAGTATCGCAGGTAATCTTTGAGGATAATAGCTGCATACCTTGGAAGTGAAGTTGGCTATCGGGTGCTGTCAGAGATATAAAGTGAGAGAGAGCATGGTAAGAGAATAGGACATACAAGTCAAACAAAGATGCGGGAGGTGCTTGACGCTGTGGAAGGGAACAGGATGGGAGAGCTTATATATCTTAACGAAGAGAATTTTGCTGTAGATCCCAGCAAGTTTTATTAATTAAGAAAATACGGATCGGAAACATTTCTCGCAGGCCTGTATATGGACAGACCAGTCAGTTTAGGAGGTAGCTGTCTCAGAATGAGTGAAATTTGCCCCATACCACGTCCGAAATCCAATGTTTCCCAGGAAATGTGATTTGGGAGCACATAAAATCACCAAGTCTACTTCGACTTTGTCCGCAAATTCTGGCTGACTATAAATTATTTCCCGTTGTCTCGGTGCGAGAATAAAGCGTGGTTGAATCACTCAAGGAAGATCCAGCTCGTACTCGTACCTGTCAGAGGCGCTATATTCAAAGTACCGGGCGTCTATTGAGTGTCTTCGAGCTTCTTCAAGCTAGCTTGCTAAGGAGAGAGCTGAGCATGCAGCAGTTACATCTCACGATTGAGGAACCCACAGTGGGAGTACCGAGCCCTCCAATCCTCTCGTGACTACCATGATGAGTATGCGAGAGCAAGTCAAAGAGTCGGACCTTATGATGAATGCAACTGGTGACTCTGCTAGATGATCATGGATGATCTTTGACCAAAGACATCCAGGATGAAGAACATACTTGATGTCACCGAGACCTGACGCATAAACGAGGGGTGGGCTGAAGAACTGGGCACCATATGTATAACTGAGTATGGGGCGCTTTGGACAATTCAGACTCCATGAGCAAATATAGCGATGTCAACCACCCACCATGTGCCTTAGTCAGTCAAAACCGACACACTGAAGCTCAGCTTTTTTGTGCTGGCACCTAGAGTTTCATCCTCTGGACTATTGCAATCGCGACTTACTGTCAATCTTCCTGCTTAAACCATCCAATGATGGAGCAACGACGGCAGTGTGTATTGGTTGGTACCTACAAGTTGTACTTCTCAAAATGAGCAATCAGGAGATGCAACCGATGTATCCCAGAGGCTCAAGACTAGCCCGGCCCTAAAAGCAGTAGAAGCTGGTGTATCAAGTGCTGGTGCCACGATCATGATGGCGACACGACGTGCCCTAGCACAACATGGCCGTGATGACATCCAAAACAGACGAAAGTTGGCAACTAAAACTTGAGTACTGATAGACAAACTTCATATTCTTAAATAAACATACCCGACTTGGAGATGCTTTAAGGAGAATATGGCTGATTTGGCGAACTTGAGTTGGAACAGCTGACGGTGACTTGAAAGTTTGACCTTCTATCAGGATCTGTCAGAACTAGGCCAGCCTGTGCTGGCAGCTGGAATGTTTCCCAAGCCCTTCATTCACATAGAGCATTTGTGCCCTTCTTCTCATTTGAGATCCGGGGAAAGGTGCCTTCTCACTTGCACTACTGGTAGGAAACTGGACCTGGAGTATTGTGATCTGTTACTAGAATAAGCTGAAGAAAATCGAGGTTCAGACTTACGGAATTACTGAGTCCCAGAACTTCAGTAACTCGTGATATATTCCTTATAGACTATCCGTTTAAGTTCTTACATTGCAATGGCATCCAGCGCCGTTATCCTGTAGCACAACCTTTCGATAAATACGCAATCAGGTCGCGCAATCAACGAATTACCTAGATGGTACTTACAAATGCATTTCACATCAGGGTCTATGAATATCGGTCTGGGTGAGGCATGGGCGCTTATCTGAAAAGGCGCCAAAAATATTCCAGACTTAAGCACAAGCACACACCGTGTCTTTTTTACTCCAACTCCATCATTCAATTCATATGCCACATGAGAGTCCTTCTGGAGAAGAGGCGATGGCTGTTGGCAGACGCTTGCCTGCCAGCACAAGTCACCCGACTCTGAAAGATGCTCGCTGGTTTTGAACAGCCAACGATAGCAGCATGAGTTTCTCACAGTCAGAAGCTACACGAACAAGCGCAGAAGGTACTATCATCTGGTGGTTGATTTTTCTAGCACGACAACATTGAACCACGCCTCGAGGATTTATAGACACTAGAACCCGAGTGGAAACCAGCAATGAACCCGGCAGACAGGGTAATCCGAGCAGATGATATAGACTGCTGCGAAACGGAATAGCCGAGTGAATAGGCATGCCATGCCGGAAGTGGACCGCTGAGGAATAAGGGAGGGCTTAAGTTTCCAAGATCCACAGGTAGAGCTTAGGTCCGGTTAGACCAGGTTTCCATCTGCACCGGCACATTTAGGGATAAGAATAGATAGAAGAGACATTGCGCTTGCATTTGTTTGCGCGTACAACAAGGAGATTTGAGAAGGTGAACATGTACAGGTGGCAAAATGAGTCCAAATTAGATATCGGAAGAGAATACATCCAGCGGTCCTTTAACCTACTGTAACAGTCACCTGCGTCCATATTTGACTGGCAGAAGAAAGCGTTTACTCACGAGGTAGAAGGTTCAAGTTGGAAGCAAGTTGGCAGACTCGAAGAGCGTCCCGGGCCGGGCTTGCGATTGGGTGCTGACGAAGCAGAGATGGTCCAATCAATCCACTGTCCAGTTTTCCAGTTTTAAGAGAACGTCTTCAGTCCAGCATCACTACGCCCGAAACCGCAAAGTCTTTGACTTGTATTAATTACTATGAATTCTCATCTCTTTCCGTCTCTCTCTTAACTCGATGTCTCATATCGATGCTAATGCAAGCGGCTATTACATAGCCAGCAGGCATGAATGCTGTGTCAAAGTGAATTCGGTCATGGAAACAATACATATATGAAAGGTGTGCGGCGTGCCACAGTCCAATTCCGAAGCTCATCATCCTGTTTCAGCTGACTTTTACGACCGTCTTCCATCCTGTTACCCTTCCGGTTGTGGAGATCAAAAGAAAACCCAAGACTGCGACATCCGACAACAGATGTATTCCATCACTGGCACGTCGGACCATCAAGTCAAGCTGAAAACCAACAATCATCTTCAAGAATGTGTTTATCTGGCCATCTAACGCTCGTGACAACAAAATTTACAGTCTCGAGAGACTTATTACGCGAATGGGATACGGGGCGTATCTAATGGTGCTCGTTGGTGAGTGATCTATCTAAGATTTCTAGCTGTCGTACTCAAAGAAGTTTCAGATACGCGTTAGATCATGATTGCTGTCCATGGTGGATGTGTTACACATGCCCGGATTCCGAGCCAGAATATAAACAAGTGACTGAGCAGCTAACTTAACACGAGTCCTGTGACTTCTATGCAAGTACTAGCCTGGGCTTGGGGAGTTGGGGACGCTCTACGTTTGCTGAGGTGTTAGGGAACTTCTAGTTAGTAACATCATCGACTAGAACTGCTCGTAGTACTCACACGAACCTAGGTACTCAATTACCAACACGCCCAGATTATGCTTCATCCATTCACTCGAGAGACAATTCGTTCTCGCATCTTCAATCTCCACAAATCACGAGTCCCGCACCTGGCAAAGATTCCGAGCGTGGAGTCCAATTCCATGTTTACACCGGGATCCTTGAATTTCGGACACCCGCTCACTCACGATTATGCGCGTGTGGTCACTGAAACACCGCTAACGTTGCCAACACTTCAAGCTCCACCATACGTGTCGATGGCAAAGTTGGTTATCGCATCTGGCTTACAGATCCTCGGTCCGAATCTGGGTCGACTCATTTAGATGTACCAGCAGATTTTTATCCTGAGTCTCGTGGACACTGGAATCGATAGTCACTAGATAGGTTACCGTATGACCTTGTTGAAATTTGCCCGTCAATGGGGACGACGTTCGAACTCTGGATAACGAATACCCTCAGTTTTATTTTCCCGTGCAAGTCGAATTGAACTGCAGACATTACCATTGGTCAGACGGGTGTTATGTCCGGATTTCGGGAACTACGAGGCCTGCCGGTCGTTCGTGGCACTGTGTGTAACTTGGATATGGTAAGTCCATCTTTGTGTCATCTCACCCGCTGTGTCTAAACAATTCCAACAGACGCAGGTGCGCCGCGCGTTGCAACCCCGGTATCTTTTCTCTTCCGACGGCGAGTGCTCGGCCTCCTCCCACGTCGGACGTCCTACGCTTATAGGAGGGTGTCGCCTCGCTCATCTTCCTTCTGCTTAGGCTACCGGTTTGCATTCCAGCTCTTCTCGGCTGATGACTACAAGATAGTGCTTGCTTCCATGAGAGGTAGTTCCTCCAGACCCACTTTCTTGCCTTTTTTCATACGTGTGCCCGCCGAGCTCTAGTATCCCCATGTGCTCCCCACTGGGTCGATGGCGTAGCTGGTTATCGCATCTGTCTAACATGTATCTGAACTATACCCGCACAGAAGGTCCTCAGTTCGAACCTGGGTCGACTCACTACACATTTGTTGATACTTCTGGTCTGAGCGAGTGCGTTTAACGTTTTGGACTAGTGTTGCGCACGAAACCTCCAGGGGGGGTAAGTAACCGTTAGTTACTGACCCCTCCCTGGGGGGGGGTTGGTTTTGCTACGGTAAGTTACCGTTACTTACCGGTCACATGATCTCTCACATGACCATTTCGCGCTAGCTTTTTTTTTGACTTCTGCACTGCCGCCAGCGGTGGGTAATTTTAGTAAAATAGTGCAGGCAGAAGAGGGATCAAGATAGGCTGGAAAGTTGGATAAGGATGAGGGAACATCTGGGGTGAGGACGCGGCGTTCAGAGACAGGCGGAATGACGAAGTCAATGATGTCTTTAAGTGTAGCAGTATCCGATGGTAACAACGATGAATAGTCTTCGGGTATAGCAGCGTGCTTCTCCTTATAAGGAATTGACTAGCTGATGATCCGGAGTTGGCGGCGCCATGGTGGGGTTACTATTCCTTGGTAGGGAAAATTGAAAAATTTTGCTGTAATATTACCACGTGACCGGTAAGTTACCTCGACAAAATACCCTCCACCGATGGGGGTGTAACTTACCGGTAACTTACCGGGAACTTACCGGGAATAAACCCCGGTGTATCAAAACCTAGGGTTTTGTGCGCAACCCTATTTTGGACTTCAGTCTTATGATTTTACAAGAGTCACAGGAGGGAGTGCCCGGGCCCCGCCCCGCCCCTCGCCCTGATCTTAGCGGGCTTATCATCGATTCTTTTGTCTTTCCGGAGGCCTGCTCATGATAATGATACAGTGAGATCCTCTGTACGCTAACAGCCAGTGATCCGCACCTGCATTCTTGAAGTCCATGGGTCGATAGTGCAGCAGCTTCAAGTTGTCGCATTAATCTCCAGTTCGAGCCTGGGTCTACTCAATTGGTTCAGTGTCACAATAGCAATTTTTGGCCGTGCTACAGACATGCATCTCTGTCTCTTTGTGAGGGCAGGGGATGCTTGCGTGTTCTCTAAATGCCTTCTTTCCCACCCTGATCGGATCGTCCCTTCGCATTATACATCGAACGTGGGTCCCTCAATGCGGGTCGATAGGGCAGCTGCTTGTCGCACCGATATCCAGTTCGAACGTGGGTCTACTCAATCAAGCATTTCGAGTAATTTTTGACTTATACATCTTGTCTCTTTGTGTGGGCAGGAGACGCTTGTGTGCCTTCTACCCTGTTTCGGAATCATCTCTTCCATCGAACATGACGCCTGTGTTATGGATCTCATGTCTTTTTCAGTCTGTACATGAGTCAACACATGCCTACTCTCGGCCTTCTCGGTCTCGACCTCAGCTTACTAGTATTTTCTCTTACTTTCTCTTACTTTCTCTCTTTTTCTTTCAAATACTAGAATAATAATGACTCGATCCCTTACTGGTAGTATATAAGTATTGTACCTGTCTTTGTATTGGAATCTTAAGCTAATTTTACTCATCTTCGAAGTCCACTTAATTGTGTGAACTAAGCATCTCTGATCGGTTACGCCAAGCGCTTGCCAATCAACTGCTTTCCGACTACGCCTAGCACTTTTCGGAGACCCAGTCAGTTATGCCTAGCGCTTGCTGACGCCCTCGTTAACTACGCCTAGCGCTTGTTAGCACCCTTACGGATCCCTCTTGGTGGTTGGAACTCGGCTTACGGACATCCTCGCTCACGACTTGGGTTTTACTCGAGTACTCATTAACTCGTGTATTAGCTCAAATACCCTGATTCTTAACAGGTATCCAAGTTCGCAGGTCGATAGTGCAACTGCTCTGCTTCAAGTCGCATTGATTCCCCAGTTCGAATCTGGGTCGACCCGGGACTGATCTCTGCGGAATCGACTGCGACTTTTTTGGCCATGACCGGGACCTGTTGTGCGGGCGGGGATGCCTGTGGTGTACTAATGACTTGTCAACCCGCCCCTTCACATGCGCGTGGGTCGCTTCGAGTTTCAGTTCGAACCCTGGGCCGAGTCAATACGCTAGCAATGATTTTTTGGCCGTTCTCCCTGACCTGGAATTCCCAGGGTTTTGAGAGGAAACAGAGTCAGATGGCCTCTTTACACAGACTTCCTTGAGTTAAATATTAGTAGCTTAAGCGCAACCTTCCTGCTGTGGGTCGATAGTGCAATGGCTTGTTGCATTGATCTCCAGTTCGAATCTGGCTCGACTACATAATGTTAGTCTCCCCTAGGCAGACTCTTAATCTCTTGACAGGCAAGCAGTCGAGATTTGAAATAAGAGTCTGCTAGCGGACACGCCGTGCACCCTGGACCACGGTTTTTTGAACTTATACCTTATTCGGACAAAATCATGTGATCACCTAGCGCGCGCGCGATTCTGTTGACCTCGTTTAGTGTCGTTACCTCTATTTAACTTATTTATGAGCTCCCAACGGCCTCGAAATCACGAACGGACTCCACTCAGACTATCTTCTAGCAATGTATCACCAATTCGTGCTGTTCCCATGTCTCCATATATCTTTCATTCCTTTACTCCCGGTCCTGCAGGACTCCATGATCTCGGAGATGAATCTGGCACAATCCTCAGCTCCACCGCTGCATCGACACCCGGAATGCCTGTGTGTCAATACCATAATATCACACCCAATCCTTTTACTCCCCCGCAAACACCAGCATCATCACAGCAATAGACCTCTTTTGCAGTCTTTCAATCCCTCAATACCTCGGAAGTGCCGCCATCCCGACGAGTTCGAAGGACGCGGAGTGCGCCAACCTCATCCTGCAATGATGAGAACCTACCACCAGTATCAACATCGCAGCCGGTGACTCCTTTCACGCCGCTCTCCAATAAAAGATCAGCTCGATCTTCAAACCGAGAAACCACTGCCACCGCTCCCACAGCCAAAAAGCCCAGAACGCCTGAGTTAGTTCTGGAGGAAAAACTCAGCCAAGTCCTGCAGGTTTGCGCGGCGCTTGGCTTATCCTGGGCAGAGGTACAGTATGAGATGTACCGCCTACCCTCATGTCAAGAAAAGGAATCCTGGGACGATGCTGTTCGCCGCAAATTTAAATCGCGCGCAGCAACGGTTGCTCATTTTCTTCAAGGAAGATCAAGCTACATCGTGTCCGACATACTGAACATCTGGATTCGCCATTAATGTCGGATATCACTATCGTGGTCCATAGTTTTTTGCTCTATCATTATTTGGAGAGTTATTTACCAGAGTTACGGTCAGAAGCTTAGAGGAAGGAGTACCCCGATCTCGGTGTGCGGCGAACGCTCAGAAGCTAGTGTTCAACTTGGAGGGTGTACGCCGACACGAATGTCTTCACATGCGCGAGCTCTCTCGCCTCTGTGAGTCGATGTATGCTGCATTATATATAACCTTCGACTCCTCAAAAATCGCTTCTATGGAAATGGCGTCATCCAGTCTAATGCTCCTTCTATTACACCTATGATACAGTACAATACATATCCTCGTATACGTAGTAAACCAGTTACTATAGTACATCCATGACGTTCATAAGTAACAAAGAACAACGGGAATTATGGCGTGGCAGCTGAAGCAGGAACGAGAGAGATGATCGTCGAACCTGCAGCGCCCGAGGAAACCGCACTAGTGGCCACGTCCGCTGCATCAGTAGCACTAACAGAGAAAGCCGTGATAACAGAACCACCAGCCACGCCCGTCAAACTCGCGAGAAGACTCGAAGCCTCGTCAGGTGAGAGCGTCGTCGTGACGGGCACCTCGGTGCTCACGAATACCGTCGCTGTGGGAGTGAGGGTTATCGTCACGGTAATGATCCCACCATCGTCGGTGGAGGTACTAGACGTTGTGTCCGTGGAATTGGAACTAGTAGCAGTACTATCCGTGGAGTTCGCGCTAGACGCGGTATCCGTGGAGTTGGCACTAGCGGTAGAATTAGACGTGTCGGTGCCAAAGATGCCCCCAGTGGCGCCCGTAGCATCGATCACGGACGTAGCGTCCTTCTCGCTCGTACACTGTATGAACTACATATAAAGAAAATCAGCCCAACGAAAGCAAAAGAAAAAAGCCACTACGCACAGTCCCGTTCCCCCTCACAGATGGAAGAGCGAAACACTGCGCCGAGCCCGAACAGGGCGAGGGCGTCCACTGGTTATCCGCGCACTGAGCCACCTCTCCGGATATACACGCCACTTCGCCGGCTGGAAAGAGAAAGAAAGTGTGAGTGCGGAGGATACCCTGGGAATAGGTTCAGACGCACTGGAACACGTATCATTAACGCTGAGGTTCTGAAAAGCGACGTTCTGGGCTTGGGCAGCCTGGCCGTTCGCGAGGAGGGCAGAAGCGTCGAGTGAGGCTGTGGGAGCCGCGTGTGTAGCGAGGAAGAGGGCAGAAACAAAGAGAATGGATGCAAGCATCATCGAATTAGAAAGAACAGGAAAAGAGCACCAGGCTGGATGGAAGAGAAAAAGGTGGGGAACATTGCGAACGGGCCCGGGGAAGTTTTTATACGTGCCCCCATACGAGAACAATAAAGAGTACAAGGACGTCTTTGTTCTCTTGGCGGGGTGATGGACCTTTCGGCAAAGGCCGACTTGGATGCAGCGCAGAAACTTGACTGATCGTTCACCTCTTATGGAGTCGACCCAGGTTCGAACTGGAGATCAACACGACAAGCAGCTGCACTATCGACCCATACAAGAGCGGCGGGTCTGTGTCCTTGTTGATAGGAAGAGAATAAGTAACAATATGCATGGGGAACCCGGAAGGAAGCAGAAGGAAGCGGCACCAAGAACTGTCGATCAACCAGAAGATTCAATGACACGAGACTCAACTGTTGTAGTGGTAACTTGATTCGTGAACAAGTATATATTGGAGAACTTGATTTGGGGTTGCGCGGGAAATCCAGGGTTTCAGACCGGTAAGTTACTTTCCCTCCCTGGATGGATTTTCATCGAGGTAACTTCCCTATAACATGATGGACAATTCGAAAAATAATTCATCACTGCTGCATGTGTGTCTGTTTACAGCTCGCTAGGTTAAGAAAAGCGCGAAGACAAATTTCTGCATGTGCTTAGTGGTATTAGTGAAATAATGTATCAAAACCCCCCTCGAGGAAGAGGGGGTAAAATATCGTAACTTGCCTCTCATGGGCAGTGAGGGGTCTGAGAACTTGAGTAAGTTACTTACTTGTTTGTATGTGAAACATGAGAAGAAAAAAAAAAGACATCCTAAAAACTCAGTATGAGTCAACCCAGGTTCGAACTGAGGACCTTCTGTGTACATTGACAAACGTGTTACTATGTTAGACAGATGCGATAACCAGCTACGCCATCGACCCATATATCGCCAACTTCTCTATTACTAGGTCATCGCGCAAACCTCATCGCGGGTATATGAATACTTGAGGCGGGCGGGCGGAGAAGAGGCACCCCGAAGAACGCGACCACCGACAAAACCCTCTACCCGACGTTTACTCGCCGCACGCGAACCTATCGGACTCTTACAAGTTACCTTTCGCTTGGTGCCTTCGAAAAAAAGCGGCGAGCATCGAGAGGGCATAAACGTTGTCACCCCCGGAGAGCAAAGACGCCTTTCCTCCCACACGGACGACGGTTTGGAGTGACCGCGATGGTTAGAGGCCTGCGTCGTATTAGGATGAAGAACGAAACTGCCGAGTCGGCAGGCGGGGCTTGGGGGAAACTTGCCATGGAGAGAACAAGTTGCGAGTGTCTGTTGTGAACCTTGAAGAGACCGGATGACCGTGACTGTCTCTCCTCCCAAAGCTGTTGAAACGAGAGCGTCTTGGGGCCGATACGCAAAGGACGGTTGAGGGTCCTAGTCAGCCTGCGCGTCTACCAACACTGACGGTCAACCTCGCACCAGGCGTCCCGCTGAACAATATTGGCATATGGACCCTCTGTTCAACAACGACAGCGACACCACCCATGCACCAGTACTAAGGGCCAGCATACGATGGACGGAGGCGGGGTCGAGGTGCCGGGTACACGGTTGCAAGACAAACCGAGCCTGTTGGTGTCGTGAACTTCGTTTCGACGCGGAGTATCTGATAGAGCTCGCAGAACTTGTAGGGTGTCTCGGCGTCCTGGTGAGAAAGAGCATTCCGCCAGGTGGTTTACGGAAGCTGTGGCGGAAGGACAACAGACGTTCATCTTCATCCACAACAACGGAAGCAGGATTATAATGAACGAAAAGGCAGTGGTCCGTTACGCGTACGCGTTAAGATGATAGAGCGAGCGTGATGATGGCAGGAAGCGAGTCCCAAAAGGGAAGCTTAGATTCGCACACGAGGATATGGAGCCCGAAACAACACTCAAATTGGTATCTAAAGATGCTAAATACGACTAAGAGGTTGGCGTTGGACAGGGAAGAGGGAAGATGAGGTATAGGGGCTATCACCGCCTACGCATAATGGTGTCAGTCCTTCAACCGAGGCACTATAACAAGCGAGCCTTACCTCGAAACGACGACTGCACACCCAACACCATCTCCTCATACGCAACAGCGCATTTACTCACTACAAACACCAACAGTCAGCCCAACGACGTGCCAAACGCAAACACCGCACTTACAGGAGCGACAAGGTAATGTCACCATTAACCTTTGCCTGGATGGCAATCTCAACTTCGAGGTTAAGGTCAAGACGGAGCTTCAAGGCGGCAGGAGGAGCAGCCTCGCGAGGGGTACGACCGACGATTTGTCCGCCGAGGACGGAGGAGGATTGGGTAGGTGCGAATTTGGTTTCTGGGGCAGACATTGTGATGCTGGAGAGAGGGAGTCGGCTTGCTGGTCCTTTTATACGCGTGTAGCCTTCCGGAACGAATACCGACTCGGGGCGAGAGCAACGTTATGGTGCGCGGTGCACGGTGCATTTAGCAACTCGGGTGCCTCTTGGTTGCATTCTGATTGAGTAGAGAAGACTACATGGGCGAGGTTAAATTCCAGGCGCGTATTGCATAAAACACGTGTTGCACGTACTATATTTTGAATACCCAGATACTTGAGTCGCCTTCTGATATCACGTACACAGCTGCACTCTTTGCTTCGAAGCGCCCTCGTGTCCAGGAACCCCGAGCAAACGCGAAGGGAAGTAGGTACGAAGTGCGCGCGCTATCATCCGGAAGGCAAGGATTCCCTTCAATACCAATGCTTGTTAATTCCTCGTCTCCATTTGGAGGTGGAGCGACAAACGGTAACCAGTAACTGGTACCTGGCAGGGGTTTCCAACCCGACTCGAGGCAGAAAAAAAAAACTGAACGCAGTACCTTCTCGTAAACAATCTAGACTTCGGGGCGCCTTCGAGAGAGAAGGGGGAAAAAAAAAAACTTTTGGTGTTCTGACGAACGAGGACTCGGGGGAAGACGTGGTAAAGACTAAAGAGAAAAGATTCAGAGGGCCGGGCTCGACTCTCCAGAGTTCCCACGGCCGTATTTATTGCATTCTCACCACCATATCAAAAACTTATTTGTGCGCATGAACGACCGACAAGTTGGCTTCGATATATGCGATATGTGTATTACGAAATAGCGATGGAAAGTCGCGACACGAGTCGAGAAACACCCTCCCAGGCAGCCCCCTACAACCCCGATGCTCGACTTTACTACCCTGCAACGATGTAATTATAACGTTAACCTCTCGCCCCCATTCTAACCCGGAAAGGGCTTCGACACTCGTATAAAAGGACAACCAAGTCCATGCCCTCTCTCTAGCATCAACATGTCTGCCCCAGAAACCAAATTCGCACCCACCCAATCCTCCTCCGTCCTCGGCGGACAAATCGTCGGTCGCACTCCCCGTGAGGCTGCACCCCCCGCTGCCTTGAAGCTCCGTCTTGACCTTAACCTCGAGGTTGAGATTGCCATCCAGGCCAAGGTCAATGGTGACATTACCTTGTCGCTCCTGTAAGTGTAGTGCTTATGTTTGGTGTGTCATTGGGCTGAATGGTTGGTTGCAGTGAGTAGATGTGCTATGCGCATATTGTTAGGGAGGGGTCAACGTGCAGTCGTCCGTTCAAGGTGAGCTTTATCATTGGATGTATCCGTCGGTTTCGTACTGATATTTGTTAGACCTAGTAGTCCTTTGGTTAACAGTGTATTAGTGTCTGTAGATACCAATGTCAATGTTATTTCTAGGGATAAACATTAGGCAAATAAGGTTTTGCATCGATAAGAGAACCTTTACGACGCGTGTCCCAAATGCCGTTGTGAAGAGAAGATAAGTCCATTGTTGAGGATGTTTTCGATTGCATAGAGAGGATACGACATAGGGACTCGAAGCGAGCGGACCTGCCTCTGATGTATCCACCAGAACGAATGTAGTCGTGATTGAACCGAAAGCGATGACTTGGACAAGATGCGAGATCCTGATGGCCGTGTTGTCATGCGCGTAGAAACGAAGCTTCTGTAGGAATGAAGATCAGCGAGATGAAAATACGCGCAACACATCCAGGATACTGCGCAATCTTGTGGGATGGCAGGCGGGCAGAGAAGATTGCATCTCGGAAAGAGTCGAACTCCATACTCGTCGTCATGATGAGCATCGGACCCTCTTGTCCGCGAGAGCACGTGCGATTTGTGTCTTGCTGAGCGATGGCAGAGGTAAGGCGCTGCTACTACCTGGGCCTGAGTGCGCGCGATAATCACAACATCCGGGCACGTAGAACGCATCAGGAGCCGGCGCGCGGTAAGACGTCCTCTCCTGTATCCCCTTCCAAGAGTGGACGGTGTTTTGAATGATACGAGAAGGGCCTCAACATCAACGCTGTCGTAAATAGTAAAACCGACATGGACCCAAAAGAAATTTGTCTTCAGAGCCTAGGCGGGAGCTTGAACCTTTTCGGATTCTGCGCCTGATGAGTACGTTGGCATCTTCCAAATGTGGTGGTTACGACACAAGAACGCGGTAGCGATAGATCATTGGAGCCTCGTTCCAATAAGCGTCAGGCCCTTCTATCCATGGGCGTCGTATACTTGGTGCCAAATGAAAGGAGTCTGTTGTTCAGCACACGCAAACAGCGCACCATAGCTCGCAATCGCTCCACCTATGAAGCGCCAGGAATCGAATCATCTCTGCGCTTCTCTTCGGTCCCTGCGCGGGGGGGCAAACTGTTTCACGTCGCGAGTGAATGAGGGAAGTCCAGTGGCGTCAGGTAGGATGGGTAGGTTGGGAAGAGATACCACTCACGAGATCAATTCAAAGGAAAACTTTAACGAGGTCGAACCAGACCTGTCGTCTTCAGGGTCGCGCCGGTGAATTTTGTTCGAGTCGAAGGTGGCGCAATTTGGGAGTGTGGTAACCAGGGATTGATAGGCTTCATGCAAGGACCCAGGTCAAGGCTTCCTTCCTCCCTCGCAATTTGCTGGTGCTGAGCGTTGTGGGCTAGCCCGTTCCGTATGACGAGATGCGGAAATTTTTGAGTATGTGGCTGGCATTTAATAAAGGATAAATTCGGGGCGCACGAGTGTTGCGTGATTTTCATGGTGAGAAGGTCGTGGTGGGTGGGTAAGAGGCAAGCCGGGGGTTATTCCCACGGTCTAAACTCTGGACCTACAAACACCCACTGTACGCTGTATTCCCGCTACCTTGGTAGTGGGTCTCTGGAAAACGCTAAATACACCAAATTTTGCGGTAGATTCGTAAGATCTAATTGATTCACCTGCCTCCTATATCAGCTGATCCAAAGGTGGAGCGTTGCCATTGTCACGTTCACCGTTCGTCGTCTTGTTTCTTACTCACATGTCTCGCTGTTCTAATAGCGGGAATCTTTACCAGGAATTCGCTCGTGATGCTACCGAGTACATGCACGCTCAATGGGATTCCCTCCTCCGTTACCATTTCCCTCGAACATGCTCGCTGTACTTCCAAAACGACGATGGGTGTTTCCACTATTTCGCTGGTGACGTCTCGGGGTTCTTACGAGGCGAGTGTTAGTTTTGTCAAAACTGCAGACGGTCCATCCGACGTCTGTTTGGGTTTGGATTGGTTTATAGCATTACTGAAGGGTGATTCTGATGGTGGTGAGTGTGTTTGTCTTTCCAAGCTTCTGCGTAACGCCATCTCGACACCTTTCCAGTTAGAAAGCCTTCGTTCAGCGTATAGGCTTTTTTTGCCTTCCGGAATCTCCATGTTTTTCACCCGACTTTTGTTCGACTCCCTCTTGTACGAGCTGGCAGCCCATGGCATACTACACAAGACTTCATGTGGACAAGACCACCTTTACCTGAACTTGTTTGTTGAGCATTTTCTGTCCGGCATGTGTTCGTCGCTCAATGGACCTTCATGTCGGTCGTACGTTCAGGCATGTCATACTAGCCGTGTTTGGGCGCCTGCATTCTTTCTGTCTGTCTTGCGGTACACCCACCTGTTAACCGTATTGCCTTCATCCGCGCTATTATCTTTTTGGCGCTTCTTGGCACCGTCCACGCGCGAGAACAAACGGGAACGCGCAATCGGTGGTTTGGCAGAGCGGTTGACGCTTGTTCGGTACCTTTCGTACAAGGGGCCAGTCACCTACATGGCGGCCGTTTTTGATAGTCACTTTGAGACGTTGCCCAGGAAGGATCTTCTTAGAATGGCGGATGCGCATGGTCTCTTAGCACGTAGTGCCCATTTGACGCTTGATAATCTGAGGGATACCCTTAGCGACCACGTTTCTGGTGGCGGTTGCACTGGCTGGCTATCTCATTCTATCGCTAACATACCGGTGGGCTGTTTGGAGTGTTTCCAGGAGTTTGTTTTTTCTGATAAGGTTAAGAGTCGAAACAGGCGGTCGTAGTTAACAATACAAGCGGTACGTGTCGATCTTTCAGTGCAGACCTATGTATTCGCAGGCGTGTTCGAGTAAGTCCTGCTCTCTCTTTATACGCTATGCTGAATGTCGTTTCTTTGTCCAAGGTGGAACGTTGGCTTTGTCACGTTGACCGTTAGTCATATTGTTTGTTGCTCTCAGGTCTCACTATTTGTCCATCGACCGCCTACCAGCATTTCGCTCGCGACGCTACCAAGTACATGCATGCTTCATTGGATTTCCTCCTCGGTTACCTTTCCTGCTACCTTGGTAGTGGGTCTCGACTCTCTGCAAAACGCTAATGACACTAAATTTTGCGGTGTAGTTCTCTTGTCTCACTGGTTTGTTTTCATTCCTTTGTCCTCCTGCCTGATTTTTGCTCGCCGTCTTACCAAGCACATATATACTCAACGGAGCTCTTTCAGCTCCCATCTCCTTCAAAAATGATGTCGAATGTTTCTACTACCTTGCTGGTGTATCTCGGGGTTTGTACGAGATGAGGGTTAGTTCCGGACTTTGGTCAAAACTGCGGGAAGTTCATTCGATGGTTGCCTGGTTTAGAATTGGCTTGGAGCCCTGCTGAATGCTGCGCATGGCGGTGGTGCATGTGTTTGTTCTTGCACGCTTCTGTATAGCCTTATTTATAGCTAGGATCGGTACCACCCAAATTATAAAGCCTTCGCCCGATGTACAGGCGTTTTCGCCTTCCGGACTCCATGCTCTTCCGAACAAATCTTCATTCAACTCCCTCTCTTATGAATTGGCAGTCCATGGTATGCTGCACAAGACTGTCTGTCCGAGTCGGCAAGACTACCTCTTCCTGAACTTACTCGTTGAGTATTTTCTATCTGGGATATGTTTGTTATTCTGCGGAGGACGTTAATTTAGCCACAGGTTTTGGAGTGTCATTCTTGTCCAGGCACGGAATGGTATTGGCTGAAGTTCTGTGATTCATGGGATATTGTTTGGATTGACCAGTGCCTTCCTTCCTTACTACGTGAGATACTAAAGCTGAAGATTCAGTTCATGGTGATCTTCAACCCATAGGAGACGAACAGCGGGATGTAACTCTGATTGGTATGAAGATATTGTCGTTGAAAGTTTGCCATCGCGTTATGGGATTACACATGTTCATGCCTCCTGATGATGGTTCTCGATATATAGGCATAACTCTTTTCGTGTTAAACAATACAGTGAAAGCGTTGAATGCAACCAGGACCTATTTAGAAGGCCAAGAGACTAAATGTCTAAATGTCTACACGGCGCTCACACATGAGAGCTGATGCTGCAGAGGTTTCACTGCAGTATCTCCAGTCTCGATTGAGATATTTTCGTGGCCATCAATTTCATCGGCTTGATGGCTTCATTCAAGGAATAGCCCGTACAGAATGTTATGGAGGCTACTGATTCTGAGGCACTGACTTTCACGTCTGCTCTATCTGAAGAACCTCCAACACGAAGTTCCAGTATTGTTTCTTCAGTTTCTTAAAATCGGATTGTGGTGGGCGACAAAGAATCCACGTCAGGAGGGCGTATGTAAATGAAGAAATGTCTCACCGATACAGCACCGACAAGACTAAGGCAGAATCGGCATGATCGGCACCAGCTAAAGGTAGCGGGCTCTGCCGCGCGCGGCCCTATTCGTTATCATTTCTTCCGCCATTCTAGTTTTTCCGAGCGTCTAGCACTGGAGGCAAGCTCGTCAACATTGACGGCGAATGCTCTCTATATCGCCTATGTTGGATATTATCTATTTTGAACTGCAGGAACAAAGTGTGGGAAATAATACAGAATAAGACGACCATGGCTCCTGCAAATATCCAAGAGTTCTTGACGTTCCTTCCTGGGTCACCTCGTCTAGGTCGGAATCCGTCGACAAGGTCGACAACAGAAGCTTATACCGCGCATAATATCTTGATGACTCCTGAAGATCAACCAATTCTCAGCCGACTAGATCATACGCTCATTCCTAGACTGAAAGAGTTTATCTCTTCGGCGGTCGTTGACTTCGATATTGGCGATGTATCTTGTCAGCCAATGCAACAGGGTCTTCAGCTTATGCAAGCATGTCGAATCGAGGGCGAAAACTACATGAGCCTGTATGGCGAATTCACTCTTCACCGTGAGCCTGTTACGGACCTCGTGTGGCCGCAGAAATGCGGCTGTTTTACTTTCACGCTTGTTGGACAAAACGACGCGGTCGAGGAGCAAGATATTCGAGTCTGCTCTGATGAGGATACAGTGTACTCGTCGTTACTTTCGAAGGCAGAGGAACTCAGCCAGTCGATTCGCCTAGACGTCACTAGGAAGCAAGAAGGTGCCGCTGCTATGGCCATCAACGTTGGTCTCCATCGAGTTTTGTCTGATGTCGCCGTCTCACACAGTGTAGCTTGCGTTACAGATGATTACTTCACGCGTAGAGTACGGCTTTTTTTCTTGCGGGTTCATCGCAATTGCCGCCCAGCTCGGTGAGACTTTTATCATCGCTGGGCTAGACAAACATTTTACATATCTTTTCTAGTCCGGTCTACCGATGTGTCTCGCCTGGGATATATCCTACTACTGTCACCTGCGTTCAGACTGTCCATAGTCGTTGCAATGACATTCTCCAAATTGCTTCCTGGTCGCCACATCGCAAATCCTCCTCCTGACCTCTTACGGCCTTGGCTATTGGAAGGAATACAATATGCAGAGGAAGGCCAGGAAGGTGACGAAGAAGATAGCCATGGCCGGGATGAAGCAGATCCAAGCGATCTCCTAGCCGTTTCTTTACAAGTCGCAACTAATGCGGTATATCATTTCTTTTCCCTTTATGATGAAATGTACTGACATCGCTTGTTAGATGGTATTGCAACATCCATGGTTGCGGTCCAGCGACATACATCGTATGTCTATCAGCTGACGTCCTACAGATTCATTTAGGGACCCTCAGAACATTCCAACAGCCAGCCACAAGAACTCCGGCCTCATGATGGAAGACCCTCTGCTGTCTTTGCTGCAACAACAATCACTGGTGCAACTCTGTCGCCGTTCTCCTCACGTTCCGTCGACAAACCTCAAGGTGGTAACACTCGTAAGCCAGATTCGGGTCAGTCGTTGGAGCACCGTGTGGAAATGCTGCACTGAAAGCCGCGAGGAGCCATTTATCATCAAGCTTGTGTCGGAAACGCACTCGGACATGATCTGGAAGGAATTCTACATGTACGAAGTGGTCCTGAAGGAATGTCCTCTTCTTCCCAGGTTTTATGGGATGTTCCAGAGACCTGTCGGCGGTTGGTTTGCTTTCTACCTCGAAGACGTTGGGGATAATCTGGAGACAATGTACGGCCTAGGGTGGTCCGGGGTGAAGAGGTCTATGCCCAAGATGCAATGGTAAGCGACTGAGTGTCTTCAGACACCGTTCATTGACCAGTCCTTCAGGCAGGAATTACTAGAGTCGGTGAAGCAATTACATTCATTGGGTGTCTTGCATGGTGATCTTGAGCCACGAAACGTAGCTCAAACGGCGGAGGGATTCAAATTCTTTGACTTTGGACACTCGGAGTTGCATCATTGCCAGCCTAAGGAGTGCGACGAGTTACAAAATCTATTGAGCGTATAGAGTAGTGGTGCATATCTGTTATCGTTATTTGATTATCGGTTTATTTGCTGCACTCGTTTTCCTCTCGGACGATCTGATACACCGTACAATCTATGCCGCTGTAGGCAAATTCTTCTTTCCACTCATTTCGACCCTTCACACTTTTCGCAGCCTGGGGTAATCTTAAAACCACAAATATGAAATTTTGGGGAGAACCGCGCATACACTATTCTTCAATGACTTCGAGTCCCAGCGTGGGTCCTACTTACTGCACAGTATAGCTGTCGCTTTCTTCGCAAGCAAAGACCAGATTCAGTTTTGATGAGATTGGATATGAGCGTTGGTTTGTCCGATGGACGAGGAGACGTGGAGATGGGCCAATGCAGAGCTGAAGAGTCACTGGCCGTTACATCATAGGACCCCGACTGAAGTTTGAATAGAGAATTGGGGCCTGCGGCAAGTAAAGGTAGGTTTTTACAAAATAAATTTGTAAGTGCGGGGGCCAGAAATGCCGCTACATGCACATAAATAATGCTCGCAGGAAATATCAGATGAAAGTTTGGTTGGTACGATGTGTTGCGCCGCCTCAAACCCCGGTAGCGAAAGGTACCACATACAAATTGCATTGGAGGTATAAAATACTATACATACAGAGTGCCCCAGAAGCCTCGTTGGACTTAGTACAGACGTTCCGAAAAACCTTGTCCACACTGCCAAAAAGGGCAGGTAAAATCAAAAAATCAGATAAATATCAGAAAATCGTAGAAATAGCATACAGACTTCATTTGTGCGTGTCATTTAGTAGAAAGATACAAATTTAATGATCCATGGGTGCTGCAGTATGTCGTAAAGAAAATACTTGAAATAAGAGCATCTGACTGATGAAAGCGCCGCCAGATTTACATGTTCAGGCTGTCTCGCACCGAACAGCCGGTCACACCTTCGTTCTTGCCATCATCGTCATTCAAGAGACAGGATTTTGAAGAACGATTCTGCATTCAGTCAAGGAGGCCGCCGCCGTGATTTTGCCACAGTTTGGACGTCGACAGCTCCTGGCTTCCTGCAACACAACGCCATAGTCCGCCCACACTATTTCACTGCGACAAAGACACCTGCAACTGGATATCCTGGCTATATTTCGTCGGTTTTCATGGTTAGGAATGGGCTGGTGGGCGTTCGGGTGTTGTTGACTGGGACACTTTAGAGAGGGCGCGGTGGCTGGTATGCTAAACATACACCTTCAAGGGAAGTTATCCACTTTCATTTTGGAACGACTTATTACTGTTTACAGGGGAGAAAACATCTCCACAGCCTCCCACACCACTCTAAAGCTCCGCCGCTGCTTCCCATTACCGCTAGCACAGACCTCGCTCATGGCGTCCTACCACTGACCTATTGGCCTCATACCTGTTACATTACCTCTATACACCTCGTACATCCTCAACGAATCCATTTATGATACATTACACTCATGAATGAAGGCACCATGCTGTTTTCACGATTTTCTTGCATTTTTTTATTTTTTTATTTTACTTGCCTTGTTTGGCAGCCGTGGACAAGGTTTTTCGGAACGTCTGTAGTTGTAATGGGCATTCCAGCAAGAAGTGTCGTAGTTTTCGTTCGAACACGATTTTCTTCAATGACAGAGCAAGCGCAAATGCGAACTTTCCCAGAAGGCCTCGAATCGTGTTTAAACGACAGATGTCACTAGCCTCGACTACAGCATGTTCGATACGAAATAAGAGCCTTTACGTTTTCAACAACCCTCTTCTTGCAGTCTTCTACGAAACTAGGAAACGCTAAATTGCCAAGGCAAGCCACTCAGTCCACGATGGCACATTGCCCGTACACTGGCGTATAAAAGCTCCCACCTCGCCGACTCCCTCTCTCCAGCATCACCATGTCTACCCCAGAAACTGCTACCAAATTCGCACCTACCCAATCTTCTTCTGTCCTCGGTGGACAGATCATTGGTCGTACTCCGCGCGAGGCTGCTCCTCCCGTGGCTCTCAAGCTCCGTCTTGACCTCAACCTTGAAGTGGAGATCGCCATCCAGGCCAAGGTCAATGGTGATATCACCTTGTCACTCCTGTGAGTGAATTTCGTGCTGTCTGGGGTGTTGTCGAGCTCACTGGTGGGGTTTCAGCGAGTAAATGTGCCGAGGTCATAGAGGGTGGAGTTTAACGTTCGGTGATGGTGTGATAGGTAAGGTTACCTGTTATAGCACCTTGGTTGAAGCACTCGTTGTGATTCATGCGTCGCAAGTCGAGTGGTGGCCATCATTCTATCACGGCGAGGAAAGATACCAACGCTTCGAGGAGACCGGATTAGGGAGTTGAGGATTATGCCGGGGTGCGGAGGTACAAGTTGGCCTGAGCTGGGCGAGTCACGGAAAGAAGCTATGATAATGACTAGCGAACATTTACATAGAAAGTCTCTTCAAAGAAGAGCTAACGCTCGAGAGTGAACGACTCCCGTTTCCCATCGAGTCCCGTCGAACTTTTGAAGGAATAAACGGAACGTAGTTAGGGAATCGGATTCCGCCTAGACTATTTCAACATACTAGGGCATTTGCGTCGATATGAGAACTGTCTCAAATGTTGTTGTGAAGAGAAGACTAAGTAAGCCCGTTGACTAGCGCTAGGATGTCGATCCGGCGGCATGTTCTTCTCTCTCGCAGTGACGTTCCAAAATTGGTCTCGTTGTCGATGCAGGAGGGGGAGAGAATTCCGTTCGGTGTGTTCTGCCCTCTGCTTTACCTAGCTTGCTCACAAATTTCGTGCATCTACATGCAATACTGAATAGCCTGCACTGTCAACGTCTCTATTCACGTCTATAAAACGTCCAGAGTCACCCGAATCAGGACCTCCGATTACCTAGTCCAAAAGTTTATCTCCGGAAGAACACTGACATTGGTAACTAATACACTGTCAACCAAATATCAGTACGGAACCGAAGAACACGGCCATAAAATCTCACCTTGAACCTATATAATGCGCGTAACACATTTACCCATGGCTGCCGGACCGTGAACGCAACCACTCTACACATCCAACAACTCTCTCACCTCCTCACACCCACCCTTTCGACAACGATGGACCTCCGACCGTCCAAAATCAAAAAACTTGAACGTCCCCTCCCCAGTCCTCGCCACATTCCGCGGTTCGAGATCTCCATGCATGACACCCAACGAGTGCAGCTTCTTCACTGAATCGACGAGATTTTTCCTTACATAAAGCAATCAGTTAAAAATCAAGTCGGAGATGACGAGGATGCCTTACCACTCCACCACACCCAAATCCATCTTCACATCATCCCACTCCGAGCCATACACATCCTCAAGACTCTCCCCAACGTTCTCGAGCAAGAACCCAAACCAGCCACCAGCCGGCCTCTGGAACGTCCCATAAAACTGAGGGACGAGGGAACACCCCTTGAGCACCACCTCGTACATGTATAGCTCACGCAAGACCATCTCCGAGTGACATTCCGACACGAGCTTCATAATGCACTTCTTGTCGGCACCTTCGACGCGACAAGAGTATATGCTGCTCCACCTACTCGCTCGAATCTGTTCGAGAAGAATCACTGTGTCAACATGTGTTGACGGAATGTGGGGAGCACCAAGTAGGTTCCTTGGCTGCAAAGGGAGAACTGTTAGAGTGGTTTCGTCGAGAGAACGGAGTTCTTCACTGCTAGGATGGTCTGAACATCTAAAAAGACGTTGAGATGGGTTTCCAATGATAGAAATACGATGTATGTCGCTACAGTTTAACCATGGATGCTGCAATATCATCTAGTAAGATGTATCAGCAATCTTCCACCGTCTGAATAAAGGAAACACACACAGCATTGGTTCCAACTTGAACAGAACATGCAGGGATCCCATCTCGATCCTCGCCACTATCACCCGAGTCGCGTTCATCCCCTTCATCTGGAATTAACTGCAGAGGCTGGTAAAAAGAAGCAGGCGGGCTCTTGACCTCATGTCCAGGAATCAGATTGGCGCATAGCATAGCGACAAGTATGGCAAGGAACGGTTCGGGTTGGATGTCCGCCTGAAACGGCGTGAGCGTTTCTGGGATTGGAAGGGCCTCGTTGGAAAGTCTGAACGCAGGCGAAAGCAGGAGAATGAGTCCCGGACGAGAGGGGTCTGTAGACTTTACTACAAACGGGGCGTAAGAATAAAAGGCACGGGAGATGAGGAGAGGCTCACTAAGCTGTGCAGCAATCGCGATATATCCACCAAAGAACAAGCCAAACTCGGCGTCTGCAACAGCCATCCGCAGTGCGAGCTGAATTGCATGAGATAAGCGGCATAATATGATACTCGACAAACACTCACTTTCGCAACCATGGCCTTGGCACCAGTTTGCTTCTGAGTGGCATCAAGACTGAATGGCATACTCAATGCCTCCGTCTTTGAAAGCAGCACCCAATAACCCTTATCCTCATCAGAACAGGCTTTTAGGGGCACAATTTCAAAGCGACCGTCCTCGGTCTTGTTCCGTCGGCCAACAATAAAGTTGAAATCACCTATCTGGGACCATTGGGATATAGTGACAGGTTCGCGCTTCACACAGATGCCACCTGCGAGACCAGCAGCTGCAGCGATAGCCTCGACAACAGGGTGCACTGCTTCAGCGACATAGCCGTCATACTCGCTCACATGGGTCTCGTTCTGGAAACACACCTCTGACATATTATTCAAGGCATGCTGCATCGACTGACATGACACTTCTCCAATATTGAGGTCATTGACCACTCCACTGATGAACTCTTTGAGGTTTAGGAGGAGATCGGGGTATATCCGGGAGGAGATGAAACGATATTTCGGAGGGGGAGGGTCTTTGGCTGTATAATCTGCAGTCCAAGTCGAACTTTTCACCTCCAAATGCAGCTTAGGTTGATCTGGAAGGAACGTTAAGAGCTCCTTGATATTGGTGGGACAGGCGGCATCCATGATGGAGACCGGTAAACTTGGCTGCGTTTCGATATTTCAATCTCCGACCAATTGCGGATGCACGTGATGACCGTGTCTCCTCTATTTCGTAATATACATATCGAAGCCAATTTGGTGGTCGAGTAAAATTTTGATATGGTAGTGGGAATGCAATATGTAAGTACGGCCGTGGAAACTCTCGAGAGTCGAGCCTCTCTCTTCCACCACGTCCTCCTAGTCCGTCAGAACACCAAAAGTTTTTTTTCTTTTCCTTCTCTCTCGAAGGCACCCCCAAGTCTAGACTGTTACGAGAAGGTACTGCGTTCAGTTTTTTTTTTCTGCCTCGAGTCGGGTTGGAAACCCCTGCCAGGTACTAGTTACTGGTTACCGTTTGTCGCTCCACCTCCAAATGGAGACAAGGAACAAGCATTGGTATTGAAGGGAATCCTTGCCTTCCGGATGATAGCGCGCGCGCTTCGTTCCTAACTTCCCTTCGCGTTTGCTCGGGGTTCCTGGACACGAGGGCGCTTCGTGCGGCTGTATGCGTGATATCAGAAGGCGACTCAAGTATCCGGGTATTCAAAATATAGTACGTGCAACACGTGTTTTATGCAATACGCGCCTGGAATTTAACCTTCTCTCCATACAGTCTTCTCTACTCAATCAGAATGCAACCAAGAGGCACCCGAGTTGCTAAATGCACCGTGCACCGCGCACCATAACGTTGCTCTCGCCCCGGTCCTAGGGGGGACTATACTCGTATAAAAGGACAACTAAGTCCATGCCCTCTCTCCAGCATCACAATGTCTGCCCCAGAAACCAAATTCGCACCTACCCAATCCTCCTCTGTCCTCGGCGGACAGATTGTCGGTCGCACCCCTCGCGAGGCTGCTCCTCCTGCTGCCTTGAAGCTTCGTCTTGACCTTAACCTCGAGGTTGAGATCGCCATCCAGGCCAAGGTCAATGGTGACATCACTTTGTCGCTCCTGTAAGTGCTTTGCTTCCGTTTGGCGCGTCGTCGGGCTGAGTGTTGGTGTTTGCAGTGAGTAAATGTGCTACGCGCATAACTATTAGGGAGGGGTGGGCGTGCAGTCGTCCGTTCGAGGTGAGATTTATCATCGGATGTATTCGTCGGTTTCGTGCTGACATGGACATTTGTTAGACCTAGTCCTTGGTTGACAATGTATTAGTGTCTGTAGATACCAATGTCAGTGTTCTTCTGGGGATAAACGTTCGTTAAGCATTTGAGGTTTTGTGATCAGCGCATCTCGATAATAAGAACCTTTACGACGCCTGTCTCGAGTGTTGTTGTGAAGAGAAGATAAGGCCGTCGGCTAGCGCTGTTGCGGATGTCGACCCAAATACAGCTGGACTGGGCTTAGTGTTTTCGATTGCATGGGTTGTTATGGTCGTGAGAAGAAGAGAAGAGTAGCCAGCGGCATCCTCCGATCGGTCCTCTCTCGCACTGACGCTCGACATGCCAGGCCACCTTGTATGCTTCTCCCTACTCCCTTCTCGACATTTTATGCAAGTCCAGCTCAACGAAACCTCTGCTACCATCCTTCTATTACGGTGTCTACTTGGAACGTGAACTTCTGAAGCTGCACAGCTACAGTACATCACAATTGGTCTTGTCGTCGACGCAATGGGGAGAACGAATTCGGTGCGTTCTGTCCTCTGCTTTACCTAGCTTGCTCACAAACTTCATGCGGCTACATGAAATAGTCCAGCATCATCACACGGTTCGCGTTCAGTCACCCAAACTAGGACCGCCGGCTACCTGTGTCAAAATACTTAGTCCAGGCGGAATCCCTACCTACGTTCCTTTCCGCGACTAGCCCCTCAACGTCGCCCAGGCCAACTTGTACCTCCACATCCCAGCCTAATCCTCAATTCCTTTACCAGGTCTCCTCGTGGCGTTGGTAGCTTTCCCCGCCGTGATAGAACTTTGATGGCCAACACTCGATTCGCAACAGGCATGGATTCACATCGAGGGCTCCGAGTCCGAGTCCACATTCGCGGACAAAATGGTCCGATGCTTATTGGCATAGAGTTCGAATCTCTCGAGATGTAATCGTCAATCCAGGACGGACAGTTAGTTCGTCTGTTCTTCGCGTCCTCAGCTGCTGTATCCAAGCTGTAGCTCACGCCATTGCCGGGGCGTAAATATAAGAACCCACCCCCAAGCTCGGGCCTTTGAAAACACAATCCAGACAAGAGAGTGGCCTCTATTATTTAAAGGACTTGTGCTGTCAATGAATCGGTTTTAGGTCCATCGGCTAGACCGGTGCTATTGACATCGAGATTTGAACTTGCCTTCGTTCCGCGAGGGCTTTGGACCAACTTCATTAGCCTTGTGAGAGTAGTCCATCTTCGTCCAAGCTATATTCTAGTACCTCAACTAGATACTATGAAGTATGGATATTAACATCGATCGCTTGCCAGGGGAACGTAAGTGACAAGTGTCAACTAGACCTTGATATGAAAGCGAGCCCAAGTAACTTTACTGAGCGAAAGGTAACCAGAGACCATAACACGTCGGATCCTGAACGAAGGCTTCAAGTCATATTTTGCATCCTCGGCGCGCGCAAGAGAAAGAGGAAAGGAGGCGGACAACGAGATGTTACCGTTACCAGCGTTGAAATTCTTCTTGCCAGGTCGCGTATTCCCAAGAGGATACGGCTAGGGGCTCGAAACGGGCGGCCTGCCAGTGCCTCTGATGTGTCCACCAGACGAATGTAGCGCTGGTGGAACGATCACAAGGTGATGGTTTGGACGAGATGCGAATCCTGATGTGTTGTCATGTGCAACGACGAAGGAGCAAAAGACATGAGACGTAACAAACCACATCCTGGCGGGGAAGAAAGGATTACATCTCGGAAAGAGTCGAACTCCATGCTCCTCGTCATGATGAGCATCGGACCCTCTTGTCCGCGAGAGCGATACGTGCAACTTGTAGTCGCGACCAGGCAAAGAAAGTCTTGCTGAAGGGTGGCAGAGGTAAGGCGCGAGAGAAGCTGTGGTGCACATCTGAGCACGTCGTCTGACGAAAGAGCGGGATGACGCAGACTTGGGAGGCGCCGCTCGGTCGCTTCAGGTAACACGTCCTCTCCTGTATCCCCTTCCACGAGCTAAAAGGGTGGACGGTGTTTTGAATGATACGAGAAGGGCCTCAACATCAACGCTGTCGTAAATAGTTAAAACCGACATAGACGCGTCAAAGGAAGTTTGTCTTCAGAGCCTAGGCGGGAGCTTGAACCTTTTCGGATTTTGCGCCTGATGAGGATTGGCATCTCCCAAATGTGGTAGTTACGACAGATTCAGAAGAACGCGGTAGCAACAGATCATTAATTGGAGCCCCGTTCCAACAAGCGTTAGACCAGCATCGTATACTTGGTGCCGAACGAAAGGAGCCTATTGTCCGATTCAGCATACAGCACACGCAAACAACGCATCATAAGATGGAGCGATTGCGAGCTCTCGATCCTCGCTGCTCATTCAAGCCAGGGATGTACGAACTCGAATTGTCCCTGCACTTCTTTTCGGTTCCATGAAACAGTTAGTCTATCTTTTAGCTGAGCGGAGGGGAGGGGGACAAACTGTTTCACGTCGCGAGTGAATGAGGCACATTCAATGGTCCAGTGGCGTCAGCAATTTCGGGTATCTGTGTGATGATGGGTACGTTGGGAGGAGATATCAATGGGCCGCTCAAGAGATCAATTGAGAGTAAAACGAGGTCGAGTTCCGGGAGAACCAGAGTTTGTCGTTTTCAGGGTCGCGTTGGTGAATTTATTCAAGTCGAAGCAAAACGCGGTGGCGCAACTTGGGCTGTGGTAACTAGGGATTGATAGGCTTCGTGCAAGGACCTCGCAATTTGCTAGTTCTGCGATAGGTGCTGAGCGTTGTGGGCTAGCCCGTTCGGTATGACGAGATGGGGAATTTTTGAGTATGTGGCTGACATTTGGTAAGGGATAAATTCGGGGCGCACAAGTACTGCGTGATTTTCATGGTGAGAAGGTCGTGGTGGGTAAGAGGCAAGCCGGGGGTTATTCCCACGGTCTAAACTCTGGACCTACAAATACCCACCGTACGCTGTATTTTCGTTCGAACGCGATTTTCTTCAACGACAAAGCAAGCGCAAATGCGAACTTTCCAAGAAGGCCTCGAATCGCGTTTAAACGACAGATGTCACTAGCCTCAACTACAGCATGTTCGATACGAAATAAGAGCCTTTACGTTTTCAACAACCCTCTTCTTGCAGTCTTCTACGAAACTAGGAAACGCTAAATTGCCAAGGCAAGACACTCGGTCCACGATGGCACATTGCCCGTACACTGGCGTATAAAAGCTCCCACCTCGCCGACTCCCTCTCTTCAGCATCACCATGTCTACCCCAGAAACTGCTACCAAATTCGCACCGACCCAATCTTCCTCTCAAATCGTCGGTCGTACTCCGCGCGAGGCTGCTCCCCCTGCAGCTCTCAAGCTCTGTCTTGACCTCGACCTCGAGGTTGAGATCGCCATTCAGGCCAAGGTCAATGGTGATATCACCTTGTCGCTCCTGTGAGTGCAGTACTTCTGTTTGGTGCGTCGTCGGGCTGATTGTTGGGTTTTACAGCGAGTAAATGTGGCTATGCGCATACCAGGAAGAGGTCGGCGTGCAATCGTCAGTTCAAGGTGAGATTTTATGGACATATTCGTCGGTTTCGGTCTGATATTTAGTAGACCTAGTCCTTGGTTGACAGTGTATTAGTGTCTGTATACCTATTAGATACTAATGACAGTGTTATTCTGGGGACAATGAACGGCTATGATATCACAGCAGAAATCAGAGCACTCACTGGGGACAGGTTGGAGATGCGGGTTGAGGCGTGGAACCCGCCGGCTATGGAAGACTGAGCCGGGTTTAAATTTCATGGGTCGACCATCATCGGATGAGACAGAGTTTAAGTACATCCTGACTGGCGCGTCGATGCCGTAGGCAGTTCATACGTGATGCGGGCATCTGTCCAAATTTATGTATCATCAAACCCCCATTGGTGTGATGCGCCGGGAGGATTCTTCCCAAAGTCTTCAACTTGAACCTAGGTCGGGCATTGAGACTTCGTTATTCCAAATAGAACTGGCGACTTTTTCAGTGGCTTGCTCTCTATTTTCCATCGTGCGCGGCCTAATTCAATCATCAAACTGATACAAAAACACGCGGAAGCACAAGCATCGATTCTCTTCATACAAACACGTCACTACTGTAATCTCGAAACACTTGGTACAAATGGAAACAACAACTGTTGAAGTTATGCACTGGTCCACTCTTCTTAGTCAACCTTGTTGAGGGTCCACTGGTTCTCCTTCCTTTGGATGTCCGCTCCGCTCCTGACTTGGACCTGTATACGTTCAATCCTCAAACTCACATTCTCAGCAAGGATGTAGCAGACAGCAGACTTACGATTGGGCCGATCTGGACGCCCGTAACCCAAAACAAGTCCTGACCTGAAGCGGGAATGATCCTGACAGACCAGACGGTACATTTAACGGAAAATCTGGCACAGCTAGCCACCGACTTACTCATAGAACTCGGTCGAAGCCGGAGCGACATCAACCTGCCAGTTCACAGGCTCGCTAGACCAGATGAGCTCACTACCGGATGCAGCGTTCTGTTTGTATCCGAGATTGGAAAGTGTCGACGATCGAAGGGTTGAAGGAAAATACCTGAGGCAAAGTGACGTACAATCCATTGATGCCCTTGATGGTGACATTGACGGTGCTAGGGGATTGAACGACCTTACTGAAGGTCAAAGTCTGTGACAAGGTCGGTCAGCATTAGATGCTACTCCTGAACGTCAACCATAACTCACAGCGCCCTCAGGGATGCCGCCGTTACCATCGGCTGTTGCGACGGTCTGGCCGGGTACATCAGAGTTGGTGCTGGTGATATAGTAACCGGTTTCAGCACTTTGAGCGGTATAGTTCTGAGACATGGTTGTTAGTTGTTGATATTGTTGGTGAATTGAGGAGGGGAAGTGTGAGGATGTCAAGAGGCGAAGGATTGCAGTTTTATACTGCCAGCTGTGGGTGAGTGACCAAGACTCGGAATAAACGAACATGACGATTCTCTGTGTTGACATATTTTTCTAAGGACTGCTCAAGGCCCCGTCGACCCACAGTGTATGTATTACTTACAGCATGCTTTGGAGAAATCCCATGATCGTACGGTGATATTCCAGTCCGACGGGTGTCATTGGTGACTTATTGTACATTGCGACAGAACCCTAGAATTCAGGCCCAGAGTAATACACCAATATAAAAATTTTAATGGTTCTCACCTCACCGTCACGGTCTTTTCTCATGGTAGTTTATTTGGTTGCAGTGCGTTCATATGACGTTCCCTTCGTACAGAGATGCCCAACTCAATGCGACTTTGGACCTTACCTAAACTCGGAACTCTGTTCTTGCGGCACCATGATTCTTTCTCCTTGAACAAACAGCAGAGGTCACCCCTTTGTGCTGTCTGGGGTGTTGTCGAGCTGATTTTTGGGGTTTCAGCGAGTGATTGTGCCGAGGTCGTAGAGGGTAGAGTGAACGTTCGGTGATGGTGTGATAGGTAAGGGCACTTGCGATGTAGCACCTTGGTTGAAGCGCTAAAATCATTACAAGTGGGCGGAGACAATGTCCTGTATATCCCATCTGATTATCTCTCCCTTTTCCTATCCAACCTCTTGGGCGTATTTAGCGGTGTTCATACCTTTAGATATCAATTTGAGTGTTGTTTGGGGTCCATACCAAGTTTGAAACGAATTTAAGCTTCCTTTTTCGGACTTGCTAGTTCTCTTCCTACCATCACTACAGAACACGCTCGTTTCATCAGAAGTTTTGAGGCTCTTAACATCTCACGTCCATGTCAATGCTTAATGGGCCATCGCTTATCTTCATTCAAAGTCTGTTGTCTTGTTGAGAAAGATGCTATCGTCCAGCCCAGCTTGTGCAAATCGACCGACCTTTTGGGCAGATGCGCAATGCCTTGAGGATGAAGGGAAGGTCGGAGCTATCATCATGAAGGTACGCGATTTTGTCGATCTTTCTGAAGTCTCAGCATAGACCTACACCAGCCCAATTCCTTTGACCGACGTCTCTTAGACGTTCCACCGTAAATATCAAAGTGCTTATCAACTCCAAGGACCTGGCACTCGAACCCATGGAACTCCATTTCTCAACGTTCCACCAGGCTCATGAAAGACCTGTCGCAGCATTACAACGAGCTCACGATGACGACGAAACCATCCATATCCTCACAGTTGACATCGAGAGGGTCAACTCGTTCTGATTCACACCGCTATGTTCTCAAAATCCAGTATGGGTGCTGTCGTTGAGCGCAGCGTTCAAGGCCTTCTGACAGTGATGCACCTTCCTCAAAGTCTCGCTGCTGCCTCAGTCGCAGCCTCGATCCTCCCTCTTGTCTTACATCATGACCGCTTGTCCCGCCAACATCAATGAATTCCTCACCTTCCTTCCCCAACAACACAAGCCACCTCCAAACTCGACGAGTTCTGCAGACTCGGATTCCTACACCCCCCTCGAACTCGTCCCTCCAGAGCACCGCTTCATCTCCTCCCAGCTATACCCCAATCTCCTCCTAAACCTGAAAGACATCATCGGTGGAGTGGTCAATGACCTCGGCGTTGGCGACGTGTCGTGTCAGTCGATGCAGGATGCCTTGGACGATATGGCAATGGTGTCTTTCCGGACGGAGCGCCAGGTGAGCGAGTATGGCGGCTATGTCGCTGAAGTGGTGCGACCTGTCGTCAAGGGTCTCGCAGGTCGCATAATCAGTGTGCGCCACCAAGCTGTCGGTATACTCCAAGGGTCCCAGATAGGCTCCTTCAGTTTTACTATTGGACGACGGGACAAGACCGAGGACGGTCGGTTTCATTGGGTGTCACTAAACGCCTGTGCCGATATGAATGTGGCGCATCCGGTGTTGCTCGCACAAGCGGAAGCGTTGAGTAGGCCATTCAGTCTTGATGCTACTCGCAAGCAAACTGGTGCGAAGGCCATGGTCGTGAAAGTAAGTGTTCATCGACATCGAGTATCATATTATGCCGCTAATCTCATACAATTCAGCTTGCATTGCAGATGGTAGCTGCAAACACCGAGTTTGGGTTTTTCTTTGGTGGATATATCGCGATTGCTGCACAGCTTGGTGAGCCTCTCCTCATTTCCCGTGGCCTTTTATTCTTACACCACCATTTGTAGTAAAGTCTACAGACCCCTCTCGTTTGGGACTCATCCTCCTGCTTTCGCCTGCGTTCAGACTTTCCAATGAGGCCCTTCCAATCCCAGAAACGCTCACGCCGTTTCAGGCTACCATACAACCCGAGCCGTTCCTTGCCATACTCGTCGCTATGTTATGCGCCAATCTGGTTCCTGGACATGAGGTCAAGAGCCCGCCTGCTGCTTTTTACCAGCCTCTGCCATATAAAGAAGATGAACACGACTCAGGTGATAATGACGAAGATCGAGATGGTATCCCTGCGTGTTCTGTTCAAGTCGGAACCAATGCTGTGTGTGTTTTCCGGTATTCAGATAGTGGAAGATTGCTGATACACTTCATTAGATGATATTGCAGCATCCGTGGTTGAACTGTAGCGACATACACCGTATATCTATCATCGGAAACCCACCTCAACGTCTTTTAAATTTAGATGTGCAGAACATCCTAGCAGTGAAGAGGCTCCATCTCTCTCGACGAAACCACTCTAACCCTCTTCCCTGCAGCCGCGGAACCTAATTCGTGCTCCCCGCATTCCGTCAATAGACGTTAACACGGTGACTCTTCTCGAACAGATTCGAGCGAGTAGATGGAGCAGCATATACACATGTCGCCTCGAAGGTGCCGACAAGCTGTGCATCATGAAGCTCGTGTCGGAACGTCACTCGGAGATGGTCTTGCGTGAGCTATACATGTACGAGGTGGTGCTCAAGGGGTGTTCCCTCGTCCCTCAGTTTTATGGAACGTTCCAGAGGCCGGCTGGTGGCTGGTTTGGGTTCTTGCTTGAGAACGTTAGGGAGTCTTGAGGATGTGTATGGCTCGGAGTGGGGTGATGTGAAGGTGGATTTGGGTGTGGTGAAGTGGTGAGGCGTCCTCGTTATCTCTCCGACTTGATTTTTAACCGATTGTTCTAAGGAAAAATCTTGTCGATTCGGTGAAGAAACTGCATTCGTTGGGTGTCATGCACTGGGATCTGGAACCGCGGAATGTGGCAAGGGCTGGGGAAGGGACGTTCAAGTTTTTTGATTTTGGACGGTCGGAGATGCATCGTTGTCGAAGGGATGGGTGTGAGGAGTTGAGAGAGTTGTTGGATGTGTAGTGGGTGTGGGCTGGGGGAATGATTAGAGGACGATTGAAGCTCGGAAAGGCATGCCATCCCGCAGTTTTGGAGTCAGTTTTTAGCGAGCTTACCAGTTTGGTTTCTGTGGTCAAATTATCCGTTCTATAAGAGTCCCGCGGGTGTATGTATTAAGCTAATCCTTGCTGTACCGGAAGATATGATTGGCTATTTCCGACTCGAAGGTATGAGCGTTCACCTCGGTCGGTGCAGGTGAGCAGGCATCTTCAGTTATGATTGACGTTAACCTGTCTCTTAGGCGTGATTGGTCTGACGACTGCCCTCAAAGCGTTACAGAATTTGTAGGTTTGGGACGACTTATACCTTTCTTCGTTGGTGCTGTTCGACTCTGTGCTCATGGTGGGACGATTTCAAGAGCATACGTACGTGGCCCCGACCTTTTGAGGCTCGTACGTCAACATCGCGGCGGTGAATGGAAAACGCGGCCAACGTTTGTTACTACAAGAAGTGTTGGTGCAATTCCCTGAAATAAGGTAAGTCCAATAGACTAGAGCACCTCCAATCCACCCTGACCACGCTCCTTTCGCACTGAATCAAGCGCAGTGTTGATTCACATCTCATTCCGGCTGCTAATATCTGGACCATATTCATTTATGAGAAATGTTACTGGGCGGAGTGCCAAAACGAAGTGAACATTCATCCCTTCACGCAAAGTGGGTGCCGCCGTGGTAAAATAACCCACAACAACTCCGTTTATTGAAACTTGTGATAGGGCCGCAGCTGGATGACGCATTTTGACAGGATGCTTGAAGGCCCTGTATCTAGAAGGGCGGTTACGCGACACTAAGTTGTCGTACCTATGCCTTGTGGAGTGAAAGAAGAGTCGGACGGTCATGCACGCTATTGATTCTCTTTTGACAAAGGGACTGGGGGGTAGAGCGTTCCAAGAGGTCACGTTGTGGTGGTACACAACGGAAGGCACGAAAAAGTACTTCTGGAGCCGGTACATTTTCTTTGCGGAGAAACAAGACCTCGAAATGTCGCAATATCTCACATTGACTTCAAGTCGTAAAGATGAGTTCGCACAAATGAGTTGAAAGATGAGATAACTTCCTTACTGTTTTAGGTGAAGGAAAAGAACCGAAGAAACGGGATGAAAAAGGTGTCCCCGCACTCAGAACAAAGGAAACCGGAGCACTAAAGAGGACGTGTTTTTCCATTGCGTTTTCCGTGTCCCGTCTGCGTACAAAGGGGATGAAGAGTCACGACATTTTTAGAATGCCTTGTTCCGTTCTCAGGAAAATGAACCGGCCCCAGCAGTGAAGGCACATACATGTAGGTCCCGGTCTTGCATATGTTTCAAACCGAGTTTCTCGATACTCGGAACTTCAATGGAGCGTGCGCTGAGATCTGTCAAAGGTAGTCTATTTGTCACGAAGGTATCACGAATTGATGAGAGGTTGCTTAACGTTCAGAATTTGAATGTGCCCGGACGGTACCACGGTGGAGCAGCGTCTACAGGTGACCTCTGCTGTTTGTTCAAGGAGAAAGAATCACGGTGCCGCAAGAACAGAGTTCCGAGTTTAGGTAAGGTCCAAAGTCGCATCGAGGTTGGGCGTCTCTGTACGAAGGGAACGTCATATGAACGCACTGCAACCAAATAAACTACCACGAGAACAGACCGTGACGGTGAGGTGAGAACCATTAGAATTATTACATTGGTGTATGACTCTCGGCCCGAATTCTAGGGTTCTGTCGCGATGTACAATAAGTCACCAATGACATTTGTCGGACTGGAATATCGCCGTACGATCATGAGATTTCTCCAAAGCATGCTGTAAGTAATACATACACTGTGGGTCGACGGAGCCTTGAGCAGTCCTTAGAAAAATATGTCAACACAGAGAATCGTCATGTTCGTTTATTCCGAATCTTCAGCTGGCAGTATAAAACTGCAATCTTTCGCCTCTTGATATCCTCACACTTCCCCTCCTCAATTCACCAACAATATCGACAACTAACAACCATGTCTCAGAACTATACCGCTCAAAGTGTTCAAACCGATTACTATATCACCAGCACCAAGTGTGATGTACCCGGCCAGATCGTCGCAACAGCCGATGGTAACGGCGGCATCCCTGAGGGCGCTGTGAGTTGTGGTTGACGTTCAGGAGTAGCATCTAATGCTGACCGACCTCGTCGCAGACTTTGACCTTCAATAAGGCCCTTCAACCCACTATCACCACCAATGTCACCATCAAGGGCATCAATGGATTGTATGCCGCTTTGCCTCAGGTATTTTCCTTCAACCCTTCGATCGTCGACACTTTCCAATCTCAGATACAAACAGAACGCTGCATCCGGTAGTAAGCTCATCTGGTCTAGCGAGCCTGTGAACTGGCAGGTTGATGCCACTTCGACCGCCGGGCAGTATGAGTAAGTCGGTGGCTAACTGTGCCAGATTTTCCGTTAAATGTACCGTCTGGTCTGTCAGGATCATTCCCGCTTCGGGTCAGGACTTGTATTGGTTTACGGACGTCAGCATCGGCCCAATCGTAAGTCTGCTGTCTGCTACATCCTTGCTGAGAATGCGAGTTTGAGGATTGAACGTATACAGGTCCAAGTCAGGAAGGGATCAGAGACCCAAGAGGGGAACAACGCGTGGGTCCTCAACAAGGTTAACTAAGAAGAGCGGACCAGTGCATAACTTCAACAGTTGTTTCCATTTGTACCAAGTGTTTCGAGATTACAGTAGTGACGTGTTCGTATGAAGAGAATCGATGCTTATGCTTCCGCGTGTTTTTGTATCAGTTGGATGATTGAATTAGGCCGCGCACGATGGAAAATAGAGAACAAGCCACTAAAAAATTCGCCGGTTCTATTTGGAATAGCGAAGTCTCAATGCCTGAACAAGGTTCAAATTGAAGACTTTGGACAGAATCCTCCCGCATCACACCAATGGGGGTTTGATGATATATAAATTTGGACGGATGCCCGCATCACGTATGAACTGCCTGCAGCATCTACGCGCCAGTCAGGATGTACTTAAACTCTGTTTCATCCGATGATGGTCGACCCATGAAACCCAGCCAGTCTTCCATAGCCCGCGGGTTCCACACCTCAACCCGCATCTCCAACCTGTCCCCAGTGAGTGCTCTGATTTCTGCTGCGATATCATAGCCGTCCGTTGATGTACACTCATCACCCGCAACTGCAGTTCAACAGTTTTTATCAACCTTGCGTCACGGCAGGAGCGTATCATATCGAGGATGGGATACCACTCATCTTTCTCTGCAGGTGCCATTATGCAAAGGATGAGATGGCGTAGGTTGGATAGGACTGAGGGAAGACTGAGGGTCTCGGCAACTTGGTCGAATTGTGGATCAAGTTGAACTTTAAGGCGAGAGATGGTAGAACAAGCCTCCGATGAGAGCATATTGCCGATCAAGGCTGGCGACTCCGAAGAGAGAGGCTTGGCCAATGTACGCTCAGCACAACTGAAGCTCTCGAGATGGCATCCCGATCGATGGAGGAAGGAAGTGATACAGGCTGGTTGTTGCCCTGGTGACCGGGACACGACGTTGGAGGAGAGGCGCATTAGGAAGTTGACAAAATCTGCGCGATCCACAGAGAGATGACGAAGTTCCGCCATAATCACCGGCGCTTCGACTCGGAGTTTGACCGACGACTTCCAGAAGGGCCGAAGGCTACATGTTCTGAGCTTGGGTAGGTGGGACTCGGAGAGGAGCTGGAAATCTTCTGGGCCAGTGATACATCCGGAATAATGAGTTATCGAGGAGCATTCGCCTCGTTTCTATTCAAGATCGGGCGTATACTGACACTTGGAACACAGAAAGAAGGCGGAGGATGCAGAATATGAACGAGAGAAAGAAACGGTTAGACAAGAAAGGGAAGAACTCCAACGAGAGACTGAACGGTTGAGAAAGAAACGGCGGCGGACGAGCGAGAGACTGAAAGGCTGAGACGAGAGAACATAGAGATACAACTGATGATTTTCAGGCAGAAGGAGGAAACTGCAAGGATGCAGGAGGAGACTGGCGACTCCAAACGAGAGCTTACTACAGATCAGTCGTTGATCAGTCGTCCTCATCGGGGACTAGCGAGAATTAGTGTTACCGATTCTCTCCAAGTTTCCACCTCGTGTCGCTCTGTTATTTCACTGCGTGCTCCTTCCCTTGGTCTTTGCTCTTCCTGTTGATTATCTCGCTATTCCGGTCACTACTTGAAAACACTGCGGGATGCAGACGTACTGAAATAATGCCTTTCGCACATACTTTCCGAGATTCCATCGTCCTCTAATCACTCTTTCAAGTTCCACTACACATCCAATAACTCTCTCACCTCCTCACACCCACCCCTTCGACAACAATGCACGTCCGACCATCCAAAATCAAAAAACTTGAACATCCCCTCCCCAGTCCTCGACACGTTCCGCGGTTCCAGATCCCCATGCATGACACCCAACGAATGTAGTTTCTTCACCGAATCGATAAGCTTTTTCCTTAAAACGTTCAGGTTAACGAAGTCTGACAATTCATGATACAACTCACCACTCCACCACACCCAACCCCACCTTCAAATCACCCCAATCCGAGCCACACACCTCCTCAAGGCTATCCCCGGCATTCTCAAGCAAGAACCCAAACCACCCACTAGCAGGCCTCTGGAACGTCCCATAACACCTGGGGACGAGGGAACACCCCTTGAGCACCACATCGTACAGGTACAGCTCACGCAGGACCATCTCCGAGTGACGTTCCGACACAAGCTTCATGATGCACAGCTTGTCGGCACCTTCGAGATGACAGGTGTATATGCTACTCCACCTACTCGCTCGAATCTGTTCGAGAAGAGTCACCGTGTTAACGTCTATTGACGGAATGTGGGGAGCGTGAAGTAGGTTCCGTGGCTGCAGGGAAGAGGGTTAGAGTGGTTTCGTCGAGAGAGATGAAGCCCCTTCACTGCTAGGATGTTCTGAACATCTAAATCTGAAAGACGTTGATGTGGGTTTCCAGTGATAGAAATGCGATGTATGTCGCTACAGTTCAACCACGGATGCTGCAATATCATCTAATGAAGTGTATCAGCAATCCTCCACCGTCTGAATAAAGGAAAACACGTACAGCATTAGTTCCGACTTGAACAGAACACGCAGGGATCCCGTCTCGGTCCTCGCCACTATCACCCGAGTCGCGTTCATCCCCTTCATCTGGAATTAACTGCAGAGGCTAGTAAAAAGCAGCAGGCGGGCTCTTGACCTCATGACCAGGAACCAGATCGGCGCATAACATAGCGACGAGTATGGCAAGGAACGGCTCGGGTTGTATGTTTGCCTGAAACGGCGTGAGCATTTCCGAGATTGGAGGGGCCTCATTGGAAAGTCTGAACGCAGGCGAAATAAGGAGAATGAGTCCGGGACGAGAGGGGTCTGTGGACTTTACTACAAAATGGTGGGTAAGAATAGGGATAAAAACACTAGGCGACCGGGCTCACTGAGGCGTGCAGCAATGGCTATATACCCACCAAAGAAAAACCCAAACTCGGCGTTTGCAGCTACCATCTGCAGTGCGAGCTGAATTGCGTGGAATAAGTAAACGGCCTGATATGATACCGGACAACTTGAACACCCACTTTCATGGCCATGGCCTTTGCACCGGTTTGCTTCCGGGTAGCATCAAGGCTGACTGGCATACTCAACGCCTCCGCCTCTGAAAGCAGCACCGAATAATCCACATCCCTGTCGGAACAGACTCTTAGGGGCACCCAATCAAGGCGACAGTCCTCGATCTCGTCCCGTCCAATAACAAGGTTAAAGTCGGACCCATCAGGCTCATGGCGCACACCGACAGTGGGACCAGCGATAGCCTCGACGACAGGTTCCACTGCCTGAGTGACATAGCCGCCATACTCGCTCACCTGGCGCTCGTTCTGGAAAGATACCCTTGCCATATCCTTCAGGGCACTCTGCATCGACTGGCAAGGCATGTCGCCAATGCCGAGGTCATTGACCACTCCGCTGATGAAGTCTTTCAGGTTTAGGAGGAGGTCGGGGTATAGCTGGGAGAAGATGAAGCGGCGCTCTGGGGGGACGAGTTCGAGAGGGGTGTAGGAATTTGAGTCTGCAGTCGAGTTTGGACGTAGCTTGGGTTGTTGGGGAAGGAAAGTGAGGAACTCGTTGATGTTGGTGGGACAGGCGGCCATGGTGTAAGACAAGAGGGAGGATCGGGGCTGCGACTGAGGTCCGTTTGCGAGACTTTGAGGAAGGTGTATCACTGCGAGAACGCCCTGAACGCTCGACGACAGCACCCATACTGGATTTTGAGAACATAGCGGTGTGAATCAGAACGAGATGGCCCTCTCGATGTCAACTGTGAGGATATGGATGGTATCGTCGTCATCGTGAACTCTGCGAGATGTCGGAATGAGGTCTTTCCCTGGTAGACCGTTGAGAAAGGGAGTTCCATAGACTCGTGTGCCAGGTCCTCGGACTTGATGAGCGTTGAAATGTCTAAGAGGGACGTCGGTCAAAGGTAGGGAAGTGCTTTGGGCTGGTGGTGGTCTATGTTGAATGCTGAGCGCTGAGCTTCAAAAAGATCGACAAAGTCACGCACCTTTTTCATGACAACTCCCATCCCTGCCAGAGTCGACCAAGGTATTACGCATCTGTCCTGAGAGGACAAAACGCACTAATTCAAAATCGCTCAACAATAAGACCAATTTTGATGTTCGTTCAGAGTAGACGGACGTAATAACGGAGGTTTCGTTGAGCTGGACGTAGAATGAGGCAGGAGGGAGAAGGATACGAGCTGGCCTTGCATGTTGAGCGTTAGTGCGAGAGAGAGAACCGATCGGAACATGCCGCCGGCTACTCTTCTCTTCTCCTCATCATGCAATCAAAATCGCCAACTGTATTCGCGTCAACTCCATCCTCAACAGCGCTGGCCGACGGACTTGTGTTCTTTTCACAACGACATTTGGAACATGCGTCGTAATTTCTCAGTCGGTAAAGGTTTCCATATTGCGTTGATCGCGAAACCTTCATTGCTCAATGTTTATCCCCAGAATAACACTGACATTGGTATCTACAGACACTAATACACTGTCAACTAAAGACTAGGTCTACCAAATATTAGACCGAAACCGACGAATGTCGATAAAATCTCACCTTGAACCGACGACTTGCACGCCGACCTCTCCCTAGTATGCGCGTAGCACATTTACTCGCTATTAAAAGCCAACAGTCAGCCCGACGACACGCCAAACACGAGCAATTGCACTCACAGGAGCGACAAGGTAATGTCACCATTGACCTTTGCCTGGATGGCAATCTCAACCTCGAGGTTAAGGTCAAGACGCAGCTTCACAGCCGCGGGGGGAGCAGCCTCGCGCGGAGTACGGCCGACGATTTGTCCACCGAGGACAGAGGAGGATTGAGTGGGTGCGAATTTGGTAGCGGTTTCTGGGGCAGACATGATGATGCTGGAGAAAAGCACAAGACCCGCTGATCCTTTTATACACCAGGGTACGGGCAACGTGCCATTGCGGACCGAGTGTCTTGCCTTGGCAATTTAGCTTTTCCTAGTTTCGTAGTACTAGAAAACTGCAAGAAGGGGATTGGAAACGTAAATGGTCCATATTTCGTATCGAACATGCTGCACTTGCTCAGAGTGACATCTGTCGTTTAAACGCGATTCGAGGCCTTCTGGGAAGGTCTGCATTTACGCAGAGGTATTTGACGCGTTGGCCTTGCGATGAAAGTCGCGCCTGAACGAAAATGAAGCATATAGGTGTTTGTAGGTCCAAATATGAAGCAGAGTTTAGACCGTGGGAATGACCCCCGGCTTACCTCTTACCCACCACGAAATCTTCTGAGCTCGTCATTCCTCCATGGAAACCACGCAATTCTTGTGCGCCACGAACCTATTGTCAGCCAGTCCCCTGACTACATACTCAAAAATTTTCGCATCGCATCATACCGAACGGGCTAGCCCACAACGATCAGCACCTATTGCAGAACCAGAAAATTGCGGGGGAGGAAGCCTATCATCCTAGTTACCACAGCCCGAATTGCGCCACCGCGTTTTGCTTCGACTCAAACAAAATTCATCGGCGCGACCCTGAGGCCTGAAGGCGACAAGCTCTGGTTCTCCCGGAACCCGACCTCGTTTTACTCTCAATTGATGTCGTGAGCGGCCCATTGATATCTCCTCCCAACGTACCCATCATCACGCAGATACCCGAAATCGCTGACGCCACTGGACTTTTCCTCATTCACTTGCGACGTGAAACAGTTTGCCCCCCCTCCTCCGCCCAGCGGACCGAAAAGAAGCGCAGGGACGGTTCGAGTTCGTACATCTCTGGCTTGAGCAGCGAGGATCGTTGACGCTTCAGAGCTCCATCTTGTAAGCAATATGATGCGTTGTTTGCGTGTGCTGAACTGGACAATAGGGCTCCTTTCGTTGGCACCGAGTATACGACGCCCATAGATAGAAGGGTCTGACGCTTATTGGAACGGGGCTCCAATGATTCAAACGATCTGTTGCTACCGCGTTCTTGTGTCGTCACCACCACACTTGGTAGATGTCAGCGTAGCTTAGGTCTCGTCATCTGGCACAGAATCCGAAAAGGTTGCTCCCGCCTAGGCTCTGAAGACAGACTTGTTTGCAGTCCATGTCGGTTTTACTACTTACGACAGTCTTCTAGAGCGTTGATGTTGAGGCACATTCAAAACACCGTCCACCCTTTTGGAAGACCAAGCTCGTGGAAGGGGATACAGGAGAGGACGTGTTACCTGGAGCGACCGCGCGGCGCCTCCCAAGTCTGCGTCATCCCGCTCTTTCGTGCCCAGATGTGTACCACAGCTTCTCTCGCGCCTTACCTCAGCCACCCTTTTGCCTTGTCGCGACCACTAGTTGCACGTATCGCTCTCGCGGACAAGAGGGTCCGATGCTCATCATCATGACGAGCATGGAGTTCGACTCTTCCGAGATGCAATCCTCTCTGTCCGCCTGCCACCCCCACAAGATTGCACAGTATCCTGGATAGAGTGTGGTATGTCACGCGTATTTTCATCTTGTGTCTTTTGTTGATATTTACTCCTACAGAAACTCTCGTCGTTGAGCTTTCTGCGCGCATGACAACACCCCACGGCATAAAGGCGTCGACCTCCGACCTTGTCCAGATCACCATCGTTCCATCAGGACGATCGGCGCTACATTCGTCCGCTGGATACATCAGAGGCAGGCCGCCCGTTTCTCGTCCGACAATACGAACACATCTTCTTCGTCCCTCGAAGTGTATCATTGGGAATACACGACTGGCAAGAAGTGCAAAAGACGCTGGCCGCATCTCATTGTCCACCTCCTTCGCGGGTACCTTTCCTCGTTCTCGCTGAGGACTTGAACCTTCGCAGATAACAGGATCCGACGTGTTATAGTCTTTGGGTACCTGGCGTGCATTCGGCGGTAGCTCCCAGTAAAGCTACTTAGATAAGCCATCCCGCTTCCATATCAAGGTCTAGTTGGACGCTTACGTTCCCAGGCAAGCCAATATGGCTTGGAATATGTATCTTGGACGAAGACGGACTACTTTGACAAGGCCGAATGAATCAAGAGGGCGCTGATGTTCATATGCACCTATCTGGAAACCAAACCGATTCAATGCTCGGCGCGCTGACAATGAAAGTCCTTTAATATGGAGGCCACTCTTGTTTTCAAAGGCCGTCTCTGTCGGTCTGGTCCTCGGAACTCGGGGGTGGGTACGGTCTTTTTCTTATATTTACGCCCCAACAATGGTAGCGTCCTTCGCCGCCCTCGTACCTACCGATGTTTCATCGCTTCCTATAGTAAACATACAGAATTACAACTTCGAAGTGTTTGTCGTGACTCCTCGAATGTCTTGAATGGCCAGATAGTAATACAGCTCTACTGAATGTTGGCCTATGAAAGACAAAGGCCTCGGATTCTTTGAAGGACATTTCAACGGCCGGGCGTTATTTGTTGGAATTACTGTGGCTGTACGAGCCGTCGGAATCAACCGGCTCCGAACCCGTTACGTACCGTACCCGCAGTTTTCTTTTCTTTACCGTTTACCACCATGTCGACATACTAGGTATAAACGAGTTGCTCATTTTCGTTCCCTCCCGTGCTCGAATTTCTACATTATTACCTACATAATAAGCGTAAGCAGTAGTCTCATATGCGAAATACTCGTCGGGACGAGGATAAGAACATGGCATGCACCGACATTAAGGACATACAGCTCTCAAGAAGTATCCGATGGACATTGGTTGGAGTTGATGAGGTTGGCCAAGGTATTTTCCTGGCGGGATGTCTATGAATGATATAAACGCAGGGAGTAGTACGCACCATGGTTGCTTGAGTATGGTCGTGGGATACGTCAATCCTCTTCCACGCGTCATGCATCAGTTGAACAGTTCACCAATAATGTTTATCAAGCGAGATTATGCGTAGTCATATAATGGCCAGGAAGAGACCTTTTGTTTGGCGTAGTGAACAATGCGACTCTCCCTCTTACCGCGATGTCACTTTGCTCAGGTTATCACCAGGGTCAGACGGCAAATACGAAGAAGATATATCCTATGTTGGCCGAGAACTTGGACACGTCGAGCCAGTGATCGTCAGTACTTCTTCTGTTGGTAGAACTGTCATTTACTCTGTTCTAGGGTCTGGATACCTCGACGCCATTCCTGCAGCTGGAGCAGTGCCCAAAGGTCAAATACTTGTATCAAGGTATGTTCAAAGGTGTATAGTCGACTAACTACCGGTAGGTCGGTCAATGTCTACCACAATCCGATCTTGAACTTTCGGATACAATTTCTACATTCCTGCATGCTTCAAACGACTACAACGAATCCAACGTCTTCCCTTGTGCAACTCCAACGCGACAGAGACAAGCTACGACCCTATCAATCTGCGTTGAAGCCTCCGGCCCTCTCAAGTACGAAGCCGTATGCGCCATCACCTCGCTCATCTTCTTCCACTCGTCCAAATACACTCCCTCGGCGCCGTGGAGAACATTAAACCGGAAGTAGACATCATTACCACTGTATTCCTTGGCCAGCTCGTCCGCTACGCTCTCACAGTCCGTCGTGATACGCTGCAACACCCTAACGAGCTCCAACGGGAGGACCTTCTCTATCCCTTTGGGCTGCTGGAACCCACTAGGGCCTGGATGGCCTGTCCCAATGCTGAGGAACACGCCGATACGTTGGTTGCTGCCAAATAACTCCTTGGCTTCATCACGGACCTCCTTTGTGGGGTTGTTGAACCCCAGTCCTGCGTCGACGTAATCGGGCCCGAAGCCTCCTGGTCCGGCAATCCTGATGGCTTTGAAGAAAGTTGGCGCTGCTGTGGTGGCGCGTGCGGCTTCCCATATTTTGCAGTCGGGTCCTTGGTTGGGGAGTCCTTGGTAGGTGCGGAAGCGTTGAGGAGACCGGAGGTTGATTCCGGTCATGGAGCATACGAAACTGTCGGAACTGGTGAGGGCGATATCTTGTGAGAAGAGAACAGGAACGTACGCGTTTCCTTTCGAGTTTCTCCCCGCGTTGGGATCTAACAGCTTCTGATCGTCGCTGTACCCAGCCCGGCGGACGACATTCTTTATCTCCTTCTCCAGTGTAGTCGCTTTGAACTTTCCGTCACTGTAGAAAGGTTTCCTGTTCTCGGCGCTGAACACCGCGCTGGAGATTCGGTTGTAGCTTTGGAGAGCGTCTTCGGTAGACATTTTTAGTCTGCCTAGCATGATTGCGATTAGTCTAGAGAACGGTGCCAATTAATTATTATTACCGTGACTTGATTATCTGTGCTCACCCTCCGGTGCTGGTTCCGCCGATAAGGTCGAAGTATTCGCAGGGTTTGGGGGGCTGAGGGAGGTTTTGGTGGATCTGGATACGTTTCATGATCTCGTCGAGGATGAATAGCTCGGATACGCCGCGGATACCGCCGCCATCTAGTGCAAAGGTCAATTGAGTAGTTGAGAAATGGCAGCGTGGAGGAGTGCTCACCGAGAGAGAGCAAGTTCACAGGCTGATCTGGTGCGGAGGGCCCCGTGTTGATAGTCATGGAAGAACAGAAGAACTTGAGTCGTATACAGCACAAACATGGGGTTGATGGTGGAGTCGCTTCACGTGAATCTACTTCCGGCACTGTACTCCATCGTGTGCTCTGACGACGAGTCTCCTCTCAGTACCCACAGCTCCCAGACCAGTCCAATGCTATGGACTAATAACGCCGTACCGGAGCAAGGATACGCTCTTGGTTCTGTTTGCGCCGAGTCGAGGCCTCGTCAAGCGCTTTGGGGTAGCGAGCAGCGAAACAATGATAGCCGCTCTTCCGTTTGTGTTATTGGACATTGGTTGGAGTTGACGAGACGTTTTCCTGGTGGGATGCAGGGAGCAGCACGCGTCTGAAAGTTGGGGTCCGAGGAAGAGGGCCGTTTGTTTGGCGCAGTAAACAACGCGTACTCTTCCCTCTTAGCGCGACGTTGCTTTGCCCAGGCTACCACTAAATCAATCTGACAACAAATACGACAAGAAGATGAGACATTCTAGGTTATCCTCACTTGGATCCGTCATCCCGGGCTATGATAGCTGTCAGTATTTCCTCTGCTCGTACTAGTAGAGCTGCCATTTACTCCGTCCTAGGGCTTGGATGTCCCGATGCCATTTCTGCAGCTACATCGATAGGTGAGTTCTCACTTCTATCGCTCTCAAGAACATTCTGGAGAACCATTCAAATCTGATTGTTAGCTAGGTCACTTCTATACACGTCCTCATGATGTAGGAATTTACTCGACCTTGCTATGCTTTTGCATCTTTGCATATCATTGAACACCCAACAAGAACTTATGTAGGAGACCTGAGCGTATTTCCCCACCTTTCAGGCTCCCCGCATTCCGTTTGAGGCCTTCCTGTCTACCGCCATCATCTACGTCACAGGCAGGCTACCCGTTTCGAATTCAACAATATGAGAGTCCCTATACCGTACTTATTCTCTTCGTTCCTCGCTCACGTATAATTGAGAATACGCGACCTGGCAGGAACAATTTTTTCGCTGCAAAAGACGCTGGCAACATCTCACTGTCCACCTCTAGCGCGGCACCTTTCCTCGTTCTCGCCGAGGACTTGATCCTTCAGATAACAAAACCGACGTGTTATGGTCTGTGGGTACCTTGTACATCTGATGAAACGAAACTGATTCAATGCTCGGCGCTGACAGTGAAAATCCCTTAATGGAGGCTACTCTCTTGTCTGGATTTGTGCTTTCGAAGGCCGTCTGTCAGTCTGGTCCCCGGGGGTTACGGTCGTTTTCTTATATTTAGTCCTCGGCAATAGTACCGTCCTCGTACTTACCGATGCAAAGGCCTCAATTCTTTAAAGAAACGCAATAGTCTCTCAATTCAACGGCATTATTACCTACCTAATAAGCGCAAGCAGTAGCCCTATGTGCGAAACATTCGTCGGGACAAGGATAAGATCATGGCATGCACCAACGCCGAGGACATACATACAACTCTCAGGAACTTGAAGTACTCTTAAGTTGAGTGCGTGAAATCCCAAAACAACACTGATATTGGTATCTACGTAGGTGTATAAACGCCAGTAAAAACTAGTATGCAATGCTGATGAAGGAATGGAAGGAAAGAACGGAATCGAGATGATTTTGGCGGCATCATGACTTGGACATCCTAAGAGGATAACAAAGTTAGCGTCAGTCCAAACGATACGTGAAGGCATAATCCTCACCTGAACCCGACAGCGGCACTCCGACCCTATCTCTCCAGGTCCGCAGCAGACATTTACTCACTGTAGAAAGGCAGATGGTCAACTCGCGAATGCGAGAATCAAACAATAATAACTTACAGGAGAGAAAGAGTGATGTCGCCGTTGACCTTGGCCTGGATGGCAATCTCAACCTCGAGGTTGAGGTCCAAGCGAAGCTTCAAAGCTTCCTTGGGAGCGACGGTGCCCTGGTTGGAGCGGGTAGCAACGGAGGTAGAGGTTTGTGGGGCAGACATGTTGAAGATGGAGAAAAACTCTCGACGAGGTGGTCCTTATATACGAAGACGGAGGGTCTGAATCGAAAAGAGTTATATTACTTGCACCTCAGCGGTCACTTGTAACCCGGGTGCCTCGTCGTCGCAACTTGATTCATTCCAGAGGTGTAGAACACCGAGAAGGTTGAAGCTGAAAGCGCTGTACGTAAACAGCGGCCCCGGGCTAATCCTTTATTTCAAAAAATTGGCACGCGCTGCGCACATGAGCAATTATTAAAGCAAATCAGTACCGCGGCGTCTGTCCGAGCTGGGGGAAATTCGGGTTGAGGACTACCCTGCGGGGGAGACAATCGGAACACGAGATCGTTGACATGACTGGTTGAGGGTGCAAAGTTGACCGAGGCTCGCGCAATATACATTTTTCATTGTTCTTTTTCTCCTGACCCCTGGCATCAAATAGAAGTCCTATGCGGCACATGATACATCCATGCTTTTTGACCTTGCGTATATTCTTGCCTTAACCCATTGCTGGAAAATGCAGGTACGACAGTGAGTGAGTATCCGAAAGCTGAGGAGACGGGTGTTATTGGGAGATGGTGAAACAAACACGCCATCGCTGCCGAATTCTACCCCACTGGAATTTGGGCTGCGGTACAACTTCTAGTTGATTTCTTTGAACTCCAACTCGGGATGGAACGCTTTGTTCCTACTTGCGAAGAATAGTATTGGCTTGCCAACATCGGTCCGAGCAGCCTACACGGAAGCCATAATTATGCGATACGCCGTCCCCACAATACAAGACGTGCAAATGTCAATGGGGACCGTCATAGACCTAGGCTAGTCTTCCCATCACGCAACGGCATATCTGATGAACAACGTCGTTCTCGACTTGAAAAATTCCTGTAGAACTTTTCCCATAAATCAGAATATTGCTGAAAGAAAGATAGAAAAAAAAAGGTGCGACATGTGTACCGAATTCTTGGCCGGGTTCCCCGCCAGGGACAAAGTAATAAACCCCAAAAATCAGAGAATGAAACCGTACTGAAGGATCGAGGACCTTGGCAAGACCGGGATAAGTATCTATAAAAAGAACAAGGGCATCTTCCGTAAAACAGTTCTAGACCCAGCATCGAGCTTGCAGAGTGCCACAGAATCCACGTCAATTTTGATCCTCAATCGATGTACTAGAAATTAGTAACTACAATGGAGGATTGGCGGTACAGTGGACTCGGAAAAACTGACAGATCAAAATTCTTGAATGTGGCGTCCGTCGCCTCTTACGGTCCGGAAGACGGGATACCAAGGAATGGCTTCCCGCTACGACGGGAGCTGAGCTAAAGGACTAGACGTGAAAGTCAGTTCGATGGAGATGAAGGGGAAAAATAGAACAAAGCTTCGAATTACCGAGCTCAGCACCCGCCCACTACCCACGAACCGATGAAGTCCCCGAGTAGATAATGTTTCCTGATATAACTGACTGTCCGAAGTTTGTGTCTACGGCTTTGAAATGGATCGTGGGTAATGTTATACCGATCTCAGGATGTAACTTGGGAAACAACGAGGCGCACAGAGCAGCATCGAAAACCGGACAAGACCGTTAAGCCAACGACGGCCCGGGTGACCTTGAAATGCAGTCGAATTCAAGTTGAAGAAGATATAACGAAGCAGAAATCTTGAGAAAGATGAATAGATGAATTGTCTGGGCCGTTCATTGAAAGCTCTCCTGCGACTGCGAAAGAGACAAGCAAGTTCAGTGGCTGTGTGCGATCAAAAATCTCGAACCGCTTATGGAAGCATCGGAACAGAGCGGATACCGGACCGACCCTTCCTTTCAAACGTTCACGAACTTAGCAAGCGTCACGCTTGATGCGTAACTTTCACTCTAGATACCTGGAGTCTGCATCACTTCAGGAGCTGAAAACTATACCTTCCTGATTCCGACACTCTGCCAAAAGGCGCCTTACATCTCGTTCTTTCCCACATCACTTTTGTGATCATGTCTGTTCGCTTTTCTGTTTGGTAGTCGGATTCTCAGATTGATGGTACTACAACAAAAGAAGCATTCCCATGTATCAACTGTGACTCGATAGATGTTCAAACTGTTTCTGCCAATCGCTGACAGGCGCCACGATGATTTTAACAGGAAATGTCAAGCGGTTCTCTGCCTACCCACGTTGTCCTGGAGTGTCTATTCAAGTTGTCGGGGCTGTACTGCTACTGTAATGCGCTATTAATCTCTTCTTTCTGGTGGCTGCTCTGATACATCCGTACGCAATGCATCACCATTACTTGCCTGCACGCTACTCAAATGTTATCGTCCAATCCATAGGACGTATAGAAGCACCTTGTGTAACGCAACAGAAGCTCCCCGGATACGTGGGGGACCTCATAGTTCGTCGACACGTTCCTCCACTTCTCTTAGTGGAGAAAGGTAGGAGATCTACATGATGAAGATGCAGGCGTCATCTTATGATACTGTTCTAGATCTCGCAGACATCGAAGACTTCCGGCTAAGGGCCATCAGCGTGAATGGTCGAGAGGAAGAAGTCTAACACAGTTACAGGCTCGCAGAAGCATGTCCACTGCGCATGGAGATAACTATACATCTCATCACGATCTCGAGAATCCGTCGAGTACAAGCCAGCCTAGACGCCACAGAAATATTAACAAAGATCTGATGCCAATAAGACAGGCGCTTCGGTAGACGCTCGCTGGTGAGTGATTGATATACGGCCGAGGGTACATCCAAATTGAACTCATGCGCCACGATGTCAATTTTCAAGGTTTCTTCTCGCAAATAGCCACGTTAAAGGGGATGGTGTGATTAGATGGACCATTTCCGCCATTGGAAACTTGAAAGCTGGGGTCTACGAACGGCATCCTTGACATTCGACCCCAAGTGACTATAGTTGCGGTGGGGATTCTGACCTTCGTTAAGAAGGTGCGAAGTTCGCTAGCGGCTGCTTCCAATTCGACGCTAAGTAAAGAAAGTATCTTTTATCAGCTTACTAGATCGATGATAAAACCCTTCTGGGTCAATGGGTCACGGAAGGAAGAGACTGCCTGAGTGCAAGTTCCTAGGACTCAACATTGGACCCACAAGCACCCATAACATCAAAAAATGACAGAATCAATATCATGCAAAAAGTAAACACCAGGGATATTCGGGACGGTCTTTTGTTAGAGATCCACGGGTCTTACTCCCCTCGATCGTGTCGGAAGACCCACTGTCCCTTCAAGGAGCAGAGACAGATGTCATCCAATATTTGATTTTTCACTCGTGGTAGAAGAATTTACGATGTTCTCGCAGTTTACGACACAGAATCACAGGTCCACAATTAGCTACTCGAGGGAGCAGGCACTCACACCCTCACGCACAAAATTGGTCAAAGATACTCAGGCAAGGCACTCGGTTCACAAACCGTTCCACGGCGCAATGTAATGTGGACGACATCCTCACACCCTGGTTCCAGTCCGAGGCGAGTCGATCCTAGTATAAAAGGGCGAACCTCTCCCAGTCCTACTCTTCAGCATCAACATGTCTGCCCCTGAAACTGCTATTCAATACTCCACCGCTGAGACCTCCTCTGTCGCTGGAGGCCAGCTCGTCGGCCGCTCCAACAAAGGCGCCGTCGCACCCAAGGAAGCCTTGAAGCTTCGCTTGGACCTCAACCTCGAGGTCGAGATCGCCATTCAAGCCAAGGTCAATGGTGACATCACCCTTTCCCTCCTGTAAGTTGCTTCCCGCCTCCTGATATATTCTCAAACTGACGTTCAATCTCAGTGAGTAAATGTGCTCTCGGTCTGTAGGGACGAAGCCGGACCCAACTGACAACGCCCTGGGTAAGTTTTATCGTTAAGTTCAATTTACAGTCGGTACTAAGACTGATTCTGCGGCTAGGGCTTTCATATGGAGAGATCCATTTGGTCATTTGGAAAACATACCTACATCGTCAACTTGTTGCTGTCAACATTGTACATACTAGTGTTTGGGGTCGTTCCTACATATTAATTTCAGTGGTTCTTTGGGTCAACGTATTGAGTTTTAAGCAAAGCCTTTCCCATGAAAGTGATCGTACCTCTCGATCAGGCTGCATGGCGATTGTTAGAAACGCTGAGAACAACCTGAGGGACAGGACCCTTCTTCGCGCAAGATGTGAGGTCAAACACGCGACGACTGTTGCTTGAGAATTGTGAAAGGATACTCGATATATCCCCCATAAACGCAGTAATTGACCGAAGACCATGGCCAACAACCGCTCAAAATATAATAACAGCATAGCGATGCATACTATGACTAGTGAAATTTCTATGGCGAGACAAATTCCTCATACCTGAATGCGGCTGAATACGGCTGGCAACAGGAGACAATTGGATGTCCGATCGACTTCTCCATGGAGCTCCGAGCAAGGGTCGGTTGGCGTCTTGTCATCCCTTGCGTCCCACTTACGATTATCATCAAGACGTGTTTAATGATTTAACAGAGGAAGAAAGACTACACGCAGTCTCAATTGGCTCAAGAATTCGCCTTTCGTCTACGTGGATCGCAAATTCATATGATCACGGCATTGTGCTCGTGTTGCCTGCTCTTGCTTTTCATCAATGAAATTTGTTAAGAGAAGAACAGGAGAAAAAACCAAACGACGGCGGCGTTCTCTCGTAGTGCTTGCTACTCTGGATGCTACACAAAGAGGCCCATGATGACTGAGTTCGCGTTCTGCATTCTATTGATCAATACATTGAGCCTCCCTCAGGAGCGACGTTCCAAATTAAAGCCTTTTCCATGTCATTGCCCGGTACCGCGGCAAGGGCTGCATTGATTGTTAATAAGGACAGAGTGCTTAGTGACGAGATGCGCTACCCCGGACCGGACTGGCATCTCCCGCGATCTTCGATTTGGTGAAGGAAATTACACGGGCTGACAATGATGTGAGGTGGGCGATAAAAAGGCCACCGGCAACCTTTCTCACGGTCCAAATTTCATTCCACATTTCGGAACGTCAAAGCGAGGGCTCCAAAAAATCTTCAGAGCGGGTAAACGGAGGCGGAACCCGTGGTATAGCAGTCCGATAAATTGCGCGTCTGTTAGAAGGACCCGAACCCGCTTCAACGGAAGGATACCGTTGTATGTATCTGAATGGGGGTACGCTATCAATACGGAATACATAGTAGAAAGCGTTTACGTACCTGAAGTTTCAGTCGCAACCTTCTCTTCGAGACTATTCATCAATAATCAAGGTAGTTAGTTACGACGCCGAGGCACCCGATTTGCTGAATGCATCGTGGTACAATTAGAACGTTGTTCTAGCCTAGGGCCTAATCCGGGAGGGTGTCGATGCGCGTATAAAAGGAGAACCTGGACGCGTTCTTTTCTTCAGTATCACAATGTCTGCCCCAGAAACCCGATTCGCACCTACCCAATCTTCCTCCGTCCTCGGTGGACAAATCGTCGGCCGCTCTGAGCGCCAGACTGTTGCCCCTCCCGCAGCTTTGAAGCTGCGCCTTGATCTTAACCTCGAGGTTGAGATTGCCATCCAGGCCAAGGTCAACGGTGACATCACCTTGTCGCTCCTGTAAGTGGATTTCTACCGTCTTGCTAGGCGCGCTAAAGCTGATGGTTTGATTTTTAGCCAATAAATGTGTGGCATGCTCGGAGATTTGGAAATGCATTGCATTAGTTGGTTCGAGGTAAGAAATTTACTGCTCCTTACCTTCGTTTCATGCTGAAGCTTGCGATACTAGAAATCGTTCACGCTCCTGTCAGCTGTAACCTCCTATCCTCTCCTGCTCCTTTAGATACACCGTATTAGTACTTGCGAGTGTTTTATACTTGTGGGATATCAATATCAGTGTTTTTTGGGGTCATGATTGTCCGTTTTGAGTGAGCTCACCGACGGTTTCCCTGAGGTGATAAGTAATTTAGGGATTGAATTATCGATATCTGTTCTGTAAGTGGTCGGCGGTAGTCCCGCGGTGTATATTCTTTCTGTGTTGGGAGATGCGATGATGGCGCACGGCCGTTCTGAGCTAATATGAAAGGACTATCAATCCGCGTTTGCAGTATGATAAGAAATCACAACAGAATTCGAATGGATGCTAGGAAGTCGGGAGACGAGTCCCAGCCACGGTTTTGCCTACAAAAGGTGATGAAGGGCGGTCTTCCTTTTGAGGGTACAAGAAAGCGCGGAAATGTAAAATTTCAAGAATCTGGGTGGAACTGTGAGCATCAGGACATGTAAATGCCTGAAAAATAGTCCTATATGAACAACTTGGGTCGGCGAGGGAAGGCACGGCGTATCTGGATTATCATCTGCGTGAGGAAACTCCATCTCATGACGCTTTGCCTTATTATTCGCGAGACTTTATGCGTGCGACTCGGAAGCGCTTTCACTTGTTCCTGACATTAGAGTATAAGCACCAATGAATCGGATGGGGTACTGACCAACCGCATGGAATCGAGCACATATCATTACTTACCACTGACCTCGTGAAGGTTCGCAATATCAAGAACCGGCGGCTAGGGAAAATTGATTATCAGTAAAGGTTTGGCATGTCTTAGCCTCGCTCTCAAGCCTGACAGGTTGTAACGCGTTTTACGCATGTTAAACTCGTTCAGCTCAGTTGATTCAGCGCGCGCGGAACTTTTAAAGTTAAACGCCGCTGAATGTATTTAATTGTAACCCGGATGCCGGTTACATCGGCTATTCCCGATGTGACATAGATACGAGGGATTGCCATGTCATGTCTCTTTAGTTTACCACCACCATCTGTACCGTCGTCTCACGAATACCGAGCTGGTTCCTTGCACATCTGTGTGAACGAGTTCTTCAGTGTAGCTCCGTGGCTACGAGCTTCCATTAATATTGAATCAAGTCACATCAATTGAATTGAACAACACGCTGGAGGATAGGTTAGGTCTTTACTCATTTCCAGGCATAGGTCATAGAGCACACCGGGCGTTAATCGATGGACTGGAAAATGTCCAGATGGGCGACAGTAATACAGTCAGGTTTTCTCTAGTAAACCTGTCGTTGATCTGATCAACGATTGGAGAGTAACTATTATGAACCCACAGGTACTTGGAATGGACAATTCGTCCAACATCAAATTGTCTCCTCTTTTATTAGGTTATGGAGCTCAGTCTAACCAGCCTATTAAGCAGCACCGCTGCCGATGGCTCGATTTAAGACTCTGTGTCGTTGGCCACGACCGCGATGCGATATTGACTAGACCAGACGGGCTTGGTAGATATTTCCGATAGAATCAAGGCAAGCTACAGCTTGGCTCTAGCAGCTGTTGAGGATAGGGAAAATCTTGTGACGGCGTGGTGACCGTGCTAAGGATCGATCAGAGCAGGCGGCGGCCACGTGTCTGAGATTGTGGCACTCTTGTTTGTACTCCGAAGAGCAATCCGCAATATGAGCGTGAAGTTGAGGGCGCTCACTCTTGCTGTTATCAGCTATCTGAACTGCAGTTTACCACCATGTTCTCAAAAGCCGTCAAAAGCCTGCAATTCGTCTTCTACTCTGCTCTGACTTCTGTGGCTCCGTTCGACTTCCATACTATCCCTCCCAAGAACACTCTCATTTTTGAGCCCAACGCTATCACTAGGAAAGATAGAAAATCTCAGACTGCTCGCTATTATCTCAGCTCTGTTGCCCAGCACTGTCCCCACGGGGCTGGAGAGGCGGTCGTCAAGAAGATGGAGCTCATGAAGTCCTCGTGGATTCCAAACCACGAGTTTCTCCTCTTCTACGTTAAGGACCGCCGGAATATCTATGGCAGGGAGGCTGTTATTCGTGTAGAGATTCTTAACGATAGTAGTCCCCCTCAGCCAGAGTCTGATACCACGACGCCCTCACTCCAGCCTGCACAGGGAGATGGACGTCCCTTTCCCTCAGAATCCACCCCACATGCGGTTTCTCACAGCTCCTCCTCTCCTCCTACCCTTCGTCCGGCACTTGACCTCTTTACTATCACCTGCATGCCAGTCATCTCTACCAAGGACTGCAACATCCTCTCCACCTTGACTTTCAACGGTAATTCTACTTTCTCGATAGAGGAGGTTGCAGCGATTGCTTCGGTCGCTAGTGCCGCCGCCGATGAACAGAGTCTCCTTGGCCACCAGTCTTCCTGGTATGCTCGGATGATTTATAGCATTATCCTGGAGACGCAGGCGGGGAACTACACCAAGGCGCCGCCTGATAAACATATGGGAAAGCACAAAATAGTCGACGATGCAGCGTCGAATATCCTCATACCCTCTTCTGATGCTTCGAAACAGTTGACCCAAGCCTACCTTAAGAGATGGCGCGAGTATTTGGGGGACATTGATGATAGGAAAAAGGTGCGCTTTCGGCGCCTCGTTTCTCAGGCTCGGGTGTATACTGACACCTGAACCGTAGGTGAAGGAGGAGCCTAGTATACCAATGGCGGAAGCACCCCGACGAGAGGCAGAAGCAGATAGGCGAGAGACCGAAAGGCTGAGACAAGAAAGTTTAGAGTTACAACTGATGATCGCAAGGGAGAAGGAGGAAACCAGAAGGTTGCGGAAGGAAATTGAGGACTCTGAACGGGAGCTGGCATTGTGTAGGGAACGGTCGTCCTCTTCGCGCCCTAGCGCGATTTAATGACATCCGTTCTCTTCAAGTTTCCACCTATCGCTTCGTTATTTCACCGCATATTGTTGCTTTTGTTTCTGTCGATCATGTCGCTATTCTGGTTGCTACGATCCTTTTCTTGTATGCTTTTTGTTGTGATAGTATCTGTGTATGGACTTCTGGATTCATCTTTGCGAGCCCGAGTTCATCTGCGTCCGCACCGGATACTCCTGCGCGTACATACCAACAGCCAATCATCTACACGGTCAGACCCGAAACTCATTGTTATAGAAATTCCGCGAGTATATCTGATCAAGCGGCCTGCCAGGCGAATTCTTTGCTCAAACGCTCAAACCCGATAGAGACCAATACATTCCTTATATCACTTGATTAACAGAAGGATACTTACGACACATTGATACAAGAAAATAACATGAAGACACGGTATCAACTGCTCAACACATAGTTGCTAGAAAAAAGGGGGAACAAGAGAGGCAAGGTAACAGGCAACATGGACGAGGCATCGAGACCCAAGAATCAATAGACTCATCAGAACTCGACGTCCGATTCGGGTTCGCGTTCAATAAACGACGGTGTACCAGCCATTGAATTGAAGAGGCATGTGGGGATAATCGAAATAACAATACGAGCATGGTGGGACGTCAATCAGGGAAATAAAAAAAAACCCCTGTAGCCACTGTTTTGCTATACAGGAACAAGCAAAGTGGAGAGAGCATCTGATTCTCTGGCCTTCGAAATCCAGAGCAGGTCGTTCGTGCCGTTAGCCCAAATAAGTACTCGTAGTTGCCGGTAAGTATAGACAGCTGACCGTGCCAATACATTCAGAGATTCTGGCACATTTGCATACCGAATCGGAATGATGGTGGAGAATACTTAGAGACGCGTATCTGAATCAGAAGGATGCAAGCAAGTACAACGACAGAGACCAAGGAAACCCACAATAAGAACCCAGCATCTGATCGCCGTTCGTTGTGGCATCGGTGCAAGCTCTTCTCCGCATCTGGCTGTCTGTCAACGGTCAACGCTGAGTAAGTATCCTCATCAGCTTTCTTCCCTGCGCAGTGTGGAATCTCTCTGTGTTGATGATCTGTCAGTAACCAAGGGCCGGAAATTCGAGGCAAGGCCTATTACTCCCCAAAACGGATAACATACATTTGTCTTCTGGAATAGTTTTGTGGTCAGAAGTTCGGGTATAGAATATGTGATGGGTGTAGGAAGGGGCAACGAACAAGCGAGTCTAGACTTTGGACCTACAATCACCCATAGTGCGTCCGAACAAGCGCTCGTATCCTCGGGCCGACTTTGCGGAGGCATTTACGTATCCCTCCAAAGTCTTCTCTTCTGGAGCACTTCGTTCAATCAACACGAGACAGAGGCACCCGAGTTTGGTGGCACAATTATTGCCTGCTCTAGCCCTGGTCCTAATCCGGGAGGGTGTCGATACGCGTATAAAAGGCCTAGCAAGTTGACTTTGGCTCTTCAGCTTCACCATGTCTGCCCCAGAAACCAAATTCGCACCTACTCAATCCTCCTCCGTCCTCGGTGGACAAATCGTCGGCCGCTCTGAGCGCCAGGCTGTTGCCCCTCCCGCAGCTTTGAAGCTGCGCCTTGACCTTAACCTCGAGGTCGACATCGCCATCCAGGCCAAGGTCAACGGTGACATCACCTTGTCACTCCTGTAAGTAGATTCGTTATGTTGGCGCATCCGGGTTGGGCTGAACGTCTGGTTTGTAGTGAGTAAATGTTCCGCGAGCGTGGAGAGTCGGGAGCGGAGAGCATTCGACTACATAAGGTCAGATATTTGTCATTTCGTGTACTCGTGATTTTCGTGCTGAGAGGTGTTGTACTAGAGCGCACTGTCCCGGACTACTCCCTTGTTCCCTTATATACACTGTATTAGTCTTTACGAGCCTTGTCATGTCTTTGGGGTTTTAATATCAGTGTTGTTTTGGGATCATGCCTTTCAGTTTTAAGTTTGCTCACTGAGTTAGCTTCTATCGAGATGCTTCGGCACTGTGAATACCTAGCGAGCGAGCGGCATTGAGATGTACGGAATACTGAATGTGCGGTGGAGGCGTGTTGGCCTTCTTATTTGGTATACGAAGGGTGTCGCCCGGCATCGTGGAAATCGGGAGTCAGTTGGTATGCATATAAATAAACCTGTGCAGTGAGATACCTGTTGAAGCTTGAGTGGGGAGATGACAACTGAGTGGGGTTGTAAAGACTCTTCTAGATTCGAGAGATTGCGCGAGATGCTTTCAAGGCGGTATGATGTGAGTTGACGATTGCCAAGGGAATACTGTCCGTAAAGGATACGTGGTTGTACCTGCTGGATCGCAGATTAGATTTGGGAAGCAATAAAGCGCAAAGCATCACTCACGCCGAGGCATATGTACCCCATCAAAATTAATTCGAGGAGACGATGAGAAGCCACTAGTGGGGATAGATAAGGACGAAGAAGTCCAACACGACACGAGCTGACGGCAATCTGTGGTCAAAGGATGGAGACTATGAGCTTGTTGATGCGAGGACAAGAAGAGAAGGCGATGTACTAACTGTACTGCCGAATCATTGTCCTGGATTGACGATTACATCTCGAGAGAGTCGAACTCCATGCCAATAAGCATCGGACCCTTTTGTCCGCGAGTGTGGAGCCCTCGTTGTAATCCAGACCTTCCTCCTGAGTAGACCTAAATGACAGATGCCCGTCGCGAGTCCGTGGTGTTGGTGTTGGTACGAGCACAAGGTCCCATGAAGCGTAATTCCAGCAAGTGGCAAATAGGGTTAGGGTTAGACGCCGTTCGATGCACTGGAACTGGAACCAAAAGGTGCGAACGAAAGCTGGTCCAACTGTTAATTCGGCTGCGTGGTCGCTATGAGAAAGAAGTGCACGAGGGGAGCAGTGATGCAATGACATAGCCTTGGAGAAGAGGACATGAAGTTGTCGATGTCTTTCAAACAAGACTTCTTGACGTTATCATGGCGTCTGAAGGTCCCCAGTTATGGGAGGCGTCGAGAGCAGTGCACCTGTAAGGCAGCGCTCAAGCCTCAGCCTATGGAAACCAACAAGCGTGGGTGTCAGGCAACGGTAAGGAAATAAGCACACCATTCTGACCATAAAAGCGCCCTAGCCTATGAAAACCACGAAACGCAGGTATCAGGAAACCGCAAATGATCAAGCCCGCCGTTTGGATGATAAACGGTGTGCCTGTAGCAATGCCCGACCTATGACAGCGACACAACGCAAGCGTCTGGAAACCGCGAGGAGCCAAGGACACCGTTTCGACAAGAAACGGCGATCCTGTAGCAGGGTCAAAGCCTATGAGACCAGAAACCCACGAAATGGATAAGGATACAGGGGTGGTGGTGACGGTGGAGGAGTAATACAGGTCCGGGGAGCGATAACAGTGCCAGGGAATATGGGGTCGGAAACAAGTTGGGTGACGGTAGATTCGCCATCATTCTATCATGGCGAGGAAAGCTACCAACGCTTTTAATGCCGAGAGGAGACTGGGTCAGGGAATTGAGGATTACGCTGGGGTGCGGAGGTACAGGCTGGCCTGGACTTGGGGGCAAATATCGAGTGAAGACATTGAGGGGCGTCAGCCGTGACTGGGCTGGGCGAGTCACGGAAAGCTATGGTGACGACTAGCAAACATTTTCGGGAGCCTATGAGGAAAGCCTCTTCAAGAAGAGCTAACGACTCGTGCTTTGGCCCATCGGATCCCTTGAAGGAATAGATCAGGCTAGGAATGTAGGGAATCGGATTCGGCATGGATTATTTCGACATACGATGGGACGAGGTAGCTGGATGGCCTTGTCTGGGTAACTGTGGACGTGGTAACGGTGTGATGAAGGCGTCGATGGTGCTATTTCAGGCAGCCGCACGAAGTTTGTAAGTAAGCTAGGTAAAGCAGAGGACAGAACGCACCGACTTTGCTCGACAACAAGACCAATTTTGATGTACTTTTAGCTGTGCCGCTCCAAAACTTCACGGCCAAGCCTCGCGACGACGCGGGGCAACGGTCGTAACAGGATGGTAGCGGAGGTTTTGTTGAGCTGAACTTAAAGCTTGGCTTGAAATGTCAAGAAGGGAGAAGGGAAAAGGATACTATTATAAGCTGTTTTTGCGTAGTTGAGTCTCGTTAAGCGAATTGGGATGTCGGTGCAAAAGAGGACCAATCGGAACATGCCGCCGGCTACTCCTCTTCTTCTGACGACCGACACCATGCAATCGAAAACGCTAATCTTACCAACTGTATTGGCATCGGTAACCTCAACAGCGCTAGTTGGTGGACTTGTCTTCTCTTCACAACAACACTTGAAACACAAGACGCAATTCAGTAGTGAAGGTTCTTATTTATCTAGATGTGTTGATCGCAAAACCTTAAATGCTTAATGTTTATCCCCAGAATAACACTGCCATTGGTATCTAATAGGTATACAGACACTAATACACTGTCAACCAAGGACTAGGTCTACCAAATATCAGACGGAGACCGATGAAATATGTCGGAAAAATCTCACCTTGAACCGACGACTGCACGCCGACCCTTCCCTAGGATGCATGTAGCACATTTACTCGCTGTAAATGCCAACAATCAGCCCGACGACGAGCCAAACACGAGGAATGCACTTACAGGAGCGACAAGGTGATGTCACCGTTGACCTTGGCCTGGATGGCAATCTCAACCTCGAGATTAAGGTCAAGGCGCAGCTTCACAGCCGCGGGGGGAGCAGGCTTGCGCTCAGAGCGGCCGACGATCTGTCCACCGAGGACGGAGGAGGATTGGGTAGGTGCGAATTTGGTAGCGGTTTCTGGGGCAGACATTGTGATACTGAGGAAAACCCATCCCTCCAGGTAGTCCTTTTATACGAGCATCGACACCCGGATTAGGAACAGGGCTAGAGCCAACGTTATAATTGTAACCCACGCAAATCGGGTGCCTCGACCGTTGTAACTAACCGGCAGACTTTGATTGCTGATGAAGAGACCCCCTGCGACACGCACGCTTCATGTACGTAAAACGTTTTCTACTAACAGATTTCATAATCGAAAGCGTACCCCCATTCTGATACATACAACGGAACTCTCGGGTTCGGGTCCTTCGACCGGACGCGCAAATTAAATAACGGATTGCTATACCACGGGTTCCACTATTTACCCGCTTTCAAGATTGTTTGGAACCCTCGCTTTGACGTGCGGTGTTTTTGGCCCGTGAGAACGGTTGCCGGTGACCTTCCTCAGTCCGTTGCAATTTCCTTCACCAAGTCGACAATCGCGGGAGATGCCAGTCCGGTCCGGGGTAGCGCATTTCAATCTGTCCTTATTAACAATCAAACATAACCCTTGGCCGCGGAACCGGGGAATGACTTGTAACGTCAACCCAACCAGAACTGCCGGACTGCCCAACCCAACGGGCTTCAAGTTTCTCCTGCTACTTCTAGAATTTAGACTGCTTCCCCCCTCTGGGCACAAAACAAACACGTTGCAGAAGATTACGAAAACGCTGTTCGACGAGTCGGGTCGGGTTGGAAACTCATTAAAACGCCACGACCGCCTGTCGCTCTACCTAAAATAAGCACCATCGCAGTCTATTTGTCTGCTTTTCCCCGGATCGATGCAGAAGCAGAGGATGACAACGACAAAGTCCACCCATCCGTGTTGGCGAACGCAAATCCCCTCGAAATTTGTACCAGTATGTAATAACAATAAAACCTTTATTTCCTATCTGAAACATGGTTCATCTTCTAATTGTACTTTCGAGACCGAATCAAGTCGAGGCACCCGATTTGCTAAATGCACCATGGCGCAATCAGAATCCTATGTAGCCCTGGTCCTAATCCGGTCTCTGAGTCGATACTCGTATAAAAGGCCCAGCAAGTTGAGTCTCGTTCTCCAGCATCACAATGTCTGCCCCAGAAACCAAATTCGCACCTACTCAATCCTCCTCCGTCCTTGGTGGACAAATCGTCGGCCGCTCTGAGCGCCAGGCTGTTGCACCCCCCGCTGCCCTCAAGCTCCGTCTTGACCTTAACCTCGAGGTTGAGATCGCCATCCAGGCCAAGGTCAACGGTGATATCACCTTGTCGCTCTTGTAAGTCGATTTCATCGGTTGATGTGTCGAGGCTGAGCTAAATATTGGGTTTATAGGCAGTAAATGCTCTGCGCGTAGAGAGAGTTGGAAGTGGAGTGCGTTTCGGCGCGTTGAGGTGAGGGTTTTGTTACTCCGCGCTTTGGACTTGTGTGCTGAGGCTTTGTTGCGTTAGGATTCATTCGCGTCGATTACTTTCTTCTTGCCCGTCCTCTCACGTTCCCTTACCTACACCGTATTAGTCTTTTCGTAACTGCGGGATATTAATATCAGTGTTGTTTTTGGGACATGCATTTCCGTTTGAGCCTGGTTTCCCTTTGTCTGATGAATGTTCAATGAATAAGTGATAGTATTGAACGCGTGGTTGGAGGCACGTGGTCTTCTCTTTGAGCAAGGGTATCGTCGGAATAGGTGGGGAACACCCAATAGCAAGTCATAGCAAAATGAGGTTCCCCAATTACGTGGTGAATGCATCCGGTATCGTTGATGTATCGTTCCGGGATATCCCACTCTTGGCGGCCAAGAGAACAATGATCTTGAAGCGGATCATCTCGATCAGCCAGGTGGTAAGCACCGTCAAGTACGCGTATCTTATCCCGTAGCAGTTCTGTACAGCGGTTGGTCCACAGCCAGAGTTTAAAACGAAAGTGAGCAAAGTCTGAAACCACAAAATGAGGCTATGTACACTTCACCGGGCGGATGCCGGAAACATACTAAGCTTCAATATTGGGATCGCGAGTGTGTCTTCCAGACAATCACTGGAATGTCTACGTACTGGGCTTCGGTTTTTGCAGTACATCAATCCATTTCACTATTAAATACGTTGAATTATGGGCGAAGATACCTGAATTACTGAGTAGCCTGTATTTATGTCGCGCCATCGCGTTTCCGAAGACTGGACTACATGTCTCGTGACCGTGATAGTTGCCTTTTTCGACGAGGAGTGTCGTTCTGCGTTGTTTATCTACTCAAAGCCGAAAGAGCCTAGTATATCTTCAAGTTATATCAGTTAGGACTCCCGAAATAGCAACAGGTGGTCCAGATGTAACGGGTTCCACTTCTTGACCTGCATCTCAATTCGAGTGCTGTTCACGTCGTTTCGTAAAGTGTGCAGTGTGTGAGCATAATCAATACTGCGCCTTCGACTAGCGTCTGTCAACTAGAACTGGACGAGGAGTCTTCGAAGGTACCCGGGCGTCAAGACCCAAGGGATCCCGTACGGTCGCGTAAACTTCCGTCATCGCGTACCGCCCCTCCCAGCCGCGGATGGGATTTTCTTTCAAGTTCATGACACATTTCGATGCCAATACGTACTGACCGATGTTCTTGAATTTTCTTGACAAGTGAAGCCTGCAACCTCGCCTTCATGTTCTTAGGGATATATCTCGTGATTCAAGGTTGAGTCGCGACCGATAACTTGTCTAATTGACGATACTGAATAAATGACGCACAACCTTGGAATAAAAATGTCCTGCTGGAGATGTGAGTGAGATCCGTAAACCTGCTGGCAAAGTACCTACAGACGAGACGCAGGGTTGGTGTTGACAGGATATCGCATCAGTTCAGCTTCACCAAATGGCCTAGGCGTCGAAAGGAACGCGCTATTCAACACCATCGTCTTGGATAGCTGTCGCTCACAAAACGGTGGGGCTCTCAGGATCAATTTGCGCAAAGTGCCTATATTCGTGTACGTGAAATTGAACAGACGCATACTGGGCAGCCAAAGGTACCGCTGACAACACAAAATTGAGGACTACTCCACCGGAACAAAGCCCCCTTCAGATTATTTCTGAAGACCGAGATGCGTCACTGAGATTGTGGGTGAAGTCATCATGTACCAACGATCACTGCGAGAATTGGAGTGCAATGTCCGACATCGTTAATGATGCTGAATTCGAAATCGAACATGGACTGGTACAGTGTTGAGTACTTGAGTGACAGTACAGGACATCAACGTAAGAGGTCTGAACACATGTCAGTGTAGTAGCGTATCACGGTAAAAGATATTGAATAGTCATCATTCAATATGCGGCAAGAAATCCTCTCCTCCATTTTGTCGTACAGCGTTTCCGGCTATATTGAAGAGGTCTACATCCGTGTAAAGTGGCAAAAAGTCCAGTTGTCGTCGTCGGCATCGAGGGTCGAGGAAAAGATAGTTTCAAACTCCGACAACTACATTGGGCCTCGTAGTAGGACTTTTGCACATCTTCAACTTGTACACTCACCTCGCATCGGACGTCTTATATGCTATTTTGGCCATTTGGATCTCGTAACATACACCCAGATGACTCGATGCGCCTCTGAGGCTCTGTGTTCAACAATAGCAGCCAACTCTAAGCGTAAATGCCACGGAACATACAACTTACGGCGGCGGACCAAACGAGCGGCTCCGAGCCCGACCTTCTGTGGGCTTCTGTGTCGGAAAACTGATTATCCAACGTGGTACAATATTAATCAATCGATCACGACCCTGATAGTCCGGAGGAGAGGACCCGTCTACGCTATGCACGGCTCAGTAACATGGTCATTCCCCCCAAATTTCAACCATTCCAAAAGTGGGGTGACATCTATGGACGTCCTTGCTTCAACAGGTGGTAGGTGTTGGTGTTGGAAACCTGATTGCTCGACCGTGCCCCTCCCGACTCGGAGTGGAGCATCCGCTCTACTAAATGATATACCCTTCGTCAAGACTCCATTTCGTTTCCAGAAAGCGTCTGCGAGCTTTGGAAAGCGTTTTCGATAAGACCGTTCCTTTTTCGATCACCAACCGTTCGGCTCAGTCTTCACAGGCATACTCTTCAGCTTCGATAGGGACTTGTTACCCGGACTCTTACGTCCTTAATCATGCGCAGAAGCCTGAGAAAGTGAGTCTACCCGCTACGACCTTGAAGACGTCCGTTTTATTCTTTACCTACATAGTGTGTTTCATTTGAAGCTCAACAGACAGCTTTCGGCGAGTGAATTAACCTCCGGATAGGAAAGTAAGGCCAGAGACTCTGTCAAGGAGATCAACGACTCTGGCCGTTAACCAGGCTAGAAGGTATAAACGTTAACGGCTCACATAACTTGGACATATGGACATTTTCCCGGTGCGGAAGATAACGAAGTGTATCAGAAGAGGTATGTCGTGTCTGCCGCGTAAATAACAGACTCATCTTCACCCCATATCTTTTTTTTGTGTTATTCTATTCACTTTATGGAATCGCCATATCATATGGCGATTCCCAACTTAGAGAAGGCACACAGGTATATGGCCCATATGCCTGTGTGCCTTCCCTAAGTTGACTCAGCGGAAATTCGACCTCCGCCTTTCACATTACACAATTCAAGGTGGCTTTATTTTTCCTTTCTCTCGGCGTTGAGCTCATCACATCACAAACGAAGCGTCCAGTATGTGCCAATGGCGTTCCTAAAACCTTTCTGGGGCCGGAATATTATTGAGGTCTTTCCACAGGCTCTTTCCACGTGGCGTTAATACTGAGCCCCAAGTTTCGACAGTCGGTTCACATCGGACGATAGATATATTTTCGAGTACTTTATATAGCCCGTGGTATCTCTATGAGTCCAGCGCCTTTCAACTTTTCTGCCTCGGTCCACTTACGAGAGCCCGACAATCTTTCCTCGCAATGACACCGTCCTCTGTTATGACCCCCACCGCCCCAGACATTCGCAACTTATCCTCCACGGATGTGCGACGACCCGGCCCTCCAGACAATGACGACAAATCCATCGTCTCGCAGATGATTGAAGACGCGATCATAGATATCGAGCATATGCCCGTTCATGACGATCCACGAGAGTGGTCAAGACTTCGCAAGGTGAATCCTTTTCTAGGTCGTCCAATCACCACTGTTTATGACTCTGCGGTCCAGAACTTCATACTGGCTGTGATATGCTCGGGCTCAATGATCGCCGGGTTTGGCGCCAGTATACAAAATCGTGAGCTCCTCTAAAGATTGTTCTTTCTAATTTGCATTGACATGATATATAGCTGCGAACGAAGAGATGGAGAGAGACCTGCCTGCAACGAGCGGGGAGATAAGTTGGAGTCTATCGCTGTTCATCCTCATGCAAGGGATTACTCCTCTTCTTTGGAGCTCTATCAGTGAAGTGAAGGGCCGCAGGGTATGTTACGATCCAATTTCATTTGTCTACTTATTAGCTTAATGGCGTTAGTTTGTTTATCTCATTTCACTTCTCATATTTACTGTTGGCTCGATTGTCGTCGCCACGAGCAAGACCATTGGCTTGTGAGTCTTCTCTTCTTCGCTGCCCGCTTCTTGCATTCATTTACGCCTGCCTTAGGGTGATAGGAATGCGCGGTGTGCAAGCACTGGGGTAAGTCTTGCTATGTCCTTGGCTGTATCTTCTCCTCACTCTACTCAGGTCAAGTGCCGTTATAACTATCGGTGCGGCTAGTCTCGCAGATATATTTGACCCAGTGGAGAGGGGCACGAAGGTGAGTTTGCTTCTAACACAATTGTAGTACGCTGAATATTTGTTGTTTCAGATGGGCATATACTACATTTCCCCTCTGCTTGGGCCATCCCTAGGACCCGTCTTTGGCGGAATCCTTACGACGGGATTCAGCTGGCGTGCTCCGTTTTGGTTCCTGACCATCTTAGCCGGCACCGTTTTCTTGTGCTTCTTGTTCTTCTTTAAAGATACGTTCCGGAAGGAACGAAGCTTTGCGTACCAGGCCGTGCTGAAGCGTCTTTTGAAAGAACGGGCTGAGAATCTGAGGAGGGAGAAAATTTCGCAGACTAAGCTGGTAGAACAGAATGACAAGAATGAAATAGCAGAAAACGAGAGCCCTGTCGCGACTGTTGACGTAGAGAAGCAGGAGCCAACATTGCAAACCGATACATTGGCTCTTCCTGTCATAACGCTCACCTTGAAGGATGTCGCTCCCATTGGCACATCATGGCTGGTCATCCGGCGGTGGAACAACTTCATACTATTGCTGGCTTCCGGTAAAGTAACCATCCTAGTAGTAAAGACTGCATCTACTGACTTCGTACTTAGGTATACTATTCTCGTACTCCTTTACCGTGGTATACACGACCTCTCGCACCCTGGGGAATGCTTATGGATACGATGCGCTATACACAGGCCTCGTGTTGCTCTCTTACGGACTAGGTTTGCCAACATTTTTGTCCCATTTGCCGCGTATTTTTCAGAACTAATACGGACGTCGTACAAGGTTCTATGGCAGGGAGTATACTAGGAGGCCGCTACTCTGATCACGAGCTAGCAAGGCTTACAAGAGAGAATGGTGGTAGAAGCAGCCCGGAAGTACGCCAGTCTTTCTCTGACAGTTAAAATCCGAATGCGCATCGCCTTCCTGTAGATGCGCCTCAACAGCACACTGCATGGACTTTGGCTTTTCCCCGTTTCCGTTGTAGGATTTGGGTGGGTGTTGGAACGACATGTGCATATTTCGGGGGTATGTGCAATGCTGTTTTTATCTGGATGTTTTGCAATGTAAGTCCTAGTCGAGAAGAATACGTTCTTCTGACAGTCCTCTAATAACTTAGTTATGTTTTTTCGAGCGAATTGGCATACCTTGTAGATGCCAACGTAGGTCGTTCATCCAGTGCTGTCGCTTTTAACAGTTTATTCCGTGGAATTGCGTCTTTTATTGCGATAGAGATTGCGGTTCCTGTTCAGGTCTGTCGCGTTTACTTCTAGTATACCGTTCTCAGGACTTACAGCCTGTCCTAGGATGCGCTTGGTGATGGTATGTTTATTAGCCGTTTTCTACGTGCCATTGACCGTTTATGACACTCATCGGTTAACTATAGGTTGGATGTACACTATATTTGGTATTATACAGGTGATCAGCGGACTGTTGGTGTTACTGGTAAGAGTAAAGGGGAAGAAGTGGAGAACACAAGCAGAAGCTCGCGAAGCTCAGGCAGCACAAAAGTCAGCTATGTAATGCCGACGCCGATACGTCATCAAGAAACCATTCTCACTCATAAAATGGTCCAAGGCGTAGAATAGAGGCCTGGTGCAAAGATCTTGGTTATAATTTTTTTTTTCGAGGTTCACTATTACTATCAAGGAAGAATAGTCCACAAGTGCCCATGCCCGCCTTCAAAATACTATTTATGCCACTCCAAGTCGCCTAATTTCACATCACGAAAATCAGGATCACTCTTCCCATAGACCACCGCCGAGACGCGTCGGATTCGTGTCTAGGAAGAGATTTCGGATACGATACCGGCTTTATCAAGCTGCTATATCGACCGGAACTTCAAGATCTACGTAATATGATATCGTAAAAGCACATGGGACCGATGTCGGTGTCTTGTTCTTTGAAGAAACGCTACGGTCACTGCTCACTTCACCAACTGAGGAACGCGGCAGTCTAATGTGCGGAAAACCTCAAAAGCAACATTGATATTGGTATGTCTGCGTGCATGAACTCTGAATACTAATACAACGTCGGTAAAAGGGGGAAATACAGAATAGGAAGAAGGCAATAGAAACGGTTATGCGCTAAACAGATAGGCGTCAGGATCAATAACGGTGGTCCTTCGCAAAGCGGATCTCACCGGAACACGACAACTGTAATCCAATACCCTCCTTCCAATCCTACTGCACGTTTACTCACTGTAAAACCAAACCGTTAGTATGGTGCGCTCAAGGCGGTCATCATGGCCGTCAACTCACAGGAGGGAGAGGGTGATATCGCCGTTGACCTTGGCCTGGATGGCGATCTCCACCTCAAGGTTGAGGTCAAGACGGAGCTTCAAAGCTTCCTTGGGAGCGACGGTGCCCTGGTTGGAGCGAGTAGCAACTGAGGTAGAGGTTTCTGGGGCAGACATGTTGTGAATGGAGAAAGACTCTCGACGAGGTAGTCCTTATATATGCGTACAGACGACGTTATTTTTGTGCCATGGCGCTGGGGCCCGTGAACCGGAGGCCTCGACCTTGAAGACGAAGAAGAAAGGTCTTGCACACGTAACAGTTCCTATTTCAAAAAAGCGTAATGCTCAAATGAGGATTCCAGGCCTCTGGCGATGGGAGTGGGCGAGATAAGCGAGAGATTGCAGGGCGACGGGAGAACGAAGCTATTTATAGTTGTACTTGAGTCCTTCGCTATGTTCCGAGTTTCGGTAACAGTGGGTGTCTGTGGGTCCCAGGTTACAGTTTGGACGAAGATGAAACTGTGGGCAAGGCTGTCATCCACTAAGTCATTAGTATAAGAGGTATAAGATACACTGAAGTTACGTACCATGGCCGAGAATCTTCATGGGGTAACACCAAATTTTTTCCCTTTGGTTACCAAGAAAATTTCACAGAGGACGCGTTCTTGTACCTGACTCGTTACCATGCGAAACAGAAACGTTGCGCGCAAAATATCAAGAAACGACAGGAAGGCACCTTTCATACTTCAGTTTGGGGGTTTACTTGTGTGAATTGCCCCGCCTGACCGTTTCGTCTAGTCGCCACATTCGTTTTCTCGTAACACCGCCACCTTGTTCGCCTTCGATTATTGAAATTCAGCGTAGGAAGGTGTAAAATATCGTACCATAGTGAAGACGCGTTCAAAGTGCTAAGATCTGGGGTTGAGGCGTGGGGCACGTTTGTGCATCAAGTGACCCTGCGGAAGCCTTGAGGACACCGGTCCCAACATCGACCGAGGCAAACTTGGTGCGTATGATCCAGCCTCAATATCTCATTTCTCCTTCCAGTAGCCATTGTGAGATGGACTCGTATTTCTACACAAATTGAGAAGCCCGAAGCCTATCTCTTGCCGTGGTCATGGTCGTCGACAGCCAGCATCGCACGTGCCGACGAAGAGGGTCCATGTTAATTAGCATGGAGTTCGATTCCTCCGACGTGCTCTTTTCTCAGTAGACGAGTCGAATGTCAAGTTTTGAACATAGTAAGCATCCTTCAAACCGTAATCGGCGTGATTCTTCGACCAGATCTTCTGTGACTCGCGTAGTATGTGTGGAACAAGACTGCCGGATCCGAGCATGACTTTAGCGCTTGTATCTCCGACTCGAGAAGAATGAGGTCGACGAGATGGTTGGCAGGAGGCAAGATTCGCACGTGGTCTCGTCCGGCCCGTTTGTTTGTCTGCCTTCTTTATTCCTTCCATGTACATTTCACTTTACTTTCTCGCTTTGAGACGTCGTTTTCTGAACCTAAAGCTGGAGAGAAAGACAAGACCGCGCCACGGCATAAGGACGACTCACCGGATTGCGACATACTAAGCTGGCAAAATTTGGCCGTGAGTTTCTCTCTGGCTCGCATGGACACTGCTGTGTATTGCTACCTACCTACCTACCTCCAGTCAGTCGCGTCACCATATTGTTATCGTTGCTAATTTAGTAACCATAACATTCAATGTAGCGTCTAGTCACAACAAGATTGCACAGCCGTGCTGCCAATGGCATTTGGTGGGATGCTCCTACTTGGGTCGGCGCCTCTTTTCGAACTTCTTCACGGACAATATGCCCGGTTCTCAAGCGGGAAGATCCTTGGAGAAGTGGCCAGCTGGGGCTAGCTTGACACGAGCCCTCCGACCTCGTACGTGGATAACACCTGAACTCGGGGACGCTTTGTGTTTGCTGAGATGTTGGTGCTAAGCACATTAGTATCATGGCCGACTAGGACTGTTCGTACTCACGCGCACTCAGATGCAAAGATAATCTCCTCTACTCAGACATTTATTCTATACTCTGTTCTCCCGTCTTCTGACTTCCAATCGACATCCCTTCCCTTTTATCTCACCTCGCTGAATCTCCACACTATTATGGATCACGACAACGGCATCTAACGAAGAGTGCAGATCACCGTGTACACTGGCACCCAGACGTGGTCTTGCGACTCGATGCTCATGCCTCAGGGCCGTGGTAGCAGGACCATCATGACCACGATGCGAGATAATCCATCCGCAAGTTCAGGCTCGGGTATTAGTTTCCACCCAAGGAGTTGATGCCAACGGGTTCGAAACGTTATGGGTTGATGGCGAAGCTGGTTATCGCATCTGTCTTACACACAGAAGATCCTCAGTTCGAACCTGGGTCAACTCATAGACGATATTCTAGATCATGCATATCATTTTGACCCTCTTTCTTCTTTGCGGTTAAATGACACACCCGTGACCCCGGGGCAGGGGGCTCAAGGATCAACGGCGAGGTTTATCAGTCTCGTCCATGTTTTGCATGAACTTTGAAGCTCTCTGCATAATGTATACAATGTGCATGGCAGATGTACAATTGGGCCGTCTCTTCCAGATAGACTGCCGGCCAACGTCAAGCTGGATTTTCCCGCGGTCGAGCGAGAATCATGTGTGAGGTGTTCGTGAGGATTGGGGAGGGGATGGAAGGAAAAGCAATGGCGCCGGTGTTACAATGAGGGGAAGAAGGAAACTTGTTCAATTGACAAATTTCATCCGCGATGCTCGACATCTACCTCGAGACTCATTATTCTTTCGTTGAGGTTTGCTTCCACTGCTGCCGCCGATTATAGGTGTCAGGTTTCTTGGATAGTATGTGACGATACTTCAATTTGGACCTGGCACGACATGATGTTGATTTTCTGTAGGTAACTACTTGTTAACTGGTACCAGGTAAAGGGAAACATGATTAACGGAGGATCAAGTCTTCGCTGGGGAATGTAAGGGAGACAACAAAAGGTATTAGAACTAATTTTGCCAATGATTATATCTAATGGGACTTTTTGAACAGTCCTATAGGAGACAGAAGCTTAGCACAGAGAAGTCTTTAGAGAGCAAAAAAATTACCAGCCCAACAACGCGTCCACTCGATCCAAGTTCTGCCGTTATCACGAACCAACATTTACTCGCTACAATCACAATCAGCTTAAGAATACCGGGGCAGCCGAATTCACTCACAGGAGCGAGAGCGTGATGTCGCCGTTGACCCTGGCCTGGATCTTGATATCGACCTCGAGGTTGAGATCCAACCTGAGCTTGAGCGCCTCCCTTTGTCTTCCATGGAGTACTCTTGCCACGGGGACGTGGGCGACGTGTTTATCACCTCCAACGATGGAGTGATGGTCGGCGGTGGCGACTTTGGGAGCGGTTTGGGGAGAAGACATGATACTGTGGTAGTTGTGGTGTCTGGAGTAATATCCTGACAGGAGCGGCTTTTATATGCGTAGAGTGGAGGGTGGGAAATACGAACAACGTTGTGGGCGCGTCGTTCTGTCAGTGAACTAGCCGCTGAGGAGGGGGATCGACTAAAGCTCCGACTACGTAACGGCCGGTTTACATGATGATGTCTGTCAACCTGAGTACTCTGCGGTGTACACCGAATTCCTGCCCAACTGTACCATGAAAAGCTCGTAATGGAGTTAGTATCTCCGACGTGAAACTGGGGAAATGAAGTCTAGATTACAGCTTCCCCAAGAACTTTGTTGTCCTTGTAGCAGAGCGTCCTCCTGTGTTACGCTCAGTACATCTGACGACGATCATTCTCTTTCCCCAGCAAGCGGTACTGTACTATTTTCACAGTCATCCACGGGTCAAGGATAATTCTTGGCTTTTTTTGTGCCATGCGAACATACGAATTGATATTCACCGCAGTCGAGGTACATTGGGGTTTGTTACATGTGGATACGACGACAGCGTCCCTCGTCCCGTACATCAGCTCTTACTCACTGTGTCGGCGCTGAAATTCAGCCTATGCATCATCCCTGCGTTTCTGACTGGTACGTGCCTGCCGCTGGCTGTCATTTTTCTTGCCTTTGCGACCTGGTATAAGTCAGCTTGGGCAGGGGCGCAGTGGTGCAAAACCAGTGTGGTAGTAATTAAACTTGATCTTGTTCGAAAGAAGACTCAGACGTATCAGCGCTCAAATACGGTGAGGGCTGTTTGGCAACTTGAATAAGCATCAGTAAAGCTCCCCTTGAAGAGCGGTAAACAGACTACTCCGACATTCTGTTGGCGTTTCATAGAATTCTAGATATCTGGACTCGATATGATGCGAAAATTGATGAATGAGGATAGGTATTAGAAATATCTCTGGAAACACTTACCAGGAGCATGAATGAAGACTACTAGCTTTGGAGCTCGATTGATGATTCTGCGCGCGAGGGTAAATTGCTTCAGGCTTCGTGAAATATACGCGAAGCTGCGTTCATGTATGTTTCGAGCTTCATCCCGCAGTGTATCAACTGATCATTGTGCTAAGTCTCCGATGAGTCGATTTATGGATGAAAGTAAGACAAAAGACCATGGAAATCAGATACAATAGATAGTCCAGCAGAGGATGCTAATTTTATCACTAAGTGACTTTCTTAAGTACCTTGCATACATCACAGGCGCGGGATCGCGTTTTCAAATGCCGAGCTTGATATCTCGTGACCGTGATTATTTCCTTTTCCGGTTTTCGGGCCGGCGGCTTGACATTCGCAACTCAGAAGTCTTGACTACAGGCGTAACTGCAGGAGTAGCAGTACATAGTGACATCGTATCCTTCTCAACCTAAATGCGACGGCGAAATCGTGCGACGTAATGAATACTTAGTGTAGTACAACCCTTGATGGACGGAATTCGAGTCGATGGAGTGACAGACTTACTAGTAAAGCATTCTGGCAACGAGACTGTGTTTGAAACCTATTTTGGTACCGTCTTCGTTGACATTGCGGCTGCACTCTTTTTTTACAATGGGGACGAGTTCTTTCTTGCAGAATGATGGATTAATTAAGCGGAAGAAGCGAACGCGTCTAAAATAGTACAAGTAGAAGATTTCGCGTTAATCAATTCTATTATCCCTCTTTTGAAAAGGCATAGCACCGAATTCGACTAATGCAGCTAAGTAGAAGCATAAATTTAGCCATCACAGAGAAGACCTGCAATTGGAAAACACCGACTTGTTTATGCGCAGCAACTTTGAAAATGATGATAAATCACTGTGATGATTTATTCGCTGAAGAACAAGCAAGTCGTCAGAACTTAAACCGTCCTCAGAGATAATAGACTCACAGGAGAGAGAGCGTGATGTCGCCATTGACCTTGGCCTTGATAGAAATCTCGACCTCAAGGTTGAGGTCAAGCCTAAGCTTCAACGCTTCCCTGTACGGCTTGGCGACAGCGTGAGCATAAGTTGGTTTGTGAATGGCAGCGTGACCATGGGCAAGAGTGCCAGGGGAGGAAGCGCGAGAAGCAGACTCTGGCATGATGATACTAGTGTTTATTGATACTGAAAATCCAGAACGCACCTCTCCTTTTATACCGGCCAGAGAGTAAGGACGTCTTGCTGCCTTACGCCTGGAAATTAGGTACCGTCGGCGGATAAATTCGAGCGCTGTTCACGTCGTTTCGTAAAGTGTGCGGAGCGTGACCATCATCAACACTGTGCCTCGGGTGACATCTGTCCGCTAGAACTGGACTCGGACTCGTCGAGACCCTAAAGAGGTACGGGGCGAAGGTGCATAAGGATCACATCGGTAGCACAGAACACCTGGTACCATGCACCAGCGGCATATCGGATTTCCTTCCGAGTGCACGAGATATTTTGAGAGATTCCGGCGCCATAGGTACCAGGCTTGCTTGAATGTTCCTTAAAGATGAAGCCTGCAAGTTTGCCTTCGTGTTATTAGGGATTTATATCTCGTAATTTCAGGATGTGTTGGTGTCCTCTCGTGGCCGATGGGATGCCTAATTGACGAAACCGAATCGATGATGAGCAATGAAATGGAATAAAATAACCTACTGGAGATGCATAAGTGGACGCTATGCACGCAGCTGGTAGAACCGAGGTGCGTTGCTAAAAGGGTACAACAGGCCGTCATGAAACAGATCGAGCGCAAGATCCAGTAGCGTTGATAATATCGAGTTCGAATTGTATATGGACTGGTACAGAGCAGAGGGGTAGTAAAAGAAATTAAGGTATCAGACCTGAAAAAAGATATGTCACTGCCAGTGCATCGTCCGTCGAAGATAATAAACACACCTCTATTCAGCACCACAAGAAAATTTCCTTCTTCCATCGTGTCGTACAGCAATACATAGTCATAATGTCAGGCAGAGTATTTGCAGAAGATTTGATGAAAAAACAACGAAATGCAGCATCGTCGTCAGCATTTGATCGGCATCGTCACGGTCGAGGAAGAGATCATTTCAAACTCCGACATCTGCATCCTTCGCAGCGATCATGAACTTCGGCTGAGGTGACTGCAACGCATTTGGTCACTATCCGATTTATTCTTCAGGTCTCTCGACGCTGCGCTAGCTGTAGAAGACTATCACTAGGCGAACAAGGTAAAAACAGTCCGACTGCGTTACTGCGTACGTTCGCATCACACAATGTACCTGTCGTGGACCGAGCAAAACTCTGCTACTGTACGCTTTGAAGTTCCACACCGGTCCCTAAAGTTTACTGTCACAAACCTCACAGGCAACTGTAAGACTTCAAATTCCACAGCAACACTGATAATAGCATTTAATAGGTACCTATTTAATTGCATATAATTCCAATGGTGACTTCAAGAAGCACGCCAAAATGCAGAGAAATGGAAAGGCACGGTATAAGGGTAGTATCTATCTTAAGACTTGAAAATGGATTTTCCCGACGGCAGTCCTGTGGTATCTCAACGCTGGAATTAACTCAAGGACGCGAAGCCGAGACTAACCTGATGTTCCGACAGTTGCCTCTTCGACTGCTTAGTGCTATGAACCTGCGGCACATTTACTGCCTAAAAGCAAAATTCAGGAAACGATAACTCGGATGCCAAACAAACCCCGGGACAACTTACAAGAGGGAGAGGGTAATATCACCGTTGACCTTCGCCTTAATGGCGATCTCGACCTCGAGGTTGAGGTCCAAGCGAAGCTTCAAGGCCTCCTTTTGCTTTCCAACACCTCCCGGTCCGAGGGAAGTGCGGCTGACGGCGCCAGCGGTGGGTGCAGCATCAGAGCTGTCGCTACCACGACGAGGAGCGGGTGCAGAGCCGAAGATGGAGGGAGCAGCAGCAGCGGAAGACATGATATCAGAACTGGGAAGGTTCGATGAAGTGGTCGATAAGAAGTGAATGCCTTTTAAACGACCATTGAACAGCACGAGATGTCTGGACTCTTGTTAGAGGGGCACGATGAGACGACATCTACACAAAAATCAGGTGTGTGTGTGACATTATCCTGGTGCAGTTCAAACCAGCTCCCTGACGCATCCTCAATAGTATAACCAATTACGGAGGGGCGAGGTTCTTCGTCCTAGGACAGTCGCCCGATGCATCTTGCATCGTGACCTAGCGCAAGTTATGTTGAACTTGCTGTACTACACGCGGTTGTGGGTTGAATTCAAATGCTAACTGAATGACATCTGTCGCTTTGAATAGGATCAGATGTTCGAGATCTATAACGGCCTCAGCATGCCGGGAAATTGGCAGAGCACCCGAGCTGGCAGCTCAAGGGCACTTCGTTCGGACACGAGATTCGGATGCTCGGAGTATACCGTTAGTCAAAGAGAGGTAAGTGCGACACGCTACAAAGGTATCTGGACACTTCCTGCATTCAATCGCCGTTCTTCGCGTCACTGATCTCAGCAACTATTGGCTACGAGTAGTCATGTCAAGTGCTAAGAATATGCGACGACAGTGATTCCCCACCGTGCTGACTGATGAGATGGTCAGCGATGTTTCAGAATTAACGACACGGAAGTGACGACGTCAACAGTGCCACAATGATTGTTTGTTTTCCAACTCGAATTTCGTTCCGGAGTCGCCTATTAGAGTCATAGGCGACGCGAAACAACTGAAATAAACTTCCAATTTCTAAAAAGTGAGAGCCTCGTCAGAGTAGTCAAAAGAATGCCAATATTGGTGGTCTGGCCTTCAAGTGTTTTATATAAAAAAGGCACGGTTAACGAGTCAAACAGTTACCAATCGACTGCAAGGTCCTCTAGCTTCCTTTTTGTCTCATTGGCGGACAGTTTGAATTTTTGGAAAAGCTTAACGGATCTGAGATTCAGAAATTTAAATTTACAATGATCATGATGGTTTCAGCTGAGCCAAATTCAAGTCTCCTCTACATCCTGTCTTCATCCCCCAACTTGAAGGCTATCTGACGGCCAAGGAACCCAAATAAACGGGAAAATCGCTGGCTAGCGTCGCTAGCACAAGAAAATTTGGTCCAAAGCTAACAGACCGTCGAACTCATTCCAGTCGCGTTCGATTGTGCCAGTTGTAGGCCGATCAAAGCATTCACTTCCAATTGGGGCTTGTCTGATTACCACAAGATTACAAGACTAAGCATTGTACATGACAATTTCAATTTTGATATGTTCCAACGACGTCCTTTTGACATTCTCCTCTCTACCTCACACTAAACATATCCTTCGTTTCCATCTAGCACTTCAACATTGATTATAGGCTACTGTAGTCGACGAAAACGGTTTTCTATTCAACTTTTCTTTGCTAAGTTTATGCCATTCCCTACATCGGCTTCGAAACTTCGTGTTCTCCATCTGCTAAAAAGATCGCGTATCTTAATTTCGCTGCTGAAGCTTTGGAATGTGATCAGGCCATCATTTGCCCGCTGTCTTTATGTTCCTCTTCCCTACGGCCGCCAACCTATCTATGAGTACATAGTTTTTGCGTCAAATAGACCCAATACCCGAGAAACGCGGTCATCTTCACAAAGCGACCCAGGTACGCAGCCAAATAATGGTCCTATTGATCCCAGCACCATCCATCATATACGTATCCGTTGTCCCTTTTATCAGCCATTTGATACTATATCTCATCGGCAACAACGGTCGTTTAAAGCTATGCCTCACAGAGGCCAGTTCACTCGCTGAAACGTGAAATAAGCAAAGGTCTTGGGAGCTTCAGATATGATAAAGGACTCACAGGAGGGAGAGCGTGATGTCACCGTTAACCTTTGCCTTAATGGTGATGTCGACCTCGAGATTGAGGTCCAACCTTAGCATCAAGGTCTCCTTGGGAGGCACGGAGATAACCCTGCTTCCTGCACGAGCGGGAACCCCGCCCGCTGAGGTGCTGATGGTTGGGTCAAAACGCATGTATGCAGCGGTACGGGCCGGATAAGAACGACTAGGCATCCTTGTTGGGCAAGTCCATCTCAGACAGAAGAAGCTTTGTGTTCTGTAAAGGAGAGAAAGAAGAGCTGATCGCCAGGAAGCAGGAGAACGGTTGGGCAGCCTGCGCGACCTGCGCGACATGATCTTAGCTAAGAAGAGAGCCGGCTGCCTGGTCCATTACCAACTGAGCAAATTATGGGCGGGCAAAGTTCTAGGTACCTAACGGACATATCAAGTCAGGGTGTCCTGCGGGTTGCCTTCAGGACCCACTTGAGCTAGACCTTGAAGTGTGTTCTGATTTTCCACGGACGCTATTGATGGATCTTTGGAACTCCGTTGAGTTGGCGATGTGGGTCCATACACCAAATTGTTGAATTGGCTTGGCGTCCGCGTCTCCCGGTACTCGAACTTTTGCTCTTTTGTTTTTTTTGAAAAAACAGAGCGTGACACTGTTGTCATCTTCAATTTTTTTCAACTCTGCATGCCGCTGTACGCCACCCCGTTAATGAATTTAATAACGGGTATGCTCAGTGCTGACCGGATTCATCCGGTACCGTAGGAGCGATAGACATATTAGCAAATGCAGATGATGTTCAATGAACGTTCGAGACCTACTAAATTAGTGAGCGATTAAATTGTAGGAATCAGGCAGGCCTCGCCTCGCTGTTGCTAGGGAAGATTCATCAATGGAACTGGAACCTGTTGATGATGCAGTGTGCATCTGCCAGCGGTGATTTACATACCCGCATAACTTAGGAAAGGTATCAAGTTCCTTCACCCGTGCAATGGCAATGGATGTGCAGAAAAAAGCATGACATAGGGTCACTCCATCGTGTACATACCTGGGAAATCTGTAAGGTCCAGGAATGTCCAAAACTGACCAGACATTTGAAGTAGAGAAGCTTGATACTCACGGGCCTATTTAGAAACGCGTGCTGTGGCGCCCATGTAAATGTAAATTGCAACGTTCCCGAGTATCACCAGACTCCCACGGCACTATTAGATAGATCCCTGCGAAATTCTGATCTTATAAGTCAACTTGCGAAAAGTCGGACAGTGCAAAGCTTTAACAGATACCGCAGCACGGATTGTTCGCAATCACTTGGGATTCAATACAGTAAGACCTAAAATACAGACGTCTGATCAGTTGAGGATGTGTTCGCAGATTACCTCAAAGAGTCGAATATAGCCTCAAAAGCCAACGTTCCTCTGCTCCTCAAGCCATAAATAACCTTCTCGGTCATCTTCTGGTTTGAGATGACATAAACACACTCGGGTTTGAACTCAATCCACAAGATGATGTGTGTGCTTGATCCGGCTTACCGTGCTTGCGAGTATCTAGAATACGATCAAGCAGTATCAATGCAAAAAATAGATGTTCCACACCATAAACAACGACACCATATCAACCAAAGGGTTGCCAAACGTCATCCTCGTATTCGGCGCCATCCAGAACAACTTGTGGTCGATTTCCCACTCATAATGTGAGGCATGAATAGAGCAATACCACTCCCCGTAGCAACGAACAATACCCGCCTGAACAGTGGCACGATCCGCAACAAGTCACACGTCGGGATCCCGTGAACCCATACCTCTTTGGGAGGGTGTTAATCATTGTTGTTGACCAGTCGCCAGCTTGGGAGATGATGATGGCAGGGATAGAAATGGTAGCAAAGCTATGTCACTTGTATAGTGGGTCAACAGAGAACCGCTGGAATGATCCGGGAACGGGGTGAGAGCCTGATAAAAATAAGATAGACGAAGAGAAGAGAAGAAGGACGCTATATACCGTAGTCAACGAACATTTGGACAGCGTGGTCAGAGATAACGACGCTGCGCATGGGAACCTTTTGAAGTTTGACCCAAGGCAGGACGATCGAACAGCTGAGGATGATCATCAGCCAAAAGAGAGCCGGATGAACACGAGCATTTCCCAGAAATGTCTGGTCCCTGTGATCATTCTTGACGACGGCCTCTGTAGGATCACGTTAGACCAAGTTCAAGGGAAATCACGCCTTTCTTACCTGCGCCCAAACTAATACAGTTACAGTCCACCCCATGAACCTATTTACGCGTTCAAATGTGTCGTGACGCCTCACACGATATATCGGGTATACAAAGATGATGATGCTTGTCAAGAAACCCAGAATGTGGTGCGTGAGGACAACTGTTGCCACTGATTTCTGAATGGCAGAGAATCAGTGCATGAATCAGACAGTTAGTGAAAGGAGACTCACTCTCTCGTTGTTGGCTAGCTCCCTAGTAACTTGTATTGCGAGGAGAATCAGCCAGACCGGTCCAGATGCCGTTGCATCAGAGTAAATTCCTCCATGATTATATACCCTTGCAACGAGTTTACATCCAAAAGGCCATCTATCGAAAGCGTCAACGTCAGACCTATCTCTAAATAAGAAAGGACTCACGACCGAGAAACCGTACAAGCAACAGTGAACAACGTATTGATAACCAGCTCTTGCGCATAAGGATTGCGATGAAGAGATTCGAAACGGCCAGAAGCGCGGCTTTTTGCGAATTGCACCCTCGAACCGCGTAGGATATGAAGATGCCCATGCTGGTGATGAACGTCACCGAGAAAAAGACGCCGATAAATAGAGAAGGTCTACAATCGCAAGTTGCGTAAAAGACGCGACTAAACTCTTTCTGGCACATCCTCGTTTTCATAGCCATCCAATGGATTCATCTGTTTCTCGTCAGCGAGTTTGGGCGACGCGAGAGATGGTAGTCTCGGTGGGGCTACTCGGAAAGGAGATACCATTGGAGAACTGTACGTTGCTCATGGTAAATGTGGGTACACTGCCCGAGTCGGCGGCTTGCAACGTCCCTGTAAACTTGACAATCGTGCGCGCGATATCTTTATGAGCTTGAGCTTCGGTCGTATGGGAGGAATCGGGGTGCAAGAGGAAGTGTCTGTTCGGGGCAAGATATTGAAGCTGACATAGTATGCGTGTAGGATCTTGTAGAGCCAAGGTGGGCTTGGTTGAATTCGTCGGTACGGGCCGACGGTTCGCGCACTTCTGACGAGTCCATATACTCCCTCGCCTTTGAAGATTAAAACATTTTCACGCATATGGGATAATTTCGCCCGGTTCATCGCCCTCCAACGTGGTGCATAGATTTGGAGTCAGTGCAGAGCGGGCGTGGGTTCAATTAAAACTCTGTCATTGCTTTATGAGAGTGTGGGCAATACATAGTGAGACGTCTACATACTTGAGTACTTTTCGAAATGCGGCTGTGACCGCCCAAGGCAAAGGGTAGGATTTGGAAGATCAACTGTTGTTTGCTCATCGTCGTTATCTCGCTGCAGTTAGTTCGGCGAACGGACATTTCCCCTTCCGCCGTTCTCGAGATGAGAGGTATGTAATTGCATAACCGTAAACACGGAAAACTGCGGACGAGATTGATACCCCGGGTTATATGGAGTCAATCTTCCGGTGACCTTGCCGCCCAGAAATTAACGGAGATGTCAGCAGACGATGGGTACATCCTGCAATATGAAGTGCGATTCAGTCATCGTTGAGCACGGAGATTAATGGGGGGTTCACTCTTTAGAGAACATAACACATCGGAAATATTCAGTTGATGATCCCCGTATCCTGATATATCGAATGACGTCCTCTCTTCACGATAAGTACACGACATGGGTCTAGGTACGGCGGAAAACGGGACTGATGAGTGAGGAACTGAGGAACATAGGTTCATGTAAGGACATCAACACGTACCGTCACTGTTCCAAATTTGCAAAGCTTCTCGTTAAGATATTTTTGTACTCGCCTCATGGTTTAATGAATTCATGCTATATGTTTGTTAATAACTTTCATAACATTCGAGATACTACGCACGTTGGAGAGGAAGGAGCGCGACAGTGTCATCATTCGAGCAGATGTTGCGTAAAGTTAACAAGCGCTCGACTTGCTTTTCAAGAATCGAGCCGGCATTAGCTTTACAGCTGATTAAGAACGCGTTTTATCGAAAAAGGACGAGACTCACATCCAGCAAAAGCGATCCCATTCGCGAGAACCATTGGTACACCAAAGGCCGCATGGTCCCAACTACTGGTATTATCGCATGGCATCAAAACGCTGAGGGCCTACATAAAATGAACGGGTCAAAACGAAAGGACGCTTGTCAGGCGACGCGTCGTACGTTCTGGGACGCCTTGGGAGGGAAATAATCCGGGCGGGGAAGCCATTATGAGGGATGTCGGGGGTCAGAAAGATAAAGAATAGTTCAACGAGCATTGCGATGCTGGATGTAGAATTTTAAGTAATGCAATTGTTTGGCAGGGACCTTTCTGGTGACGTAAGTGCAATAAGATTTTAGATTCGGCAATTTCCGCTTTTCATCTTTCTCAGAAAGTTTCATGAGACTCATCCTGCACGTCTTATAAAATTCTGGTAAATCCAGAGAACACAAAAACAATTGCTACGAATCGCTTCTGCTGAAGAATCGCGAGCCTATCATCATTCTGACGCGATTTTCTTGTTTGGTTCAACGTGCGAGGATCCCCCCAAAGGTTGAGGATTTGTGTCGCTACCCGGACGAAATCGGAGAGGTTGAACGTTGAACTGCCTTATTCGATGTCCTCCGAATTGGCACCAGAATCCGTCGGGCCGCCTCCCAGAGAGGTCCTCCGTCCTTTACCCTTCGCTAGAGCACGGGATTTCAATTTGTGAGTCGATCACAGGCGACGTCATCGAATCTGCCGAGGACCTTTATAAGCACTCGTCCATGTCAGACATCCTTTTCTTATACCACTACCACCATGTCCAACTCGAGTTCTCTTCCAATGGTTCGAGGAAGCTCCCAGCGTTCCTTCACGGGAACGCTTACTTTGATTGCGCTACGCGCCGCCGAGTGAGTCCTAGCAGCCCAACGAGACGCGCTGGTAATGATACTGTACCGCAGCCCCTTACTCCAGTACACGCTCTTCCAAAAAGGATACGCTGCCGACGCGCTTGTACGCGTCGGACTCCTTCACCCAGCCAGAACATTAGCGTTGGGGAACGGTATTGGCCCAGTACCGACTCTGCTTGTTAGGATGTACTCGGTTGCTGCCCTTCGCCATGTATGTTTACATCTTCAAAATCCTTTCAACTTTTGACCGGTATTACAGTGCTACTGGGTAACCTGCACCAATGACTCGACGTATTTCCCGCCTTCTGCCGGTCTGTTTGTTGGCGGCTTCAATATTGCCGCGTCGACTTTCAACACGTTTGTCGCGGCATATATGCTCTCCAAGGCATCCTATCTATTGAGCGCTCCCGTTGATAGCTTTGAAGGATGGGTATCGGCATTGGGATGGCATCAGTACGTTCCCAGACTTTCTCGTTCTAGCCTGCGGTTAATCCCCTAATGAAGATGGGTCGGACTCGGGATGTTTGCAGCAGGAATCGCCATGGAAATCGTCTCTGAGGAATCACGAAAGGCGTTCAAGGCAAAACCGGAGAACAAAGGCAAAGTCGATGATACAGGTCTTTTTGGCTTCGTGTATGCGCCTTTTTTTGTTTCGAATGCGTTCGTTAGTTGATATCTCAAACAGGAGACATCCTAACTATCTGGGCTACCTTCTATGGCGTTGCGGGATGACCCTTGCTACCGGCTCTATCCCTGCTACGATCACTTATGGGATTTTCCAGTTTACCCAGTTCGCATTTTCCATCCCAGACCTGGCGGCACATATGAGCAGGAAATATGGAGATCAATGGACGGATTACCAGCGTCGTGTCGCGTCCCGCATGATTCCTGGTATTTATTGAAAGTGAAATTAAGTGTAAGTTCCAAGAAGTCGACGAAGTGTATCCCAACTGTCGTGTTGACTTGTTGTAACATATTGAAAAAACGTGATTATCTTTATTCAGCCAGCTGTCGCACATGAAGTTTGCTCGATATATGCGCTTGTGGATTGCCTAGGTTTGTCATATATCCTTAGATCATATATCACTACTGCGGCCCGACGCTACTTGAATTTGATTTCTTGAATTCGTTCCCTTATATCCATCTCACTTTGAAAGTTGCGACTCACGTTGCCGAGTGCGTCCGTAAGCCTGTAATGGATCTAAAGGTCGAACACTCGTACAGCAGGGAATGGTGTGCAGCCTTTAGTACATTGCTATACCTTTCGGCTGACTTTTGACAGACCAGTCAATTTTCAGATACTATCTATGACGCCTTTACAGGATCCAAAACCTTCCTTGTCAACGTACACTCCTGGACCCGGTTGCCACCCTTCACACCGGCTAGCAGATCCTCGTCCTGGTCATAGCACAACACCCATACCCCCTCGCTCTCCTCCATCGCAACGAACCCTTCCCAGCCTTCAAACGTCATTCTCTCCTGGTCCTCCGTCCAATCCCATGGGCCGACGATGTGCGGCAGACTCTGTGTCTTGCCGCCGTACGTGACGACAAGCGTGTCTTTGTCCACGTATATCCAGTTGAGCTCGGGCGGGTCAGGTTGGATCGTGCTCACGAGTCCCAAAGGTTTGCTATTCCACGGGTACTGGATAAAGAACCCGGCGAACCCGTGTCCTCCTTCCTTGCGCTTCTCCTTGTCAGGGTCGGCAAGGTATAGCTACATCGTCAAGGATCAGTAACCCACAGAGTGTCCTGAACAACTGATCTGCTCACCTTGTGATCCCTCAGCACCACCTGCTGGCCTTCGATAAACTCCTTCAATGGCGCATCCTCACTGCAGTGCGCATACAATGTGAACTTGGCTAAACGTGGATCATTCTTATCCGCCTCCTTGGGTGCACTGTTGCTGTTGTTGTTGTTCTCCGCGGCTCTCTGTTGATTCCCTGCGCCCTGGGCTATACTCGCTACGGACGTCGCCGCTCCCACCGCAGCGAGCGGAATGGCTACGGCGCCTGCTGCAACACCGATGACGCCAACAACCATGACTGTTTCGATTCGGTTTGCAGTGGACGACTCTTTTGCGCACCGGATGCCGGACCCGAAGAAGTTGCCATTTCGAGGGGGAATGAAGAAAACGGCTAGGACGCGTATCAGGGCCCCCGTTGTCAAGCTGTAGATTGGATCCGCTTTCGTCATTCGAGGGCCAGACCCTATTTCGTAAACCCTGCAATCTTCGCTTCAATGACATTGTCCCATTTGGAATGTCATCAAGCATTCTTTCTGACCAACGTCCAAAGCTATACGATGGCCTAGACTGCGGCACCAGTTGTCTTCGGAGTTCTGACTGGCCAACGGAAAGGAGATGCTACCTCTCGTGACGCGTCAGCCTACCTCTATCATTATGGACGTCAAGCAAGCATAGGCGCGTAGTTCCTGGGGAGGCCGCAACGTACCTGCTCGCTTGCTCCAACTCTTGGCTTTAATTAACCGTCATATTTACAAGGAACAAATTCGAAAACCAGCGCGCGTGCAAACCCGGATCAAACTTCACGAAAACTCTTTGGCACAATTTCAAGGAAGGTACAGGTAATCCTCGATCCCGACCGTAGCCTACGGTCGAATTTTGCCCCCGTCCTATGCTGGCCACCGGAATTGGTTAGGTTAACGCGCACGGTTACTCCAGCATTACTCCACCGCCTGTTTAAAAGCGTGACACTTTTCTACCTTGGAAGCAAGAAACATGTCTGCCCCCGCTGCCTCGCTCAAAAACAAGACGCGTTCGCGCTCCTCGTCCTCTTCTTCCTCGTCCTCTTCCTCCTCTGATGAGGAAGCTCCAGTTTTCGCCCCGGTGGAGGGAAAGAAATCCCATTCAATCTCCCGCCCACCGGTCGCTGTATCGGGCAGGCATGGAGCGGGCAAGCAGAAGGAGGCTCTGAAGCTTAGGTTGGATCTTAACCTCGAGGTTGAGATCGCTATCCAGGCTAAGGTTAATGGTGATATCACGCTTTCGCTTTTGTGAGTGCATTCAAGTCTAAGGGGGGTTGACGGCCGATTGACTGGTCTTTCAGGCAGTGAAGGGGGTGATGATGGTAATCTATCACCGAGTGTGTTTCGCTCGATAGGTGAGTGCTTTTCAATGGCTTTCCCACAGCGTCTTTCTAACAAAATTTGTGCTGCAGCCACTACTATCTTTGGTTTCAATAGTTAATAGTGGCCGTAAAATGTGACGCGTATTATAATTAGAATTCAAGTTGTTGGATTCGTATCTTCATTAATGGTACTTGTTCAGCAATAACCATGGTTTGAATATAAGGATAATGGTGATGACAAAATGATCGTATCTGGGAAGCATGACAGCCATCGCGTACACTAGGTCGCAATTGATCTTCAGGCTCAACAGCACCGGTCTCTTTGTAACGACGACGCGTTTTGACAGGAGCATCATTTTTACTTAACTATTCAATTTGGTCCACCTCGAAACCCGGGATCGTACACGTTGCGTCCCTTTAGATGGCATGTCCCGTGAATCATAAGGGAAGATCAGGGTTCTCCCGGTGATGATGCACGCTGCATCGAACATTTTTCTGATGAGATCTCTGTGGTATTGAAAAGGTGTCAGACTTGGAACAAACCCTGTCTGAGGGAAAAGTATTCATTTTTACCCCGGGCTTTTTCAAAGCCGTGGTACGGAAATCTTCGGATAGCCTATACAGTATTTAGCGGCTTGCCCTGTCAGTGTGAACTCGAATACCCCGTGGAGAAAGGTAGGTACCCGTACATCCAGAGAAGATCAGGGAACATGAGATGTAGGAAGTTAGGACCCACCGTTGATGCACGCGGACGTCGGGCTAAGCTCTAAATAACTTGGCGCTTCACTTTTGTATTCATTCACATCTACAACACTCAAGGGTCGCTCAGGCTGGGAAGTTCTAGTCATACCTGGGGACGCTTCTGTGGCGACTCGGGGCCTGTTGAATTGGAAAACAGAATCGAATTGGACGCAAAGGACCCGGTTTGACACTTGAATCCCATCGATATATTGACTTGAGAATGAGTAGAATATCAGTCCTTCTGTTTCATGACGGCTTACTGACAGCGATGTTTTCGCGAGGGCACCCAGTGAAATGCTTCGGCGATTGAATGGAGGGTGCGATAAATCCTTGAATCTTCCTGAAAGAATATACCAAAGTTGCAGAATCGACGAAAGGGGTCCGGTCCGACTTCCGACTACCTGGAAATGGCCCAAGATTTTTGATCGCGTCGAGTCACTAAACCGTTTCTGGAATCTGAGGGTAATACGAAGTACATGCTGTGAGCCGTAGGATATCATCTGAAACGTGATGAAGCAGGTATATCAGGAGTTGAACCTAGAAATTTTGTTTCATTTACGGGCATTAAACAAGCGCACCGGCAGGAGCGAACTGTAACCGTGGCATTTTAACTTGTCCCCTATTGCCGGAAGGACTCATGAGATTTTACGACACGGGAGACGGAAGCAAAGAGGCAAATATTTAGCACCAAGCTCGGGAACATTTAAACGTGTTTGGGTTGGTTCTATCTTCAACATGCGAAGGTTTGGAATTAGTTACGGGTAGGGAGAGTTCAAATGGTACTCAATTCCCCAGCCTTAGTAGTATACTCAAAGAAGAGATGCAGGCCCGAAGGTTGTAGAACAAGGCAAATCGCTCCAACCAATCAATGACCACAGGAACCACAGTTTTTGAGACGGGTGCTGTATTAGTAGCGATTGAGTCCGCTGAAATCCCAGTTGATTTTCCGTTTGTATGCACATACCGCACAACCGTGAGGGCCTAGTGGCCAGATGGCGTGCTTCCCTTTGAGAATTAGCTCCTTCGTAATAAACTCCACCACAATAGCTACTCCAACACGGTGCCAACCAAAGTTTGAGCCTGGACCACACTTTGGTACTATTGGGCCCAGTTGACGCACCATTCAAGAGATACGCGCAATACGCATCAAAACGCGTCTCCAGGTACTATGCTTTGAACCTCTTCGGAGCCACCGGAGGAATGGCGAAGAATGGAACCTGCGCCGCCTACCTACTATCAGGTCTTCGTCTTGGATTTTGTGTTCTCGTCACGTATGAAATCAGAAGAACTTCTGCCCTCTTCTGCCGCCCATTCTGCTTCTCGATGCGTCCGGATGCCCCATGCCATCTGATTTTCTGGTTTTCTTGCTGTTCCGAGGCTTTATCGAAGCATGCCCATATATCAATTGATGGTCATGGACAGCTCGTGCTTCGCATCATATGTACAGTTATTTTTTGATTTTGTTATTGTGAAATGAAATTCGCTCGACACTTGTTGTGAACAGTCAAGAATCGCTCGGGGCCGTTACCGTAACGTACCTATTACCGGAAGAAGTCCTCTAGAAAGGGTTATGTTAGTGTGACAAGGCAGCCGATTCGCTGACAACTATTCTGGGATGCAACTATCGGGCTAGAAATTACGTTGTTCCCAATCCGCAGGCAGCGCTAGGAAATCGTATAAAAGGGCAAGGTATTCACTGGTTTCTGCAGCCATCTACAGCTACAACATCATGTCTGCTCCACAAACCGCTACCCAATTTGCTCCCGTCGACAACGCCACTGGTGACAACCAGGTCGCCCCCGCCACCAACAAAGGGTTGGGCCGCGGTGGTGCTGGAAAGCAGAAGGAGGCTCTGAAGCTCCGCTTGGACCTCAACCTCGAGGTCGAGATCGCTATCCAAGCCAAGGTCAACGGCGACATTACTCTTTCTCTCCTGTAAGCGGCACTCTCGTTCGTTAGTATTTGTCTCATTCTGATCCTGATTTACAGTGAGTGAATGATTTGAGTCTTCAGCGATTGAAAGGGCTGGTTGTTGGATCGTCAGGTCAGTCTGTCGCTTGTGGTAGTTTTTCGGTACTTAAGAATTCTTCGCAGTCACAACGACTATTACTTTCGATGGTGATGATATCGGTGCTGGAAGGATTTATATGAATAGTTTTGCGTTTGGAATTTATGACGATACTTACGATTTTCTCAATTTGCACTTTTTTTACGTTCCGAAATTGGTCCTGATGGCGTGATTGAGTTTCTGAGATGCTATGCAATTATAAGGTGTTACCTTGTTCCACCGCATATAACAATAAACGCCCACAACCAGATTTAGCGTCAGGTAACTTGTTATTTCGCGAGGTCATGAGTAGGGTTCAATACAAACAGGTTGCTAACAGCGCTGGTGACGAAATCCTTTCTTTGTCGCGAACTCCTAAAGAAACTAACAAGCGCCGAAGGTAAAGCCAAAAGCCTTGGGAAACAACTAACGTACTTGTAGGTCTGATTCATTTGTTCATCGAACCATTAAGTCCGAGACGCGCGAATACTCGGGACCGTCTTGATTAACGCGTCGCAAGTCGGGTTATCGATGTTTGACGCGCGCTAGAAAATATATTAAATCAGTACTATAGCTTGTACAGGAGAAACCAAGGAAGAACAATGGAATGGACTACGGCACTTGGAGTGGAGCATGAGTTGAACGTAAATGCTGCCAGGATCCGTATCACTGGCTATGATGGAAGCCAATGGAGCGCTCAGCTGACTGAAATGCGGACGATGGTAATTACGGAGATGTCAGACGCGACCTAGCCTACCATTACAATCTGAGTGTATGGAGCAGCTGTACAAACCCTTAAAGCATCATGCCCGACTTACAGTCTCGTGTTGAGCTGGCCACGGAGTTGCTATCTCCGCTGTAAGCACGTCCAACAGGTAACTCGTGGTCTATCGAGTCTGGCCTCACACAAGACTGCAGTGGAACATGGCGCCGAAAAGCATCATGGTTCAGACGACCCGATTGGCTGGAGCAACTCAGAATTCTACGGGTCTTCTTCGCCTCAAATAAGTTGTTAGAATGCGAACGCACAGAGAAAAGTAATCTGTACCTTGAGGCTAAGCACCTAGTTCCGCATGCCAATTCAACGGCCTCCCGCCTTGTGTTTCGAAAAGACGGCCCCTCACTCAAACCCGGGTCTCAACAACAGAAACCTGAACTATCTGAGAAAAGAACACCACACGAGTTTTGCAGGTACCTTCAACGGTTACATCCGAAAGCCAAAAAAGCACGATACGGACTTCGCAAGCCTCGAGGCTCGGTGTCGATACCGGCAGCCATGAATTAAGTTTCCAAGTCGAGAATACTGTGCTGATGGACATCAAGCTGCAAAGTTTGGTAACCACGTGGAAGGAACAGCCACCAGGCGACTGATCGAAGCACACGTGATAGTGACCAAGCGGTTCTGTCGCAATATTGCTGAGGAATCCACAAAAGAAAAGTGACAAGTGCTCGTTGAGTGGAAGTATCAATGAAGACGCTAGTGAGTGCCATTTATGGAGTCTAATGAATAACAGGACATTGATCGGAAGCGACCCACATACCGCGGCGAGTGTCCGCGCTCACCAGCATTCACCGTGGACCGTCATGCTCGATAGTGAGTAGCTCAAGAGACCAGCTGAGCACCCCAATTTCAGGCTATATTTTTGGCTTCCAATCGGAACTACTGTGGAGAGGGCGGAAAGTCTGTCCGGAGGTTTAGCGTTTTGATTGGTACGTTTGACAGACTCCAGAGTCCAGACCAGCGAATGGATTGTTTGTTACTCGTTGCTGATTGGCCAGCAAAGAAACCATGAACCTCATTGAGACTGAGATGTTCACGACCTTCGTTACCGTTTAACACGTTTTCCGCCCGCCTTACGAGCTTTAACTTGAAGCTTAGCCTAGAGTGCGTCTAGTGCGAAGAGAGATCGTCTCGTAACCATTTCCGGCCAACGCTTTCACGACATCCCGGGATTCCCGGCGCTTCCATCGCAAATGAATGCTCGATTGCGTTTTTTTCCCAAGACAGCTGCATGCAGGCCTTGTAAACTGCTCTCTGTTGGTAAGCAAAGCCTTGTTTTCGCTACCATTCTCCGTTTGGAAGCTGGCCAGAGAGAACCTTCCAAAATTTGTTTGTCAAGATCAGAGCTGCGCTGAACGATCTACGGCTGTTCGCTGTGTCCCCGACCTACACCGAATATGATAGAAAATTCGAAACATAGTTTCTATACTTGAAACCTCTTGAAGGAGCAAAGGTAATGGTGACCTTGGGTTTGAATATAAGATGCCGCTTCGCTCCGGCGTACCTTGCATAAGATGTCGCAGGCCCGGCACGTCGGGATTTCCGAATCTCCCGAAATGGCTTTTATTACCATCAGCAAACAAAAAACCCAACCGAACAACAAAATCACAAGGCCATTCGCTGAAGAAACACCAAGCAATGGAGGAACGGAATAGAAAACCCAGGACTTCGGCGAAGGCACGAAAGCTTTGTGAGTCAGACATCTAGAAAGAATACATTTGTAAGTGACAAGGGCAGAAGAATGGCCCGTTTGTCGTACTTACCTTTGATACGGATTATCGTACCCGTCTATAGACAAAGGCTATCGCCTTTGTACAGCTCGGGTAAAATCGCATCGACCGAAGCCTGGCTCAATTCTATAAGGCCAAGAAGTCGTGGTTTAACTCGGTTTTTTTGTGCACCCGTAGGGAGACCACGAACAATCCCCTGTGAGAGTAACCGCCAATCACGGCCTTCTGAGCTACTTCGTGATGGCCTATCTGTATTGGCTCCTTGGGCGGAGGAAGTTAAAATGTTGACAATAGGACCCACTTACGAGAATCCATTTAGCGCAGCATGAGCCACCGGCAGTGCGGGTACCGTGAATTTCATAACTGCTTGTGACGACTTTGGCTTCATCGTGAAGGTCCTTCTCTTCCAAGATTAGTCAAGTTGCTACAATGATGCAATCGGTTCACTCACTTTTGTAACGCGTAGCAGTAGATGCGCTTATAAAAGTCCTCGAATTTGACAAGTGATTCCATCGAACTTCCCCCGGTTCAAGTATTACAATGTCTTCTGCTGCTGCTCCTTCCATCTTCGGCTCTGCTCCCGCTTTTCGTCGTGGTAGCGACAGCTCCGACACAGCTCCCGCCGTTGGCGCCGTCAGCCGCACTTCCCTCGGACCGGGAGGTGTTGGAAAGCAAAGGGAGGCTTTGAAGCTTCGCTTGGATCTCAACCTCGAGGTCGAGATTGCCATTAAGGCCAAGGTCAACGGTGATATCACCCTCTCCCTCTTGTAAGTGGGCTCGAGCTCGTTTCGTAGTACCGCGTTCTTAACTATACTTCCAGGGAGTAAACGTTCTGCTGGCTCATAGCAGTCGGAAGGACAACCGTCGGGATATCAGGTTAGTCTCTGGTTCACGTCATCCTTGAGTTGGTTCTAGTGCTGAGATGCCCCAGGATTGTTTCGGAAAAATCCATTTTTAAGTCTTTGGATAGATACCCTGATACCGATTTTTCCTTCCCTTTTATTTTCTCTTTTGTCGTGTTTCCGGAACTTGCCAGTGGAGTTATATGCAGTTAAGCGCCTGTTAAATGTTAATGTCAATGTTACTGTGGAATTTGAAGTCTTACAATCGTCAAGGACGTTCACCATAGTAAGCTTTAGAGAGTGGCAGCGGGAAGTGTACGGTAGCAAAGTTTGGATTTACGCCAGCATCAGGTGAATGTTGAAAGGTACTTAGAAATGGTAGACCGTCACGAGTACATTGAAATGCCTGGTGGCCTGTACGGTGCAGCTGGAGGGTTTATCAATCGGCGAGGGAGCTTGTTTGCCTGGTAATCTTCTCTAGCTAGGACAGAGATAAGATACCAGAGGAACGAACTGGATAGTGACCCAGTGTGTTGTGGCAATTGCAAAAGCCCTCACCGAACTTCGTTGAAGAGCGGCGACCACTGAAGGACAAGTGAAGGATGCAGATGTCGGAGTTTGAAATTATTACTTCCTCGACCATCACGACGACGCGCATTTCGTTGTTTCTTCATCAAACCTTCTACGAGTATGGTGTTTTCCCTGACTTTATGACTATGAACTGTTGTACGGCAAGGTGGAAGAGCGGAATTTCTTGCCAGTATTGTCACACTCACTGCTGAATGTCAAATGATGGTGCGTTCGTTATGTCCTACGGCTCCGCAATGGTAGTGAGATACATTTTCAGGTCTGATACTTTAATTTCTTCTACTACCCCTCTACACTGTACCAGTCCTTGTACAACTCGAACTCAATATTATCAACGCTGCTGGATCTTGCGCTCGATCTGTACCATGCCAGCCTGTTGCACGCTTTCAGCCATGCAGCTCGGTCTTCTGAAGTAGCTTGTGTAAGGCTTTGCCAGTGAGGAGGTCCGTCGAATCTCCTCTCTGTCATTGCTTCAAGTTGGTCCTGTCTGGCTACCCAGTATGCATCTGGAGATTTATTCTCGGACGAGAATACAGACCGCTGCGCAAATTGACCGTTACAACCTCACTGCTTCTTCAGGAGACAACGATCCACGACACTGGTGATGGACGGTCACGCTCGAGCTGTTTTGCGGTGACCAAAACTGGACGCCTGCGACGTCCTGTTAGTGTATCCCCACCAACTGCTAGCCGCTGGCGCGTCTCCTCTGCGAGTACTTTATAATCAGGTTAATGAACCTGCGTGCATAGCGCCCACTTACGCATCTCCAGCAGGTATTTAACTTTATTGTCCGCCATTATTCGGCGTTGTCAATTAGGCATGCAATTTGGCCGCGCGAGTACGCTAACACGTCCTAAAATTACGAGATATAAATCCCTAATAACAGGAAGGCGAAGTTGCAGGCTTCACCTTTAATGAACATTCAAGCACGCCTGGTGCACAATATTCCGTGTACTCAAAAGGAAATCCGATACGCCGCTGGTGCAGGATACATGATGTTTTGCGCGACCGATGGGATCCTTATGCACCTTGGCGTCGTACCTCTCCAGGGTCTCGACTCCTCCTCGTCCAGTTCTAACGGACAGATGTCACCCGAGGCACAGTGTTGATGATGCTCACACTCCGGCACACTTTACGAAACGACGTGAACAGCGCTCGAATCTATGCGCCGACGGTGCCTAATTTCCAGGGCCTAAGGTAGCAAGTTTTCCTTACTCTTTGGCTGATATAAAAGGAGAGGTGCGTTCTGGGTTTTCAGTATCAACACAAACATTTAACCAGTATCATCATGCCAGAGTCTGCTTCTTCTCGCGCTTCCTCTCCTGGCACTCCTGCCCATGGCCAAGCTGCCGCTATTCACAGACCGACCTATGCTCATGCTGTCCGCTAAGCCCTACAGGGAAGCGTTGAAGCTTAGGCTTGACCTCAACCTCGAGGTTGAAATCGCCATTAAGGCCAAGGTCAACGGCTGACATCACGCTCTCCCTCCTGTGAGTCTATTATCTCTCGGGACAGTTTCATTTCTGACTTGCTTGCTCTGCAGCGAATAAATCGTCTCGGTAATAGACTATCAATTTCATAGTCACTGCACATAAGAAGGTTCGTCTTTTTCCAATTTTGACCCTTCTTTACGATGCTGAAATTCGCGCTGCTAGCTGCATGTTTTGTTTGATGATCGGCGCTGGACTTTTTCAAAAGAAGGATGATGGAACCGATGAACGCCCTATTTGTACTATTGTTAGACGTGCTAGCTCTCTTCCTTCTAATCAATCCATCGTTCTGCATGAAATTTTTTTTAATTCGTCTCAGCTAGTAAGGGATCATTTTGCTGCGTGTCATTCAGTGAAAACAGAACTACAGCGGGAATTAGGAATCAATTTATCGACCATCCGCTTGTAACCGTACTTCGTCGGCCCGACAATCGGAAAAGGAAACTGACACGGTCACGAGATTTCAATTTCAGCACTAGGAAACACAAGCGCGTAGCCTATGGTGCTCATAAGTTGCTTCACAAGTAGGCTAGCAAGACTGGAATCCTATGTTTTGGTCCCTTATTGAATCGCAGTCATTTAAGGACCTCCACCCATAATTCGACTTATTGGAAACTTATCAATGATCAGTTAATGTGGTGCGAAAGCCCAGAATGTACTTGAACACGGCATGGCACATAGTTCAAGTCTGGAATATCTTTCTACCCCACCGCAGCATTACACAGAGCGAGATCCGATGTTAATAGTCCTCAATCTTGCTCCTAGTAAGTAGTTTCAAAGATGTTTCTAAAGAAGTAGTCAATCATCTCCGTTCATCGATTTTCGCATCATATCGAGTCTGTATACCTGATATCCTGCCGCTGATCTTCCTAAAAAATATCGGCGTCGTCTGTACGCCGTTGTACAATGGCGGATTTTGCCGATGCTCTTTAAGCTGCTGTTAAGTCTTTCACAAGGTTCGCCATATTCGTGCACCATCTCAGCGCTGGTACCTCTAAGTCTTCTTTTCCGACAAAATTAAATATAATTACTGCGCCTCTCCGCAGGGGAACTTTCACCAGGTCGCAAAAAATGACAGCCGGCGGTAGGTACGTAGAAGTCAGAAAAGGAGGGATGGTACGTAGGCTGAATTCCAGAACCGACGCGGTGAGTAAGAAGTAAGGTACGGAACGAGGGTCACCATCGTCGTATCCACGTGTAGCAAACCCCGACGTACCTCGACTGCGGGGACTGATGGCAAACCGATTCGTATGAAGTCGTATGCAACAAAGATAGCCAATGATGGTCCTTGATCCATGGGTAATCTGGAAGATAGTACAGTACCACCTACTGGGAAAATGGAAGGGTCGCTGTCGGATGTATTAAGCATAACACAGGAGGGCGCTCCGCAACACGTTGCATGGCGCAGCCAGATTGGAACCGGGTGTACACCGCAGAGTACTCAGGTTGATGGACATCATGTAAACCGGCAGTTACGTAGCCGGAGCTTCATTCGATCCTCCTCCTCAGCGGCTAGTTCATTGACAAGATGACGCGCCCACAACGTTGTTCGCATTTGCCACCATCCACCCCGCTCGTGAGTCGTATAAAAGCCACTCCTGCTAGGGTATCAATTTAGACACCACAGCTACCACAGCATCATGTCTTCTTCCCAAGCCGCCCCCAAAGCCGCTACCACCGACCACCACTCCATCGTTGGTGGTGATAAGCACGTCGCCCAAGTCCCCGTGGCAAGAGCACCCCATGGAAGACAAAGGGAGGCGCTCAAGCTCAGGTTGGACCTCAACCTCGAGGTCGAAATCCAGATCCAGGCCAAAGTCAATGGAGACATTACGCTCTCTCTCCTGTAAGTGAGCTTTGGCTATCCTGGTATTCTCAAGCTGATTGTGATTGCAGCGAGTAAACGTTTAGTTCGGGGATAGGGGCAGAGCTTGGACTGAGTCGTTGGGTTGCTGGGTTGGTCTTTTGCATATTACTCAAAGGCTTCTCCGTGCTAAGCTTCGGCCTCTTATAGAACTGTTCAAAAAATTCTATTAGATATACTAATCATTGGCAAAAAAAAAAATCAGTTTTACTACCTTTCCCTTACACCCCCCTGGCAGTAAGGACTTGATCTTCCGTTAATCATGTTTCCCCTTATCTGGTACCAGTTAACAAATAGTTACCTACAAAAAATCAGTATCGTGTCTGGTCCGGATTGAAGTATTGTCATCACTACCTAGGTGAGCTTGACACCCATAATTGCCGCCAATCAGAGGAAACAAACACCAACGGAAGGATGAGAGTTTCGAGGGAGACGTCAGGCATCGTGGACGAAATTTATCCGTTGAACAAATTTCCTTCTTCCTCTCATCGTATACGCTGCATTTTTGCTCGACCGGAAGAAAACCCAGCTTAGCGTGTACCGGTACAGAACGTTCCTCAATAGCCAGCTACCACAAATAGTATGCATGATATGCAATACTCGACATCGCCGCCGACCTTCTAAAGAACGCGCGCTTGAGCGCAAACCGCCCGTCTTTGCCTGCAAGGACTCATTAATTCCCTAATCAATTGGAAGGAAGGTGAACATACCAGAGAAGATGGATAGAATTTCCAGTGGCACCTGGGGTTTTTCTCGCTCATTAGCATCTGAGTGGTGATATGAGATCACATTTGGGCGGTTTTCTCCAGACTATGGACTTTGCTAATATCACGTCCGTATTATCCATCCCGCGGTCAATGTCTATTCGGAAGAGATCACCCAATTGCACATCTGCCATGCATACACTATACAACGAGCTTCATACAAAGCGTAGCGAGACTGATACTATACCCAATCAGGAAGCTGGACATATATGGAAGCTGGACACTCACCATTTTCTCGTCAACCACTGACCGGATTCACAAGCGGCTTGTTGCAGTATGATCCAATGCCTCAGGAGTATTATCTATGATGCATTTACGAGCTCATTTTTATATTCCTACTCTTTCATTTCCATGTTTGTTACTTGAGATCTCGTATCTGGACAAAAAAATACAGTGTAAATCAAGTTTATAGCACTTTGTAACTCTCACAGGCCCAAAGTAAAGACATGTAAATATATTCCGAACTGGTATCATTGATGTTACAAGGTATGGACTGTCCAGATGATGCCATTGGATTTAAAAAGCATGAAAACTGTCTCTAGAGTGTTATTTTCCTTCTTTCTAATGCTCATCTTGACATGGAATGGTTAATGCTGATTTCCCACTTTGATTGTACTAAAAAATCTGAAATATATTCACTTTGTATTTGACATTGTCCATTGGTCTCTCCGCGCTGTCTCAACAATTTCAGAGCCGGTGTCCAGCTTCCCTGTTTTGGGTATTTTATGACTAAACAGTAAGAAATTGTTTCTACAGCTTAAATGTAGGTTCTTACTTTCATGTATGCTATTGCATCTAGTGTAGAATACATTTAGCTCTCAAAGGAAAAAAATTTCATGCAAAACGGAGCAGGAATGGATGCGGGACCCTCAATTCTATTTGGACTGTCCAGCTTCCTGATTAGGCACAGTAACCCTCGTCGTTGTCGATTCGCCCTGCATTTATGATTTAGCCGCGAGGGAAGAAAGAGGGTCAAAATGATATGCATGATCCGGAATATCGTCAATGAGTTCACCCAGGTTCGAACTGAGGATCTTCTGTGTGTAAGACAGATGCGATAACCAGCTTCGCCATCAGCCCATATTGGTTCGGGTCTGTCGGCATCGACTCCTTGGATGGAGACCAATACTCGAGCCTGAACCTGCAGATGGATTATCTTGCATCGCGGTCATGATGGTCCTGCTATCACGGCCCTGAGGCATGAGCATCGAGTCGCAAGACCCCTTCTAGGTGCCAGTGTATACAGTGATCTGCACTCTTCGTTAGATGCCGTTGTCGCGATCCATAATAGTGTGGAGATTCAGCGAGGTGAGATAAAAGGGAAGGGATGTCGATTAGGAGTCAGAAGACGGCAGAACGAAGTGTAGAATAAATGTCTCGAGTAAAGGAAACTATCTTCGTATCTGAATGCGCGTGAGTACGGACAATCCTAGTCGACGATGTTACTAATGCGCTTACCACTAACATCTCAGCAAACACAAAGCGTCCCCGAGTTCAGACCGTTATCCACGTACAAGGTCGGAGGACTCGTGTCAAGCTGGTCACTTCTCCAAGAATCTTCTCGCCTGAGAACTGGGCATATCATCCATGCAGAGGTTCGAAGCACAGTTGGAACCCATCACTGTATGTGATCTATGGTGTAAAGTGATGCAGCCATGATTCATGTCCGACCATCTGGCGAACTTGGCCTGATGCAACAAGGCAGAACTTGATCCCCAGAAACGAGTCCTCAACACCAACGAAAGAATGAGAGTTTCGAGGAGGATGTCGAACATCGCGAACGAAAATTCATTCTTGTCAAATGAACAAATCTATTTCTTCCCCTCATCGTAAACGCTCGCGCCCTTGCCCCATCTTTCACCTCCCCAATCCTCACGAACACCCCATATATGGTTTTCACTGATCCGGGGTGCAGGCACCTGAAGCTCGCTCGAACGATACGTTCTTCCATTGCCAGCTACCACGCTCCCCCCTTCCTATGTCTGTACCCCCGGCTCCCACTGGCAACGTGTATGATATGCAGGACTGGTCATCTCCACCAACCTAGAGAACGCACGCTTGAACGCAAACTGCTCGTCTTTGCCTGCAAGAACTCGTCATTTCCTCAGTCAGCTGGAAGGAAAGAACGTGAACATACCAGAGAAGATAGATAAGGTTTCCAGTGGCACCCGGGGTTCTTCCCGATCACTAACATTTGAATGGTGATATGAGACCACATTCGGGCGGTATTTCTCAAGGTTAACAGACTCTGCCAACATCACATCCGAATTGTCCGTCCCGCGATCAATGTCTATCCGGAAGAGATCGTCCAATTGTACGTCTGACATACACACTACCCTGCAGCGAGCTTCATACAGGGCGTCGACGAAACTGATAAACCTCCTAGCCTGGTTCTTTCCGGAAGGAAGACGGATGATGGGTATGTCAGTGATGAAGATGGTGTGGAACGTGAAGGAGAGTGTGAGATAGTCCGCCGGGCCAAGAGACTGTATACATTTAAGTATTCGGTCGGAAGAAAGAAGTTGGATGACTATACCTCTTCACAAAGTTGTTGAAATGAGAACATGCATGCGTCTCCTTGGGCTGATATACGCGGAACATGAAGCTGACGGCCAAAGATGGTAAGGTCGCGAGATGACGAAGAGTCGACCTGCGCATCCACCAACCGCTCAAACTCATCGTCCCGCTTCTGCTCCCATAATTCTCCAATCTTTGCTCTCGTCTTCCCCGACACTGACAACCTCGCACCGAGCCCTTAACGCGCCACCAAAAGCACCGAGCCTCTCTCGCTGAACTCCATTGATGTATAGATCCTCTAGAACTCTGTTCGACGTCCCGACAACGACACCACCCATGCGCCAGTACCATATCAGGACATCCGAGAGGAGAAGTGCGCTTGAGACGTCTTGGAGCTGAACCTCGTCGATAAGGAGGACATACGATGAACGTAGTAGCCTGGAGGCGATGACGTATGGGATAGGTGCTAAGTACTGGGGTGAGGAGGAGGGTCGTCGCAGGCGATGTAAGAATGAATCGACACTCTCGGCGTCGACCTTGAGCATCTGGCGTACTTGATCGCGGATGGACCTGCTCCAAGTTGAAGTCGTCGCTTCGACGCCGCTATTAGAAACTTCAACATCCCGCATTCGTTTCGCTGTTTCCTCCCATACACCGCGGTAGAGATCAAGTACGAACTCATTATAATGCTTGCGAGACTTGTATGGCGTCGGCAATGATGTGAACCAGGTATCGGCGAGGAACGTCTTTCCTGAACCTGGCGGACCGGTGAGAAAGAGACCTTGGGGCGATGTCAGATGCTCCATCTCTAAGGCCAGATCCTTCGACTTGACGAGAGCTTTAATGTTTCCGATGGAATGTCTAAAAGGGATGTCGTCCAAAGGCAGAGAAGAACTCTGGGCTGGTGTATAATTGCGGAGGTCTCTGCTGAGCCTTCTGAGCTACTAGTGGGAAAATGAGGATACACAAAAAGACTAGCAAAGTAGCGTACCTTCATAATTGCTCTGACCTGTCCTTCATCCCATTCTACGCTACCGGAGTCGACCAAAGCCTTGTATCTGTCTAGCAAGTCTGTATGCACAAGCTGGGTTGAAGGATAACGGGCCCTCGGAAGTGTCGCTCTCATCAGGGAAGCAGATTCAGTATGAGCGATATTGGACTGGAAAGCCAGTTATCGATAAGTCTCTAAGTTTTCGAAGTTCAAGTGTCTTGTAATGATGGTGTTGGTGGTGGTGGTGGGAGAAGAAGGGAGCGTCGGAAGCACGGTCCGACATTCGTCATTCTCTGATTGATCCGCGCACAGCCACCAAGGTCCTTCAAGTTTGCTTCACTTTGCTTTACACCGGGCGTCATAAGTTTTACAGTCACTTGCAATCGGTTGATTATGAACAGCCGTCACCACGATATTTCCATCTACTCTGGACAAATATAGTCTCTTCTTGAGATAAGGTATATAAACATTATCATGAATTCTCGATCTCTTCTCTCTTGTCCTAGGGCAACAGCTCAGTGCTTGGCGCTCCCAGACTACTTACAATTCGGATTTCCTCTCAGCTCTGTACCATTAACAACTTCATGTAAAAAAATTCTAACAGCCGTCAAAGATCTTTTGTGAAGCGTACTGTGAGAGGAAATTTCCCGAAAAACAACGTTGATTCCCGATTCATGCTATGGTAATGTGGCGGTAGTTATTAAATGATACTTCGACCTCCTTCGGGAGCGTAAATATTAGAGTGGAACGCCATGTTCCTCGGCGATCATAATCATAATCATTCCGGGAATTATTAGGTTTAATTTGTACTTCTATCACTGAAGGAATTTGCCTGATGTTAATTTATAGATGAGATCACGAGAAATTTACCATCAGTGTGTGCGTACTAATGCTCTCTATGAGGGACAGGACAAAATCTTGCTCTCTGAAAAATTCTGTTCGTGGCTTTTCATGAATTACTACTGGGCCTTGACTGGTATATCCGGTTCTCCGTTTACCCGCTTAATTTAATCAGCACCAGCTGAAACAGCTCGCCTCCAGTACCTTTTCATTGCATCGCGTGTTTTCGGAAAGATATGTACGTCGAGTTGGGACCTTTCAGCATTTACAAGAATTCAAAAATTTACACGAGTATATGTCGGGCCTCATTGGGCTGGTAGAACCTGGGCCTGCTGTGGCTAAGAATTTCAGATAACTACTCCATCTCCTGTTTTATCTGTCGTGAGTCAGTGGTCCTTGAGCTCAAATTTCGATTTGTCCGACAATCTATAACCGTAAAAGGCAGGAAACTTGCCCGATATGGGTGGTCACCTGCAGTACCATGCTAATTTACACCGGGGACGAAAGCCCATGAGATTTCAAGGAGTCGGATTAAGGCCCATGCCCTCTGAGTTGTTCTTCAGGGCTCAAATGAACTTGAGCGAGAATATCTTAATTCAAGTTTATCATTCTCCTGAATGTTGGTCATCTGCAGGCTGTTCCATGCTTCAGTTTCATGGTGGAAGTTCTAGGGTAATATCATTGGAAAGTCACACCGCCATGGTAATGGGTACGAGAGGTTCCGGGCGCCAAGAAGCCAAGTCATTCCAGTAAACTCAAAGTCAGACTCCGAGCGTTCAAAGTCAACCCGAGCTTCGAATGGATCCAAGAGAGTCTGGGTCTGTTACTCTACTACTACCTGTCTCCACGGCGCTTCCCGGTTCCTCCATAACACGATGGGACGGCGACCACAATGACGACATTCCGGTCAGGACATTCCAACCAATCGCTAGCGACCGATCACAAAGCGCAGAATAATGGCGAACAATGGTCTCACCGAATTCTGGACATCTATTAGTTTACCGTACCTGTCATCGGGCATAGCTGCCCGTAGGTCTCAGGAAGACTCGGGTCTCCGCCAATAATACAGAAAAGGTGAAAAAAGGTACCTCCGTCTGCTTAGATTAAAGATTGCCGTCATCATTGGTTCCTAATTGCAGGTCATTTGCGAGCAAAGCGCAAGTTTTCAAACCGCATAATAAGTCGGAGAACATTGCTATGACTCGTGATAGCTTACAAGAACCGGACGCGGCGCAGCGATGCTTTGATCAGACTCACCGAGAAAGGCGGCGTGGATCTAGAATAGAAGATAATTAGCGAGCGTCGGCAGCGAGGCTTCGCGAGTTGATATTGCAATGCACCCTTGTCGCGCGGTACTTTGAAAAGAATTCTTTCTCGGCCCGCCTACTTACGACACCTTGTTTCCCGGACTTCTTCATCCGAGTACGCCCGCCGCCACTTCCCCAGGTTCAAGCCAATCCGATGCGTCGCTGCACGGTCTCGAATTACCCCTCACCCCACTCCACTAGACAGATGTCAATCCAGGAAGTTACCGTATTTGATTTGTAACTCGTGTACAGCTCGTGTACGCAGCAAACTGAATTCTTCTCTCCGTTTATGAAATGGAGTTGTGTCCGACTCCGACACACGACAAACAAAGCAAAATCCCGAGCTTCACTTGGAAATTTCTACCTCCAGTTACTAGGAACGAAAGAGACGATTACCTGAACAGCATTTCTGGGGTGCAATGAACTAGGCCGTTGTTTACGTTGTTCCCAATCTGTAAGCAGAGCTCGATAGTCATATAAAAAGGCGAGGAATCCAACGCTTACTTCAGCATCCACAGCTACATCATGTCTTCTCAGGAAACCGCTACCAAATTCGCCGCTGCTGAAGGGTTCACCGCTGGTGACAACCAGGTCGCGCCCGCCACCAACAGGGGATTGGGCCGTGGTGGTGTTGGCAAGCAAAAGGAGGCTCTGAAGCTCCGCTTGGACCTCAACCTCGAAGTCGAGATTGCCATTCAGGCTAAGGTCAACGGTGACATCACCCTTTCGCTCCTGTGAGTATTCTGTCCGATTCCTCTGGTTTCGCCCTCTGAAGCAGCTTGTAGTGAGTAAATGTTTCTTGAACTCAATCAGGAGAATCCGGCTAGTTGGAGGGGTATTAGGTTCGTATCACCTCGTTTCCGGTTTGCCTTCGTTTGTTAAAGCTGCCCTTCTAGATACACGTTAATGGTTGATGAAAGACACGACATGACCCATACATACATGGATGGGGAATGCGCCCTTTATACCACTGTTACCTGTATATAGTTGCAATTCCCGATACCTTTCTTGATCATCCTTCAATTGCGTGACGCGAGAATGGTGCCGTGGACATTGGTGCCCGGTGAGAGATATCTGCTCCATAGTAAGCGTTCCTAGGTGAAATGAGATCTGTCCGTTCGTAAAATCAGGAGACGCGGATACACTTAGCTTCATACAACTTGTCTACTTGAAGCCTGTGACCAAATGCTTAAAATTGACGCGACAAACGCTTCTAACTAAAGAGAGCGGGTAGAACACTATCAAGTTTCTTGCCCGCGACCAGATCGTTGATTGCCGCCCATTCCGGGTCGTTCAAAGCCGTCGCACGCTTCTAGCATCAAACCCGTCATCCTTAGATTGGCTGCATTTCAGAACACAGAAATGAACGCACAATGATTCGTAATAACCGAGGTACAAGTATCACAATGTCGGGAGTAAATGTGGCATAAGTTCGCAATTATGAGCCGGAAATCGCGGCAAAGAAGCATCACAGTGTGCCAGGAAGGGATAATAGTAGTGGTCAAAGTGACCAATTTTGATTTGATTCTTTGTTGATTTTCTTGAACCGAAAAATCGCGATTTTGCCAAAAATCAGTGAATCGGCGAAGCTGCTCCGGAGCAGCTTCGTCGATTTTTTGCTATTTTTTGCTGATTTGGAATCGCGATTAATCACCTCCATTCTTGTTTCCACTGGTCTGATCTGCCTGGAAGCTGTTCCTTCCTCCTGTTATATAGACTATCACTCGTAGCATTACTTACCTTCAGGCTCCCCCCTACCATTCCTCTTTAATTTAATGTAGTTGTGCCCTTTAAGACACTGCATCTGTCTATTTGGTAAAGAGATAGTATTCATCGGACATCCTAGATAGTCTGTCCACGCCGACTTCGCAACTTCACAACAGTAAGTCTATCTATACGCATGCAGAAAATGCGCTAACGCCTGGATCCTGAGATGCCACACCTTCCAAAATCGCACTGGAAAATCTTGGGAAAATCGCTACGAGGAAAATAAGCGGTCAAACGTGGTAGCAATTTTTGGTCCGATTTTGATGTATAGTCGGCTCGCAAATCAGCTACAAAATCGGGCACTTTGACCACTACTAATGGGACGTATCGATGAGATTCTTTCAAATCTCCCTGGAGTATCTGTAGTATTCTTTAGGTTGAGCTCGTTCTTCTCTAATCGGTAGGCGTACTTACCGCACTAGGAAGGGAAAAGTAACAACACAGCTTGCAGATAGAGCGGGACAAAACTTGCATCGCGATTAAGGGTGATTATAGATCCAAACTCATACTCCTTAGGTAGTCAAAATTCCTGACAGAGATCCACGCGGATAAGCCGTTGAGCATAGATGAGAATTGGCCGTAGCTGAGAAGTCCTGCATGAGAGCTTGAACGAATACAAGTTCCCTTATTGCCAAGAGCACTGGGATTCTGGCGTTGGATTGCGAGATTCACATGGTAATGATCTACCTCGCAATCACTGGGTCAGCCGCTATTAAGAGATTCTCGTACGAGTTGAGTCTTCTTACGTTTCCAAGGGCTAGCTGTCGTGTATTACCAGCCTGTCAGTGTATATACGATCGTTAGTTTTCCATCGGGATAAAACTAGACGTACCTCACATTTTTGTTGCCAGGTAGCGCTGACAATTCTCGCGACTGTAACATTTGGAGCCGGAGGGTCAAGGGAGATGGTCGTTGCATTCGAAATTGATCCGATACACAGCCACAACGCGACTTGCTCTGAACCACGACCACGGTCACTAGTCCCCTACAATGTGACAAAACTAAAGCATGTATCGTGCTCTTCTTACTGAGCCATATGGTCTACATTCATTCAGGCTGTACGCGGTACTTGCACTCGTATGGATTCCAGTCACGTTTCATGATTCTAGGACTGCTCCCTTTGCGATGGATCCGCGGCTCTACTTTGTTTCTAATTAAGGCTCTCTTCCTAGGGCTTACATGGTCTATCATAGTGGTTCAGCATGTCAGCTTCAGGACCGCGAGAATCTCTTTCTCATATCCGTGTGACTTCCCCACGCTTATCACCCATGTAACAAGTCAGCCCACTATGGCCAGGAACTCTTGTCTTCATTAAGACCACCTTTCCCTCGTCACGGATAACTGGCTCTGAATCTTGATCGAGGATCCAAGTTATTTCCGGTTATCTCTGGTCATCCTTGTGCCCAATCATCAAGACAGCACACCTTGCTACACGTCTTCTGATTATGTTCCGGCTTCTCACGTATATAAAGTGCTAGGTTTCGTCTCCCAGTATTATCTGTGCCCATCTCTCGGCGCTGTCCTGAATCATGTTTGGAGTCATCCCTCTGAGCGTTGCTCTGTTCGCAGTCTCTTCGGTAGTGACTGGGACTCCCACTCCCCGCGCCATGACTGTTCATGACCAGCGTGTTTCTGCCCCCAACCGCTTCGTCAAGACGGATGCGGCAGATCCTCAGGCTAATCTGAATTTCCGGATCGGTCTCACACCAAAGGATATCGATGGCCTCGAGAAAGCCTTGTTCGCCGTCAGCGAACCAGACAGCGATCTATACGGGCAGCATCTTAGCTTCGATGAGGTTTGTCTGTTTTCCTACATGTTTATATGCCCATTTATTCATCATTGCCTAGGTCAAAGCATTCAGCGCGCCAACTTCAGAGGCAGTAACCGCCGTCACTAACTGGCTTGCCGATAACGGGATCACTGACGTTAAAACCAGCGGTGCTTTCGACGACTGGCTGACATTTACAATTCCTGTGGAAAAAGCCAACACGCTCCTCAGCGCCCAGTACGAAACTTTCGTACATACCCAAACGGGGGAACAACTCATCCGTACTTTGACTGCTTCGATACCGTCAGACCTGACCGACTTTATCGAAGTCGTGCATCCTACGACGTCTTTCGCGAAACCTACTTTTGGCACGAAACCCGTAGTGTCCATTCCTATAACGTCTAACCTTACCGAGCGAGCGAATCCAGCTCCGTCGGCGTGCAATAGTATCGTCACACCTGCTTGTCTACAAGCTCTCTATGGTATTCCGGCAACTCGTGCCACCCAATCGACTAATCATTTGGGTGTGTCTGGTTTCATCGATCAGTTCGCTCAGGTAAAATTTCTGGGTCTTTCGTTCATACCAAGCTGATGAGTTGCAGACGGCAGATCTTCGAACATTCCTGACTAATTTGAGGCCTGACATACCCTCAACGACGACATTCACTCTGCAGACTCTCGACGGTGGTCGGAACGTTCAGAGTGCGAGTCAGGCAGGTATTGAGGCCGTAAGGACTAACTCCGAATGTTTTCTGATGCTCGTGCTGATACTGGCCTAGAATCTCGACATTCAATACACGATTGGTGTTGCTACCGGTGTTCCGACCTTTTTCATCTCTGTCGGCGACTCTACAACCGACGGTCTTGATGGTTTCCTCGATATCATCAACTTCCTTCTTGCCGAAACTAGCCCGCCTCAAGTATGTTGTTACTACTTCCGAGTCATATAGCTCAGTAACATTCCCATAGGTCTTGACGACCAGCTACGGCTTCGACGAGACGGACCTTCCGGCTAGTGCCGCAACGTGAGCTCTTTTCAGGTCTATTCACGCAAAAAAAATTCATGATGAGGTAGACGCTTGTGCAATGCATACATGGCTCTCGGTGCTCGAGGCGTGTCAATTCTCTTTGCATCTGGTGGGATTTCGAATAACCTCAGCCAATTTCTCCTCTGATTGAGACAATGTAAATTCAGGCGATGGTGGTGTAGGTGGTGGCCAGCAAGGTTTGTCTGGTGTCACATTTCTGTCCTTGTCCTAGTCTGATGATCTATAGGCGAAACTTGCACAAACTTCATTCCTGCATTCCCTGGAGGTTGTCCGTGTACGTATCGAACTGTTCAGACTGAAACGCTCTCGAAACTGACACTCGTAAACAGTCCACACTGCTGTAGGCGCAACACAGGGCGTAACGGAGACTTCCGCTAGCTTCAGCAGCGGTGGTTTCTCTAACGTTTTCGCTCGCCCGTCTTATCAAGCTTCAGCTGTCTCCACCTATCTTGACGCACTCGGTAACACCAATGCCGGAAGGTTCAACGCCGCAGGCCGAGGATTCCCCGACGTCGCAGCGCAAGGTAATAATGTTGAGATCGTGGTTGGCGGACGAGCAGGCCTAGTTGGTGGAACCTCATGCTCAAGTCCTATATTTGCGAGCATCATTTCCCTTATCAACGATCGCCTGATTGCAGCGGGGAAACCGGTACTCGGCTTTTTGAACCCCTTGTGAGTGGAAGTCAAGGTCGTGAGAGCGAGAACTGAAATAAATTAGCTTGTACGCTAATCCCTCTGCGTTCTTCGATATCACTACCGGTGATAACCCTGGATGTGGGTTTCTATTTTTCGCACGTTTAATACAGATGCTGATAACCATTAAATAGGTGGTACTAATGGTTTCCCTGCACGAGCTGGATGTAAGTGTATCCACATTTATTGCACGAAGCAAGACTAACCTAAAAATTCAACCTTTTCAAGGGGATCCTGTACGTCGCATCCACCCCCGCGCAGATACACCTCATTTATCCATTTTATTGTACTCTAGGTCACCGGTCTCGGTACACCCAACTTTGCAGCGTTGTTGGCAGCGGCAGGCTTATAAGAGATCAGTTCGATATTTGACTGTTGTCGTAGTGATAATTTTGAAGCAAAGAAGTTTTCCATCCACTTAAAAGCTACGGTGCTTCGACTCGGGGGCTCATCCATCTAAATTCGTATGCGACACCTGTGCCTTGATCTCTTCAGAAGTAATGGAAAACCCTCTTTCAAAATTACATCTATTTGATCATTCTGAGGCAAACTGGACGTCGTCAAGGTCAATGGCAGTTGAGTAAAAGTCATCTTGAAGACGTCAAAAATCAGTAATTCACGAAACATCTCCCGGGGGTATTTTGCACATCAGTCGATTTTTGCCAAAATCGCGATTTTACTGCGTCCAAAAGTCAGGGACCAAAATCGACCGGAAAATCGCGATTCTGATCGCTATTATTGACAGGCCGCGCGGTGTGATATAAACGTCTCCAAATCGTCTGTCGTTATTGTTGGTTTGATGCTCATGGAATTCCACGGTATCGCAGGCCGGCTTTGGAAGATCTTCTATCTCCAGGACGGCTTCTGGTAACGTCTTTGTCCTGTTCACTACTACCTTTAAAGTTGTTTTCTGTTAACGTATGGCGATAATTAAATTTACAGCACAATACACATGTTGGACTAGATTCGGACCACGAACCTGCCATCCGACGTAGTTGCGATATGATGTGTTTGTTATAGGCAGAGATGGCATTCAGGCGGAGAACACCCAAAGTAGAGGAATTGTATCTGTCGAGTGCCCACTGATATTCGGCGTCATCGTGGATAGTCGCGACGACGTGAATCACCCTTGGGCCCTCTCTTTCCTTCACGCCCTCTAAAAATTTCTCGTTCTCGATTATGACCTGTTCAGTTTGAGAAATATCTGAGGTAAGCGTAGGCCATATTTCAAGCATATGGGTGTCAGCAGGTGGCTAAAATGGTGCAGAACATACATCAGACAAGCACGAAGTATCAAGGTCGCACTTACCTTGCATTCTAGCTCATATGAGTTTTGAAGCACATTATTCGTGTCAAGAAAAGGTTCGTTCTGTGCAACTTTATTCTGCACAGCAAGGAAAACCCGCTCTTTGGTTACCGTATTTTCCAGAACTGCAAATCCTTCTGCTCCGTGGTGAACATCTGGGAATATAAACGGAATCCCATGAGGGTCGACAAGCCATTGGTGAAATTCTTCTGGCTTGGCGGGTTTGAAGCCGAGTCGGGGCGAGGCGCCAGAGTTCCAAATGACAGGAACACTCGTAAATGTACCATCCGACTCGTCCTTTACTAATGCAATGAGCCGGTATCGAGATGCGGCCCAGGAAGGAGCAGGATTCTTGAAACAGATGACATCTGACAGACAGCACCCATCTGGCTTTCCCAGGTTCTCCATCAGAACAAACACCGTGAGGTTTTCAAACAAAGAAGCTTTGTCCGAGATATATAGCAAGGCTTCTACCATATATTTTTTAAAGACATCCCTGTTCGTTGAGGAGAGGAGTGCCATATACGATAATGAACTGAACGGCTCAGTCATTGCAACAGTCTTCCCCGCGTTACATCTGAAAGAGGTTGGATTCCGAGCAGGGAGGGAGGGAAGGGGCGTGAGTCCAATATCAATCAGCTTCACCACGGAGTAACTGTCGAGCTCTAGGTTCGAGCTATCTTTGCTTGAGAGGATCCAGGAATACAACATTTTCGACGACAGTTGCAATAGTCTGGTATCTGATAATGAAACCTGTCAAGGGAACCATTTCGCATAACACACACAAATCGCCTTACCTTGTTCAAGACCGTCCCGCTTGAGTCGCTCATGCATAGTCATGATACCACACTGGAAGGACAATCCAGTCATTGCTTCAGATAGGTCCTCCTCCATGCCTTCATAGATGACACCATCCATTGGCCGGAATCCCGTCGATGCACAAAAGGCTTGGGAGAGGATCCTGTGGTAGGGGATCTTGGTGCGATCGCCAAACCGTTGTTCAGCTTGCATATACATCTCCAGGAGCTCGGCGATGAGCCGCGGTCTAAATGAAGATTCAGACTGTATGACTTTTTTGATGTGTAAACCACTCACCGAGAGGGCAACCACTTTTGGATGCGATCCAGCAGCCCTGGAACATCAACCAGCTCCGGCAAGTGATCTAAGATCCAATCGCAAAACATCTTCCCATCTCCTCCATTCTTGTCAGAACCATCTGGCCATATCCTCGTTGTCGTTACGGAAGCGTCTCCCGTTCTGAATTTTATGCCGGAGGAGTAAAGTGGTACCAAGTGGATATCATCGACAGGAAGTCCAGATGCACCGGCGATGATGCTTCGAGGATGTATAACTTCTTGGACAAGCTCTACAAAAGCAACCAGGACGGGATTCTTCCATAAATTTGATAGAGCTTTATACTTCTGAGCCACCACTTGAACCTCATCAATGAGGACATGAAGCTTAGGACAATCAGAAGAGGCATGCTTCTTCAGCAGCTGCGCAACGGAGCCGTTGCAATCTTGGAGCGCAAGCTCTGTCTGCTTTGCTAAGACCTCTGTACTACACAGGTGTGCAATTTTGGTGACTTCGAGGAAGATATCAGTGTTATCGGACGAGCATGGAGGGCATGCTTGGAGGAGGAGCCTTCGACGAGCGTCAAGAGGTGATATGTCAAAGTCGAGAAGATAACGCAGGAAATGGCGAAGGACAGCTAGTCGTGAGTATAGGAGCATGTAAAATGTCCGTTTTTCGATTCCATCCTTCTGCCAAGTCTCGAGGTCAAGATTGCGTATCTCGGATATCGTTTTCAGCACCCATGCGACATCCCCCGACCCGGTGGCCCAAGTTAGTTCTTCCTTGGAACAAGAAAAGTATATCGCGAAAAATTCAAGGACGCCTTCAAACAAAAGGCGCGTCTTGCCGTATCCAGGCAGGTCAACAACGTACCTATAGCCGAAGAATGTGTTGGTCAGAAAGAAAAGAAGATCAGGGTGAAAAGTTGGCGCACGTCGTGAAGAAAGAGCAAGAGGGCTCATCACTCTTGTAAATCCGTCGCCAATCTGTCAGTGATCCTCTCTCCGGGTCACCGAGTCCAGATAGAAGCAGGTGTACAGTCTCTGCAGCAGCGTTATGAACATCAGCGTGAAAGGATTTGCCCTCATGCCTCGGGAAAAACTGGTAGTCCAGTGCACCCCTGGCATAATCTTTGAGGACGGGAGAGAAGGTGCTGATTACCGACTCCACCTTAGCAAAGAGCTCCTTTGAGCTCTGTGCATCAGTAACAGTCCCTGAGTTCATTACAGCAACTGAGCTACATGTCATCTTTAGAAAACAAACAACCCACGGTCTCGCTCAAACAAATCTAAAATGCCGAAGTGAGCATGCTTCTAGGTAAGAAAATCCTTTACATACCATCTCTGAAAGATCTCCCGCGTGACAATTCTGGCTCGACAGCTGAGAGAGATTATACGAGAAAACAGAGCACGACTGACCATATTTTATAAGTGGGTGATAATTCTTTTCCCTATAACATGCCACCACGAGGTCTAATGCACGGGCTGTTGGTCGATTGTGTGAGGTAAATAGGAGGTGAATAATATTGGAGTAGAGGCATCCGAGGAGAGCACTTCGATAGCGAGCCTGAGCCTGTATATCGTCATCGCAACACTGCAGCTTGTCATTAATAGCGTCATGTAAATATTTGATGATCAGGTCCGACGCAAACTCGATTTTGGAAGCTTCAAGTAGTGGTAACGGGTCTTCTCCCAATTTGTCGTCTAGTGAGTTTAACTTCCGCTTTCCTGTTGATATTGATATACCTTTCAGTGATAAAGATAGTCTAGGATTGACGTACGACTAAGAACCCCGAGGAACTGGTTTTTTGGAGATGCACCTAAAAGATGTCATTACTTCAGTTATGGTTGCAAGAGAGGGGGTTATTAAATAAGTACCAGGCTGTTCCGTCATTTTGACACCAATGTTTACAGTTCGCAGTTTACGGCGACTTGATGACATTCGGTTGGTCCAGCAATTTGAAGAGTTCTGTACTCAAAGCCAGAAAAGCCAGTAGATCGAAGGAATACAGAAGACGAATGGTGGTACGTTCGAAGCAAGTGTTCAGAATAGGGGTAATGACTCGAAGACAGTCTGAGATACAAGTTTCAGAGTTCCTACATCAACAAGGGTCCGCCAAGGCGCCGGCGACAGAGACCTTTTTGGAAGGAAGCTGCCACTTAGTTGCTCTGGGATCGATTTTTGAAGCCATCAGAGCCATGTGCACGACACCTGTTTTCAATACTTCAATCGTGTTAGGACTCAGCTGGTTTCTTTGGAATCGAAAGGCCCATAAGCGACTCCGGAAGTCGTATACTCTCAACTTACAGGTGATGAGCGTGACATATCATCCGCGCCGCCGTCGCTGAGAGCTATCCGTTTCGTCATGTCCTCCAGATCGCTGGCTTCGTCGGAAGACAGCGGTGGACCCATCACGCCCGAGACTCACCCAGTTCACGTCGATGTTGAGGTGCGGGACATGGAAAAAGGAGAGGGTATTGGAGAGGTGGACGTGGCCTTGATCAAGGATGATGAGAAGTCTATTCAGAGCGCTGATTTGGCTGGCAGCGCTGGTTCGCAGAAGAAGCAGGTATTCTTTCGAAGGTTTGTTCAGAAGTTGGTACTGTCTGGGAATAGGTCGTCGACGAATCTTTCCTTCGTTTGAATATTTTATATGCCGTAATTCGAAAATTTGGACATATATCCCAGAACTCGTGTGTGATGCACGTCCACCAGGCAAATCGATGTCTATTCTCATATATGAGCATGATGGGAAGAACAGTGTCTTTGCTTTACTTTCCTCCTAGTGCACACACCTTTGAAGATCGCAAGTTACACCTCTCTAGTGGATGACAGGAAGGGGTCCATAGGCCAACTAGCTGACTAGTTCGTAAGCGCCCAGCGAACCCATCACGCTGTATTATTTTTTTAAGCACGTACCCTTCCCCCCTTCTCCCCTGGAGGCGTTGTTACGTCTGAGAACCGTGCAGTATATGGTAACATTGGTCGGGAAAGTGAAGGAACCGCGGAGTTCCGCGCGGATAAATGACCACCACTGCTTATCGCGCCCTTTCCACCTCACAATTGCTCGTCTCTCCAAGAGTTAGACCGACTGCAGTTCAGACATAACTTTTTTGGTTGCTCGAATTGAGACAAGCCGCGGACAGTTCGGCAATTCCCGGCGCTCTACAATTTTCGTGCTCGCAATAATTTTGCCATGATTCGTTTGCTCTTTTCTCGACCACCACCACTTTCGCGGATACCTTCCCTCCTTCTCCCTTCTTCGCGCTTAACTCGTCCTAGCATCCGAAAAATGGCTACTGCGTCGACACCCGAGTTCGTATGTGCTCCTCTCCCGCCAATGAAACGGATCATGAACTTGCTCTTGCCAGAATAAAATGTTGTACGCCCCTTTGGCCGAAATCGACCCAGAGGTTCAAAATATCATTGACAAGGAGACGTGGAGACAGCTTTCTGGTCTTGAGCTCATTGCTTCAGAGGTGCGTTCTACGATTATTTGAAGTCGCGCATATAAGCTGAAGGGAAGCGTAGAACCTTACTAGCCAGTCTGTCATGGAAGCGAATGGCTCCATCCTGACGAACAAGTACTCGGAGGGTCTCCCAGGTGCCCGTTATTATGGCGGTAACGAGTACATCGACGAACTCGAGAACCTTTGTCGCAAACGTGCGCTCAAAGCCTTTAATCTCGATCCTGCAAAATGGGGTGTTAACGTGCAGCCTTACTCTGGAAGCGTGTGTCTGTTCATTTCTCTTCCACATCGTATCTAAAATTTGTTCAACGTTTAGACGGCCAAGTAGGTTGGCTACTGAACTCGAACGACATTTTCTTACATCTCAATTAGCTTTGCTGCCTTCACCGCCCTCATCCAACCAAACGATCGTCTTATGGGTCTTGGCCTCCCCGATGGTGGTCATCTCACTCACGGTTACTACGTGCGTATCACTCAACAACGAGATTGACTGCCATTTGACCCGACATCCCTAGACCGCGAAGAAGAAAATGACCGCCTCTTCCATCTACTTCCAATCATTACCGTACACCATCACCCCCGATACGAACCTCATCGATTACCCAGCTCTTGCTGCCCAAGCCAAGATTTTCAAACCAAGAATGATCGTCTGTGGTGCTTCTGCGTACCCTCGTGACTGGGACTACGCCGAACTCAAAAAGACCGCCGAGAAGGAAGGGGCATGGCTCCTGTGCGATATGGCACACACGAGCGGTCTCGTCGCTGCACAAGAACTTAACAGCCCATTTGACTATTGTGATGTAGTCACGACTACGACGTGAGTTGCTCTCCCCTCGTTTGCTTCATGCGTTGACGCGTTTCTATAGGCACAAGACCCTCCGTGGACCTCGTGCTGGTCTTATCTTCTTCCGGAAAGACCTCGAGAACGCCAAGGACCTCGAGAAACGCGTCAATGAGGCTGTCTTCCCTGCGTGCCAGGGAGGTCCCCACAATAACGTACGTCCCATTGCTTTATCTGGCTTTGCCTGTGCTCACTATCACGTAGACTATCGCCGCCGTCGCCACTGCGCTCCTCCAAGTTGCCCAGCCTGCATTCAAGGATTACGCGAAACAGGTTATCCTGAACGCTCGTACGCTAGCTGCATCCCTCTCCGAGCATGGCTACAAGCTCCAAACGGGTGGAACAGACAACCATCTCGTTCTCTGGGACCTCCGTCCTCTCGGTTTGACTGGTAGCAAGATCGAGAAGGTCTGCGATCTCATGGGTATCACCATTAACAGTGTGTTCATCCCCCTTCATGAGAAACCTCATGCTAATCATTTTTTTTCTAATATAGAAAACGCTGTCTCTGGTGACGCTTCCGCCCAAGTCCCCGGTGGTATCCGCCTCGGCACCTCCGCTTTAACGTCACGCAACATGGTCGAGTCCGATATCAAAGTCGTTGCAGACTTCCTGCACCGCACTGTCCAGCTGTCTCTGATCCTGCAGAAGGAGGCCGGAACAAAGATGCTGAAGGACTTTGTACGCGTTGCGACGACACAGGAGGAAGGCAAGGAGGGTTACGCCAAGGTGAAGCAGCTGAGGGATGAGGTGAGGAATTTTGCGAAGCAGTGGCCTCTCCCGGGTGTGGACGCGGCGACGTTCAAGAAGCCTGAGGGTATCCATGATGATTGAGAGCGTAGCCGGTGGTGTTTGCTTTTTTTTTTGAGAATGTTAGGACTTGTGTAGAAGATTCAACGATCATTGTATTTGTAGTCATACGTACTAGCGGACATTCAACATCGTCCAAATGCTATACTGTAATATTTTTGTGCTATAACTATCGTGATGGGGCCGGAGCAGAGCATCTCTCAATCAGAAGGTTACCTCGCTGACTGCACGACGCTAGTCTGTCCTTCAATGCTCTGCAAACCTGCTCAAAATCAACATGGCCATATACCAGAAACCTGAGGCGTGCTCCTCCCAGCCGCCCCGAGAAGAGCCGATCCAGGTCCACCCAGTCAATAGAATCAGCCTCCGCGTCCAACTCATCTACTGACCAGGGTGATATCCCCAAATCGACCCTTTCCAGCGCCGCGGGATTTAATTGGTGAAGGATCTTTACGACCCATGGCCCAGCACTCGTCACCTGCGACACCTCCACGTTACTGATGAAATAATCGACCCTCAGATGGCGCAAGGCGGTATTCAAACCCAAGTTCACCGCGAGGTAAAAGTCCTCTAGTATCCAAAAAAAAAGTCAGATAAGGGAATCTCGAAATAGGCGTATGGACTGCACCTGCGTCACCTCCAGCGTCGAATGACCAGAACCCGAACGTGAGGGTCTGTAGTGCGTCTCCGAGGTGGGAGAGGTACGTCCCAATGGATTGAGTGTCAGCGGGTCGTACAGAATAACCGAGGTTAATGTGCGGTATCAGCGGGATGGGTTCGAGGAAACACAGCCAGTCGAAGATGTCCCGCTGATAGCAGTCGCACAATGTTAGATGATGTAGGCTGATAGGTAGTGGGTGTGTATCCATGCGAGGATCTGTCCAAATCGCGTCGTGGATGGAGAGTGACTGGAGAAGAGGGAAAGACGCGATGAACTCGAGTGCTTGGGAGAAGGAGTCGAAGACGATTGTGTCCAGGCGAAGATTCGTGATACTGGGAAATTTGGTCGATAGGGTGGATAGGTTAGTTGGCTCCCACCTTGAGAACTTGATGCATAGGGAGGTTGTATTCTGTAGGACGGGAAAGGATTCGAGGACGCGGGAGAATGTGTCTGGCTGGGCTTCCAGTACGAGGTCGATGTCGCGTAAGGTATGTGGAATGAAGCTGTTGGTATTGGCGCAAAGCTCAATGAATTTACGTTGGTTCGCTGTCGTTACGATAGCATGGAAAGAATGACGCCGACTCGACTGGAGCCAGTACCGGGAGACGAGGCTGCATGTCCTCAAAGTCTCAGGATCGTCACGCAAATAGTCCAAGATCACGTCCACAAGCTCAGCGGGAATCATTGTAAAGATATTTCTTCGTTTCGAATCAGATAACCAAGTACAAATCTGAAAGGATGTAACTTTCACCACTATCTAGAAATCCATCATAGCCCGTAAGCGTAGTGTTGCTAGCGAAAGCGAAGTCAAAGTAGATCTACGACGGAACAATATCTCCCGTACAATCTTCCGCTCTGAAGGAGCATGTATGGAAGGGATAAGTCGTCGAAGAGATTTGAAAAGAAAGGATTGAATCGGCGATGAAATTTTATGGCAGGGCGGCAGCCTCCGATCCAAATATGACACGCAAATACATGGTCCGTGCGCACTCCCGAAGACATATATAAGGCAGCTTCGAACATTGTGGATCCTTACCACTCTGGCCTTTTGGCTTAGATCAAGTGTAGTATCTGTTCTTAATAGTTTAACCACTATTACGGAGGCACCGCCTCCCGTATTGGTTATCTAATTTTTGCCGCCCTTGTCCTCTGTGCTCTGCTTGCAACACGGAGGCGTGATGACCTTGCTACTGCAGTACCGGCTTGTGTTGTCGGGGGATCCCTTTTTCTTTGCTGTTCACTTTCGAGGACTTCCGATTGGCGGTCTTTGGGTTGCAGCAAACATTGGGATACTCGAAATTTTTCCCTCTTTAGCTCGTAATGTTTCTATTGTTTCCAAGAGTTGATAGGATTCCGACGAATGGGAATGACGTTGACTTATGTACGGGGTTACAAGCTTCTGTGATAGCTGACTTTTATGTATAATGCTGTCTTCATTCAACGTTTCACTGGAATATCTGAATGGCTTGCAATAGAATGATTTTGCTCAAATTTTGCCATGATGATACGAACGTTCACTCCGAGATAACCTTAATTGTTAAGTGTCGCGTAGCGTTGATCCTTCAAACTTCATTAATCGTTGCCTGACGAGTACATCTGCCATTCGAAGGGTAAGAGCGCCGAGGTTCACTCAATCACACGAGGGAGTGGTTGGTCAAAAATGGATTGGAAACCAGCGCTACACGTAAGAATGGTACATCCGTAACATCTCCCCATCCACCAGAAAAACGTCGACGATAACTTTATGGTCAAAGACCTCTCAGTAAAACGCCCATCCAACGACGAAACAAGAACGCTAACCTGACAATTTATGACCAATCTCCCTAGCACATTCAAGTACGACGATTGAACGTTCAGTCACTACACACGCCAAAAGTCAGCCCAGCTCGCCAGATGAATGAATAATCTACTCACAGGAGCGACAAGGTAATGTCACCGTTGACCTTGGCCTGGATGGCAATCTCAACCTCGAGGTTAAGGTCAAGACGGAGCTTCAGGGCTGCGGGTGGTGCAGCCTCACGCGGAGTGCGACCGACGATTTGTCCACCGAGGACAGAGGAAGATTGAGTGGGGGAAAATTTGGTAGCGGTTTCCGGGGCAGACATTGTTGGGAGATTTGCTGGCTCTTCAAGGTTCTTTTATATGCGACTGGCGATTCTGGGGGAGGAATTTGTTGCGATCCCAGAGTCCTCGTGGAATGTAGGGCGTGTTCCAGTGTCAAATTGGAAGCTCTGTGTTGTAACACCGGTTTTCGAGTTATCGTAAGCTTGCAGCAATGGACTCGCGCTGTCCACAAGCACGATGGTTATCATATTTGTCGCGGGAGATTCTTCTCTTCTCCATAACAGAACTATCTGAGTCGGGCGCAGGAGGGAAAGAAGAATATTAGGGCAAGAAATGGTGTTGGTGGCGGGTAGCGAAACTCGGGCTAATTTGTTGCAACGAGATGATGAGCTTCGAACAATACCTAGGTGGGCCGACTCACGAAACTGTCATTCCGTCGAAGGCTCTTTTCTCATGGTAGCTAATTTTCAGAGCCGCGTTTTTGATGTAAAAGATAACGAGATGGGCCCAGGTGGGGTGCGTGGAGACCGAAGGTTGTTATTAAGTTTTCCAGAAATCTACTCTGGGGAATGAAGACATGCCTCGGAGATCGTTGCGCGGAATTGATGGCGTAAGAGTATCAGAGTCGTGGATGAAGGCGAGCAGGTGATGGTGGTTGCAAATCAAGCCGCAAGCCGGACTTTTCCGCGATATGAAGCGTTGGAGGAATTTTGGACCCACAAGCACCCATACATATGGCTACTCTTCCCAGCCATGCCAGCAACAAAATGTCGTATTATACCTCCATTCCATGCGTTCTTCACCGGTCTATGCTCAAAAGGCCCCGAGTTGCAGGCAGGGGAATATGGTCTGCATCGTGTTCATTATGAAATAAGAACCGTTACGTAGCAAGTGCCTTCTTGTTGCTTCGAGGCGAAAAAAGTTAAGTTGCTTGGATGAGGCACCCGACTTATCGAGCTGCATTATGGCGCGACAATATCCTCATTCATACCCCGGGTCCGTCGATTGTAATATAAAACCCTAACCAAAGCGACCTAGTCAGTATCAGTAAACATGTCTGCTCCAGAAACCTCTACCTCCGTCGCTACCCGCTCGAACCAGGGCACCGTCGCTCCCAAGGAAGCTTTGAAGCTTCGTCTTGACCTCAACCTCGAGGTGGAGATTGCCATCCAGGCCAAGGTCAATGGCGACATCACCCTCTCTCTCCTGTAAGTCGGTGATTACCGCCGTTTGGATATCTCAAGCTGACTTGCCGTTTTGACAGCGAGTAAATGTGCCGTAGGACTGGAGGGAGGAAATTGGACTTCGATTGCCATGGTGGGGTGAGATTTACTTTATTGAGGACCAGCCGGTGTCCAAGGTTCTAACGTTTTTTCTGCTTAGCACGTCGCCATGTCGGAATACCCTCTTTCCATCCTTCACTTTGGTCTTTCAGGGATGTTGCATTAGTATTTGTGGTTCATGCGAGTAGTTACATTCCAATATCAGCCTTCCTTTTAGGGTTCTATGCTTGAGTCACATTCTCGCGTCTAGTCAATGGTTGGTACAAGTTCAGTATTAGGCCTGTGGAATTTGTGACCGCTAATGGAGCCCCTGGACCCTGGGTCTTAGGTCTGAGGTCACCGGTGCCCTCCGGTTCTTCGGTGGCCTCAGTCACGATTTGGTCACGGTCACGGGACAGGATACACGGTGGGCCTGGGCCTAGCTTCGGTGACCTCGCATCCCACCACCGTCTTTCCGAACCGTGCCCCACGCTCATTTGAATTTCTTTCGTTTCCAGTTGAATTTTCTTGTCAGAATGGTAACACAACTTTGCTAGTTATTTCTGGTTTTCATTCCTCATGTGACCATTAACAGCAGGTTATACAAAATCCACAAGAACTCGCCAACTTGCGATTCGATGCTGCCGCCTCATTGGCTCTCCTGGAAAGGATTAGAGAGGAGAAATTCGCTTCACCCACAAGCTTCCTACGACAGATGGAACAACAAGACAAATTCACCGCAGATGCCGCCCAGGAACGCGCTAACGACAGTCGTTTGGAGGCTTTGAGGCTGTTGGCGTATCTCGCTCGCTGCTTTTGTCAGGATTCAAAAGGGAGTTGCGTTGCTGCAGTGCTTGGGAAGCCGAGGACGTCAGTAGAATCAGACGAAGAACCAGCAACAGACGACAGACCCGATGACGATGGCGAAGGCGGCGACGACGACGACGACGATATTCTTTTCTCGAATCCTATGGATCTTCCGCTTCCCTATTTCTCTTCGACGTCAGACACACAAGCTGAGCACGACGTCGAATTCATTCACACAACTCCACCACCGTCACCTCCTAAGGCTACAGCCCCCTCAAACCCCCGCCTCGTTTTACTTCTTGCAGACAACTGGGCACCAAGAATACCTTCTCATTTCAATGAGACGTCCATCCTCGTGAAAAATACGCTCTCTGAGTGTATTCGACTGCAGGATGTCACGCTCCGTCAGTATCGACTAATACTCTTAGGGCGAAAAACTTCCTCTGTGTGGATTGATGAAGCATTCACAAAGCTTATAGATGCCGTTGCTTACATCAGTAGCAACTCGAATACCGTTTCACACCCAAATACCGACTCTGAGATGCTCGCTTCCTTAGACGAGCATTTCGCTCATTGGAGTAGCAACGGCGGTGTGGAAGTGGACGGCCAAGCTTCCGTGTACGAAGAGGCATTTCTTCAGCTCTGTTCTCATTTTCCAGAAGCCCGCCTAGAGTCAGTCTCTCGTAACGATCCTCCTTTCCGCGAAAATCCTATTTCGGCTAGCCTAGTATTCTTCCGCGCTGTTGTCACCTGCATTCTAGGATGTCAGGTTTCTTCTCCTACTGACAGAACGGTGATTCTCGCTCAAGATAGCGACGTTTCCAATAAATCCTTCGTCGTACTCCTGGCGATGGAAATTTTTGCCGACAGTCGATATATGAATGACCTGCGACAGGTCCCGACACCATCATCGATTTCGGACTCGCAGGATGTAGGAGTAAGGCTTCGCCGGTTTAGAAGACGGTGGTTACGAATTGTCAGCCCGGCGCGTGGTGCGCAAAGTGTGGCTGTAGCTGGCCTGCCATTGATCACGCGTCTATTGGAATCGGATGGCTCGGACGATACCCAAGAAGATTTCGACAGATATTTTCAGGTTCTTTGGGCTCAGCCGGGACTACGACCTCCGATAGACCCTATCAACCCGGTTTCGCTTCGTCCTCCTTTCGCGCTCTTCTCTGATTTATGTGAATCTCGGACTTCCTTAGTCGACAATACCTTTGGATGGACGGAGGCGCTGATAGCAGGGACCTGGAAGCCAAAGTTATGGGACATCAGATTACATGCTGAGGTACAACTTGTCATCTGCTGCGAAGAGATGGGTATCAAAATCGCCGAAAACACTATCGGAGTGACAAAACGGCCGTGTCTTGCTTGTGATCACACTTTGGCCAGACACATTCCCACGTTTTGCATACCCTCTAGTTCGAAGAAACCATTTCGTACCTGGGCGCTACCGGATCGGTTTCCAATCGCATCAGACATTGGCGATATCGTGGCAGATATCAAGAAAAGTTTACTAGATGAGATTGAAGAAGGGCCGCCGGCACAAACGAACGTACCTGGCAGCATGACACGGAGAGAAAATATATCCGACAGTAGCTATGGCAGTTTGGGCGGTGAAGTATCAAATACGGTGTCGAATAAGGTGGACTGGACGAAGCTCAAGTACATTGGGGACTAGGTCATGCGTAGACGATGTCGTTTACATTGTTTGTATCACGAGAACATGTACAGTCACCACATTTCTGTCGTGGAAGGAGAAAAGTCTATCTCGCCTAAGTAACAATGTAAAAGTATTAGTTGAAAAGCGGTGTAACAGACAACAAACGCACTTGTCGTGATCTCGCAATTCAGACGTCCCAATTTATTCATCTTAGGCATACCATCCACCAACATATAGTTTCGAAAATACTCGTCCATATCACCGTTAGTTGGCCACCTGCCGTGAATGACATCGTCATATTCCAGATTGCTAAAATAGATGGTATAATCAGCAGATATCCCCAACCGTACTGAAAAATTCCATGGATGGTTAGCAAGGATATGGTCCAGCTCTTGCCATTCCTTCCGTTTTCGAGGTAACAGAATTGCGTCATATGGTCTAAAACAGATTTCGATAAAAATATCTTCCACCGACGACGGAAGTGTCTTAAAAAATCGGTGAGCCCAGGGGAAAGGTTTCGACCGATCTGGTGGATCCATGGAGTGGCTATTAAACACCAGGCTGGTGCAGATGCTCCGAAGGCGGAGATGTCCCCTCAGGTCTATGTCGTATCGAGCTGCTATCATCGCAAATGAACACACGTATCCAAAACGTTCAGAACCATAACGTACAGAATGCTGAAGGGAGGAACGTTAAATGCTCCAAGGATGGGCTGCTGAGGGAGATAAGGGAAGAGATGGCGTCTATATTTCGCTCGAATGCCTGGACGCTAAGCACACGAAGATTGCCTATGGATATCGTAGATTGAGGGGAGAGCAGGCATTCCACGGGAGCACCACCCGTACGAAGTTCTAGAGTAGAAGGAGCACAACGATGGGATGAAACGTACGTGCGCTCCACGCCACTGGGGTTATCAATGCTGATTCTGTTCATAGAGATGACCTCAAGGTTGCTGAAGGTAACGAATAGGGATAGCATCTGAGAGGACGAGTTGAAGACTGTGTCTTCTAATATAAGATGGCGGACACTAGATATTGAATGAGGTGGCGGAGGGAAGCTATCCCCAAATATAGTTGGTCTGTTCATTGCTAGAAATATGTGAACCCGTCGAAGGTTGGGAATGAGCTCTAATAGGGAGGGAAATATACAGCGGTAGTCGATATCGTCTGTCGAGTCCCAGTGAATTAAGCTAAGGGTACGAATCGATGATAAGACGTATTTTGAAGCCACCAGAGTTTGTCGGAAATTGAGACAGATGTCTGTATGGCTGATTTGCTTGTTGTGAGGAAGTTTCACATAGGAAAAAAGGAGTCGGCGGGTTGAAGGAAGGAAGAAGGAATGGGACAATGAGCATGCCTTGAGTGAGGGGAAATCTGAGCTAAGATGACGAAGTATTTCTTCCAATACATCTTCAGGGATGTCCATGACTCGGATGAAGGTGCGAGCTCGACACAGCCACATAAAACTCGACTCAAGCCGCTTTCTCCCTCCATAACTGTCGTGTCACGGTTCGTCCGAATTTAGACTCGAGCCAGTCTCGGTTGATGCCATGCACAATCATCGAGCGCTCGCATGGTCAAAAAAATTCTCAGAACTTCGAAAACTTTGAATCACCGATTGCGGATTTGAGTCCATAGAGTTGTGAAGAATAAAAAGACAAAATTCATCATGTTTTTATTTTTTCAATAGCTTCCTTGTACTGCGGGAAATGAAGAAATTATTCAAATAGCCCCTGTAGATTGTCGATGCCAGCAATATGGCCACGTCTTCACCTGAAGCCACCGCGTTACTTGGCCATCGTTGCTCACTGTAGCATCAAAGACAAGCATACCTCTCTTATGTCTTCACCCATTCCATATACTGCTAAATACAGCCAAGGAACTCTCCTTTTAACGTATACTTCCATGTACAAGTCCAGCTAGCAACTATCCTAAAAGGCTGCTGAAGGTTATCGTGTTCTCAGTTTCTTCGGAGAGAAGTCCTTTTGAGGACTGGAGTCTTGGAATCTTCGTTCTTGGGACAGAGAGCGCGAACAACGCTTGAAGGGCATATCAGAGCTATTGAGGGAACTAAATTGCGAATTAAAGGACTGCTGGTGCGAATTTGAGAAAAATAAAAACATCCAGTGTTTTGTATTTTGTATCGCTATGACTGACTAGATTTGCAGAGGAAAAGAAGAGATGAACTTTGGGGGTCTAGGCAGGGAAGGAGAATTAATCGTGGGAATTTTTTTGACGATGCGAGGCCCCGATCATTCTGTTCCAGTCTCATCTGCCTGCTTGCGTTGATCGATTGTCATCAACTGGTGGGGAGACTGGTTCGAGTCTAGTCCGAATTGTTCTCTTGCATTTCCTCTCACGGCTCTTTTACCCTCATCTTCCCCCAGTGATAGGCTACGACGCGTCAATTTCCGGAACTTGCTCTCCTTCATTGGCCGTTGCCACATAATCATCCTGGGCTACCTTTCAGACGCTTCATCAGTACTCGTTCACCTGAATGACACAAATTTAGTGTAGGAAGATATTACGAAATGGTGAATTTATCCAGAAGGATCATCTTTAATCAAAGAATCAGGTTGGGTTTCGGGTACGTCGTATTTTGCTTCCTTGGACGCATAAATCAACATGGAAGCTTATCGGCCTTTTTCTACAGAGAGTTTCCTCCAATTTTTATAACATTTTCTTGATTTTCAGGGAATGCCATAGAAGTGTTCTGCTCCTGTACGTTACATCTACATCGAAATTACTCGATTTCCCTCCAAACTGACGAGAAGACCATCCAGAAGACTTGTGAAATAAAGAACTGGCATAGTAAGAAGGAGGAAGAGAAAGTCGAAGCCAGGAAACGATCGTTTCAAGTGTGTATATCCTTGACTTGTACCAAAGCCGTTGCTAAGCGATGTCTATCTTCAGCATAATGAACAAAAGGGCGCGGCATTCGACCTGACCTGCATATATAGTACATTGGTGTGCTGCATGTTCTTCCAGCATCTACAGGGGTAATCCCAACGCCTCCCTCAGCACTCCTCCAAATGGCGTCGACAATACTCTTGATCTGAACTGCATGCTGCAAGTCGGGATAATCTCCAATGCCTTCGCCCTTCAAGTATTCCTCCCAGGACCTACCCTCATTCGTCTTACCATCATCATCAACTTTCACCTCATCACCATTCACCCAAAGCTGCGTTGGTTCGTACACCACTACAAAAGCTGCCAAGAGATTGTCGCTCTCAATCCTTATGCTTCTTTTCGTCCCGTCAATAACCCATACAAGCAGAGTTGCCGCTTTCACATTGGCAGGTTTCTCCATCCCCGCACGCCAGTGCAAACTCATCACAGCACCGCTCTTTAGCGTGCCAGATACGACTACCTGCGACGAACCGTCAGCGGAGACAACATCACCAGTGGGCGTGCCATCAAAATTGAGCACTTGGGATGAAGGGTGCTGGAGGACCACGGTCACGAATACAGTATCGGTCGGTCCAAGAATATACGTGAAGGCCTTGAGAAAATGGCCTCGAGAGATATCAAGAAGTGTCGCGCCATTCTCCTTTTTCAAAAAATATTCGCCTCCTTTCAATACCATCGGTCCCCATGGCGCATAAGGACCGGATATTCGTGATGTCTGCTATCAATAAGGACACTATACGAGATCACCAAGGTCTAGTGCTGTCGCGCCGGCTTTGGTTCTAGTTGAACAGGCCGACTATGGCGTTGCTGGTATGGTCTCCCTTTACCGTATGCCGATGGACTGGGCTTATGCGGATTGTGGCCATACGGACACTGGTGTCATTTGCAGTAGCTTTGCATGATGTTACGATGGTACGTCTCGTGTCTTGGTTATATAACATTACAGTTGCTGATGATCGTGTCGTAGGTATATTGATCAAGATCGACTTCGTCCTCGCTGATATCCCTTTCAAGTGTAATGGACAGGATACTGATACGAATACTTGACTCGGTATAATATGCGACCCGAAACGCTCCAGTCTCAGTTTGCCGCAAGTCTGCCGTTTGCTTTACAGTTATTTATTCCGGTTTCACCTCAAAATGCCCTCAAACATATCTTCCTCCTTTACAACGCCCATGGCCCAAACCAAATCCTCCATCACACTTTGTAGCAACTGTGGCCACTCGTTTAATACCCAAGTCTCTTCTCTTCCGCTCGATGTCGATGCGTACCTACGATCTGGAAGACAGATCATTCCCAAAATGGAAGAAGAAGCGTACTCGCAAACCCTCTCAGAACTACGCAAAAAGATATACGAGTACAATTCGCAAATATCCAGCTTGAAATGCATTGTGGAGAACCTCGAAGCTGGGCGCCAGATGATAAGGAAGTCGGTCCGAAAAGTCCGATCTCTCGTTGCGCCCATTCGCAGGCTTCCCCCGGAGATCCTTTCCATCATCTTCGAATGTGTCTGCATTTCCTTACCGTTCTATGATGGTCGCGATGAGAGGCGATCCGCATGCAAAGGACCCTTCCACCTCTCCGCTGTCTGCGCATATTGGCGGGACATATGTCTATCTTCACCTCAACTTTGGACGTCCATATTCGCCAACGCCGACAACTCAGACCTATTGCCGCGCTTTAAAAACCTTTCAAAATTGGTCGAAGAGCGTTCATACCAGCTCCCATTATCCCTTGATGTATCGGCACGGTACTCACCCCCGCACCTATATCTTAACATTCCGCGAAGCCGCTATCACTGCTTGGATTCGTTGTTCTACGGCGACAGCGCAATTAGTTTGTGCCGCCTGAAGAACATCTCCCTAGATTTGAATTTCAAGTTCGATAACATAGCGCTAGAAGATAGCCGCATTGAATTCCCAGAACTGGAACATCTGGAACTCTCCGGATGTTTTGAAGCCTTCCCCGACGAGGTGGTCATCGGTCTATTTTCGCATGTTCCGAAATTGCATACTCTATCTTTGGGAAGTTTCTCCCATATCATACATTTACGCTTGCCGGACGAACAGATCACGACGATCCACTATTCCGGTTATCGATCGCGGAATATCGACGCTTTGCAGTGCCATAAGAGGTTTCCCAATGTTACCACAGCTACGTTTCATCATTGCAATCTGGATTTACTCAACACAAGCGACCTTCCCTTCCGAAAGCTACTTCTCCAAGATGTGCTACTAGACAATATCGGAGATCACATTTTGCAAACGACGATCCCGTACCTTACTTCCCTAGAACTCGTCAGCACTGTTCATGAAGTGTACCGTAACACTTACAAGGCAGAGGTATTTCGCAACCTCGTACAACGCGTTTTCCAGTCTCTCACGGAGCTCACGTTCACCACCGTTGACTTTCTTTCCACTGATGCGCTTCCCATCCTTCGCATGGCGCCGAACCTCTTGAGGTTATCCATCGTGGAGCAAAACAAGGTGCAAATGCGTCTTGTTACGCCCAATTTCATCCAAGGGCTTTATGATCCAAGGATGTTGCCAGAGTTGCGGCATTTGCAGCTTGTCTGGTCGGGCAGCGTGAATGAGGCCGCTGTTATGGATATGGTTGAGCATCGGGCGTTCGAGTCTGTTGTGATAGGTGTGAGGATGGGAGGCAAGCTCCAAGGGGATACTTTGTCTAGAGTCGACGGTCTACGAGAACGAGGCATAATAATAACACTCTGGTAGAGAAGAGCTTGGGAATGTGTATACACGTACGAGTTAACATTGTGTATGTCGTGATAATGAACATGGATTCACTGGGTGATGAGATACAGGCCCTGGCGTCTCGTACAACGTCGTGAATGAGCACTGCTTGGCAAATTTCACTCGAATATCTAGGAAAAATGAATAAATAAAGCTCGTTACTTGAAGGATATACAACCAATTACCAACCTATGCTTTGGTCATAACGCGTAACGGCCAAAGAACCTTCCTCGTTGCGCTTCTGGGCCTCATGCTCGATCTCTTCTTCGAAAATATACCCACTCGTGGAATCCTACACAACGGAAATCATACCAATAGGAACGGTCAAATGGAAGTGTCCAATTCGCCGTTATAAGTACAGGAGGAGGCTGCCCAGAACATTGTATCCCGTGTAGAGACGCGAACACAGCCGATATGTTAAATGCACATATCACAAATACGGCAGAAGTTTACGTGGTATTAAGGTGTGGGAAACTGATGGCAACTCAGAACGACAAGGTTAGTCAGAAGGGGCACTCTACTGGGGGAGTGAATGTCAGGGTTCCTGCCATTGACGGCAACCCTGACCGTCACACCGCATATTTCAAGTCCTCTTGTGCTTCGAACGTCGCTTGACCTTATGAGATGAGAGTCGAGCACTCGGATTTTATGGTGGAAAAAAAAAAGAAAAGGCAACACGTGGGTCTCGTCCTAATCGGTCGAATTTGAATTGAGCCATTCGATGACAAGTTCACATCCGGTGACGTAGTTGACGCAGTGGTTCGATCGTTATGGATTCGCCAAAGTTCTCTCCTTCTTACCACCACAGAATATTCAAGTTACAGTTGCAGAAATGACAAAACTAGTGATTCGAGAAGTACACTCTGGCTTTTCCGCACTTATACGATTCCAACAACATCTTTTGCAGGTTGCCAAAGATGTCTGAACCTTTTCCGAGTACATATCTCTGCTTTATCTGTAATCCCCGGAATATGACTGTTCTCAAGGCTTTTTTCTCGTATGGGCATGCCATTTGGCGGCCGTTCGACTGCTATCAAATTGCAGAACGGCGGCGTTTGGGTCTTGGCTTCCACACCTTTGGACGACGCGACCAAGACCAAGCTGAATGAACTAGGACCGGTTCAGCGAGTTTTCATATCACTTGCTAAATTTATATCCTCGCCAACTGCTGCTTATTCTAGGTACATCATCGGCGCAGACGCTGTCCACCACCTATTCTTGAGTTAGTCCGAAGGGCATCGTCAACGACTGTGCTAACGATATCTAGCTGAATTCAAAACCGCCTATCCTCATGCTAAATTAATCGCGCCTCAAGATGCCATCAAGAGGCACGATAACAAGGACCTCAAATTTGATGGTGGTAAGGCCTGGTAGTATGTGATGTAGTCGTGATGCTGAGCCTCGGGACTAGCTTGGGGACTGGATGCTCCAGGAACGAAATACGGATTTGAGGACGAGGTTCGTCTACTTCAACCGTTCTCCCTTTCAATACTCACCGCCTGGCAGATTAAACACTGGTCTGCAAATGTCATCTCACTCAGAAATTATCTGACATGTTTTCAGTTATTTCTCAGGACTTATCAATAAAGATGTCGCCTTCCTTCATGAAGCCTCGAAAATCATGATTCACGCAGACTTACTCCTGAACCTTCCTGGGACGGAACAGGTCTGTTATTCATGATCATCACATCCGAGGCCGGTTCATTTCAGATTGTAAAAGACGAAACCTTAAAAAGTTTTGTTTTAGCGATCTCTTTGTCAGTCCCGAAAAGGCCATCTGTGAAACGGTATGAAAAATCTTTCCCCCTATAGAACAAAGGAATTGAGACAACGTTTCGTTTTACAATACTCAAAACGAGGGCATAAAAACTGGAGCTGAAATCGAAACCTTTTAGAATCCCGTTTTACGCCATCAAAAACGCACCAGCCACTGCAGTGTATGGATGTCGGCCCTTTCTTACGTCTGCTCATAGTATTCCAAAAGCAGCGCTTCCGGAAAGGTTCCCATCATCGGATCTTTAGATCATGAAGCCTGGTTGCATCCGAGATTTACTTGGAGTATGGGTATAAATAAGGAGTAAGATACTCCAATTAGTTCAAAAGATGTTGCTCAGATATCTTCAAGGGCCATGAAAAACGCAGTGAAAACTGTTGATGGATGGGACTTTCAGAGGATCATCCCATGTCATGGGGTACGTATTCTATTGTGAATTCATAAGGCGCTTCTCATCTTTCTTAGGATGTCATTGAAAAGGACGCTAAGCAGGCGTGGAAAGATGCTTACAAATTCCTCCTGGATTCGCCCTGATTGACAATAAAGTACCCAATTCATCTTTTCTAGTTCGTGTACGGGCTCGGACATAGACAAGCCGACTGAGGGTCCCCGACCTGGTCTGGAAGGGGAAACACCAAGACAAGCTTGTTTGTATTCTCTTAAACTTTCTTTACTTAGCTGCTTCTGAGTTGCTTCATGATGTTTCAAGTTCCGAGTTCGTACCTGGAAATCCTATGGAGCATGTACTGGTATGTCAGTTATATGCAGCTCCGATGAAAGAAATGCCTGCAAAGATCTAGTTGCAAGGATTCTATCTCGTTACAGGGTATATTTTCAAGTCTGCCGCTCACGCCACGCGGTGGGCACGTTCTCAAATCCATCGCGATCTCGTCACTGTTACTAAGCTCAACACGGTATCGTTCGTGCAATGGCTCACGGGAACGAAATCCTCGCCCGAGCCAACCAGGTAACTCTCTCACTCCTCTCGCGTTGATCTTAGACTGATTTATTTCACCCCGATCACTTTCCAGATTTCTATGTCAAGTTCATCAATGCAACACGAGTTTCTACAATGGCCATGAGATTGGCACAAGGCACATGGTGTGAATTATACAGCACATTGATTGACTCTTTCGTTCGCCCTTTGACAATGCCGACTTGTCCTCAGTGTAGCCATCGACCATTTATAACGGCTGCAGCTCTTATGGATCATATGCGATCCTCATCCTTGCCTCATCCGTACTGCAAGCTGTGTGACAGACGGTTTATCGACGAACTATCCCTGAAATCCGTGCGTGCCTTGCCTTGCCTCAATGCTACATGTCTGATTCTCATCATTCCCTAGCACCAAGTCGCGAAGCATCCACCAATGTTCGACTGCATGGACTGTGGCAGGCCTTTCAAATCGCAGGTCTCACTTGACGAACATTTTCGTGGCTCTCCCAACCATCCCAACTGTCCCGTTTGCGGACGAGGGTTCAGGACCCAAGCTTTGGCCGACTCCGTAAGTGCTTCAAAATTCCAAATGCTATTGCGACATCACAGTATAATTTAGCACCACAACGAAAGTCATCCAAGGGCGACTTGCGATACCTGCCGAAGGACCATGTACGAGCATGAAATGGCAAAACACTTTAAAGAATCTCCACGACACCCAAAATGTCACTCGTGCGACGAAGGCTTCGCAAATGATGCAGATTACACTTCGGTATGCTGTTATTCATGAATGATGAGTCCGAAACTTATACACTTCAAACGGTATAGCATTGCTCCATCGTCCATTCAGACGCGCACTGTGTCGAATGCGACCGGCAATTCTTCGACGTTGACGCCCTCCAGAACCATTACGCCAACTCTCTTCAACACCCGAAATGTATGCGGTGCAAGACGGGTTTTGCTAATGAGAATGAATACGCTGCTGTAAGCTCTTTCTATCTCTCATACTGACAGACCAATTCATCTGGACTTTAGCATGTCGCCACACACTCCCCCGTGTCCCCGGCGATGAACTCGCCCATGCCGTCTCCTCATGGCATGTTTTCACCAGCGCTAACAGGCTCAGTGGCGCCGAGATTGGTTAGTGTGGCTCCCTCACGACAGCCTCATTATGATCGACTGAATATTTCATGTAGATTACTTCTACGTCGAACTCTCCCGCGCTTTCTCGTTCCGACCAAAATCTTGCAACGCCCTATCGCTCGGCACTCTTGTCCGCAAAATCACCTTTGAGTCCCATCTTCAACGTAAGTTTACATTGCTAACGATGTTCTTCCGAACTTACCGCGCTAAAGTTCAATAACAATGATCTCCTCAAACATACGCTTCCTCTATGGAGTCCCGTCCGAGGGACGGTTTCGGTATGAACTATATTATTAGACGAGAGTATCAACACTGATCTTCACCTTAGCCAATCCGCGAAGCAGAAGATGAGGATGACATTCTCACATCGTCTTCGGCGGCTCTAATGGTCCAAAAACTTGTCGACGACGTACCTGAACCGTCGCTCCCCCACATCCAAGTCGACCATGTCCCTGATCTTCCCCGCCTTCAGACGTTCGGTCTATCCCGTTCGGCTTCTGTAGGTAACTTTAGCTTTGTATATGCTACTGTTTTATTCATGACACATCGTGAAGCAGTCATATACGCCAAAGTACGATCCGTTCGGAGAAAATCCGGTATCCGAAGAGTGGCTTACTCCATATGTTGGCAATGGCTATAGGTAAGAATATTATGAGGCAATATCTTCAGAATTTAACAGCCCTTTTCAGTTCGCCGGACGTCTCATCTCCAGCCGGCCTTGCGCAAATTCCTACTATATCTCCGGTAGCATCAACACCTTCAACGGCCTCCGTGAAGAATAACCACTCTCCCGAGGCATTGATATTCTCGCCGTTTAAAATGGTGTCTGACCATCATAGCTTGGGCTCGAAGTCAAATTCGTCCCATGGTGGTCGCACCCCAGTGTCGCCGTCTTCAGCCGCTCCTGGTTCAGGTTCGAACAGCTGCGCCGGTCCCGGTGGCTCGTATTCTCTGCCAAGTAGCTCGCCGTCGTCCATTAGTGGCGAAAAGGAGAGCTTGCACCTGCATTGCCGTCTGTGCGGGACAAGCCCATGCCGAGATATGACGGCGACTATGTGTGGCCATATTTTTTGTAATAAGTAAGCTCTACTATCTTATGTCTGTTGGATTTATACTGACTAGTTGTCAGTTGCATTGTACATGCTGTCATTTCGACATCCAGCTGCCCAGTCTGCAATAACCCTACTTTGCTATACTGTTTATTCAAACTCGACTTGACTTCTGTGTAGATTTTGGTATAGATTCAGGGATTTCTTGTGAACGTTTCTTGACAATAGTAGCCACAATGCAGTGTAACTTTACGACCTACTAGTACTTTTGAAAAAGAAAGAACGGATGGCACACTCAAAGTCCTACATTTAACGGAAGAAGTGGCCTTAACAGTTCAGTATTGATTCTCGAAGTAATACACAGTGTTTTGGTTCCATAAAGTCATGCAACGGAGCCTGAATCAGCAACAGAGAAGTTGTGAAAGAAACAGTGAAGATCACAACTTGAGACCAAAATGCTCCTCGGATGGTGATATCAGAGTCTTTGGTAGATAAATCGGAGGAAAATAGTCCAGTTGGACATCAGGAAGGTATAATTCTTGGTGCTTATGCACTGGAAGAATCAAGATGGGTCAGTAGCAAATTAAATAAATAAAAAGATCGAGAACACGGACCTACAGTGATCTACAACTCCACGTGGCTGTGAACCTCTTTTTCCATTACCACCACCACCATTTCACTTTGCCGACGCTCCACTTACATAGACCACCAACATCGCCTTCAATGAAGAAACGAGATGCAACCTCAAGGTCACACGCGATTGACTCGAACCCTCCGATTTATGGGAACTATCATGGGTTCGTCTACCTTTGTTGTCTTGCAGCTCGTCACTCACTTGAGATCGTTTAGCTACTACTCTAGAAGGCCCTTCATGAACGATCCACGACTAGCCCTACTTCCTGTAGATTTCTTTGTTGGAAAGCGAGTGTTAGATGTGGGATGCAATGAGGGTTATGTTACTTGCGAAATTGGTGAGTTACGCCATAACTGAAAGTGTCGCTTATGGCTGAAGTGACCAAGATAGCTCAATCTTGGGGAGCTCACAAGGTTGTTGGCGTTGACATTGACGAGTCTCTGATCCGGGCGGCGTGGAAGAGACGGACCGTCGTTTGGTCTTCACAGTCCCCTTCAGCACCTGTAACGGACGACTCGGCACAAGAAGTACACCCGGATTACTTTCCTCTATCGTTTGAGCACATGTTTGGATCTTTGCCGATACCACCCAACCAGAATCGTGGCAAGCATGTTTTTCCGCATAATGTTTCGTTTCGCGCGTCGGATTGGGTCAACAATCAGATTCCGGAGGATTCTGAGCCGTATGATATCATAATAGCGTGTGTCCTGTCTAGCGCCTTCGGTCTGCCCATCTCATTCCTCTCCCAGGTTCTCGATATCGAAATGGATTCATCTAAACCAAGGCGATGAAGGACTCCAGCAATTTTTCCGTCGAGTACATTCTCTTCTTCGGCCGGGAGGTACTCTCGTCCTCGAACCTCAATCATGGGATACATACAAGAAGGCGAAGAGATTGGACAAGAGTTTGAGAGACAAAGCAGCGACCCTGACAATACGACCCGAGGATTTTGGGCTACTCCTGTCTCACATTGGCTTTAGTTTAGCACAGCACTTGGGCTTGACAGGTGAAGGAGGTACGTTCCCGAGCCGTGCAGCGCTGTTTCCCCATGTGACGAGCAGTACATAGGTTTTTGTCGCCCAGTAGATTTATACGTGAAAACATGACCATACGTCTGCTGTATCACACCCGTGTAATCGGAATCATTGACAGCCAGCGCAAAGGTGTGCTGGGGTTCGGGGCGGATTCAGTAATGTGAAACACACATAAGTGCCCATTCATCATAGATTGTTCTTCCGCGACCTGATTGGCCGCGGGGTTTGCATCCGGACCTTGGCAAATCATTTGAAATGCACAGCTCAATAAAAAGCTGATATTGCTTCTCAACTAGCCCACTCTTTCCAGATGACGCTCACAGCTGCTTTACTCTACGTGTGCGCCTTTCTGGCGGCGCTGGCTTTTTTTCGCAGTCGTAAATCTGCCATGTTACCACCCGGACCTAAGGGCTGGCCTGTAATTGGGGTACGTAGCTGCCTGAGAAATTGTCGCGAAGGCTCATGCTCCACAGAATATCTTTGACATGCCAACGCACAGTGACTGGCTGACTTACGCTGAATGGGGAAGGAAGTATGGTTCGTTCACTCTGCTCCTCTATTGTTCTTTTCTAACTTCCTCTTATCTCCTCACCAGGCCCCATATGTTCTGTGAATCTCATGGGGCAGCGCATGATCATTGTCAACAACGCAAAAATACTTGCCGAGCTTGACAGAAAAGGCGCCATCTATTCTGACAGGCCGCGACTAGAGATGGCTGGTGAACTCGTTGGGTATGCAAACACAATCGTTCTCCTTCGATATAACACGCGCTTTCGCAATTGCCGGAGATACATCTCGAAGATGATGGGCACGATCAACTCAATTCAAAAGTATTTTCCGATGGAAGAACACGAGACACGGCGACATTTACAGCGCGTTCTAGACAACCCTGAGAAACTGAATGAGAGTCTGCGCAAGTAAGTTCTCCTTGAATCTTCTTTCTATGGTTGTGATCATGAAGGTCGGCAGGACTTCCGGATCAATTATATTGAAGGCAACATATGGCATCGACGTACAAGAGGAAAACGACCCCTTCGTGAAGCTTATCGAATCATCAAACACGAACTTTGGTATGGCTACTGTTCCAGGTGAGTCGCTGGTGCGGTGCATCAAATCTCTGCTGAACTTGACGTAGGTGCCTTTTTGGTCGACAGCTTCCCTGTCCTCCGCCACCTACCAGAGAACTGGCCTGGAGCCGGATTCAAACGGCTCGCGAAGAAGTGGGCTAAAGTATTTGATAGTGTTGTTGAGGTCCCCTTTGCTTTCACGAAGGGGCAAATGGTACGAACTATTCTTGCTAATGGTTAGTCAGGGCTAAAACACGTATTAAAAGGATGCTGGCATCGCTCCTCCTTCATTTTTATCCTCTGCTCTCACGGACAAAGAAAGTTTATCACCCAGCGAACTTCTTGATATCAAGCACACGGCTGCTTCCCTATACGGAGGTATGCTTTCAAATCCTCTTTAATCAAATTTCTCCCACAGAATATGACTTATGATTGATGAATTTAGCTGGGGCCGACACTACAGTCTCGGCTCAATATGCTTTCTTCCTGGCCATGATTCTCTATCCTGGTACGTGTGGTCATCTTACCCAAACCTGGCGCTTATCATCAAAGTCTCGGAAAGATGTACAGAAAAAGGCACAGGCAGAAATAGACGCTGTAGTTGGAAGCGACAGGCTCCCAGGATTTGCGGACCGCGAAATTTTGCCATACATCAATGCCATTGTCTCAGAAGTTTTGAGATGGAACAACGTCGCACCTATCGGTGTGGTTATCCCCGTCCTGTTCTCTATTTAGGTGTACTGACATGGTGATAAGGCTTTCCGCATACTGCCATGGAGGATGGCGTTGTAGACGGTTACTTCGTTCCTAAGGGCTCAATTATCATCACGAACGTTTGGTTGGTCTTCTTCTGCACGAACGGCCTCCTCTGACCCTGAATATTGCTTTCAGGCAAATACTGCACGACCCTGAGGTGTATCCTAATCCATTTACTTTCGATCCCTCTCGATTTATAGCCTCGACTGGAAAAGAGGTGCAGCGTGATCCCCGGCATGCGTGCTTCGGTTATGGACGACGGTACTGTGCTGGATCTCATCTAGCTGAAGCTTCTCTTTTCATATGTATCGCGATGTCTCTCGCCGTCTTTGATATCACGAACGCCGTGGAGAACGGTGTTCCCGTTGTGCCTGTCTACGAGAGCATGTCAGGTATTGTCAGGTTCGTCGGCTTTCCCTACATGCGCGGAAGACGTATTCATCCAACGTTTTCAAGCCATCCAAAACCGTTCAAGTACTGCATCAAGCCTCGATCTGAAAGGGCTTCGGCTCTCGTGCTTGCCGATAACTTGTAGGATATCAATTTCCTTCTCGTCAACTCGATTGTTTGTCTTCTGTATTGAATACGTGTAACATCATATGGCCTCGGTATTGATATATTGATATCTTATTTGAATCCTGATATGTCTTGGTTCTTTGGGTAATTATTGCTATTTTCAAAAATGATGAGATTCTCGAGAAAGAAAAAAAGTTTTGACATGCCTAATGCCAGCCCGATCTCAGCCTGCGCCATCTGAGACAACCCATGACTATCGACGAAATAACCTATGACGTCGATCGTCATAGCCCTCTAAGTGCGGGCTCAGAGGTCTTTTAGCGGGGCCCAAAACTTTTTAATTTTTTTTCGGAATCTCATCATTTTTCAAAATAGCAATAAATGTTCTATTTTTGTGTGTTCTGATCCAACAGGAAAAATTGACGCGTCTGGCGCGTCTGTGGCGCATGTCACGTGCGACTTCGAAGTTGCCTTTGCAGCTTCCTCAGGCCTTCTCTTCTTCCCCCCTCCCCATCACTGCCTCCCAACTGACTCTAAATATCGATTTCGTTTGCGCTGCTCACTTTGTTTTCGCTCACCATCTCCCGATCTTCGAGACGAAAGACTTTCTATGATGGACAGGCTTAAAGTAAGGTATCACTCATTTCTGCTGTATCGCTATACTGATCGTATCATCACACAAACAGAGAGAAGCAGAGACGGGATCATTGAATGCTCTCTGCAGACTGTCATTGAAAGTCAATCAGGACTCAACCGTTTTTCCCAGTATCATCGCCGCCATCCCCCATCATCTACTGTCTGTCCCTTTACCGACCACATTTATCGACCCAGGCTCAGATACAGAGCATCTGAGGATATTGAAGAGAGTGCATGAAAGCCTCAGTGCACTTATGATGACTTTTGCCCACCATGCTCTCGACAATCCTCGTAACGTTGCTCTAGTAACAAATTTGTGGCCGGACTTGTCTTGCTGGATTATCCCATTTCTTCAAACTTACATCGTTGAGGTTCCTAACGATCCATCCATCGTCCGTCATGAGTATGTTGAGATTATGATCGACTCACACCTACGACTGCTGAAAGAACTATTCCAAACACCCCAGATTTCGTCTGTGATGAAATCTCCCGACCTCATATCGTGTTTGATGAAGGTTTGGGTGTCTCTCATGGCATCCGGTGTGGAGTTTTCCCAGCAGGAGGCGACTATGCTTGTAATAATGGGCTTGCTATACCAAACTGGCAGCTTGCATAATGATGAAGCCTTCAACGCCGTTACGACAGCTTTGTATATGACAGCACCAGACAAAGTTACCACCTCCCTGATGGGTCTCATAAACCTCGTACAACAGCCTGCAGCATCTACGGAACATGTCATGATTTCACTTGCGTTTCTCGAGCACACGACCAACAACTCCCTGAAATTCTGTCGAAATCACCTTGCGCATCACTCCATCCACTGGGTCTGCCGGCTGATGGAAAGGACCACGTCGCGCAAGCCTGATTTCGTCTCATCCTTCGAGAAAGACAAGGTTCACATGCCAATGGTGGGAATGCTCAGATCTTGTGCAGGATACTTAGCGACTTGCTTTGAAGAGGGTTCTCTCAGGGTTGTACAAGCATTGGAGCGTCATTTGCTTGACTTGCTGTTGAAATGTATTCCTTTCTTCTCCACAGAAGACCTGTCAGCACCATCGCTCCTCTTCTCGACCATCGTGCAGATACTCGATTTGGTTAACTCTTATCTCATTTATCGTGGCGTCTTATGAGAAGTTCGCAGGAGCATGCAGCGGATACAGTGCTCGGGCCTGGAAGGAAACATTCCTATGGGCCCCGAAACTATCCGAGATGCATGGTCTGCATTGAAGAAGACGGTGGACAGGCGATGGGCCATCAGATGTGTAATGGTCAATGAGGAAGTCGATAAATGTGAAAACCCGGACATACGTCTCAGGATCCTCAGCCGTCCTAATGAAGTAACCAACTTTGTTCCATACAGTGTCCACCTGATGGAATCAATCATTCAAAGCGGGCACTAAAGTGTTGTCAAGGGTGCCAGGCCTCTTTCTATTGTTCTAGAGAATGCCAGAAACAAGCCTGGGTTTCTCATCGACCTCTCTGCCAGAAGATTAAATGTACGAAGCATGGTGAGTTTTTCATTAAAACCTATCGTATGACGTTGTCTGACATTCATTTTTGCTTTAGATGGGGGCCCCACAATGATTTCCGCTAGGGATACTCTCTTCCTGATCACTGTGGCGGAGAATGACATATACGAACATCTGGAAGTAGTCAAAGATCTGCGGGAAAAGAACGAGCATCAGCTGAAACACCCCTTGGTCATTTCCCTCGACTACGTCTCGATTCCCATGGCCATCACAATGAACTCCGCGGCGGAGTATAGAGATCGCGAAAGCGCATGGGACCGAGCAATTCAGAAGGTCGAAACACAAGGTGGTCAACTAGTTTTCCTAAGGTACCCTCACGCTGTCAAACCTCGCGAAGGTCTGCTTCGATTCCAAATCGACGTTTGAGTTGTTCCGTCCGTATGATGACTGAGGTTTTCTTATCGTGTCGGCACTTTTGCCGTTAGGGCAATTGTTTCTGTTTCTACCACTTTAGTGTCCTGCGGTGTGCTGTGTACGCGCATTCGAATTCACCCTTGAAATTCTCCTTGACGCTCCACCTTGACATATGCATGTTCCTGTACTCTGGCGTGTCCTAAAATATCGCCAATGCTCTGTATGCGGGATGGTCTCGCACGCTTACAATTATTTCTCCCTGGAGATGCCTTAACCTCTTCCCAGTTGTTACGTTTTGGTCCTGGTGCTATACTAAATATGTCTGTTTTGAAATATCATTCCAATCTCATCTGATAAGCCGAAACAGACCCAAAGGTGCCTGCCTCAATTGTGCCTAAGGGCATATCCTTGGCTATCCTTGGCTTCTTGGCAGAAACTATAAATAAATGTTGGACCAGTCAAGCAAAAATCATGGTCCACAATGGAAATGCTCAGGGGTTCAGAAGGTTCGTTACTTCGAGGGTCGGTTCGCATGGTTGTTGCTATACGCACATAAAGAACTCAAGTCCGCGTTTACGAAAACTCGGGTCATCACATTTTCATCTCTTCAATGAACAATCGTTACTAACTAGAAACCTTAACTAAAAAAGAGACACTGCATAGACTATTTCAACGTGAGAGAGCTAATTTATTTAGGAAGAACCTGGACGTCTTTCTCAGCCTTGACTTCTTCCTTGCTTTCAGACATATCCCTGTCATGTGTTGCTCCTGCAGCCTCTTTCTGTTCTCGCCTAAGTCGGCGACGAATACCTGTGGCCGACTCGTATCCAAAGAATTTGCTGCGACCCTACGGAGCATCGTCAGGTTGTCGTCGGAAAATTAACGACAATATCCATGCGGCATACCTCTTTAACTTTAAGGAACACGAGCGTAACAATAACGGCCAACCAATAGAAAACGTAAGACAACACGGTACCAACTGAAATGATAAACCCAAATCAGAAGGCGACGAGAATCTAGAAGTTCGGAGAACATACTAGTTGCGCTATTGGTCCAGCCAAACAAGGCGTTAAACACCGACCAACCATTGTTGTTCAAGTTGTCTTCGGGATTGCAGCAATCCAAGTGCCATACATTTCCTTGAACTCGATAAGATCCTGGGCCACTTCCACCTGCGTCGTCAATATCCGCTCCGAGAAGATGGTTAAAGGCGTTTGTTTCGAAGGCGCCAACTGCGCGAGAGAAAAGACCAGCTCCGATGAGAAGGAGGAGATTGGTCATGGCGATGAGGAAAACTGTGAGGGCTAGTTTAAGATGTGGTCAGTCTCGATGGGACATTTTAAAGGTCAAAAGCATGCTTACTGGTACGACTGGCGAAGAAGTAGATCAAGAAACCGCAGACTAGACCGCATATCAATCCCACGATTGCAGCGAGCGGGATGGATGTGGCGGGTTGTCCCAGAGAAACGCCACCGACAAATACCACTGCCTCCATACCTGTGTAGTTCTGGTAAGAAAACTAGACTGACAGAACGAAATAAACGGCAGATTACCTTCACGAAGGACAGTAATGAGAGGAAGGATGAAGAGAGCCCATTTTCCTGTCGAGGTCTTTCCGTCGGCTCCTGAACAATTGTTGAGAATGAAAACGAGCAGGAGGAAAGTGCTTTGACATACGCTTTCCTTCAAAAGCGCGCTCAAGCTTGACGCGCCATTTTGCCTTAGCTAAAGGTGGCTAAATCAGTACAAGTAGTAAGGGTTCAAGGTGGATGGTTCCAACCTCGATCCATCTTGAGCATGGTAACTCCCATGACGAAAATCATGAGACAAGCAATAAGTTCGAAAATACCTGGAGAAAAACCGATTAATGAATGAACTAGATAGAGGGAAAATGACTTTTCACCTTCCCATAGTTCTTCAGATTTGGACCATAAATCGGATGCTTGAGTGAACCAGACGGCGATAAACCTATCTAAGTTTGAGTTCAAAACGTTGCATATGGTTCAAGGGATGACGTACGCAGCGCCGATAGCGAGGGCGAGGAATAAGCCAAGTCCTGCACCAAGGAAAATCTTTACGGCGTCAGACAGAACAATTATGAAGGCCATGAGGGTTATTTACCTGAATTCTCAGCTTGCGGATGAGGCGGCGACGGTGGACCAAATCATCCTCGCCTGAGAGAGAATCAGACAGCGCGCCGTCGCCCTCTACACGAGGGCTACCCTTAGAGTCGTGTGAACCATTCGTGATCGTTGCACCAATTCGTCCTGGATCGTCATGAACTATCTGTTCAGCGAGACCTAGGAGAACGGATACGATGATGGCCGCCTCCAAAGTTTCACGAAAAACGATGAAGAAAATGGGGACAGAAAATACGTTCTTCGCCATTGCCGTCACTACCTGGAAGCAGGGAAGGGTGGGGAGAAGGCACGAAGCATCATCAGTACATTTAAATTAACCCTTTCGGACTTGAGCATTTTCGGCGCGAGATTAAGGCCTATGTGTCACATGAAACCCGCAAATGCCTCATCATATCAAATCTGATAAGATGTGAAAATCGGTTCCAAGATTAGATTCCAACTTCCGCATATTTAGCGCCCTGAAACGTCCGGCTGTTTTGAAGGGTGGTACCCGTACAGAAGGGTGCAGATTTTCCCTGACCATTTCCAGTGTTGCTCTAACCTTACTTGTCCTGGCTTCCTTCCCATATTTTTGCGAGATACGTCCGTGATGGCCGCGCTTTTCTTCTTTTCTTTCCGGCTTGAAACTCACGGAGTTGACGTCGTGAGTATTCTAAGTAGTTCGATAATCAGATAGGCCTCGAGACCGCATCGAGACCCGGGAGGCCCGGATGAACCAATGGACGGCGTTATCCTTATCTGATACATCGTTTTCCCTATCAGATAAAATTTTTGCCCCCTAAAAATAACTCAACTGTCAATGTCCGCGCAACGACGAACTGACCCGTGCTCCATTATGTTGACCTCCTTTTAAATAATACCCGATTTAAATGGTACCTCGGACCTGCCTTGCATCCGCTTATCTTTCTACTCCCAGGTGGTAGCGTCACTCAAGATGTGGTCGCCTTTTTCACTGGCCCCATTGCTTTTTGCTTCTCCCGTTCTAGCCGGTGTCCAAGAACTCTGGTGGAACATAACATACGTCGAGGATGCCAATCCAGATGGTCTGTTTAGTCGCAGAGTTGTAGGCATCAACAATACTTGGCCGTCAGTAGAGTTTCTCTTCGGACCCAGGCCTTGGTTTAACTCCACTCTTTTAGCATACCGGTGATTGACGTTTCAACTAACGATTCACTCATCGTTCATGCCACGAATTCGCTGGATGAAGTGTCGACTCTTCATCACCATGGCATGTTCTTCAACTCAACATCATGGATGGACGGCGCCGTACAGGTCTCTGAATGGTAAACCTATCGTCGCTTCATCTCTCGTCAATGTTGACCCGTGTTCAGTGGTATTCCACCTGGCGGACAATTCGATTACGTCGTGCCCATCAACTCTTCTGGCCAATGGGGAACATATTGGGTGCACGGTCATGCAAAGGCAAGTCCGAAGATATGCCTTGAATGTATCCAGACGTAATTTCCATTTTTTTCAGGGACACTATGTTGATGGCTTGCGCGGGCCCGTCGTTATTCATCCTTCGCAAGAAGTTCACTCGTACGACGAGGAATTCATCATCATTCTCGCCGACTGGTACCATGAACAACATTCAGAGCTATTGGAACAATTCATCAACATCGCCAACCCTGGTGGTGCCGAACCTGTACCCCGTAAGCACGACCATATGCACCCTGTAACGTCATCTGAGTAACAATGTGCTAGAATCTGGTTTGATCTACTTCGCTGCTCAAAATGGTTCTTATCTTGGACCCATTTCGGGAACTTCTCCTGCTGGAGTAACATCAGCTGTCGGGTTCAATGAGAACGCCACCCTCCCGTTCGAAGCTGGTAAGACCTACCGTCTTAGGATCTTGAACACGGGCGCTTTCTCGATGTTTTACTTTTGGATTGACGGACATGAAATGCGCATTGTAAGTGCCTCTCTTGGTTATCCCATTCTCCATTAATAAATATTACTCCGTTAAGATCGAGGTTGATGGGGTAAGATGCTTTAACTTGAAGCTAAATGGGCACGTTCCTAAACCAGCCTCTTCTAGACTGACGTCGAAGAATCACCCGCTGATCTACTCAGCGTCGCTGTTGCTCAACGGTACTCTGTTCTTGTCACGGCTCGTAATGACACCAACACCAGTAACTGGGCTATCCACGCGAACATGGACACTGTCATGTTCGATATTGTTCCAGCCTCGTTGAACCCCAGTACGTTCCCTCATGGTTGATGCAGAATTCTTGATCTCATGCACCCCCAGATGTGACTTCCTCCATCACGTATTCTTCGTCTGCTTCCCTTACCGATCTCGGAACCATTGATGCCTACGCCGATGTCAATGATACAGCACTAGTCCCTGTCGAAGTCATCGCAGCTCCCACATCCAACAAAACGATCGATCTAGAAGTCAGCTTCGACACCATGGATGATGGAACGAATCACGCCATGTTCAACCAGATCACCTACAACTCCCCAGAGGTACCTGCTATCTTGAGCGCCCTCAGCTTGGGAAACAACGCTACCGTTGAGAGTGCGTATACGCCTCTCAGTTTCGTCGTAGACTATGGGGATATTGTCGACATCGTGATCAAGAATGGAGACGCGGGGAAGCATCCTTTGTAAGTGCCGGGCTTCGTTACCTCTCTTTCACGCCCATTAATGTGCTATCTTTCCCAGCCATTTGCACGGGCACAAACCCATGATCGTTGGACGTGCTACAGATTACACATCTGACGATCCCCTTTTGAATCCACCTATTGTTGAAGGCCAAGCGAACCCTATACGTCGTGATACAGTTCATATCCCTTCGATGGGTTCTGCAACTCTCCGTGTCGTCGCGGATAACCCCGGAACATGGTTCCTCCATTGTAAGCTTCACCCGAACCTCGGATTCGTCGCTTCTTATAAATTATAACAAGGTCATATCGAATGGCATCTTCAAGTCGGTCTTGCCATAACTCTGATTGAGGCCCCGCTTGTCGCCCAGCAGCGCAACAGGGTCCCACAAGCAATATACGACAACTGCCAAGCCTTGGGCACGCCGTTCTCGGGTAACGCCGCAGGACATGATTCAACGACTGATCTCAGCGGCTTGACCTTGGGACCATACCCACAAAAACTTGGCTGGCATTCAAAAGGTATTGGTGCCATGGCTGGGTGAGTGACACTTTGTGTTCCCTTTGTGAATCTTCTTGTGCTGATAAATTGGACAGCTGTGTTCTGACTGCTCTTATTGGTATGATTACTGTCGTGTGGTATTCCACGGGTGGGTATATTTCCGAAGAAGAGATCGAACACGAGGTGAGGGAGAGCATTGAAGCGAAGGCAAAGCGAGGAAAGTTCTTTGGTCTGTTGCGACCAAGGCAGGTTGGTAATTGATTTATTTTAAATGACCTTGTGTGTATCTTCATGTATGAACGAAAACGAATTTAAAGGGCTCTTAATTTTGGTTAATTTTGTTTAGGGGGAAACACGATCTACCGAGACATGCCATTAGCGTTCTCCAGAGACCCACTACCAGGGTAGCGGGAGTTCGCCTAAAAAGGGTGTGAGCGAAGTTTTGCGTGGCTCGTACGAACCCTCTAGGAGTGTTGAACGCTCTCCGGACTCATATGAGAGCCTATAAGGCCTTGGAAATAGTGTAGAATGCAGATAATAATTATTTGTTCTATCTACTTGGTTGCCCACGGCTTCATTCCTGCCCAATTCTCGTCTATCACAAAGTTTTTGATACCTGCCTGTAAAACCATAGCGTCGAACGTTGAACTACTGTTCTGTGCATGCCACACGAAATTCGATCATAATGTTCCGAGCGAAAACTGTAGAGCCTGCGAAAGTTAAAATGGGAAAGACGAGACTACATACTTATCGACAGTTTGCTTGATGTACAGGATGGTAATGAGACTAGGGTACTCTATTGTACAACACTTTATCGACCACGGTTAGTCCAGGAAGAATGTATAAGCATCTTTCCACGCTTGCTTAGCGTCCTTTTCTATGACATCCTAAGAAAGATGAGACGCGGTCTGTGCATTCGCAATAGAATACGTGCCCCATGACATGGGATGATCCTCTGAAAGTCCCATCCATCAACAGTTTTCGCAGCGGTTTTCATGGCCCTTGAAGATATCTGAGCGACATTTTTTGAACTAATTGGAGTATCTTACTCCTTATCTATACCCATACTCCAAGTAAATCTCGGATGCAACCAGGATTGAGGACCTAAGGATCCGATGATTGGGACCTTTCCGGAAGCACTGCTTTTGGAATACTATGAGAAGATTTGAGAAAGGGCCAACATCCATGATCATGAATAACAGACCTGTTCCGTCCCAGGAAGGTTGAGGAGTAAGTCAGCTTGAATCATACTTTTCGAGGCTTCATGAAGGAAAGCGACATCTTTATTGATAAATCCTGAGAAATAACTGAGAACACGTCAGATAATTACTCAACGAGATGACATTTGCGGACCAGTGTTTAATCTGCCAGGCGGTGAGCATTGAAAGGGAGAATGGTTGAAGTAGACGAACCTCATCTTCGAATCCGTATTTCGTGTCCGAAGCATCCAGTCCCCAAGCTAGTCACGAGGCTCAGGATCACGACTACATCACATACTACAAGGCCTTACCACCGTCAAATTTGAGTTCCTTGTTATTGTGCCTCTTGATAGCATCTTGAGGCGCGATCAATTTGGCATGCGGATAAGCGGTTTTGAATTCAGCTGAACATCGTTAGCACAGTCGTTGACGATGCCCTTCGGACTAACTCAAGAATAGGTGGTGGACAGCGTCCGCACCGATGATGTACCTAGAACAAGCATCAGTTGGAGCGAATATAAATTTAGGAGGTGACATGGAAACTCGCTGAACCGGTCCTAGTTCACTCAGCTTAGTCTTGGTCGCGTCGTCCAAAGGTGTGGAAGCTAAGACCCAAACGCCGCCGTTCTGCAGTTTGATAGCAGTCGAACGGCCGCCAAATGGCATGCCTATGCGAGAAAAAGGCCTTGAAAACGGTTATATTCCGGGTATTACAGGTAAAGCGGAGATATGTACTTGGAAAAGATCCAGACATCTTTGGCAACCTGCAAGAGATGATGTTGGCGTTGTGTACGCACGGAAAAGGCAGGGCGTACCTCTCGAATGACTAGTTCTGTCATTTCTGCAGCTGTAACTTGAATATTCTGTGGTGGTAAGAAGGAGAGAATGACGAATCCATAACGATCGCGGACTCGGACGCAACCACTGACCCCGGCACCAACTACGTCACCAGATGTGACCTCGTCATCGAACGGCTCAATTCAAATTCGACCGATTAGGACGAGACCCACGTGTTGCATTTGCTTTTTTTTTTTCACCATAAAATCCGAGTGCTCGACTCTCATCTTATAAGGTCAAGCGACGTTCGAAGCACAAGAGGACTTGAGATATGCGGTGTGACGGTCAGGGTTGCCGTCAATGGCGGGAACCCTGACATTCACTCCTCTAGTACAGTGTCCTTTTGACTAACCTTGTCGTTCTGAGTTGCCATCAGTTTCCCACACCTTAATACCACGTAAACCTCTGCCGTATTTGTGATATGTGCATTTAACATATCGGCTGTGTTCGCGTCTCTAATGCTCTTGACACCTTCCTGTATCTACAACGGCGCATTGGACATCTGCATTTTGACCGCTCGTATTGGTATGATTTCCGTTGTGTAGGATTCCACGGTTGGTATATTTTCGAAGAAGAGATCGAGTACGCCTGAGGTATGGCGGAAGCGCAACGAAGAAAGTTCTTTAGCCATTAATGCATTACGCGTTATGACCAAAGCATAGGTCGGTAATGGGTTGCATTCTTCAAGTAACGAGCTTCACTTGCTCATTTTCCCTAGATATTGGAGTGAAACTGCAGTGGTGTGGAAGTCTGATAGTTTGTCGGAAGTGGCAAGTCGGGTGACCGTATAGGTGAGTGGCTACGATCTTGTAATGGATGCAAACTGTCAAGGGTGCCGAACAGTGCCGGCTCGAGTCCGGTTTTGTGTGGCTGTGTCGAGCTCGCTCCTTCATCTGAGTCATGGACATCCCTGAAGATATATTGGACGAAATCCTTCATTATCTTAGCTCAGATTTCCCCTCACTCAAGGCATGCTCACTGTCCCATTCCTTCTTCCTTCCTCCAACCCGCCGACTCCTTTTCTCCTATGTGAAACTTCCTCACAACAAGCTAATAAGCCGTACAGACATCTGTCTCAATTTCCGACAAACTCTGGTGGCTTCAAAATACGTCTCATCATCGATTCGTACCCTTAGCTTAATTCACTGGGACTCGACAGACGATATCAATTACCGCTGTATATTTCCCTCCCTATTAGAGCTCATTCCCAACCTTCGACGGGTTCACATATTTCTAGCAATGAACAGACCAACTATATTTGGGGATAGCTTCCCTCCACTGCCTCATTCAATATCTAGCGTCCGCCATCTTATATTAGAAGAGATAGTCTTCGACTCGTCCGCTCAGATGCTATCCCTGTTCGTTAGCTTCAGCAACCTTGAAGTCATCTCTACAGCCAGGATCAGCATTGATAACCCCAGTGGCGCGGAGCGCATGCCCGTTCCATCCCATCGTTGTGCTCCTTCTACTCTAGAACTTAATATGGGTGGTGCTCTCGTGGAATGCTTGTTCTCCCCTCAATCCACGATATCCATAGGCAATCTTCGTGTGCTTAGCGTCCAGGCATACGAGCGAAACATCGACGCCATCTCTTCCCTTATCTCCCTCAGCAGCCCATCCTTGGAGCATTTAACGTTCCTCCCTTCAGCATACTGTACGTTGTGGCTCTGAATGTTTGGATACGTGTGCTCACTTGTGATCATAGCGGCTCAATACTATATAGACCTGAGGCGACATATCCGCCTTCGGAGCATCTGCACTAGCCTGGTGTTTAATAGCCACTCCATGGATCCACCAGATCGGTTGAAACCTTTCCCCTGGGCTCACCGATTTTTTAAGACACTTCCGTCGTCGGTGGAAGATATTCTTATCGAAATCTGTTTTAGACCATATGATGCGATTCTGTTACCTCAAAAAAGGAAGGAATGGCAAGAGCTGGACCATATCCTTGCTAACCATCCATGGAATTTTACAGTACGGTTGGGGATATCTGCTGATTATACCATCTATTTTAGCAATCTGGAATATGACGATGTCATTCACGGCAGGTGGCCAACTAGCGGTGATATGGACGAGTATTTTCAAAACTATATGTTGGTGGATGGTATGCCTGAGATGAACAAGTTGGGACGTCTGAATTGCGAGATCATTACAAGTGCGTTTGTTGTCCGTTACATCGCTTTTTAACTAATACTTTTACATTGTTACTTAGGCGAGATAGACTTTTCTCCTTCCACGACAGAAATGTGGCGACTGTACATGTTCTCGTGATACAAACAATGTAAATGACATCGTCTACGCATGACCTAGTCCCCAATGTACTTGAGCTTCGTCCAGTCCACCTTATTCGACACCGTATTTGATACTTCACCGCCCAAACTGCCATAGCTGCTGTCCGATGTATTTTCTCTCTGTGTCGTGCTGCCAGGTACGTTCGTTTGTGCTGGCGGCCCTTCTTCAATCTCGTCCGGTAAACTTTTCTTGATATCTGCCACGATATCGCCAATGTCTGATGCGGTTTGAAACCGATCCGGTAGGACCCAGGTACGAAATGGTTTCTTCGAACTAGAGGGTATGCAAAACGTGGGAATGTGTCTGGCCAAAGTGTGATCACAAGCAAGACACGGCCGTTCTGTCACTCCGATGGTGTTTTCGGCGACTTTGATACCCATCTCTTCGCAGCAGATGACAAGTCACACCGGGAAGATGACAATTTTTGGCAAACCTGAATTTTGAGCCTAAATGTAACATTTTAGGAGCATAATTTGGGGTCAACAAACGTCGCGTTTTGGAGGATCCAAAACCTATGCCACCCGCCAGAGATGAATTTCGGGAGCATTCAAATTTTATGTAAAATCTCTGCCAAATTCGACCTCTCAAAACGTTTGATTGAACTTGTACCAACCACTAACTGGACGCGAGAATGTGACTCAAACATAGAACCCCAAAAGCAACACTGATATTGGTATGTACTACTCGTATGAACCCCGAATACTAATGCAACATCCGTGAAATGCGAAAGTGAAGGATGGAAAGAGGGTATTCCGACATGGCGACGTGCTAAGCAGATAAACGTTAGAATCTTGGACACCGGCTGGTCCCTAATAAAGCGAATCTCACTTGAAGACAACAATCGAAAGTCTGATACACACTCTCCAGTCCTACGACACATTTACTCGCTGTAAGAACGTCCAGTCAGCGGGGAACGTCTGCAACAGCGGTAATCATCGACTCACAGGAGAGAAAGGGTGATGTCGCCGTTAACCTTGGCCTGGATGGCAATCTCCACCTCGAGGTTGAGGTCAAGACGAAGCTTCAAAGCTTCCTTGGGAGCGACGGTGCCCTGGTTCGAGCGGGTAGCGACGGAGGTAGAGGTTTCTGGGGCAGACATGTTTTGCTGATACTGACTAGGTCGCTTTGCTTACACTTTTATATGTCAATCGACGGACCCGGGGTATAAATGAGGATATTGTCGCGCCATAATGCAGCTCGACAAGTCGGGTGCCTCGTCCAAGCAACTTAACTTTTTTCGTCTCGAAGCAGTCAGAAGGCTGTTGTTGTTGTTGTTGTTGATGATCTGGATTGGTTACCCGCAACACGCCTCGTAATGGGCGAAGACGCGGGGGTATAGTACGCTACTGTAATGTAAGCCTATACCGCTACTCGTTTGAATGCTCTTCTACTTTTCGGCTCTATGGACTGTATAACTATCTGGTAAAATTCTACGTAACTTTTTTTTTGGTCTCGTTGTTTCCGTTGTATGGGTACTCTAACTACTGAGGGGGAGAAAAATAAATAAGTTGGGTGGGAGATGGGCCTTGCTCAGGCCTAGTTGACGCTGCGTCGGTTCTATCACTCTTCGAGCAGTCAGAAGGCACTTGCTACGTAACGGTTCTTATTTCATAATGAACACGATGCAGACGATATTCTCCTGCTTGCGACTCGGGGCCTTTTGGGCATAGGCCGGTGAAGGAGAACGCATGGAGTGGAGGTGTTAATACAACATTTTGTTGCTGGCTTGGCCGGGAAGAGTAGCTATGTGTCTGGGTGCTTGTGGGTCCAAAATTCAATTCCAAGCTTTATATCGCGGGAAAGTCCGGCTTGCCGCTTGATTTGCAACCACCATCACCTGCTCGCCATCATCCACGACTCCGCTACTCTTACGCTATCAATTCCGCGCGACGGTCTCCGAGGCATGTCTTCATTCCCCGGAGTAGATTTCTGGAAAACATGACCGCAACCTTCGATCTCGACGCACCCCACCTGGGCCCATCTCGTTATCTTTTTACATCAAAACGCGGCAACTACTGTTCTCAAAATCAGCTATCATGAGAAAAGAGCCTTCGACGGAATGACAGTTTCGTGAGTCGGCCCACCTAGATATTGTTCGAAGCTCATCGTCTCGTTGCAACAAATTAGCCCGAGTTTCGCTACCCGCCACTACCACCATTTCTCGCTCTAATGCTCTTCTTTTCCCTCTCTGCGTCCGACCGAGGTAGTTTTGTTATGGAGAAAAGAATCTTCCCCGACAAATATGATAACCATCGTGCTTGTGGACAAGCGCGAGTCCATTGGTGCAGGCTTACGACAACTCGAAAACCGGTGTTACAACACAGAGCTTCCAATTCGACCCCAGAACACCCACGAGGACTCCGGGATCGCCAAAAATTCCTCGCCCCAAAATCTCCGGTCGCGTATAAAAGGACCTTGAAGAGCCAGCGAGTCTCCCAACAATGTCTGCCCCAGAAACCGCTACCAAATTCGCACCTACTCAATCTTCTTCCGTCCTCGGTGGACAAATCGTCGGTCGCACGCCGCGTGAGGCTGCACCTCCCGCTGCCCTGAAGCTCCGTCTTGACCTGAACCTTGAGGTTGAGATTGCCATCCAGGCCAAGGTCAACGGTGACATCACCTTGTCGCTCCTGTGAGTAGATTATTCATTCATCTGGTGAATTTGGCTGACTTTTGGCGCGTGTAGTGACTGAACGTTCAATCGTCGTACTTGAATGTGCTGGGGAGATTGGTCATAAATCGTCAGCTTAGCGTTCTTGTTTCGTCGTCAGATGGGTGTTTTACTGAGACCTTTTTGGCCATATAGTTATCGTCGACGTTTTGATGGTGGATGGGTGATGTTATGGATGTACCATTCTTACGTGTAGCGCTGCTTTCCAATCCATTTTTTATCAACCACCTCTTCGTGTGATTGAGTGAACCTCGACGCTCTTGACCTTCAGACGGCAGATGCACTCGTGGTTGTCGAGCAATGATTAATGAAGCTTGAAGGAGCAGCGTTGAAGCAAGACGTTTCTCTATTGAATCCGGATAAACAGGCGAGCAAAATAGGCCAGCAACCTCAAAATGACTGGCTACTGTCAGGGCATCACTGGTTAGCATTCACGGTGGCTTTGTCGTGTCGTCCCGTCTCTAGTAGGGCACCAGTGGGTGGGACGTCTTTCTCCTTTCCAATCCTCTTTAGGAGAGTCATTGAGGCCGCACCATTGAATCGCAAGTTGACGAGTTGTCCTGGATCCTGTTGAAAGGTTTGCGGCCGACGGCCACATAAAGAATGGAAAGAGAAATAACAGATGATATTCGTGTGGCTGTGCTTTTTCTTCCCTTCCTCCGCTATGTCGCAGACTGGCGTTGACTTTGCGACCGCTGTCAAGCAAGAGGCTGCCTATCTTCGTCTCGTGCATCCAACATCAGATGATATTCCCTCATGCTTCAGGTTAATGGAGCTCGCAATGGGCTGCCATGGTGCGGTCCTTCGACACCTGTTGACCAGTCAAGCTGAGTCGTAGCAGGTATTCGTTCCCAGGTGAAATCTTGGTACCGGCACGGCGAATCCTCACGATGCGCGCACAAGCACGATGACTTCAAGTTCTGCCTGAGCATGAAATGGATGGAGAGCGACCAGCGGTACGATGCGTGGATTAATAGGCGGGCAGAATGGTGGGCGAAGAGAAGGTTGGATAAGAGCAGTGAGGATGTATGGGCCATGCGAACGTTCGTTTATTCATCTACCTCTAAATTGAAAATTTACCGTAGCGCTATCCAGGGAGCCTCGAACGTCGTTCCCCCGGCCGGTGACGGATGAGGAGATACGACAAGTATTAGAAAATACGGAAGAAACACTCATGTAATTGGCTAGACTTGTACATTTATTCGCTTGACTTGCATGCCCAAGCTTTGCTCCTGTTTCTATGACTCTGGCTTTATGACAAGTTCTTACGGGCACCCACTGCTGCTGGGCCATACACGAAGCAGGACTGGTCAAGCGCCTGATGAGAAATATAATTCCTGAACGTAGGCAACAAAGGGCGTTGATCATGGACGATTTTGGGATCAAAGTACGTATTAACGCCTCTTCTACCTTCTTTGAGAAAACTATAGGATATCTATATCAGTGCTCGAGCATTGGTCGGAACGAAAGTGGCCAGGCGTCATTGTCGCCGAGTATCCATTCTCCTCTAACCGCTCTTATTGCTGTTTGCAGAATAGTTGGCGCAGCTGCCTTTTTGGGCTCGATCGCTTTTTTTGTCCGTCGAGTCGCAATATCACTTTTCAGTTATATCTTCTCCGTTTCCCCATCAAATTACATGGAATTTTGTATGTGTGTGATTCCCTCACTATTTCCGAGATGCGAGCCCCAATTCTGAAGTTTCGCGAGCAAGTTTTGAGTTCCTCAAATTTCGGCATGCATAACTGACATTTTCATCACTGCGAGAGAAGGTAACCAGATGTAAGCATATGGTAAGCTGAGATAATTTTTGAGTATCATTTCTGAGGTGCATGCAATGGAATTGGAGTTGTGGTGGCATCCTATTGTTTCTTTAGGATGTCAGGGTCCGGGTTGAAACATGCAACTCTTGATTTAACACCGCGATGATTTTTCTGGCACCAAAAATGCTGTTGTGCATCTCGCCTTGTATGAGTACATTGACTTTCTCCCTTGGAGCATCTTCGTAGCATCCGTTGTTGGCAAGATACAGCTGAAAAGTTGATCTGAGCCCTCACAGCAGGCTAGAATTTTCGAATTGACTAAATTAAAATTCTGACTGCACCGGCACCTCAAGGGCTTCAGGAAATGTCGAAACATATCTTATTTCAAGCAAATATCTAATGTACTGACCGAGCTACAGCTGAAAAGTCTTTCGCGCCAAAAAAAAGCAACCAGGCCCAAAAAGGCTGCTACGCCAACTATTCTGCAAACAGCAATAATTGGGGGGAACAAGACAAGATGTTAATAGTCAACTGAATTACGACAACACGAATAAGCCAATTTGACCCTCGCCTATGTCTTGCAAGTCATTGATACCGCTGTAGGCGACGCGTCGGTGTTGCACGCCATTCTTCATATCTGCTATCTGCTCCATCTCGCACTTAGGAACCGGCACCCGAGTCAGTTTCGTCTTAAAGGAAGAATCAATCCACGCATGTTACATTCCAGGCCACCAGCACCAACTGTTCCAGAGTCGTTCGATTCTCGACGAAAACAAGGCAGTGATAATCATCCTTGAAGATAAACGGAACCCCTTTTGGGTCCTTCAACCAGTTCTCGATATCACTAGGTCCTTGGGCTCTAAAGCTAAGTCGAGGTGAGGCGTCCGACTTCCACGTAACAGGAATCGCGACATTTTTCTCTCTCGTAAATGAGATCAACCGATAAGGCTGCTGGGTCCACGGAGGAACATCATCGTGAAAGTGAAAGATATCCTCCACTGGAAACACGGTTGTATGCACATACCATGACTGCTACTGTCCAAGACGCCACGCCCAAAGGACTGACCAACGATGAACTTGGGTATCTCCTCCTGCTTCTGTGGTTTAATCGGAGGCCCCGGGAAGTTCCCACCAAGGTGTGTCCGGAAAAATTACCGATTTGGGACCTCAAATATGCAAAGATTTAGGTCTAAAATATGCTAACTCGGACAGGCTTTTGACGGTCCGGGTGGGCCGGAAACCCCGCTAGACCAAAAATTTCCGGCCATTTCCGCCAAATTTTCGCTTTAGCATCGTTTTAGGCACTATTTTGCTTTCTGGATGCCAACTGGCCGACGTTTTGGCCAGACTCCGCTAGTCGATCGCCTAAAAATGTATGCACTGCCCCTACCGACAAGGATCATGGCACCAAGTGTCCTAAATTATGCTAACTGCGGACAAGGGCCCCAAATTTTGGTCCTCAAATATGCTCATTTCCGGACACACCTTGGCGGGAGCTTCCCGGGGCCTTTAATCGGGTAGCACAGCCTCTACCGCGTGTCCTGTCGTGTGATCGTAACGAAATCATGACTAAGACAACAGCGCGTACCCCCACTCGTCGTTGCCGCATACGATGAGCTCCTTCAAAGTAAGTGAAGGCTCAACTTCAACTTGGTCATTCTTGATGCTGCTTCTTTTCCAAGCTTGAACTGTATCATGCCGCGAAAGAGGGATCTACCGTCGCTCTTGCCGCTCTCTCGTCACTAGCAGCACTAGATCCAAGCGCATTCCATGATGTCGTTGCCGCCGTTCGCCACCAACTCCGCTGCGCAGGACCACAATATACCTCCGTCGCGTCTTCGAAACGGTTTGATATCGCTACCGGTTGTTTCAAGTCGCTCTGGACTGCTTTAGGCTCCGAGAACTCGAAGGTTCTCCGTGACCCATCCAATGTCACCCTTCTCGCAGAGACATGGCCGGAGCTGTGTAGCTGGATTGTTGAATACCTCAAGTTCTTCGTTGTTGAGGCTTCCATGACGCCAGAACTTCAGGACTTTCTCGCAACATCGAAGACGCTCGACCTACTCCATCTGCTCTTGGAGAATGATAGTCTTCTACACCTAATGATACAGTCCCTCGACCTTATCTCTTGCTTGACAGAGATCTCGATGTGTCTCTTATTCACTGAAACTCCGTTGCCGTCTCAGTATCTGCCAACAATGCAAATCATACTCAAGCTGGGTCGCCGTGATGAAATAACAAGCAGAGATGCGAGAGCCGCTGTAGGGAAAACTTTGGACGCTATGCATTCTGCACGCATCACAATGGTTTTATTTCGAATCATCCGTCTGACGGAGCATCCAGCCATGTCAAGCTCCGAGATAAATACCGTCCTTAGTTTCCTCTCATGCTGTTCAGCGTCTTCCTCCAAATTCCACGCCAATCACCTCATTCACGGCTCGGTTTCGTGGATCTGCGGCATGCTTTCCCGTATGTTAAAATGCTCTTACGCTCATCGACAACACGCACGATCCTGCGCACTTTACCTTCGGCATTGCATTGAGAAAGGTCCCAGATGGGCGGCTCAAGCTGTGGAACGTCACCTCGTCGAGTTGCTTCTAAAAGCCCTTCCCCATGCTAGTGACGACTTTACCAACGTTATCTCCGGCCTTTTCGACTCGATACACGTTCACTTACTTTTTCGTGGTGTTCTTCGACATGTTTGCCGGTCTATAGAAAGGATCGAAAGACTGGGTTTGGATAGCCAACTTGCCAATGCTTCAGTTAGTGCACGCGAGACTTGGGAAGCATTCAAGGAGGTTGCAGAGGATCGGTGGGTTTGGAGGGACGTCGTTGCTAGCAAAGGCGAGTTCCATGAATGCTCCAATCACATGGTATTTGATCATCTTTCATTAATTCTCTTTTCGATCTGATCTTTATCAGTGCATGAGTACTGAATCGCCTCCGCCTGTCCGGCGATGTCAAGGGTGTCTTAACGTCTTTTATTGCTCCAGAGACTGCCAAAAGAAGGACTGGCATGCTCACAAGACAGATTGTCAAAATGTTCAGCAAGAACGACGTGGTGAGTTCCTGCCTGCTATGAGCTGGATCCACGAGTACTTATTGATAAATAGAGGGATTTTCTCCTCAGCTTTCTCAGCGAGATCTGCATTTTATCAGATTCGTGGCCATACAAGACATCAAAACCGCTGACGATGTCCGCGATGCTCTGGCAAAGCGTGTTGCTAGCGTCAATAATGGATTTTTCCCAGTCGTCGTTGTCGATTATACTACTGCACCAAGAAGTATAACGGTAGCACTCATGGGGCGAGACCACCTGCATGCCGAGTGGCCCGAGGCGATGGAGCAACTAGGAACTCAAGAGCAGCTTGTCAGAATCATTATATCCAGTGATGGTGGGGAGGAGTTCGAAATTTTTACTGCCACGACGCTTGAGTAGGAAGTCGTTGCTTTGAGGCATGCTTTTTGCTATCACTTGCTTTTTTCCATCTCCACCAAGAGAATATCCTTACAAACACTATATTCCGTATGCTATGACTCAATTGCATTTTTCTGACATGTATGCACATATAAGCGTGAAGTTGGCTTTGATTCTCAACGCTATTTCTAGGCAGTTCTGATGGATCTCGCGCTTCTTCATGTGCCACGTGCGCGAGTAAACTGTTGATTGACCGTTCTTTGCTTCTTGCCTGTTACCACCTGCGCATATATCTATATTCATGGGCGACACCCATCGATTGAAATAATGATATGGTCAAGCCTTCCGAAATTCCAGCTCGAATCAAGTTACTGGTGAGCCAGTGTTCCAATTACTGTTTGTCCTCTAGGCTCTTATAGCATCGTCAAGATATCTGTGTCTGTAATACTCAGAACAAACTCCTATTCGATGGCAGATACAGAATAAAAATCTTCACTGATAATGGAAAAGCTAAGCAGGGTGGACTGCATTCTACACGGAGAAAAGCGACGGAGATCGTTTGGCTCGAGGCCCTCGAAATGTGCGTTTCTTACGTCGACCGCGGTGCTGTGCGATTGATACGACTATGAACGCAGTGAATACGAAGGCTCGGACATAACCTTTGACTTGTGGAGAAAATGCAAGATACGAAAGGACGTCTTTATTGAACGGTTTCGAACTTCCGCAACAGATGTCCTATGCAATTTCAACTCAAAAGGGAGAGGTCTTTGGTACGTGCCAGGGCCTTCGCACAGGGACAATCTCTGAAAAAATCTTTCAGGAATCGCTATCAAAGGCGACGGAGCATCACTGTCCTTCAACTTCATCCTCATATCGCAAAATGAAGATCAGATACCACTCGAATTCATCAAACAGCAGATAGAACTGGTACCCAACTTCTCCGCAAAGTTGCAAGTAGTTCTCTCCACTCTCTACAAACTGAAAGGATGGATAAACCCAATCTTGAAGGTGCGTGAGCGTCAAGATTTTCTGTATATTCACTGATTGCTTCATAGCTTGCTCCCGGGGGACAGGCGGCCTGTGACTTGTTCGAACAAGTACTCTCCGTAAGCGCTTGCTTTCAATTGTCTTAGCGTTGGCTACAAGTCTACAGACCAGTACTTCAAAGACCATCAAGCTCGTGTTGGAAAATTGGGCTTCATCGTTGATGATCTCACCGCACTCTTAAAGGCCGTAGACACGATTCGAGCGAAAAATGCCGATCAACTGGAGATTCTCAGTGATACGGTGGATGCCATTCTTCAGACGGCTCGGGAGTATGGTGAATGCTTGATGAAATTTGGGAGAAGATCCACGTTCAGTGCGTATTGCTTGATAATCAAGCTGTATATGCAGCTCATTTCAGACGTCTTCTAGAGCACCTTATATCTTCAGCACTTTCATCCGAAATGGACGATAGCATTGAGGATTTTCGTCGTCGTATAGCTCGTGATAACGAGGCATTGTCACGAGCCATGCTTGTTGAGACCACAATCCGGGTGGAAGACATGCACTGCCGAATGACAGGTCTGTATCATCTCAATCTGTTATCACACAACATATCGATCTGAATTCACTGTATCAGAGGCGGAAATCAGCAGCAACATTTCCCAGCTCAAGCCTGTGACATCGGCGATCCTGCATTCTCATTATGCCGCTTTCGAATCATGTTTAAAAGGCACTCGCGAACGAGTTATTGGAGATGCTATCCGAGGCATTACATCGGTCCCTGGTGCATATTGGATTCCAGGTGGCGCTGGCACCGGGAAGAGCACCCTCGCCGCTTCCATCGTACACGAACTCCGTGCCCGAGGAGTGATTGTCGCTAATTTTTTCTGCAACCGTGATGATCAACACCGACGAGATCCACAGAAGATCATATCTACACTCGCGTATCAGCTAGCACAGTCGATCCCCGAGTATCGATCGGTTATCTCTGATGCGATCGCCACCACCAATGCAAAACATCTTCCATTCCCAGTACAACCATCGATGCAACTCCAGTTTTTCATCATCGATGCGTTTTCCAAAATCGAGGGGCATGGCGTCGTCCTTCTGATCGATGGTCTAGATGAATGCGACGAGAAGCAATGTGCTGCATTTCTGGATTCGTTACTCGCAGTATTAGACTCGGCGATAGAGTCGGCTCACATTACGTTAGTGGTATTCAGTCGGAAGCTGGACTCATTCTATCTGCCGAGCAAGAAGTTTATCACATTGGTTGATTTGGACGATGGTTTGGAGAGCAACGACACGTCGAAAGACATACGTCTCTTTGTCGAGGCACAGCTATCGGTCATTTCCCGCAAGTATCGTGACGAAGATTGGCCATCACCGGCTGACATAGACATGCTTACTACCCAAGCTAGAGGTCTTTTCATCTGGGCGGATGTCGCTTGCCGTTTTGTCAGTCAACCCAGTTATCGCGAAGAGCTCACCAGACTTACAAATGAATCCAAAGTTGACATCGGCATCGATGACTTGTACTTCCGGACTCTAAACATCGAGTTCTCTAGACATCCAAACCAAACTGGGTGGATCTCTGATTACCGTGCTATCATGGGTTGCATCTTGTGTAGTGTTGCACCCTTGTCAGTGCGAACGATATCGCAATTATTGAGGAAACGGCAGAAGACGGTGGAAGGAACGCTCTCAATTCTGAGACCGGTGTTGCGGTTGCGAAGTCCACTTGCTGCATACGTCCCTTGCCGACTACCTTCTCGATCCAGGTCGTAGTGCTCACTTACATGTGGATCCGTCCTTGGCTCATGCATCTCTCGCCATGGGATGTTTGCAAGTTCTTATTTCGGGGTTGAAGGATATCCATCGTCATATCATATCTGCTTCTGCTTCCACAAAAGCCAAGGTGGACATACCAGCTCACGTCAACTATAGTTGCTTGAATTGGGCCGCCCATTTGTCTTCGGTGACTTGTCAAGGAGATGAAACTGCACGATTAGAGTCGTCCCTTGTTCAGTTTCTCGAAACGTGTTTTCTCTACTGGCTGGAAGCTCTTAGTTTCCTGGACCGTGTTCAAGATGGTATCGTGTCGTTGCATACTTTGTGTGCATGGCTAAAGGTAATGCATCCCTGCTCTGAAGATGTATCTGCTAATAGACGTCGTAGAGACACGACCTTTCGTCTCTTCAAGCACTTGCGACAGATGGCGCGTTATTCTTGGAGACTTTTGGTTATCCTATATCTATTAGCCCAGCGCATATCTACATGTCCGCCTTGCCCTTCTCCCCTAAGAACTCCTTGATTGCAAATCATTATCGCGCTCTCTTCTCCGCTGGAACCATACCCACCATGACGAGTGGTCAGGTGTCGGACTGGCCTGATATCGCACCCATCGCGCGTATCGGCCGAATCCGTCAGAGTCTGGGCGAGATGGCTTCACCAGATCTTTTGGCCTTTTCGCGGGATAATCGTTGTGTTGTGTTGCTTAGAGAATCCAGGGATTTTGAAGGTCTTGGTGAGGCTTTGGTTTCTGTATGGGATGCAGAGAATGGAAGCTGGGTATGTGGACCCATCACTCTGAGCACTAGACAGGAACGTGCAAAGTCCGTGTCGCTCTCACCAGATAATGCATCCATTGCCATTGCTATAATGTATTCCTTTGCGACCGACTATTGGAATATCTCCGACTTGGATCTGGACTTGAACCATCCACCTATCAATAGCGTCACGATTGGTTTCAAATCCAAGAGTTTTGCAGGGCTTAATGAAGTTGGTGACTGGGCTTTTGGTATGGAGAATATACAAGCCAAGTTTAGGATTGCTACGCAGAATCATACGGAGGAAATTCCTACCTTTGATCCTGTCGCCCAGGATGGTGCAGACTACGTCAACGTGGCCGTATTTGAGAAGGAAACGGGTTGGATCATTTGGGATCGGGGACTCTGCTGGATACCGCCGTTCTATGGCGATGTCGAGGAGCCGTATCGGCAGTATTCTGTCCTCGTTTCCCATGACATGCTGGCCATGGGAATGCCTCACAATGAGCCACTGATAGTGAAGTTCGCAAATGCCGATACCTGGGATGTGAGCAACAGAGTTCGCTCTGCGGCTGGAAGCTGATTCCTTTTCTTGATATAGCGACTGCGCTCAACAGAGATCGGCACATCATCGCTGGAGATCGCCTGGGATCCTATCAGTTTTTTCGAGCTGGGAGAGGATGCCCTAACTAGCCGTTATCAGAATATGCTAGATCATTATATGAATTTTGCATATCTTTCCTAGGACTTCTTGATCAAAAATGGTGTAAAATCCTTGCCTAATGAGTCAGTAGTGCAGTTCTTTTGTGAAGGCGAGTCTTTCGAAACCTGTGTCATATTTTATATGCTTAGCCGCCGTTGTTGCAGAGCCTGTTTCGTGTAAGTGTGTAACGATGCTTATCTGTTTTCTCATATGACTGTCATGGCAGTGCCATATATTCATATCAGTATGCCGAAGTTGCCTCTTGACCAGGGTATGGTAATTACGAACGAGGAAGGCGAAACATTGTCATCCAGTGTCTGGACTCTTGTGCGCGACCCAGATGAAGTGGCTGGTACGATCCATTGGCTCATAACTGGACTACGGGGCATATGGTACGTTTCTCTCACATGCAGTAGGAAGTTCCAGATAATAAAGGGATTGACAGGCCGGTTTTTGTTGTCCATGATTGCCAGCCAGATAACTTCACCTAACATTGCGGAGGCGAGTCGGAAGCAAGCCGAAGATCGGAAGCGGAACCGATGTTTGCTAATGGCTTCGTCATCGTGGGAAAATACTTATTTTTATGTACAATTGCATATTAATCCTGAAATAATGCCATCCAAATCCTGACCAGTCCTTACAGACGGCTGCCGCAGTACATCTCTCTTTGATTTCCCTATCATCCTGGCGTTCTACAGTCACTAATCTGCGTTGTCGGTTTGGAGAATTACCATCTTCATCGACGAGTAATGGCCAAGTTGAAATCGCCGTCGCCACAAGAATTGTACCATGCGAGGAGACAGCGGGAGGAAGAGGAGAGGATCGCTTTGCTTCCGCCGGGGTTCATTAACAACGGAAATACGTGCTTTATGAATTCGGTGCTCCAGGGCGTACGTTATTTCGTTGTCAGACAGGAGTAGGCACTGACGCTATACTGACCAGTTAATCGCGACGAGGCTGCTCTCAGATCTTATATATTTCAGGCCCATCTCTCCTATTGATCAGTACCACTCGGAAACTCGTCTTGAATCTCGGAGGTCACCGCTACTCACCAATGGTGTCAAGGCCGCTGGGAAGGATAAGCAGGAATGGGTGAATACCATGCCCATCGGAGACGTCTTTGTGAACGTCATGCTAAAGGCCTGGGATGCGCAGAGGAATAAACGGAGGGAGAATCAGAGCCCGAGGTGCGTCGCGTTCATACTAATTGTTGCTTACTGGAAGCTGATGATTGTGAAGGGCGCTTCTTGGCGTGCTCGGCCGGAAATATGACCAGTACCTTGATTTTGCTCAGCAAGACGCGCATGAATTCATGCGTATCCTCCTTGATGCCATGCGAATGGAGGAGCTTGATGTATGTATGTATTCCTTCTATTTACAGTATTCTAAATGGAATACAGGCCATAAAGAAACGGCAACCGCCACCGCCGCCCGAGAGAGCCAAGAGACGCCGCAGACGAACGTTGACCCCGTCTAACCATAAGCATGATGACGACGACAAGCTGCTGTCCCTTCCTGACATGATTTTTGGGGGCAAGCTTACGAGCGTTCTCGTTTGTCAGAAATGCAAGCACGTATCACAGACATACGAGGACTTCAACGATCTCAGTCTCAGTATAAAACCGGAAGACTATGCAAAAGAGCGCAAACGCGATCGATTGAGGAACTTAGCGAAACGGCTAACTCCTGTATTCCCTGCGGCATCTAACCTCGGTGTGGACAAGGCATCAGGGCACCGCTCATCATCGGCACCACCGAGTCCTAGGGAACCAGAACATGACGAGCCTCCCATAGCAGACGATCCTCGGCGCAGAAGTCTGAATACCCTGGCGGAACCATCTGCGGGGCCACATGTCGAGGATGAAACGATAAAAGATCCGACGGTTTCCGATGGTGAGAAGCGACTTGAATTTGCGGATCTACCGAAGCCGGAAAAGAAGGATAAGGGTAAAGATGACGGATGGGTCAAGCTGAGTCGCCGAATTAGTGTCAGTGTCGGGTTAATTAAGACCAAAGAGCGCAAGAGCCGGTCGCGGGAGAGACGCTTAAGTCAGGACTTGTCGCGGCCGGGTACACCATCGGCGTCAGCTAGCGAGGATGTGTCCTCTTCTGAAGGAAGACATAGCACGTCTGAGACTGCTTCCATTCATTTCACCAAGCCGGAGCACCCAGACGTGGGAGAAGCACCTCAACCGCGTATTCGTGCGCTTTCCCCTCTCCATGTCATCGCGACGCCGTCATCCAGGGCTTCAAGTACCACGTCCATCCCTCGCTTTGCTAACATCAATCGAAGCAAATCCCCCAAACCACCCAAGCCATCCCGAGCTGAGCAAGCGTATCTACGAAAGATTCTAGCAGATGTCACGTACCAATCAGCGCCTAATCCCTTTGCTCTCCTCAATCATCTCAATGGATCATCTTCGAACTCCCATCATCATTCCAGTCATGCCTCGCAGCATGTGTGGTTGAAAATGGGTCAGCTACAAGGCATTGAGGACTGTTTGAAAATGTTCACTGCGGTAGAAATCCTGGACGGGGAGAATATGGTCGGTTGCAGACGATGTTGGAAGATCGCGAATGGGCTGTACAAACCCAGTTCAAACCGCGATGAAGGGGATGCTGATTCGGATAGCCTTGACAACCACGAATCGCCACCGCTGCCTGAACCCAGACCGCGGACGCCATCCTCAGAGACATCTACGAACGATCTGCCAACATCTCTATCAAGTCCTAATATTCCGCTTTACTCTCACTCAGACTTTAGCGACACCGCAGAGTCTATCGTATCATTGCCGACAATGATTGCGTCGGAGTCTGTCGTGGGTCTAAAGCACACTCCGTCCCCATTAGCCCTTGCTAGCGTCAACGGTATCCATACCCCTGGTGGACTGCCAATTCCGTCAATAGCGACGACAGAGCCACCAGGACCTGACGATACTCCCTCGGGCCCTTCAGACTCGGATGACAGCCTGAATGATTCATCCTTTCCCAATGGTAACAATAATACCCCTTCCAATGATATACCCCAAACAAACCTATTCGCCTCAAAAGACTCTCTGTTACCTGCGCCCACGTACCGCCAGTATCATGGCGGGCGAAGTCTGGACGCTTCTGATGATGATAGTTCTGACGGTGGCGAAAGCGAAGCCACATCTGCGGAGTCCGGGTCTGCACCGAAAACTGCCAATAAGAAAAAGCCAAAACCAGTCATTATGCGCCCCGCGTATAAGCGGTACCTCATCGCGACACCTCCACCTGTCCTCGTCGTCCATCTGAAACGCTTTCAGCAGATCTCTAAAACGACGATGATTTCCTTTTCCAATGGCTTCAAAAAATTGGATGATTATGTGACGTTTCCCGAGGTCCTGGATTTGACGCCTTTTCTCGCGCCCAAGAAGGAGGATTTTTTTGGAGGAAGCAAGCCTCACATAAAAGAGGTGGAGAGATGCTTATATCGCCTGTATGCGGTGGTGGTGCATATTGGTAGTATGGTGGGTTATATTTGTTCCCTAGAGGAGAGATACTAACTGGCGAATATAGTTGGGGGGTCACTATGTCGCTTATACTGCTCTCCCAAACTCGAGTCCTGGGGAAGACAGTCTGAAGACTCCCACTTCTGCTAATTCACATCCCCAGAAACCGCATAGACAATGGGCTTACATTAGTGATACGATTGTTCGATTGACGACCTTGGAAGAAGTGCTCAAGGCCAAGGCGTACATATGCATGTACGAGCGGATATGACCTATCGTTTGCATACTTAACTTATTATCTTTTGGACTGTTCATGTAAGTACTAAGCAACTGTAACACAATAGAAGAACATGTAGCGGGATGATGATGAATGGTTGCATTGTCTTGTTTTCCGTTGATGTGGTAGGTATATGGCTAACAGTCTTCGAGGTAACATAGCCAGGTGGTGTCACGCCGTGAATAACTTCAGGGGATATGGCGGACCGGCTCCGATCGGTCGATTCGGAGTTGTTGACTCTCCCAGGTAAATTCCCATTCATTTTCGGTGTTCACGCCTATGCCGATGTGAGTAATTGGGAAGTATGAGCCACTTGAAGGGCGCAAGTTGTGCTTATGTGTGGAGGTTTTCTTGCGAAATCGCAAAAGAATAGTATACATATGAAGCTACCTCTGTAGCATCTTGCTGTTTCTAACCAGCGCCGATACAAAACCTTAAGCGTAAGTATCACTACCAATGCTGAATTTTCATGAAAAAAGAGAACAATGTGTGCTACTGATTACTCAACGGTCGGAGAGACGTGCAAAATTCAAAGTTATAGTTCGAGCAAAGATTGCGCACAACGTTTTACGCTAAAATTTAATCTGTGTTACACTATGGTACCGAATCTACCGAATCATCGATACCTTAAGTAACTTCGTTTGAGCACTTGACTAAAAAAAATAAATGATAACAGTGAGGTTCGAACTCACGCCCCGGAGGACTGGATTACGTAATGTCCAATATTTTGGACCTCCTAATTCCAGCGCCTTAGACCACTCGGCCATGTTACCATATAACGTTTGTAGTAGTTTATTAGTAAATCTCCAAAGAGATCCAGATGCTGTCAATCTCTTATGATCGGTTACAAAAATGCTGATCAGTTACCAGGACGACCATTTTGCTTCACCGTAGCAGCTAGAAAAAGGAAACGCACAAGCTTTGTTCCTCAATCTATGTTCAGAATTTTCAGACATCCGTCGCCTCCACGCCTAGAGCAACCATCGCTGCTATCCGACCCTTCCGAATACCGTGGTCCTGGTTTCTTTCTTCGTTGCTGGACTGTGCTCAAAGCAGAAGGCGAATCATCATGGCTTGACTCTTACAAGTCATTCCTATTTGGCAGCTACCTCAATTTGCTGCTCTTATTTGTTCCACTGAGTGCTGTAGCGCATCATCGCGACTGGGATGCCAGCTTTCGTTTCTCTTTCAGCCTCATTGCCATAGTTCCATTGTCTAAGGTGTGCCGATATTTAATTGAGGAAGCCGATCTAACTAGATTCTGGACATGTACAGTTACTAGGTCAATCGACCGAACAGATTTCGTTCAAGTTGGGACAAACTTCGGCCGGATTATTGAATGTGCTTTTCGGTAATCCAGAATTCATTGTCGGGGTCACAGCGTTGCTTCGAGGTCTATTCAGAACATTGTTGTCCTATTGTGTAGGCTCACGGAAAGTTTAGATGAATTAGATCTCGTTCAAAGCACTGTACGGCCTTTTTAAATTCTCTTCCCTTCGACTTATTTGCTTCTTAGATGCTTGGTTCCATCCTGTACAACTTTCTCCTCATGCTGGGTTGCTCGTTCTTGGCCGGTATGTTTGATGTCCGTCGCTATGCATAGCCGGTCCGTTGACATGTAATCTCCTGGTAATCACAGCTGGTATTCGATATAGCGAATCTAGCTTCGAAGTCACGGCTAGCCAAAAGTAATCGTTAGGCCTTGACATGTCAACGTTCCCATTGCTGATATATGAGTATAATGTTCTAGCTCTGGCTCGGTATGTGCACCTACTGCTTCCTCTACATACTGCTGACGCCCCACAGCTGATGACTCTTGCTTCCATCAGTTCGTTATTTTCATTCTGATGTTATGCAAGTCCGAGATGCTCACTGAGATCAAACAGCTTTTGTTATTCCGGCTATGTACCATTCTATTAAGCTTGATGGTGCGGACTTGCACGTTATAGATGGTAGCGGTCACCGGTCACCAGTGGTCTCATGTATGAATGACACCAGCGTTGCAGATCCAGCTGCCTTGCGTGGCCTACTGATAATTTCAAGAGGAACCGCAATAATGCTGCTGTTAGTCTATATTGCTTATCTGTTTTTCGAGGTCTGTTGAGACTGCATCCTATTTCTCCATCATTACTGATGTTTGATCTCAGTTAACCTCACACAATTATCTCTTTTTTTCGGATGCCGACGACGAAGAGCTCGACATCGAACCTCCTGGGATGAGCGCCGTTTCGGCCGGTACAGCGTGAGCGCAACGCTGGTTTGTCTTGAAAAGCGATGGATCAAGTAACCAGTTCTACATGGTCAGATTTCTAGTTGTAGCCATCACGACCTTTTTCTGTGTGGATCACCGTAGGTTTTTTTTGGAAACCATGCCATCTGATCTTTGAAACCTTTGCCTACAGTGGTTACGTCTATTGAGGAATTCACCGACGAGTACCATGTACCGAAATCGATCATTGGATTGGTTATCATTCCTATTACCGTGAGTGGCTTGAATTGTCAACGTTGCCCAAAGGGACACAAGTCTTTAGATGAACATTGTCGATCATATCATCACCGTCTGGACTGCTCAGGGGACTGCTATGGGGGGCAATATGGGAGCTGCACTTGGTATATGCATAGGAAACGCGATTGTCAGTCTTTCCTCACTTTTTTGCCGGCCTGATATTGAGACTTGTACAGAGTATTGGAACTTTTGTCATGCCGTTCTTAGTACTCTTAGGATGGGTGTGAGTAACGCAGATCGGCGACTGAAATACGCTAACTGACTTATATCAGTTCTCATCACGAACTGACACTTTTTTTCGGCAAATTCGAGGCTTGTGTTATCTTCGCTGGGATTGCTTTCCGGTTCTTATTTGCTGCGCAGACCATCTGTTTATATGTTTCCGTTCTTTTCGTCAACGCCATCGTACAGTGAGTACCTCGGAACCTCTCTGATACTAAAGGTTCTACTTACACTTCAATTTTCAAGAGACGGCAAGTCCAACTATCTGGAAGGATTCATGTGAGAACCCCACGAAAACATCAGTCCGTACGCAACTAATTTTCTCTTAGGCTTATTACATTATATGTCGTTATTGTTCTTGCATGTACGTGGCTTTTAGATCTCTTGTCAACCATCTACCCATTTCTTTTTTCTCGTAGTTTCCGTCTTCTACTATGTATGAAGGCATTGCGTCGCTTCCGACTGTCTCATCGTGTTTTTCATCGCATATCCTTGCCCATGAGTCTTGTGTCATTTCAGGTTACTTGCATGTGCACCCTGATAATATTTTCAATTGTATTTACCATTATCAAGTCCGAATCGACAGGTAAGAACGGACACTGTCCGCAGATACCCACATCGCTTTGGTCCTTATCCTAGTCTATTGGCTAATGCCTTACTACTTCCCTATTACCAGTTGACTTTCATGGTGTGTCTCCATTGTTTAACCCTGCTGAAGCAGACTTGGCTCGCTTTCCTCTGCCCCTATAAGCCTCACTACCGCCATGTAGATGCAATGGTCCTCATGAGCTAGCGGTATGCTGTTTTCGTTTTCTGAGCTTTTCTCCTTGCAGCTTGTTCGGTAATGTTCATAGTGATGCTACCATTTGCGACATTAGAAGCGTTAAATTCCGAATGTGCTGCGTACCTACATACAGTGTGCCTGACTACCAGAATGTCCGTAACTTTAATAAGCTAGTCCAAATTGGTATTACTTCTGATGAAGCCAGCATCTTGCCAGCATCATCATGATGGTTCATGATGTCTAACCTCAATTGACAGCCAATCGCATTTGAAAGGGACACATTATATCATCTCGTTGTCTCCTGCAGTCATCTCTAGTTTCAGACCTAGTTGTACACCTGTCGAACGCTCTGGTCTTATCCTCTTAGTAGGTGCATTGGACATTGTCCCTCTTTGACGTGTGACATAGCTATAGCAGGGACCGTGATGTCTGGAGGGTTCTTACACGGATTTGAGGCGCTATACAAGGCACTCGAATTTAATGATGAGGCGAGTCCCGAGCAATTGGATAGTGGAATAGAAATGGCGGCAGCAGCTTATGTGCTACAATTACGGCGCTATAGCACCCGCATTTCTGATGAGTCCATACCGAGGACTTTCATGCTAAGCCTGAAAACACTGAAGGATATTCGGTGTGTGAAGTTGTTCAACTATTGAGCGTGGCTTCGAGACATGACATGCATATCTACAGGTTCCCAAACTTGTATAACTTAATCAAGGAACTTTCATTCCTGCTCAAGGGTTCACCAGAACTCGTGCTCGACCTCAATTACTTCCTTCCATCCGGATTCGATGTCTACTGCGATATCGGTAGTCCGAATGTAGAATTTGTGGTAATTCGGGATTCGAAATTCAGCGCACGCATCGAGGGAGTCTCCAGCGAATTACCTGAATCGGTCCCATGCGATTTTGTGGCTCTTCGTGCTACATTGAATGACAGCACAAAAACCAAGAAGCTTGTATCCGAATCGAAAGGTTCTTTGGCGAGTGCAGTATTGCAGCTGCTTCAATTTGTAAGAGTGTTTGCTATCTGGTGCTTCCCGGGTGCTTCCTTGAATATTGATGAGGTCTACGCTCACAGGAAATCGACAACCAAAGCGATCGTACATCATTGTCGAGCCAAATAACTTTCAAAACTCTCCAAGATCTTTCATACAAGTCCGGAAAACTACCTCCATCGCTATACATACGTAGTGTTGTTCGAATGGGAGAGTTTCCCATAGGGGGAGGTGGGTTTTCCGTAAGTCATATTTATTGATCATTCAGCTTTAGAAGACCTGTCATTGACTTCCAAGCTAAGGACATCTGGAAAGGACAAAGCCTTTCGGGAGACATTGTTTGCCTAAAAATTCTGCGAATGAACATAACACCTGATATCGAGAAATTCCTCAAGGTACTGTCATTAACGTTTCCGGCCTGCCTGGGGAGCACTGACGGTCGTAAAGCGATGCTATAAAGAAGTCCTCGTATGGCGCATGCTACGAAACCCACGAGTGCTTGAGTTCTACGGCGTTTATATCGTAAAATCGCAGAACGATGTACGTTTCGGTCTCGTTTCGCCTTGGTTGGAGAACGGCAGTGTTATGGAGTATATCAAGGCGCACCCTGATTTCGACCGAATGAAAGCGGTAAGCTCCGAGTTTTGTAAGTCGGGTGTACTAACTATACGTTAAGATTAGGGAGGTAGTTGACGGCCTATACTACCTTCATCATTCCGAGAGTGTCGTGCACGGCGATATTAAAGGTGTAAGCCTTTTCGTTCTATGATTTTGCAGGATCCGACCTTTAACTCAGTTCGACGTGCCTTGATCAGGACAACATTTTTGTCAGACCTGACTTGACGTGCTGTTTGGGTGATTTCGGGTTGGCAACATCTGCATGGTCGCCGGCATTGCCAATGAAATCCTCGAGTAGCGCGGGATTAGGATCGACGCGTTGGATGGCTCCAGAACTTCTCAATCCAAAACCTTTTGAGAATGACCAAGGCTCTCCACTCGCCAGTGATATATATGCTCTGGGATGCACAGCTTTGGAGGTCAGATTCATGCCCTCGGATTTTAGCCATACGCAAATTGATAACTTTTCCAGATCTTAACCGGAAAAGTCCCCTGGTCAGAAATCCAATTGGATACTCAAGTTCTCATCGAGGTCATCCAAGGCCACAAACCCAGCCTTCCTGCAGATATTTCCTATGACGTGGGATGGGTCTTGGAACAAACATGGGAGTTTTGGCCCAAGAAGCGACGAGGCATCCAGTGGTTGAAACCAAGCCTCGAACCGTCATTTAGGGCACCGGCACGGCCCACAGCTCTGCAACGGAATAAATCAAACCCTTTCCAATGGAAACTCGGTACGACATCCGTCACCGCCAAGAATTCCGCAAGGACACTGTGGAGAAGTGCATCGAAAAGATAGGTAATACCGTCTACATAAAGTTAGTGCTGGCGTGACGAACATGTGGGTGATTCACCAAATCTAGATGTCATTGCAATGAGAATGTTTCTTTAAATCACATAGCAATCAAAGAACCTGTGTCGCGGGACAGGCCAAGTCGACATTCACCTTGTCAATGGGACACCTATGATAGCTTGATGATTGGATAGCTTTCTTCGTGATGCCGTCTTCTAGCGAAGCGGCTATCTGTAGAGTCGACCACGTGTTATTCGCCACCCGACAGTTCGACGATGCTAACGGAAGGTGGGTAAGCCAGCTGCAAATTGTTTTCCCTCCTTGGCGCATCATAGCAGACGCAACAGCTGCTTTCTGTTTTTAACGGAGCAAATTTACCCTGGCAGTAAAGGACGGCTGTAGATTAATACGTGCTTGAATGGACAGGAGAAATACGTATAGGATGCACCGCAGCTTTACCATTGACAAATGGTTGAAGAGAGGGCGACATCATCTTATCAACTTTGACCCCTGAATCTTTGAACTCGAATGTCCTAACCATAACGGCGAGGAAAGTCTTAACCTGCATTACAGCTAACGGAATATTAAGCAAAACCCCAAAGATATGCGCAGAACGACAGACCCAAACGCCATCCGATGCACATACGAGGACCGTCGCTAAAGGTAGACAGGTTGCTCCACGGTCCGTGTGGGAGTTCTTTCGACGGTGGTACGCCATCTGGCGCCATCCATCTCTCTGGGACGAACTCCTGGGCATTTGGCCCCCATATTACGGGATTAGTGTTCAAAAGCGTATAAGGTATGGTGAATTGCTGCAGTAAAGCAGGCGTCAGTCAATAACCTAGATGAGGTTTTAGAATCGAACACATACATCACCGGCTCTTACGGGAAGGGCGGTGATGATCTCACCAGTCTGAAGTGTGACGGGCTTGTGTAAAGGAATAGTATCGTCACAAACGGCTATACGGTGTGTTTCCGCAGATGATGGGTGCAAGCGGAGGCTGGAATAGAGAGAGTCGACGCCGACGAGGAGGACACTTGGATCTAATAGCAGACCTTTCGCGTGTAACAGCGTCGAGGTACTGCAGGTTGTCGATGGTCTTTGGGTCTAGTTCAGCCCCGAGGAGCTCTTCTCGAAGCCTGGTCTGTGCCTCCATGTTCTGCGCCAGGTCGAGCAGAGTAAACACTACAACTCCCGATGATGCTTCGAAACCAGCCATTCTAAGAGGCATGTCAACCAACGCAACTTCCAAGGCAGGAGGAATTGTTACAGAAGGGTTGTGATCTGTACAAGTGGTATCAGAACATGCAGAAAAGAAAAGAAAAGCAGAAATTAGCTAACATTGTCAATCAGCTGTTGATTGGATAGCTTCTCTCCTGAAATTTCTTTGCCTTCCCATGATTCCCTCACAAGGATAGAGAAGATATCTCGTCCATCAGGGTTCGAAGGCTGCTTCAATAATTCTCCCGCCACTCGTTGGATCACTTTCTTCGCAAATCCATCCTCTTGGAAAGCCGCGATCGGGAGTCTTGCAATCCAAGGAAATATTCCGATTAACCTAGGTGCCAGGAAGGCCAGGAATGTGGCAAATTTTTGAACATCTTCACGCCAAGATCCAAGTATAGCCTGTGCATCCGAGTTTTCATAGCCAAAGTCGCGTCCAAAAACGACTCGACATATGGTCTCAAACCTAGGAGGAAACGGGTTCAATACTGAGAAAAGGTAGGACATAAGAGACATACGCGTAGGCCGGGATGTACAAACTAAGGTTGAACACTCCCGCATTGATGTTTTCCTGAGTTTCAAGGTCGCTTGCCAATCTAGAAGCACACTTGTCAAATTTTAGCGCGTCGTCCGGCTTGAAAAGAGGAGCGTAACAAAAACCTTTTCGGCACATTGCAAAACATCATCAGCCAATCCCTTAACCGCAGAAAGCCTGTATGATGTAGTTGCATACTAAGTAATCATAATGGAAGCGAAACAACAATAACTTGCGTGAAGGCAGGTACTAGGAGCCTGCGCTGGAACTTGTGTTCTTCGCCTTCTGCCCAAGCGACACCTCGACCAACAACTTTGACTACTATGGGTTCGAAGGTTTGAGAATTCACTGCCGTTTAACATATGAGCGACCGTGAAGATGCATAAAAAAACCCGCATACAGTAAATATATGCGTTCTGGATGTGGCTGGTGAGTTGTTCTTAAAGTCAGAGGCGTATCTTGGTAGAGCACCTACCTGAAAAATATGCTGTGCCACTACGCTGTCTGCGACAATCACCTATACACGTGTTTTTGACAATTAGCAGGCTCAGGCAACCGATCTGATACGCTGGGGTTACGCACGCGATCCCCTTGAAAGAGCGCTGCTTTGATCCTGAAAACTTGTCCCAACAGAGCTGCCCATCGCGTATACTCGGCGCTGACCTCACCCTTGGCTACCTTGTATTCATGACCCCACAGTATGCTTGCCTCTTCAGAGGGCTAAGGTAAACAAGTTTGATTAACTTGTATGTGCCTATTTCCAGCGAAATGGTCGACTCACAGCAACAGGTAGTTTACTAACCACCGAATACCCCCGTAAAAAACGTTGGAGAAGGACAGTTGCAGCGAGTAGAACGATGCTCGCAGAAAGAACTTGGATGGTGCACATGGTGGCCGTCACTGAAGAGAAACCGCTTTGAGAGTGACGTCTTATAAGTGCATGATCTTTTGAGGTTTAAATGGAATTAGCGTAGATGATACCATTCCGTTATGCCCTAAGAACTTAAGAAAGAGGGAAGGCAGATTGAATAGGATTGAATGCGTGAATATATTACTCCTCCAGTGGTTCTCGGAGCTGTGTCAGTTTCGGATTGCACGGAGCCGAATAGGTAAGGTAAGCACCGAAAATGAAGTATCGTATCCTGGAACCTGTAATGGATCAGTATTAGTTCTTGTTCATCATTTAACCAGTCACGAACAATCCATCGCGCCAGCAGTATTATTCGTTCGTACACGCATATTCCAATCAGGGAGACCCACGGTTCATTGTAGTCGTCGTCTTCAGTCGTATGGTGGTGGTGGTAAGTAAAGGGCAAGTGATGGTGTTGGTGTATGGACCAGTACTGAGTATACGGTTAAGTTTAGGTACTATCGTCATAATGCCCACGTGGACGCTGTCGAATTATTACCATACCGCCCGACAAGCCGCTTTGTAGATACTCGTGGAGCTGGTTATTATATATAGAGCCCGACAGCTACGGCAAGGCCAACAAAAGAACTTAAATTACCTCGTGGTATTTGGCAAGACACTATAGATAGCAGGATTTCACATTTCACTCTTCTGGTTTGAGAATAAAATTATATTGACGAATGATGAAGTAGTAGACAAGTTCAGATGTCCATTGAATACATAAATGTCCTTGAACTGTCCGTAGGCAGTGAAGCTTGAAGAGGGGAATGAGATAGCGGGGTATATGACACCATGAGCGATAGATGGATATTTCGTGGATCGACTTGAAGACCTCGTACGACACCACCGAGCCATTCAGTTTCGTCACTCCTGGAAGATATATATCTTCCGGAGCTGGTCTTCGGTGGCTCGTTCGTCGCAGATGGGACATGTCTCTGTATATTTTAGCGCAGCGCGAATACACCGGACGCAATACACATGTCCACACGGAGTCGCGCAGAGGGTCGTGTGCTCCTTTTGGCACATTGGACACGAGAAGTGCGACGTCTCTTCGACGTCTTCTTCATCGCTTTCCTCTGCGTCGTCAGTTACCGCATTATTCTGAGAGGTCCAACGTCAGGACGAGATTAGAGGCGGAGGAAAGGAATGACTACTCACGGATAATGGCGGCAACCTGAGATACTCCGGGTCTTCAAAGTCGTACTCATTGCTGTCTTCCCATGAAGTATCAAGGGGCTCATCTCCTGATTCGGAGACTTCGTCGGGATATTCCTCTTCGCCCCTTTCATCCTCCCAACCGTCTTCGAGGTCGTAGTAGTCCTCTTCTTCTGAACCATCGTCATCACTGTCGTCGTCGTCGGAGCCATGGATTTGCTCCATGTGGACGCGAAACCCTGCCGCTGTACGACAGTGCTTGTCGCACGGAACACAGTAGTGGTGATTTGGTGCGGTGACACAGTGCTATGAAAAGGAACGCGTTAGTTGGTTCAACAAGCGTCGAAAGACAACAACTTACACGACGAAGAATTTGGCCATTCAAAAATCGACGGCCACATCTCCAACATTCGGGATGGTCGTTGGAGTTCATAATGTGCTCGGCTCGTTACCGTTTATCGAAGAAGTACTCGTCGCACAAGGCGCAGTACACTCCGTCCATGCATATCATATCGGTAGACATGATGATAGATGATAATAGATGTTTGGTTCGATGGTGGTTGTTGTTGGTTGTTCAAAGTGTGTTAATGTGGGGATCCACTACGGGGGGCACCCATTTTATACATTTTGTCGGTATGCACATGTTTTGGCACGTCTTAGACATGGTCTCCGGAGAAACCAGCATCCAATACTGCCTATGGCCCCTCGAATGGAAAGGAGGCTTTTTTTGGCCCCACGGAAGTATCGTCTGTGATCACTCGAAAGGGGCTATTGCTGGGCACAGGTTCGAGTGGTGGCGAATCCTTGACCGGCAGCAGCTATGGGCACCCGGTTGAAGCATGACGACGAAGAGAAAAAATGAGACTCTCCTTCTGTGCTCAATAGCTTCCGTTCCCCCTTCTTCCCGTAGCAACGTAGGTCTCACCAGCGTCTGAAAGAAGAACTACCGGCGAAACAAGTTCAAGAAATCCCCGGTTTCTCCTCGGAGTAGGACTTGAACATCTTTGCTGTCGACGATATTGAGAGTCCACAATAGACTTTAGCGTGGAAGCGACGTCTCGGAAATGAACAATGACATTAGAAGATTGCGTGGCTGCGGCTGCTTTTGAAGTGCCATATCATCCATGGTCGACAAGGAACAGCAGAGGCTACATGAAAAACAGATTTGGACGAATAGATGAGTTTGAAGATACCCAGATTTTGTCAAAGCCTACATACCCGCTGGAGTAGTTTAACGCGATTTATCGCTCGGGCAGGCCAAAACGGCATCGACGACGAAAGTTCCGTACGACGTTCCATTGCTCTCAACAGTGACGGATGGCGGCCACGCGAAGCTGCAAGTTTTGGAGCAAGAATGGCGCTCACGTCGATCCAAGGATCGCAAATACTGACAAAATCGAGTTTGCAGAGCTCCTGCAGGAACGATAGAACAAATTTACTATTAGTAGACGGTGCGGGAAAAATTATCTACCAAGACACATACCGTGCTGAGGTAGAGTTACTTCAAGGCTCATTTGAGTCATGACATCAGGTCGCATACTCCTAAGTCATCAATATCGTCAGTACACTTGGAAACGGATCCTCAATTTGCTAGTAACAGAAACCATAGCCATAAGCATCAATGACGCAATCGCTCGTTTGTGCGACTGTGAGCATACGTTCGGACGCTGCACCGTCGAGTACTCAGATCAGGGCGAAGGATAAGACTGAGGCCACATCTTGAACGGTATGCGAACGTAACCCGGTGCTGCAGAAAGAAGGGGAGAACAAAGAAACAACGACCACATCGATGGGAGAATGTTGTGCATGAAAAACAAGAGCCCATTGATTCCTAGAGGCCACGTGAGAACATGGGTCCTTGTAGGTCCAGAGTTCCATGACCTTATTTTCATGGTAGGTGCGAAAATAAGTGCCCTGCTCCTCTTGACAAGAGCAACCTTGTGATAAGCGATATCACAATGCTTCGTGTCGGAGAAGGCTTTGAAACCGAGTCCTTGGCCCTGGTCACCAGTTACTACTGGAGTAACGTTAAGATGCCGGAACTACTAACCTTGTGTGAGATCACAGGACCAGTATGTAGTGCTATCCACTCCACAAGACGACAGAGACTCCTTATCGCGAACGCGCTTCCTTCTTGTTGGTATTCTTGTTATCTTGCCTCACTTTGAACGTCAGCAGAGATATTCACGAAAATGATTTATTACAATTCCCTTCATACACACTTCGCGGTGAGAACAATTCATCCTCTGACTCTCACCACTTTCCGTTTGCCCTTCTGTGCGCCACCGGGCAGTCCAGGGGCACCGGGAGTAGAACCGGGAGCAGCATTGGCTTCTTGGGCTGTCATTCCTGCCTTGACCGTCTCTATCAGGACACCCGTGGATATAGCGGGAGAATAGGGAGATACGCGGCTGGCGAGTGGAGGATGGGGCTCTGGAGGTATGGGGGGTCGTCTCCCGCTGGTCTTAGTCAACTGCGGCGCTGAAGGTGACTTGGATTTTGTCGTTGCAGGTTGCTTGCCCTTCGTCGATGCCGACATTGTTGTATGCGACTTTGGCGCAGGGATCACCGGCTCGACTTTGGCTGGAGAAGTGTTGTATGGAGGTTTAGGGATATTTTCTGGCTTTAGACGTTGTATCTGTATGCACACCATCTCCAAAAGCTGTTTTTCTGCGCAATGAGTTAGTGTTTTTGCTCGACGACAACCAAGTCGAGAGGCACGTACTGGTCTGGATGGCGGGGTTGACGAGTCGACCATCCTTCTTCCACAGCACCCTGACCCGGCCTGGGTTCTCCCAATCTCGAGGGTGGGCCTTGTTCACTTCGTGGAGGGTGCCCAGACCGAGTCGGTTCGTAGCTTCTGCAATGTCTTTGCTAAGAGGCCACCACACGCTCTTTTCGCGCGCTACCCTACGCTGTCCAGTACCATAAGGACGCTTTGCATCGATATATATTGGATATATACATGTCCACCTGACGATGTATGAGAGAGACAAGGCGTGTACAAGTAGATAAACGTACTTCTTGTAGGGCGTAATATCCGTCACCGAGTTCTTTGCATTCACGCTGTCAGACGACGTAGGCATGAACTGTGACGAAGGCGACGACGCAGGCCCTGCACGCGGTGAAGGAAAGTCAAAGTCGTCATCTGAATTTATTTCCTGTAGTAGAGGACCGTTGTATCCAGTGTTGGGAAGAGGCTGGCTGGGCAACGGCAAGTCAGTGTCGTCGTCGAACTCCTCGACTACAGCTGTTCTGCGGGACATGACGGGCGGTAGATGGTGGTATGCGATCAAGAGTAGTAGAGTGCGACGAGCGACGTCGTAATTCCCACGTGGTCGTCGCTCTCTTCGTCGTCGACCCTCACGTTCATGCTGCTCAGATGCATCTCTCGTCGCCGTCGTTGGCGTACATCATGACCTTATTTCTGTACGAACGACTTTCGTACTACGCCTGCCAGTGCTCATGATAGAGATACAGGACATGCCTTTTTCACGCTGTGTCTGCACAAGACACTACACCCAGCACGCCAGGAAATAGCTCGCAGTCTCATATGATATGCCAACCTTTTGGTGTCTGTGAACCTTGTCCATCGGCGGCAGTGAGTAGGCTTCGCCGTCGTTATCCCCACGAATGCTAAACCGCAGCAATAGCTCAGTCAACCCTTCTGCCAGCCATTTGGAAATCGCCGATTAATGCACTGTACAGAGGCGAGCACGTCTCCCGAAGGAACCCCGTCGAATACAGGACCAACACAAGAGGGAGAGCATCTCGTCTGGGAACCCTGTGGGCGGATAATAGGGAAGGAACGAGCAGATTTTTACGAATTTGTGGCCTGCAATCTGTTGTTCGCCATCGTATCCCTCTTCATCCTATTCGCAAGATCCCGGCGTTTGCAACTTATTCATGCTCGGCAGCTGGCTGCGAGAATAGGGCTAGGTAGAGTTAGGCGTTGATGAGTGCTGTAATTGTAAGTTTTCCTTCTCTCGGTGATGTTTCCGATTCATTGATAGTTTAAGTCCAGTATTACTTTACTTTGTCGGACAGTGAGATTAGCATAGAATAATATGTCAGCTTTGCTTCTTTCATGGTCTTGAACCTCTCGAACGAAAGCTTCCGACATGTAGCGAAACCGAAAGTGGCCCATCGACGTTGACAACCAAGAGCAATGCAAACCACTGTCAAGCAAGGTAACGTTCTCATATTGCGACAATAATAGAACCTTTGTTGAATCGTTGCCAGTCCTCGGTTACAAGTACAAGGATTCTTGAAAGACAATAATGGCACGGCAATCACAAATTTCATATCCCATTGTTCGACAGGCACAATGGCGTAAGACTGGCCGCGTGGTCTGGCCGCCCTTCGGATGGTACAAATAGGTCAGGCGTCCTTGTTAAAAACACGTTCTTTTGCCCTATTAAACCCGTCGATCGTAAAATTTCCCTTCAGCTCCTCCTTGGCCACTTCACTCCCTTTCTACGCTCACTTGCACGATGATGACGATGCTTCCCATTCTCTTACTACCATTCTTTCCTCTTGCTTTGGCGGCACCGTATTGCGCCCTAACAGCTGGTTCTGTTTCCGCTACTTCATCTGCTTCCACTCCAGCTGCGACGTCGAAATGCACTTCTAGCGCCAGCACCAGGGCCACCACGAATGGCACTTCTGACTTCATGTCTGCCGCATGGTATCCTGGCTGGCAGGAAGATTACCCACCAGCCGATATCCCATGGGAAAAGTACACCCTCATGACATTTGCCTTTGGGTGCGTTCAGTCTTCTTCTGATCATATCGAGTCTCATTTGTCCCTGGATAGTACAACTACATTCGATCCATCCGTGATTGCTTTGGACTCACTGAGTGAGTCGAGGCTTCCCGACTTTGTGGCAAACGCTCAGGCTAACGTGAGTAATTGTCCGTTCTTCGGACTTTTTTTCGTCGTCTGACCTGAGCGACAGAATGTCTCCGCCCTATTGTCCATCGGTGGTTGGACGGGATCCCGTGGCTTTTCTCCAGCAGTTGCCACCGCCGAGAACCGCACCACGTTCATTCAGACCATCGTCAACCTTGTCAACACTTACAATCTGACTGGTATCGACTTTGACTGGGAGTATCCCAACAAGGACGGCATCGGGTGCAACGTCGTCTCCGCCAATGACTCCGCCAACTTCCTCACCTTCCTTCAAGAGCTTCGTCAAGATGAGACTGGTTCCAAGTTGTACCTTTCAGCCGCTGTTGGTATCACTCCCTTCGCTGGTTCTGATGGCGAGCCGATGACCGATGTCTCCGAGTTCGCGCAATATTTGGACCATATTGGTATGTGTTTTCAGTTCGTAACGAGGATACTCCGAGATCTCATGTGTTTTTGTGATTCAATAGCTATCATGGCTTACGACATCTGGGGCTCTTGGTCCACCACTGTTGGTCCCAACGCTCCCCTTAACGACACATGTGCCACGAACGGAGTGGGTTCCGTCGTTTCAGCAGTGAAAGCATGGACAACCGCTGGGTTCCCTGCCAGCCAGGTATGCCTGTTCCCGTCCGATCAATTGCCCACGAGGCTAACTGCTTAACTCCGAAGATCGCTGTAGGCGTTGCATCTTACGGCCACAGCTTCCACGTTGACGACTCCAATGCGCTCGCCTCCAACGGTTCTCTGAAGCTCTACCCGACATTCGATGCTTCACAGCAACCTGCTGGTGATAGTGATAATATCACCACCGCCACTCAGTCCACCGACATTTGTGGTAATCCCGGCGGAATCAGCGGTGTCTTCAACTTCTGGGGTCTCATTGACGGTGGCTTCCTCACTGAAAATGGCACAGCTGCTGAGGGGATAGATTACATCTTTGATGACTGCAGTCAAACTGTGAGTTGCTCTCTTTTCTGAGATGGATGATGTAGTATTGACTCTTTTCTTAGCCCTACGTATACAACTCAACCTCCCAAGTGATGGTCTCCTTTGATGATGCTACCTCTTTCGCCGCGAAGGGGCGGTACATTAGTGACACTGGACTGAAGGGCTTCGCGATGTGGAACGTCGCTGGTGACTCGAATGATATATTGCTTGATGCAATTAACGAAGCCCTTGGTACGACCGTGGATGACGAATGTTAAAGCTGCAGCTGTGTATCACTTTGCTTAGTTTCCTTTTTGTACTTATCCTTGGTTCCTTGGTTGTCATTTATGTAGCGATAGTAGCATCTGGCTGGTCCTCACGTCATACACGAGTTATTCACTGTTAATTAGTAAAAAATAAAATTGCTGAAAGACTTCCGAATGTGCCTCGAGAATCACTAGTGAATTACCTTTACACAAAAGATCTGTGGTACCAGCGGGCATAAAACCGCGCTACCACATTTTCACCTTGGTTGTACATGCACGTTGATGCCATTACGACTGTCATGCCGAACACATTTTTAGGCGAGTTATCCACGAGAAGTGGTGCTCGGTCTTGCTGGTGTTGACGAGAGTCTATTAATTTTTATAATGAATGATGCCTTCGAGATGGCTAACTAAAATGAACTCGGAGTCCTCTCATGATGTCATCATCATGATGTCATCAGATGACTTTTAGTACAGAAAGCTTGATATCACGACTTCTTTCCAGTTTTATTATTGTAAAGTACAGAGATGAATGGATTCTACATGTTATATAAATAATCACAGCATCCTATTTAATCCCACATCAACACCTTTAGCCAACCTCAGCATCACGATGTTCCCCGTAAGACTCGAGAACCCATTCCCAACAAACATCTCCGCCTTTTCCGCGATAGCCATATCCACCGCTCCACTGACATACTGCTCCTCCCTCGTCAAAATTAAATCCTGACTGCTTCCCAAACCTTCCTTTACAGGCTCCCACCCGTCTGCCCGCAGTTCCGCCCAGAGCTCATCAAGCCACCATCGACCACCATTCGAAAGTAAATATACTTTGGTTAATGATAACTGCGGGTTTTCTGCGCGAACGACACGTAGGCGCTCGACTATTTCTGAATTGTTGGGGAGGCAGTGTGGGAGATAGTGATGGTAGGAGTCGTCATCGGGGGGAGGTGCTGATGGGTCGAATCCCAGCGGGTCAAAACGGTCGACGATACCAGGGTATTGGTTCATGCCTTGATATGCCGTGTTGTGTTTGGACAGGTAGAGACAGTGCCCGGAGTAGTCGCCTCTTCTTAGATGAACCGCTACCACACCAGACATGAGGTTCGGAGATGAGGATGATACGGGATTAATTAACCCATGCATGTTCCGTTCGACAGCCGCTTCGACGAGATAGGACCATGCGAATTCCTTAAGGATGGGACTCGACGCAAGTATAGGGAACATAGAAATCACCCTTGGTGATCCAAACAATCTATGGATAAAATTAGAGTTAGTGACGATACGGTACGGGATGCGATAAGATGGGATACGAACAGGTGATCAAACACGATTCTCTCGCTGAAATCAACGACCACACATGGCTCATTCACTACCTCATCCCGTGACAACCAATCTACCCACGTAGCTAAAAGCTCGTCTCCGTCCAATGTGTCATCGCCTAGTCGAGGGGTGTCAGCCGAGGACAGTCGGACGCGTTTATTTTGCGGGCAAACGGCATTGAAGTAGGCCAAGTGTACTGCACGTAAATCTGTGTCGATATGCGTATGAGAATCCGCGGGTAGGTCCAATGTATGTTGGTTATGTGATGTTATTGGTCCGCCCGCAGTAGGGCCAGAAATAAACGCGTTTAAAGGCATCCGAGCCGGTCGGAGAGAATAATCATCAATAGTGAAAGGGAGTGGAGAATGTGACCATGTGTAGTCGCTAAATACGAATGAACGGTTTGTCGCGTATGCGATGTAAGATAGAACGAGTCTATAGCAAGTTAGCCAATGTAAATCAGGACAAAAGGCGGAATCACACACTCTTCTTGTAAGATGTTATTCAAGCCAAGACCCCATAATGTCCCTTCGAAGCGCAGATATCTTCTGTTGCCTATGGAATCGGTCGGGATCTGATGTTGCGGTAGGTGCTGCTCGAAATCCCGTACATCACTGTATGAAGGTGGGACTAGCCAGCCTATAACGCATGTTGCGACGACCAAGAACACAAGGGCGCTGCGTCGACATGCGGCGGAGAGGAAAATGCGCGTGAGGAAGCTGAGTGGATTTCGACGCAAAGAAAAGCGTCGCTGGGGAATGGGCGCATTGCCATCCGTGGGGAGTTGGTACGATTCGTCGTCGACATCTGACAAGAGGTCATAGCGGTAGGGCTTGTGAACAGATACGATTCCCCCGAAGAAACTGCGAAACGTAGTCCACTCCATAGAATGTCAGTGCCAAGTGGAAGTAGGTGCTCTGAGAAACAGGGAAAGAAGATATACAAGCCATCAAAAGCACAGTTACATAAATACATATGACTGCGGAAGAAGTTCACCAGGGTTTTGCTGCGACAGACCGGATTCCCGAACCGCGACCCGAGGGGGGTAAAACTCAAAACGTTTTACGGGAGCATCAATCTGCTGTAACACTGCTATGGATACAAGGCAAGGCAATGCTAGATATCGAAAGAGCGTCGGGTCCACAGCCATGTTATTCCAAGACCAGGCTTTCGATATAGAACATCTCGATTGGATGACATCTAGGGACCAAATGCGCAGGCTAAGAACTGCGCATCAATCATGTCGAGAAGCGAAATTCAAAGTTTAGAAGTCCTGCCCTCAAGCTGGAGCTATCATGATATCAGCCGAGGCTGTAGTTAAGTTCGAGAGTCCGTACTTGACGGTTGTAGCTCCACAAATGTTGGTAGTCCAAGTTACTTGGCATGATATCGAGGATTTGTTGTGGATGAACTGGAAAAAGTTGTTCCCTGTGATGATGTCATGATCGGAACTGTGAAATTCCCCGACGCTCCGACGGAGTTCGACATCCCCGGAAACAGACAACGACAAACATCATTTTCCTCCTCTACTATTGGAGCAAAATTGAAGCTACTAGATGGTCTAGCACTTCTGCCCCTTTAATATTCAGAAAGAAATGTCACTGGCCTACTTGCCGTCATTTCATCACCCACCAATTCCCATAACGTCCACTACCGAACATCCGAAAACATTACGAATCTTTGGGCAAAAGGGAAGCGCTTCACAAATAACAACGATATGTTGATTGAGCAAATACAATGGCTAGTCTAAACATAACGTGACGTGGGCAGCCTTTTGCTTGCTAGCTTTTCTCGATCTCCAATTCTGTCGCGGCCGCCGGTAACCTGTTGGTTGCTTCCATTCCCCGTCCAAATACCGACAATAATGTCGAGGCGCAGGCTTAAGAACGAACGTCGAAGATATCCTCTGAAAAGTCCGAAGCAAAATCGGACTCATTACCGTGGTCCAACCCATGTTCCCTTCTCCTTATCCTTCTACCAGCCTCGCGCCTCCGAGTTCCTCGGATATGCAATGATACTTCTCATTCCCCCGGTCCGATTCCGACGTCAATCATTACTAGCCAATATTCTTCCGTTCCCAATCCACTTTCTTCCTGCCACTATCACCTGTGAGTCGTAAGGTCCGACGCCCGGTGACATGGATCCTCTATCAGACTTGCCTAAACTTGCAAGCCTCTCTGGAATCCTATTTTCAGCTCTTATCATTTCTTTCGTCAGTTACCAGATATCTGCTCTTATCTCACATGGTCCATCTCCCCCCGGACCTCCCGGTCTCCCAATCATAGGAAACGCTTTGCAGATACCTTCAGATCGTCAATGGCTGAAATGGCATGAATGGAAACAGAAATACGGTTCGTGACCAGGACTAAGGTGGAAGGCGATAGACCGACACCTGCCAGGAGATATCATGAAGATAACAGTCCTTGGACAACCCGTCATAATCCTTTCATCGCTTAAGGTGTCCAAAGACCTTTTAGAAGGCCGAGGTGAGCTCCAGCGTGCTGTCAGCAGCAGCATCAGAGATCTAAAAAACACATGCAGGAAATATCTATTCTGACCGTCCTTCTGCTGTCATGGCGGGTGAACTGTAAGTCAGACGCGCTGTTCCTTAAATGGAAGAATACCCAGATATTCTAGAGTCGGGTGGTCCCGTGGGTTAGGATACGCACAAGCAACCCAAAACCCCCGTTTCCGAGAATTCCGCCGAGTCTTCCACCAATGGATGGGTCCCCGGGCGTGTGAATCTAGAGAACTCCGGGATATACAGGAGCGAGAGAATCTAAGGTCGATTCACTTTTTTTTTCTGACTTTGTTCACTCAAATAATACTGAACGTCAGGTTATTGTCAAGACTTTTATCAGATCCTGAACATTTCTCCAAGCATGCAAGGGAGTACGTTCTGAATCCGGTATTAAACGATAATTTTATTGGAATTTCGTTAGATGTACATCCTCGACGATCCTACTCTTAATGTACGGATACCCGTCACATATTGGTGATCCTCTTCGTCTTGTCAAAATCGCCGAAGACGCCATGCTTGGTTTTGCCCGCGCCTCCGAACCTGGAAGATGGTGGGTCGATAGCTTTCCCATGCGTGAGTCCAGGCGATAAGGTCATCGGATTCCCTTTGACGAAAGGCAATCTCCAGTAAAGCACGTACCATCTTGGTTCCCTGGAGCATCATTCCAGCGGACAGCCAAATTGATGAGACACGATCTTGATGAATTGTACGATGTTCCATTCAATTTCGTCAAAACTGAGATGGTCAGTATTTGGTTGATCTTGACGTTGTCTGTCTGTTAACACTAGCACTGCTTCAGGGAAAGGGCACCTTTGAGCAGTCATTCTTGTCCAAGTACCTCGAAGAGCACTCAACGACGACTATCCCTCTGGATGATTTTGAAGAGTTAGCTAAAGCAGCTGGGGCATCATTGTATTCAGGTACACTCCATTTCCCAACAGCCTAACTATGCAAAGTGATATAGACATCTCATCCAGGAGGTGCTGAGACAGTAAGCTGACCACCTATACCACACAGCCAATATAATCGTACCCCAGACCCCATCCGCGTTAACATCATTCATACTGGCGATGGCCGTTTATCCACAAGTCCAAAAGAAAGCCCAAGCCGAGATCGACTCCCTCACTCGCGGCCGCCTTCCAATGATCATGGACAGAAATCGTCTCCCGTATGTCTCGGCTATCGTCAAAGAGGTGTGGCGATGGAATCCGAGCGTTCCTCTTGGTTCGTGTCGATAACTACGTTTTATTTCCCTTTGCTCATGGGACATAGGGCTCCCTCACGTCGTGAACCAGGACGATGAATACATGGACTATCATATCGAAAAAGGCTCCATTGTATGGGCTAACATCTGGTCAGGGCACCGTCCCAATTTTTGTTGCATTCATTCAATAATGGACGCGATGTGGTAGGACGATCATGCACGATGAAGATACATTCCCAAATCCCTCAGAATTCCGACCTGAGCGTTATCTAGGCCCGGGAAATGGTGTGTCAGAGATTGTAGAGAGCGCTTTTGGGTTCGGCAGGAGGTTAGAATTTAACTTTGTCGGTTGCACTCGTCACATTTTTGATGAGTCTACGGAAGGATCTGTCCTGGCATGCACCTTGCTGAGAACAGCGTCTTTCTCGCCATTGCGACCTTGTTGGCCGTGTTCAATATTTCGAAGGCCATGGATCCGGTCACCGGAGAGGAGATCACGCCAGATGTCGAGTACGATGGGTTCATCAGGTGCGAACAAGCTATTAGATATCACCATTCATCTACGTCCGAACTGAATGTCCTCTCAGCCATCCACAGCCGTTTAGGTGTAAGATCCAGCCTAGGTCGAAGGCAATTAGGGACTTGGTTCTAGAGCAGGTGGAAGCGTTAAAGGTATGAGCAAGTATAGGACTGTATGCATTAATCGCCACATAGCAGCGGTACTTGATATCTGCGGATCCATATGGCCCCAATGCTCGTTATGCTTTTCAAGACTGCCATTTACAAGATGTCATAATAACATAATAATGTACAAAACGCCCGACTTAACAGCTCAGACCTCCTCAGATGCATACCCTCGTTCGAACGCAATGGTACGCCTCTTCTCCATATCATCAACAGGACTTTCCTCTCTCTCGGCGACACGTCTGAGCTTTTTCACGGCTTCACCCCGTCCGGACCTTTCCAGTCGCTTGGACATGTAGTGTATCCGTTTCCGCTGAGAGGGTCTCGGTCCTGGGGTGTGCTTAGGGAACGTATACAGCGAAGAGGATAGAGGGATTGGAGAAGACATAGGTGAAGACGACGACGAGGCAGTCAAACCAGGGGTCGACATGAACTACAATAAAAGATTTAGTATGGATTTCATGAGCGGGCAAGTAGTTAGAAACTAACCGAGTTTTGCTCTACTTCTAGCTCATCTTCATCGTCGTCAAAATCAGGGCTGGGGAGGACCGCTTTTTTGCTAAGGTACCGTGCAAAAGCATCCGCCGGGTCATTCCAGAGATGCGGTGTCATCTGCATGAGGGGATTTTCGAACTTCTCCCGTGTCTCGAATGGCCCCAACTCAGCAAGGGGAGAAATAAAAACGTCTCCACGGGCACGAAGCACATGTGGTGAATTACCCTTCCCTTTGCGGCGCGCGACAATGGAGCGATCGTATGTGATGTGCACTTGAGTTGGCCGTTCATCTCGCATTGAACAAGTATGATACTAGCAAAGAAAATTAGTGAAGAGCGGGAAAAGGAACGAGCGAAACGCACATATATTATGCCACGGTCAAGATCTGGATGCTCTCCTTCGGGCCATAGGTTCGCAAGAGTCAACTCATCCTCCGCCTCCCAACGCCAAGCATCTTCTTCATCCTCCTGTGGTTCTTGTACTTCTGATCCACAAACAGACTCTCCATCTTCGTCGTCATCAAAGTCCCAGTCCGCCTTGTAGCGATACGGATCCTTCGCGCTAGAGAGGCGAATCCAAGGCTCGCCCGTACGTATAGTCGCCTGCCTGTACTTTGGCTGGTACATCACAATCCTCTTTCGGACCTCGAAAAAATGCCCCCTCTCCTCATCTTCATACTGGTCCATGTCCACCATCTTGTGAGTGTCTTCATGGTCCCCTCCAAATAGAAATGAAATGAGGCATCTCAGGTGCTGGAAGGTATAGCTAAGTGGCACCCGGACAATGCGGTAGACGCCCTCGGCTTCTCTTCGTGTGCCGGGTCTTATGAACTGGAATCGCAGGTGAACGTGCTGGTCCAAAGGCGTGACACTGGGTAGAGTGTTGAGCAAAGCGACAGTCCTTTTCCGCCCAAATGGGTTCGACGGAGAGTCTAATGGTCTAGACTGAGAGCACTTGGAGCTCCTGGAACTTGAAGGAAGAAAAGGGTAGCTGGTACGAGGTGTTCTTGGAGTATCTGGAGTATCTGTGAGATGCCTTCGCTTTGCCGCGCGATATGAAGGAGAGGGCGAGTCGTCTAGGAGATGTTTTGGTGCCATATCGTGGAAGAAACAAGAAAGGAACGGATGAAAAGAATTTGTTGAACGCCGCGGTAACGTGGCCGTGACGTAACGCGTTTAGTCATGTGAGTGATGTCACGTCACACCGATACGAATTTTGGTCGGGCAAGTCGGGACTCCGCTTTTCGGGCCTGTCCTTTTCGCATGTCTGAACTTCCCCCCGAAATCGTGGACACGGTCATCGATCATTTGCATGATGATAAGGCTGCGCTTGGGGCTTGTACCCTCGTTTGCAAGAGCTGGTCAATATCGAGCAGATACCATTTATTCGACGAACACGGTGTTTCCGTGAAGCCTAGCAACATTCACGATTTTTTATCTGATATCTCCCACTCTCAGTCACTCTTGAGGGACCACCTGCGATGCCTCACTCTGCGTACAGAATTCGCTCTTGCGCCTAAGCAGACATTCGAGTGGAAAGATATATCCATATCGCTCCCTCACCTCCCCAAACTCGTCTCCTTGCGTGTCCACTCCCAAACCCAGCACATACGGTTCTCCTACCACGTTATCCCCGTCATATTCTTACCTCAAACTCTCCAAAACATCACCCATCTGGAGGTCGTCAGGACATCGGTCCACGCCGCCGATGATATTATCTCTTTAATGTGTCTATTCTCCAGGTTGCGAGGGGCACAGTTTTCTTGGATCCATTGGCGGAACTGTTCCTCGTTGATTTCCTCCCTTAATGCTGCCTTTCCGCCGCTCAAACAGCTGAGCTTGTTGCACCCGCGGAGCCCCGGCGAGGTGATACGTTGCCTTTCTCGCTTGGACCCTGTCCCCCTATTACCCCGCATCGATGTGGGGCATATCGATACCCCAGAAATTCCCTCTGTCAATCGGTACCTGTACATCCTGGGTTCTTCCCTCGACATGTTTTGTGTCGGCCTGAATGACAAATACGGTACGTTGCTATTCCAATTTAAGCGCCAGTGTCTTGATAGGATAGCAGATACGACACTCGACTTGAGCCAGAACACGTCACTGCGCTGCTTACGGCTCCTTGAATGTCAAGCCGCGAGTCCGACTATAAATCTAGCAAGAGTTATCCAGCATGTCAAATCTACCAACCTCGAAATCCTTGCTCTGGACATTTACCAGTGGTATGTGAACAGTGCGGCTGCGGATTGGGAAGCATTGGACCAATATCTGCTGGAACTTTGGGACGTGCTGCGCCTCAAGGCTGTGTATATTGTTACCGTGCCATTCGCCAATTTTTCGCGGAAGCTACCACGATGTGATAGTCAGATCATCTTGCACATCAGGACTTCTTCTCAAATACAGTCCTTTCTCAACTCACTGTAACTCGCTATGGTACTCCCCATCCGTATATCTGTCCCGCGAATGATTCTGAGTCTATTTTTGACATAGGTTGAGTTCATCGGCTTCGGATACCTGGGACCCCATCTATGACCGGCTTAGCGCTTAAGCCACTTGTCTAACCGTTTATACGTTGCAGCAGCTGTCCCGAATACACGATCCACAGCCTTCCGCAGTGAAGGCAGTTAATATATACACATGTCGTACCGAGCTTGACACATTTCAGGAGGCATTCATTATCTTTCTCGGGGCACGAATAGAGCTGGCGGCTAGTGGCTGAGGGCTTTTCTATTTCTCGTCTTTAAGTACAACCTAATGCTATGATCTTTGAGCTAATCTCTATGAAATGGTATCCGAATGGTGTTAGACTCTACAATTGTCCAGACCAAAAATTAATATATCTTCTGCACCGATCCTCATCAGCTCGTCCATGATATCAGCTATCTTCTTCTTCTCAACCATACTGCTTACTTCCACCCAACCCTCTTCCTCAAGAGGGGCTATAGTAGCAGCTCTCCGTCCCGGAGTGATAGCCACAGCTTCGGGAACTCGATCTCTGCGTATATTATATTGGCAAATCGCATATTTGCTTGCAGCGACAACCCCCGCGATTCGACTCGTGATCTGGGCAATGAGAGGATCAAGAGCGGTGTGTTTAGGAACACTCGACTTGATGAGAACGGCTTCCGTTTCCAGAACAGTTGCTATTGCATGCAAGCCTGCCGCACGCATTGTATCTCCGGATTCTGGGGTTCTGATGTGAGTGAATGTGGATTTCACAGGCTTTTTTTCGACTTACCCACGAGATCGACTAGGAAAATCATTAAGTCCGGAAGATGGAATTTAGATATCTGTGAGTTGATAAAGGGGTGATGTAACCCACCAATACCGTCCGCCAAACCCAAAGCACACGCAGCCTCCACGCTCCCACCCACGTACTCAATGTGAGTCTGCTTCTCTCCGTCTAACCTAAGTTCCGCATCCAGCTTCCCGAAATACTCACCTGCGAGAACTTCAAAACTTGTCACTACGCGTTTTCCCGCAAGGTCCTGCACGCTTTTGATAGGCCCCGCTTCGGGAACTTGGACTTGAAGTTTACACTTGCCAAACCCCAGGCGAAGGACTTCGGTAATCTGTCCTTGCATTTTGGACTCGAGGATGACATCGTGACCCGTTATCCCGAGATCGACGTTTCCGTGGCCGACAAAGGACGGAATGTCCGCTGCGGGGAGGAATACACTGGCAAGGCGGTCACTATTTTGGAGCACATGGAGAGTCGGCGGGGAAACTTCACAGTGCGATTGGGTGGTTCTTAACCAGGCAGACATCAAGTCGGTCATTTCTCCGGAACTGTATATCGGCGCCTGGTATTGTAATCAATACAGAATCGGGCCTGGGCCGCCGCGGTTTTGGTAAACGAAACGCGTACCGGCCAATATAGAGAGACATTTATCATGAAGCCTCCCTGAATGTTTCAAAAGCAATCAGTAGGACCGACTTCATCAAAGTATATCAATCACCTTTTTTCGGGATTGCGAATAGTAGACGACCATCTACACTATCTGTGTCTGTTATTGGGAATCAGTGGCATACAAATCGATGAACCACTGGTACGACGAACTCATATTTCGGACGGCTTCAAGAAATGGTCGAGACAGGATAAATGAACGATCTGACAGAATCAGGCCGAGTACAGGATCGACAAGATTTTTTTTTCGAGATTGTAGAGGAGATCGATGAGGGATCAGTGGCTGTGCCCAGTAATATTGATGTTTGTCCCGAGGGTATCGCACAACAAACGGGATGGCATATCAGTCTACGCCGATATCGATTGCTCTTGTCTTTCGACACTCATGCTGCTTCCGTCTGCTGTCGCTGTCTCAATATCTCTCTCTTTATCACTGCTAGACTGGTCTGGATCCTTGCTTCCATGAGCCTAGGACGATCAATCTTCGCGCAGTTCAGCGGCACTAAATCCCCCAATGATGAGCTAGAGGATCGCTCAAGATCCATCCATTTTGGGGTTCCCATCTTTAATGGTTCTGATGGCTCTGCACGAGGAACATGCTATGGGGAACCTCTGGCAAAATCGCGGAAGCAGGGGCTGACCAGTTTCGGGGAAGACCGCTTTAAGGGCACAGCGGTTCACTGTCACGGCATGATCTCGTCGGGTTGATTGCTAGGGTTAATAGTAAGCCGTTTCCTTCATTCTAAAGCCCCAACTAGTCATGACTTACGTGTACCAGCTATAGAGATTGTCTGTATATCGCGCCCAATGCGCCTATCTGTCGTTTACCCAATGTTATTTTCATTTCGGATCATACTTTGCAGGTGACTTGGGCTTGGAAGTCCTATCCTTTTCGACGTGAGCACGAAGGTGTGATGGTTGCTGACTTTTTCTGGATCAAGGGTTCCGAAGAGTTTCAGCAATTCACATTCACATGTACAATTCCCAGGCTTCTACTCGTGGTCATCGCTTGTGGTATGCTTTTTGGGTTACATTGCCTCTACCATGATGCTGATTTCCTACCGTCGTGTAGGTGTCTGTTGCGAAGTCTCCTTCATTGCTTCGACTCAGCGGTTTTGGGCCCATTGGCTCCGTGATGGAGCAGTGCCGCATTCTATATTCAAGGCCCCTGTTCAATTCATGCGTCACTGTAATAGCCAGTTCCGGCATTTCCTCCGAAGGGTAGGTCTGGGCCGGGTCGTTTCAGATGGTACAGATCTCGTCTGTTCTCGTCCTTTCCGCGAGTTTCTCACAGCCAATGAGGGTAGAACCGGGACATCACGTGTGATCACTGATTCTTCCATCTGGTTGCCTATCTGAGACAACCTGCAAGATTTTCGACACCTCTCCGCTCAATCTATAAACCAGCTCCGTGAAGATTGGCCAATGCCGAACTTCCCACAGCGCATACAAATTCCCCCGATCTCGACCGTTGTATCTCTTGTCTTATAATCACAACAGTCTCGCGGGGCTGTCCCTTCACCTCTTCCTACTACCTTCAACATGCCCATTGCGCAGATGCATTACAAGGCTTCATTGCCCCAGGTGCACCACATACCGTTGCATACTACCTTTCTCGGCGTGCTGCACACCGCTTCAACGCCCGAAGCTCAAGTTCATCAATACCGAGGCATTAAATACGCCTCCATACCCGCTCGTTTTCGCCAATCCAAGCTTTTTACTTCTTACAAGCCCGTTACGGATGCAACAAAATACGGGTAAGGTTTCGAGATACTTCTATCATTTTAGCGCTCACAGATTGCTGTAGACCTATTTGTCCGCAGTACAGATGCAGGCAAAGCATCGAAGAGGCCATGTTTGGTCTCAACGACGATGATATACCCAAGCAGTCCTTTAAGCAAAATGAGTTCGAATGCCTCAATTTGAACATCACCACGCCCGCTGGTCTTACCCCGCACTCTCGTATACCAATTATGGTGTGGATTCATGGGTGAGTCTCGTGATCACCCTTTACGAATCCATATGCTTACGACTGGTGTCAATGACAGAGGAGCTGACAGAGGAACAGGCTCCAGTTGGGTCTACGACGGGGGCGCATTAGTCCATCATAGTATACTCATTGGCAAACCGATTATTGTGGTCACCTTCAAGTAAGATCCGGAGGTATTTTTGCGAACTTCTGTCTGATGGATCACGCTGTGTTATAGTTTTCGGCTTGGCTTGTTTGGCTTCGCTGCCGGTCCCATGTTACGTGAAGACAACAAGTCTGCGGGTGATGAAGGCGTCGGCAATTACGGTCCGTCAATATATCATTCTCCCCCATTTTTTTTGTTGACGTTTCATCTAGGCCTACGCGACCAACGTAAACTGCTCGAATGGCTTCACCACTTTATTGGAGATTTTGGCGGCGATCCTAACAATATCACACTGTTTGGGGAATCGTCGGGAGCGGCTGATATCGTATCTCACCTCTTGTCTACGGCCAATGAAACACGACCACTTTTCCAACGAGCAATAGTCCAAAGCGCCATCCTGGAGTCCAACGCTCCGGACGTCTCAGCAGCAGGCTGGCATCTATCTAGACTCATGTCAGCACTGCACGTCACCACCGTCGATCAGCTCCGCGCCATCGACGCTGATAAGTTATTCGCGTACGGTCTGACTCTCCGCAACGTCGATGACGGTGTCTTCTTCCGTCAGGGATGGAGAAGTTACTTTCAACCGGACGACGCGCACCACCGAGACCATCACGTATTCTCTGACCTTCTCTCGATTCACAAGGTTCCCAAAAGGCCGTCACGGTCACCCCATCCGAGCGTTGGACTGACTACTTTCCATCCTCCAGCTAATCTTCAACCCCTCATCATAGGTGATTGTGCCTCCGACTCGTTAGTTTGGTCGCTGTATGCCGCACAATGGACCGCCCCTGCAGTCGTGCGCCGGATCAAAGCTATCTGTCAATCTCTTTCCAAAAGCTCTAACCTTATGAATGCCTACGATATCTCTTCCTACACCTCCGACGAAGAAATCGTCCAGCGCGTCCTGGACCTCATCAACGACGCTCGCGTGGCATGGCCCACCGAGTGCGTAGCCCAGTCTGCTCGACGCGATCGAGGCGGACATGGAGTCTGGCGGTATGTCTTTGATCAAGACGGGCCGACCGTCAATCTTCCGCACCATGCGGTCGACCTTGTCTACCTGTTCGACAACGTTCCGCTTCCTGAATCCGCCCGATCACCCTCGTCTTCTATGATGTCCTATGACGAAGGTTTCTGCGAATTTGACGTGGATGAGGACGATTCGGTGGAAATCAGTGATGAGGATGGGTGCTCGTGGATGCAGCCGTGTGTTGATCAGTGGTCATATACCCATGTTAGGGATACGATGCAGGAGAGGTGGATCGCGTTTGCTTACGGGGAAGCGCCGTGGAATGATGAGAAGGTGTTCGTGTTTGGGCCGGAAGGTGAATCTGGTGAGCGGTCGGCTTGTATATTTGATGGAAGGAGGAGGAGACAAGTGTGGAAGGAGGTATTTGAACCGTTGGGGATGCAGGTCGTACACAAAGTTGGCCTGGAGCTGAGTCGGGGCCCGCCGTTGAGGGGGTATTAGACATCTCTTTTTTTATCCTCTTCACATATCACACATGCATTCGGGACGGCATTCATATTTATTGTATCAACTTCGGTTTGCTTTCGTCTAGGGTTTTTGGGTTAGCTGAGCATTTACTAGTTTACATGGCATTGTTATCGATTCTGTTGTATCCGTACTCAAAATTGTTGTAATCAAAGTGTTCGAGTTATCAACATAGCTCACTATCCTTTTGTGACGGCTACTTCAACTTCCGGGCCAGGCCCCAACTTCCAAGCCCATTTGGACGCACCTTTGTAAGAACATAGGCTACATGAGTCATACTGTCTTCTGATAGCGAAGACCTACTCGACGTCCCGTCCTTGTCGCTCGATTTACCCTCAAGTGATTGAGCACCGGAACATATTCTCTTGGCCCAGCCACTCAACTTTGAATTACAAGGAGGTTCGACGACAAAATGGAAATCTATAGATGTCATGCACTAAGAATACAATGAGTGGTAGGTTTGTGAAAGTGTAATCAATACAAGTAATCCGTCCGTCAATAATGCTAATATAATGTTCATCAAATCGTAGCCGTCAAGGCACTAGCAATATCCACCGTGCTGGTGTTGTCACTGACAGCAGCCGTTGTGGTACCCGTGGAAGCACTTTGGAAGCTGAAAACGAACCCGCCGTTTGTGGAGGAGGAGGATGAGGCAGCAGCGGCAACCGAAGTCGCAGACGTAGTTGCAGAAACAACGCTTACTAACTGCTGCAGAAGCGGAGGCGGAGGCAGTGGCAAGTAGAAGCAGCACTCGCTGCAACAGCAGAGGATGAGGCTCCCACGACAGTCGCAGCTGAGGAAGCGGCAAGCTACAGTGGCTGAAGCGGTTGCGGATATATCTGAACTGGGCGCAACAAAAACAGCCGGAACATGAAGGCAAAGTCCGTCATCACCAACATCGTCACTACAGAGACGACATTGACTGTCACGACACCATCGGCACCGGTCGTGGTCGATGTGCTGGGCGCAGTTACTGTGGGAAGCAGGCGTGGAAACAGCAGCGGAAGGTAATTGTCGCAGAGCTGCTAGCTGCCGAAACAGCCACGCTGGCGCCCGAGACCGAGGCACTATCAGGTGGCCGACACAGAGGCGGCTGATGCACCAGTTGCACCTGATGCGGTAGCAGAGGTAGTGGATACAGAAGCGCTGCTGAGAGAGGTCTCGAGTTGTCGACGGTTGAAGGTAGGAGTAGCGGAAGCCGCTTTGAGGATTATGGTTGAGGACGATGCTACTGCGTCATTGTTCAATGCGGATACAGCATCGGACGCTGAGGCGGCGCTGGCAGATGCAGCCACGGCCGAAGTGGAAGCAGCTACTCCTGTTTCAGTTAGAGAAGCAGCAACTGTAGAAGCAGACGCGTCCGCGGTGGTATCATCTGTACCATCATCCTCACCGTCGTCACACCCGAGGTCTCCATCATCTGAATCATCACCGTCATCAGTGCTGGCACTGGACGTGGCAGAAGCAGAAGCCGCGGCAGAGGTAGCTGCTGCTGTCTTGGTGGAAGAAGCAGCGGCTGATGCGGAGGACACGGCTGAATTGGAACCAGAGGAAGTAGTCGAGTTCGACCCGTCAATACCGCCCGAAACTCCAGTGGCCTCGATACGCGCTAACGCGTCAGATTCACTATCACAAGATAAACTTGTTCCCGCGGAGTTGACAAGGGGAAGAGCGAAGCACGATGTGCCGCTAGAGCACTCGGTAACCTCCCACGCTCCTCCGACACATTGAGCGAATCCACCTGCAACGCAAGCCTGATCGCCAGCTAAAAGCAAGTTGTTAGAAGTTCAAAGAGATAGATGATAAAGACGTACTAGTGCAAGAGTCATTGGCAGAAAGAGATGAAAATTGGGCGTTCAGCTGTTGCGCTTTGAGGCCATTGGCGCCGGCAAAGCTCGAAGAAGATGAAGAACTTGAGGTCGAATTGGAGTCTGCTCTAACTGACAAGAATCCAAAACCTGTGGGTGCAGCACCAACCGATGCTAGACGGCAAGCAAGGGTGGCAAGAAGGACGAAAGAAGATGAACGAGCAGCCATTATTGAAAGAATTTAAACGGATGGAGAGATCGTAAGTCGTCTGGAGCACCGGGCTCGTTGGAAGGAAAGAAAGAAAGTCGAGGCGGTCGTAAGCCAAAGAGGTTGAAGAGCACGCTGGCAGACATTACGCTTTATATATGCTCAGGCTGCGAAGCGAGAACAATAAGTACAAGCCCGTTGACGTTAACGTTGCCACCCATTGTTTCCATTGTTCAAAATTTTTGCCGGTGATAGTCCGGCATTGTGGCTATTTTTGAATCAAGGCTGTCGCAGCACCTTCCCAGGGTTAGGGTTCCCTTAAAAGCTTCAAATACCGACGGCCCGGGAGCACGGTGGCGCGCGTTGCGAGGCCCAAAAGAAAAACCTTTGTATTCGTGCTGCGAGTGCTGCGAGAGCTCCACAGTGGCCATGCTTAATGTCTAGTAAAAAACCCGAGCTTATCCCAGTATGTCAAGAACAGTTGCTCAAAGGTGTCCCCGGGGCCCGGTGGTAAGTGGTAAACGTAGCAATGAAGACCCCTCTGTCGAATTCTAGTGTGCAAATCTAAAGTCGAGTCGCCTATTCCCTATATCGGTGGTGGTTTCAAGATAATGTTTTCTCTCCTAAGATGACTTGGTCAGCATGCAAAGGCTCCAAAAAAGATATCATGTACCTCCAACGACATCGCATTCCAGATTCTATCTCGTTGACGGTTGCGATAGATGTAATAAGCTTTCGTCCCCGGATACATGATGAGCATGTTGAAGCAGCAGATGGTAATCAAGATTTTGTTTCCACGACGGTCTAGGATTAACGTAATGTCAACTTCTCAGCCGTAGAATGGAAACAATTCTTACAGTTCGGCGCATCATCTTTACGGTAGATCTGCGCCGATATGATTCCTGATGCTTGAACGAACCTGAAGGCGTTTAAGTCCAGTACACACAAGGTCAAGGCAAGACAGGACATGCGTACATGTTGTACAGTGATGCGTTGACAGTCCTGCTAGCTACTGCACCAGAGTTTCGGGAACACCAGCCCCACCTGCATGCCAAGCCAAGTGTCAGCAAGGAAGAAGACGTCAAAGAGAAGGGAAGCACCTGTATCGGATGTGTGTAGCTGAGAACGGGTACTAGCGTCAGTGACGATACATAGAAGGAACGGAAACATTCTGACGTACGGATACGATAATAGGCCCGATGCCAGCCCCTGCAATGTCACGCTTGGTGAAAAGAATGTGAATGTATGGAAGAAGGACGAACAAAGTACAACCATTGGTTCGGCGAGTCTGGAAGACAGTATATTGCCACAAGGAAGGGAAGTATCCAAAAATCTTCAGCCATCGCCACAAACGAGCGATCATTAACTGTTTCGGAAACCAGTGTAATACCGAAATTAGTTATCATGCCCGCGACAGTGGACGGAATTGTGAGCAGGTTAGACTGGAACGTATTGAACCTATCCAGCGTCAGTACGATTCCTACAAGACAAACTGTTCCCATGGACAAACCCAATATTACGGAGAGATAAAGTAAGATAACTGCTCGGCGGGGAAGTGGGGATACCGAACATTAAGCCTCTGAAGTTAAATGTTAGACCGACAGACCCCCGACAGACTCATGCAAGAAGACAACCCACATGAAATATACCGGCCATAAATCATAATCACAAACTGCAATCCAGAGACGTTTGAGCGTCAACCCTTCGCGGTTATGCATGTCACCCTGGTTACTGCATAAGATGAAATTTCCCACTTGACCTAAGAAATGCAAACCTTCGTAGGATCATCCCGAAGAATGCGGGTCACAGCAATCGTCTCTTCTCTTTCGTTAAACCATCCTTTGGGACGGAACCATGACTTCGTCTGCGTAGGAGAAGGGGGCATTCTAAAAAACGTGGCTGTCCCGATGACCAGGGTGATCAGGCCTCTGAGAATGGTTTAGTGCTGGGCTGAACGATCGTCGCGACCCACGTACTCAAAGAGGAACAGCCATCTAGAAACAGTTAGAACTGCTTATGGTGTTACGGCATACCGGCTCACCTCCAACCGGCCCTTCCCAGGACACCTCTCATGTGAAGAACACCGAAGGCTATGAAACTGCCGATGATAGTGCACACATTGGAGGACATCCAAAAGAGGGCCAAACGAAAGGGAAGTTCGTTCTTCGTGTAAAAGTCTGTCATAATTTACTCCTGTAAACGAGCGAAGAAGTAGCGATATGCAACTCCAAACTCACATGACAAGTAGAGAATGAGGTCGGGGATAAACCTTCATTCAGATGTTTAGAAAACTTTAGAAGATAGATATAGATGTCAAACGAGCGTACCCGCCCTGGATGAACCTAGTGAAGAGCTGAGCATTTAAGTCGCCGAAAGGAGAAAAGAGAAAACCACCCTAGCAATGCCCGGCATAGTAAAAACGATGTCCTGCCACTCAGCCAAAATTGCGCCATTGTCACGATAGACCACAGAACCATCTGTGTCGGAATCCAACGATCCGGTCCAACCTGGATACATTATCAGCCGGAACAAGCGTCCATGTCCTATGCCGACGAACCCGCTTTGAAACAAGTTGTGAGGGTAGTTCTGCACAGAGAAAGGCCAACTTGAATATCGAATTTCCCCAGTTGTAATCTGCGTAAGGGAGGTCACATCCTATGCGTCCTGGGAATATAAATTTCACTCACCATCGGTGGTTAAGCCGAGATCAGGCAGAAAGTTATCAGTATTCGCTTGAGTGAGGTTATTCCGATCCAGGTTCAAAGCTGAGAAGCTGATGGCAGCCCAAAGCATGACCTTCCAATCAATCTTCCGGACCAATGCCTACAGGAGAGAGAATAAATACCAGTCACAATAGTACAAAACACAAACTACCTTCTCCTCAGCAAACGTCCACCGTGCATTGGGGTCAAACCGATGTATATTCTCGTACTCCTTCTTTGGCCAGTAATGCGGGGCCAACTCCGGGTCATCAAAGACGGATCGTTTCGTAGCTATTGCATCCAAGTCTTCGTTCTTGCGACGACGGAAGACGTTCGAAAATTTAAAAGGCTCCGGCTCTCCATCGACCAAGTCGTCGGTTGGCGTAGAACCCTTCTTCGTATCGGCATCCTTGGAAAGAGAATATAGCGACGCAGTAGGGCTGGGGGATAGCGCATCAGGTAATGATGTCTTGGACGAAGCAGCCATAGTGGAAGTGCACTAACGAGCTGAGTCTTTCTCCCCATTTAAACCTCCCTTCGCTATCAGGATAAGGAACATCCGGTACAAGCACCTCATATGTTGGCCTACTTGCACCTTTCAGTTACCACGAACCATGGAATGCCGATCACGCCGATGAACACCTTAATGGCGCGACATTGCTCGACCCTGGTTGGGCAAAGCCCTACATTTACATCAATAACACGGTCAGATTCCTGTGTCTAACACTTACAGAAAAGCCAGACGGGACGCGCCTATGTGGAGCCTTTCAATGGCCCCTTGAACGCGATTGCACGAAAATCATGGAATATGGTTTCATGTGACAAATTGCTTCTGAAGATAGGTTCAAACCGTATCTGGAGCTCTGAAATTGGGAGGATTTGCATGTGCCGTTATTGATGGTATCTACGATTTGGTCTTGAGACTGGAAATTCACAAAGCTTGGCAAAAGAAATACTCACGAATCACCGCATATATGGCGTTTGGTCGGACGCACCCATCGATGGAGCTCAGAGAAACTGACCAATCAAGCAAGACGTGATGGTAGTGATACTAGCAATATCCAAACAACTGGTATGCTCAAGATTTCGGAAGTTCGGATTCTGGCCGGCGACTTGGCTTTATAATGGTGGCACTCCTACAATCACTTTCAATCATAATTACACAGGGAGGTTCCAAATGACTAGTAAAACATACCTGGTATCTCAAAACCTTCAATCGTGCGGTAGAAACATTTTATCAACTTGAACGAGTGAAGCAGGATGCAAGGCAAGGCGATTAGTAAACAACACCAAACTTTTCTTGAACGTTCCTCAACTTTCAAGTTCATTGGCTCAATGCTCCCATGGACTTCGAAATAGATCTCAGCCTCTCATGAGACCTTGGCTCAAATCCCGAGCAGAGTAAATGGTATAGCTACATAGGATTAAAAAAATATACTATATATACAGTCCGTCGGTCCAATCATAATCATATATCATCGCTAGCAAGTGGCAATCTTCTTCAACAAATCTTGATAGTCCATAGCCAGCTTCGTTAGGGTCTTACTCCTCACTAGACAGACCATCAGTATCACGAACTTCGAGTAAACCCATATCAACATACCAAATTGTGCCAATACAACGTCCTTGAGCAAGTCTCGCTTGGACAAACCGGCCACATAAGGCGACCAGGTAACCTCCCGCTGTTCATCTGCCGACCGCCTACACATGTAAATACATAAGCACCTTTGCATGCCTCCCAGGAAACAGACTCACCAATAGACAGGTCCACAGAGCTCCTTAATCAGCTCCTCAGCCTTAGCCCTGAATCCCTCATCCGCAATCTTCTTCGAGTACAGCAGCAGTGCCTGCTTATACTCCGACGGGCTATCCAACAACTTTGCAGAAAGCAACCGCGTCTCCAAGTGTCCCAACGTTAGCGCTGTCCCCCACCAAGACGGCCTCGGTTTCTCCGCCGCGCTCTCATCAGGCGACTCGTTTACACTCGCTTCTAGTGCACTCAATATACCGCGATTGGCAGACTGTGCTAAAGAACGCTGTCTCCCGGGCCAAACGTCAGAGCCGCTTGACCACCATCGGTCTGTAACCTTCACCCAAGCGGAGAGTTGTGGATCATACGAATAGACGACACCATTGGAGAAGTTAAAGATTGGACAACCGTTGGCACGGGTTGTGGCTGAGGAAATAGTAACATTGGGTGATAAAAGTGGTGCGATGGATACTGGAGGGAAGAATGATGCCTGTTTATTCACGGCCCTGGGCATTGGGGTAAGGCAGCCGACGGACCTCAGTAGGAAAAGATAACGCACCAGGAGTAAACCTGACCGGACGCAGTGATGACTAGTAACGAATTCTTCACGCCATCCAGGAAAGAACAAGGTGCGCCAAGGCTCAAATTCGGCATAATCCTTGCGAAGGGTCAGAGAAGAACACGCAGTGGTGGCGAGAGGTGATCGTACCTTCTTCCAGTATGAGAATACACGTTCACTGATCCATCTTGCATAGCCACAGCACAATACGACGACGTAGCTTTGATAGCTAACGCCGGCGAGGACAAGTAGTCTAGCCAGAGCGTCTGCTTGCCACTCACAAATGACACCTCTGACAAACCTAAAAAAAGATTAGACATTACACCAAAACCAACGGGGTAAGGACACACCGGTCTCTTCAGAATTCACGCTTTCAAACACGTAGTCGGTAGCCGTCTACATTCTGTCGTCGACCTAGTCAAGACAGCAGGAGTTGGCAGGATAAGAGTGCTCGAGCCCCATGTCGATTGGCTAGCCATTCCCGAACTTGTAATCTCTGTGATAGGTATGTTGTGACGAGGACGGTCCCCTCCCAAAGTCCTGAACACCGGCCGGGATTCTTCATCTTCATCTGATGCCTTTCTTTTTCCCTTGTTCGGAGACATGTCAAACGCGTCAATCGGAACTCCCATATCAATATCTGCGTGCCGGGACCTGTAGCTGGAAGGGGCTTCAAAGGGTTGCTCTTTTGGAGTAGGGAAATAAGGCTGTTCATTCGGAGAAGGGAAAAACGACGTAGTCTGCGCCTGGTGAGGAGGAGAATCCACAGCCATTTTGGCCTCTTGAATGGGTATCAAAGAAGCTCGCTTTGGTCCGTTCATCGGAGTGGCGCCAGTTGGCTGCAGCAGGGACTTGCGTAAGGCCTACACGCTTTTTATTGTTTCGTTTAGCCACGAGCATGTTAACTCGTTCACCGCCGCTCCCATTAACGTGATTGTCAAACCCAGCGGTCTGTGAATGAGTGTGTGAGGGGGATGGCGTGGAGGTGCTCTGCGTGGGAACGTGGGAATATCCTTTGGGGATAGGTGGGGGAACAAAGCCAAACTTCGACAAGTATTGATCTTGAACCGAATGCGGAGCAATGCCCTCAAGCTCATCTGGTTCGAAGTTGAACACAGCTATCGTTCCATCTGACGATGCAGCATACAGAGTTAGCCCATCCCATGACCTTGTTATTGTATGAGACGGGAATTTCAACTTAAGGCATGCCGGAACTCACCAATTCAGATCCATAATTTGCCTTTCAAAGACCTCCTTAGCAACAATGAGTGGTCGTGCTGTTTTTGTCTGCCATACGGATACCGACCGGTCATCGGCGCCCAAAGCAACGACGGAACAGATGTTTGAGGTCGAAACAGGCTGATTGGGATTTCTCAAGAATATGTGTGGATTGTAAGCCTAAGTTGACCATTAAAAAAAGAACGGTAACATGACTCGGTAAGAGGCAAGCTTACCGCGACTTCAACAGTATTCTCGTGGCCGACCAAGCTGATCTCGGACGTCCATGTGTTTCGCGTAATAACCGCAGCAATGAATACAAATCCTTTATTATTTGTTGCATTCGAGGCAGTAATATGAGCACCGTCGGGCGACCAACTACACTCTTGTGAGTAAATTTCAAGAGAGAGAAGGTGGGTCACTGACCTCAGTCTCCTGAAAAAAGTGCTCCCCGGGGAATCTTCAAACGGCTTCGTGACCTCGGCTTCAAGAGACCAATCTGTCGTTCTCCAAATCTTGACGGAACGATCATCCGACTGTGTTGCCAAAAACTCGCCCACAGGATCCCAACACACTCCCTTGACGAAGCCCTGGTGCTGGTCAAGTTTCCGCAGACGCTCTGGAGACGCTCAGTAGTTTGCTGGGGAACACAAGCAGTCACTCACCCAGTGTATATCCGCACCAGACAAGAACCTGTGAGTCCAGTCCTACCGACGCGAGATAGCGATCCCCGGGAGACCAAGCCACATCAGTGACATCTAGAACAATCTAAAACGCGGCTCAGCACGAAAACAAAGGACAGCGCACCACTTTCATGCCCCGGCAGGCGCTTCATCGGTCTCCAACCTTCAACATTAATCTCGTCAGAGCCCCAGACCTTTCCCCGGGCGCTTCTGCACCAAAGTGAGAATGGCCCGCTACGGGAGAGAGGACACCACTTACGGGTCAAGGTCCCAAATCATGACAATCTCATCATCACTACCACTCGCGAGCCATCTCCCAGAATGAGCCCATCGTACACACAGCACTGGACCAGTGTGCATCGACAACGTGCACAACGACTTTGGTGGCTTGTTCGAAAGCTCGGACGCCGGAACCAGAATCGGTTTGGTGCTCCATATTCGTACTTTGGCATCCAGCCCACCGGTCGCGATACGAGAGCCGTCGGGATGGACATGCACAGAGAAGATAGAGAGCCGTTTCGCGGAATCGGTTTTCCCAGACGAGTCCCCGTGCATCACCCATGCTGGTTTCGTGAAATGCATGCCAGGCGACACTGCCGGTGTTGCTCCCTTTGAACTCGGTTCCTAAAGGATGCGTGATATATACAAGATGAAGAAAACCAGAGCCAACCACGCGAAGGACCAGCAAGGGATACCGAAAATTTGGAGGATGGGCGTTGCAGTGGAAGCAGAAAACGGTCTTCATTTGGATTGCCGGATATGAAAAGATTTTTATTCAATTTCCTTTCTTTGGCCACTACCTCCCATCTTCGTATGTCACCGTGACCCAAACGTCAAAACTTCATTTGAAGACTCGCCCAATGTAGAAGAATGAAACTCCACTGGTGCTCATACGGATGATCCTGGCGCTTCGTCAGCTGAGAACTTTTTCCGGCTACTGGACTCATTCTTGGCTAGCGTGTATCAGAAATTGGATTTTCATTTACAATTCTCAAGGAACCGTTCTGGCGACCCATGGCCCTGGGTACTGGCTCTGGCAGACGTGCTTCCTCACAAGTGATGATGGTAGAATGACTAGCATCGCGTTAAGGGTCACCAACTGGTTACCATCATTCGTCTATGCTCCTCGGGTCGCTTCTGGTGCCCTATATGATAATGTCTCAATGGTATTGTTCCTCTTCTCTGAATGAAGGGTCATTCCCTCTTCACTTGTTTCAAGAGTGCTATTACGTCCGGTATCTTCGGTCAGTCAACTGGTTTCGATACAAGTTTCGTTCATCTTGCTCTAAAAAATCACCTGAGCAGTCAATCACAGCAAATAAAGACGCAGAATCCATTACTGTTGAACGTTGGATCTTTGTACAGCATTGACACTTCATTCTCTCGTTGAACTCTCATGCTCCTATATTTTCGGCGAAGAGAAGATATGGAGCAGTCCATAGATCCAAGGAGTTTTCATTTCCGGTTTACGGATTTCTTTCGCGGTGCCGCTGAACGCGAATCGCACACGCTTTGCGTACGAAGCTGGCCCCAAGCTAATATTATCCGCCAGGATAGTGGTCGGTAACTTCTACCGGTCCGGTGACGCTGGTAGAGGTCTTCTCAGTTCCAAGCGGGGTGCTTACTTGCGGCACTACGAGCATTCATTAACGACCATTTCACGCTCCACTTCGTTACCTGGGTATCTCTTATCGTCCCTGTCTATAAATTATACCTTTGTTCTACCTGCCAATCCTGACTGAACTTTTCAACGTCCAAACAGGCCATATCGGTTCGCCAATACCAAGTATCTAAACCCCGATACCACAAAATACTTCCATATGTAAGGTGGCAATCGTGTGCCTTTCTCAATCATGATAAGGCAGGTCCATTCTGATCTTCCCAAATCCCGTGCATTGACTTCGGCTACACCAGAGTTGCTAATCCCGTTTCGTCGGTTTAAAATGTAACCCGCTATTCACTGCATCGCGCGGTCGCTATTGAGTTGCCTTCGGCTGTTCACCGCTTTGGTGACAGTCGTGGAAGGCAGAATCACAGAACACGTACTGTTCTGTCGTTATTGCATTGAATAGGAATCTCAGCGGCCTATACTGCATAATGCGATTGCTATCCTCATCGATGGATGTATTATTTTTGGGGTCTTTCCGTTGCTTCTATCCTCCTGAATATCGAGAGCGGCCGCTTCTGATCGTGATAAATGATACTCGTTTTGGACCTTGGTCTTCAAGTGTACCGTGGCTGCGTGTATAATTGAGAATCTTGCCCCAATGCCCGTTACTAGCGCGACACTGGCATTTGACCTGATTCTTGAATCTTTCGGATAATTGTCGTCCTGTCTGCCAATTTGGAAAGCAACGTTCTGGATATTCGGTCTTTCCGGGTCCACATTGGACACCCCTACCGACTGATGTTGTCACTGATGAAGTCATAACGTCTACCAATGCCTCGGACAGGTCACAGTACGGCCACCTTGTGAGTAAGTTCTGTCTTTCACTTGAATGTCCGTCCTAACATAAGTAGTCAAGGGTTTTTTTTTACGTTCGGGGGACCTCGAGACCTCATGACTTATTCCCGGAGATCACGAGCCTGACCACAAGCCACATTATTTGCCATCTTTGTCTTGGTACAGGCCCCCAAAAGGAATATCGCCGCGCCGTCAAAAAAATTTCCCGCGAATGCAAGGCCACATAAGTAGATTATCCTTGCTCTTCCTTCCCCACGATCCCTGCTCTCGAACGCAAAACTAGCCCAACGCTCCTACTTTCTACCATGGATTCGGCCTCCTTGCCGTCGGAACACCAGGAGGCAGACCATGTGGGTTCTGGCGCAATTAAGACACGGGTGACCATCATTGTTGAGTTTTGGACTCAATCGCAAGGGTCGAGGGGCGAGTTTTATTTCACATTTCCACGCTCTATCGTTGAATGGGCCAAAGTCTCGGCTTTTCCATCTCCGCCGTACTACACCTATCTCAGCAACATTCCCATACTTTCCTTCATGCATGTCTTCCTTTTCCCACTGCTCACTCCGACCGCGATCGTGTTCCGTGATACGAGATGGCCATACCCGCGAGTTCTCAATTCAATAGGCCTTTTCTCTACCATATCTGGACGTAATGAAGATCTTCACAGCCTCCGATGTATCAGTGGAGGATAAGGAAATGGTGCGACTCTCCAAATAGCGTCGGTTCAGAATATCTGTGGGATAGCAATTAGTGCAAGAAAAGTGGCGTCGAGATCAGTTCTCCCGTGAGACTTGGAACACTCCGAATCCCCTGCGACCGTCGAGAAGAATGATAAACTCAGGCTTCGTGTACGATAGTTGGACCACATCTCGCGGAGGCTGATGGTATTTTTGTAACGATTGTTCAGCGATTGTGCTAAAGATGACATCTTTGTGGGTCCTTGATAATACAGTACTTCGATTTATCTCTGCGATAATCATACAAACGCTAATAGTCCTCCCTCGTCCTGCAGGTTTACATGATGCTACAATACGGGCATACGGGCGCGTCGCCCATCAAATTTTTGGGAACAAAATATCCATGCCGGCAGGACTCCACGACTGGGCGGTAAACTACATTCTGTATTTCTTCTTGATGGCTATCCAAGCGGGCCGGGCCTCTGCGTTACGCTCCACAAATTGGTCCATGTCGATTTCAGGTATTCGGTTAACGTCCATACGATTCCAGTAACGAGGCATCATGAATATGATATCACGAGCGTCACGGTCCTGTCGGCTACTATAATGTGAACAGCGGCAAGGGGAGGTCAGAGATGAAAGAGAAACACGAGCATAGAAGGCGTACATCATCCAGCTCTTCAGCTTTGCTCGCACGAATTCGGAAATAGTCAAGAAGGGCACACCGTGTATCTTCATTACCGTGCTACCGTTTAGACGACGAGGCCCTGCTTCTCCTGCTGGGAGAATCTCGATCTTATGTGGGAGAGTACTGTCAACTTGGGTGGACTACGTTCTACAGGGAGATGTTACTCACTTCTATCGCGGGGATTAGCCGACGATAGGTGACATGAAGTCTAAAAGGGTGGTTGGTTAATTGTATAGCAGGACAAATAAGGATATGTCTCACCTGTTTGTCCATGGGGACTGAACAAGGGTGAAATGCTCACTGGTGACGACCGCGTCGCGAACACGCCGGAATGGATGCGCCTGAGTCTGACCGCCCTCTACAATGCAGAAAATTTCCTGGGAAGAGAAGAGGGGAAATGTGTGAGTATCGGTTCCAAGAACGACGCAGAGTAGACTAGGAGACGTACATCACTTTGAGGCTGATTCGCGAGGCAAGCAGTCAATACGCTCCCATGGAACGCGTGGGGTACACCGCATGGCGCGGAGAAGAACAGAAAGGGACATTAGCGGCCTCCAAAAGCCTTCGAGTCTCGGACATTATGATTAGGAAAGGGTAGTAGGAGGGCGTCAAGCACAGGACATGTTACGGCGGATAGTAGGGTGGGGGAAAGAAAAGGGTATCTAGTTATATGTAATGGGGCCGTGAAGAGCCTCAGGCCCGGAAAAAGAATGGTCAACAGATATGATCTTGACTGCCATCTTTGTTAAAATCGGGAATGGCCGATCGCACAGGCCCAGCACGTTGTCACAACGTTTCCAATCAGCTGTGAAGACCTCAGCTCAAAATGTCCCGGAATGAGATAAGAAAAGGTTGACTTTGCGTCGAGTAAACTTCAAGGTTCACATAACGGGACATGCGAAAGGAGCAGGCAATGAGGGAGTGGATATGACAGATGTTCCGGTATGTTTTCCAAAAATCCGCAGCCAACTCCGATACCCCGACACGAAAGAAGTTTGGAGGGTACGGGAAGCAAATTGAAAAATAGACGTTCTCTTCTGGGGCCTAGCTGCTGTGATTCCGTCAGAAAGAACATACAGGCAATTCTGATTCCGTTCCCAGATCCGTTTGCGACTCGCGGTGATCTCAGTGAGCAAATTGGAATGCGGGGGTGGGGAAAATTCAGATGTGACAGGTGTGACATCCAGGGGTCCCGGTTGGGAAGGCCAGGCCCAGCTTGCCACGCGGCATCTTTGCGTCAGCCAAGAAACTTCAAATTTTCGAAGAAATTTCCGTCGCTGTGGTCGTCGACGAGCTCTGCGCGACGAGGGTCTTGTCCTTCGCGTATGCATACAGGTGTCTGCAGGCCATTGTACAGCCATGTAGTCGCACGACGTACGGCGATGAACATAATTCAGCCGCCCGCAGTCGCTCGTCGCTCAATTTTCACGCACTGTCACAGGAAAGGCGCTGAGGACACCAATCCTGGCTCAGTGCGAGGTCGAAAGAAGGATTTTTTCCTGTCTTCACGCGCTCTAGGCGCTCGGTATCTTCGCTGGCCTACCCGAGAGCACCTGGACGGATGTGAGCCGACCGAGCCCCAAGAAGAGCTAGCAAAGGCAGATATTCTAGAGAAAGTCATGAAGGGACGCCAGCCATCGGATCTTATGCTCAGATGTATGTCAAGGTTGTCTCTGTATTGCTCGTGTACTGAGAAATTTCGTCAGGTACTGTCCTCGATGCGGAGGGTAATACTAATCTTCTTCGAGGTCTTCTTTCATTCTAATTTTATTCTATTCTTGGAAGGAAACGTAAAAACGATTTCTGGCCAATTCAAAAAGAGTGATTTGAGCGCAGAACATCGGCTGAATGTGAGTAGCCTGTCTTGATCACATTGCTCGCGTTGACACGGTGAGAGACAGCCTCGTGATCTCCGTAAGATTGACTCGAGGGTTCCCAATCTTGTTCCTACTATTCTTGTACGAAAGGAGGCCATCCTTGTACGTGTTTCACCCTTTTTCGCAGTCGTGTGACTCTAAGGGCGGTATTGTCCCCAGGTTAATATTCTTCACGTCCGAGCCCTCGTGAAGGCTGATGCTGTCGTTTTGTTCGACACATATGGCTCTGCCGATTCGCGACTTCATTCGGTATTTCTATATCATTTAGAGGTATGCTGTGTATCTTTTGACTAGGAACACAAAGCCACATGACGTCCTGTAGCACAATCTTAAGAGTAAAGGCTCCGGACTGCCATACGAATTTCGGTTCGCTACTTTCGTGCTACGTCGAGTGACTTTCCGTTAATTAAAACCCTTCAGGGCCCTGGAGTCCATTCTCCTTTCGGTCCTCAGCGCTTTAGAGGCTGAGATGGTGTTCATCCGGAACCTTGTCGGCGGGTTACTTGCCGAGTTGGAAGACGACATTGACCACGACAGCCTTAAACGCCTTCTGCACTATTCTAGACGGCTAGCTAGTTTCCAGAGTAGAGCAAAGCTTGTACGTCACTTTTCTCGTTTTCCTAGAATTAGCCTTGATCGCCGTTGAAAACAGGTCGAGCAAGCCCTGGAGGAAGTTCTAGAGCAAGGTGCGTCTTACACGCCTTTTGATGGCAAGTACGAACTCTGAATTTTTTTTAGATGAGGATTTGAATGCTATGTACCTTACCGACAAGAAGAACGGCAAGGGACATGAAATCGACGATCACGAGGAGCTCGAATTTCTGTTGGAATCGTTTTCCAAGCAGGTCGAAGAAATTGTGAGCGAAGTGGGCAACATCGATGTAAGCTTTCGCCAAGTTGTTGGCGTCTCCATTCCTCAATGCTATCTAGACAAACGTAGAGTCCACTCAAGAAATTGTCGAATTGATCCTTGACTCGAATCGTAATTCTCTGCTCGCGCTTGACCTACAAGTAAGTTCCCTGAAGAGAAACTCCTGTCGTTGTTAATGTGTATATGTAGGTCTCCATTGCTACCTTTGGCGTCGGCACCGGGGCATTTTTAGCAAGTCTCCTGGGCATGAACGTAAGGCCCTTCGCGAAATGCAAGCTGATAGACACATCCCTGATACCTTTGTTTCTTCTAGTTAACAAATCATTTTGAAAGTCATCCGTGGGCATTCTATGGCATGACAGGCTTCTCCTCCATCATTGCCGGGTTCGTAGTATGGGCCGGGCTCCGAAAACTGGCCAGAATGCGAAAAATCGGTCTTTCTTCTAACAGCGGCAAGCGCAAAACGAAACCTTGGCTACCTCTTCCTCTTAGAGCGCGAAAGTCGGACGGGTGGTTGTAATACCCTAACGCAAACATTTAGACGGTAATCGACACATGTATAATCTTGCTACTTATCTACACCATCTCATTGGCTATAAGGATACTAATTTATTTCCCTTGCATCCCTCACTATGCTGGCCCTGAACCGGGCGCTCTGTAGAAGACGAAAGATGCATGGAACAAGCGGCGGAAGGTTTTCAAGTGATGAAAAGCTGGCATGCAAGAGGCTCCCTGTCCATCATATCCTAGGATCAGTGACAATCGATTGTTTATCAGATTCTTCCAAACAGGTCTCCTCCGAATTTTAACGGACAGCCAGAGTCCTAACGTGGAGCGGTGGATCGAGCAGCCCACACTAAAGAGACGTGAACAGCACAGTTAGCGGATCACCTTGCAGGACGGTGAAGTATACATTCAAGACGTCAGAGACAGGCCTTCCGGAACTGAATCGGAAGTACTAGAAGCGGAACCATCGCTATCATCGCTGCAGGACTTATGGAAACCATACTGAGAAAGTTCAAGCAGCGCCAGGGCCCTGCGGATCTGCAAAGGTTCTATAGCATGTTGTAAGAGCTGCCATCCAAGTATATCGTCCACATTATGGTACCTTCATAGATTGCAAACGTGTTGAATCGGTCATCCCCTGGGGTGACACAGGTGCGAGACATCGATGACCGAGAATATCGCCACAGTGCACACATGACCGTCCAGGAAGACAAATCAGAATCGAAAAGAGTTAACGCAGTTTTTAATAACCGGGAAAGGGGGATTGTATTACGTTTCTTCTTTCGATACTGAATCCTGAGGCAGTGCTGTGCTTGGTATCCTGATCACATGGAGGTGAGCTTCACCCTCGTCGTAAGGGCCCTTGCGCATCAGTATTGAACCCCAGAGTAAAGGATGCTCATCACCTGCTCATCCATCATCGACGGGAGCAGAACGGAACTCAGACGGTCCCGAGAGAAGTTAGCAAGGGTCATGAAACCCCGACACTCAAGCTCAGACGCTACTTGGACGCTTTGTGTCGTGCCAAATAAATAGCGGAGTGTTCACGGAGCTTCATTCTGTAGGAGAAAGTCCGACGTAGGGAGGAAAAATAGGCCCAATCTCTGTACTACACGTGCGACCGTGTAGCCTACCCGCGAAGCCTGAGGTCTTATTATTAGACGGGAGCTTAGAGGTAGTGCTAACTTTCACTCCTGGGAAATGGAAGGATAAATGACATACAAAACATGTGTTCTAATACGACATATGGAGAGGTTCAAAGACAGTAGCTGCCGGGAGAGTAGCCACTTCCATGGGGTTACGCTGGCGGCCCTAAACTAGATATCATGTCCGGCGGAAATGAGTCGAAAAAGACTCACGTACACATGGAAGAGTAAGATCAATTTACGGCGTTGTGAGATGAAACAATGGGACCGTCATTGTTCAGTTGACCGCGGCGAACACGACCTGATATCTTAGAAGATCCGAAGTGTTTATCCGGCCGTTAGCAGCCTCGCAGACCACCACCCGCCAAACCCCTCTGGGAGAGTGTATCTCCCTTTTGGACCCTTTAAAGGAGCTAAGGTGTAGAATGGTATAGAGTGGGAATGTGCACATACCGGGAGCATGGCTCGCGTCGTAAAGAGAATTGGAAGCGGGTTTGTGCGGTAGAAAAGTGACATGTGACCATGCACTTGCCTAATTAGATGCAAATTGGCCTCGTCCAACTGTCGATGATGGTGTCGAAAGAAACTTGACGCCGGTACTTGTGGTATCTGAGGTTTTAAATGTGCCATGCCTCGTCTGATAGTAATACGCATGTTTTTGTATTTTCTTCTTTTGAGTTCCGAGCTCAAATGAGCCAACTCGCTGTGGCTCGTGATCTCCTGCCGATATTATAACATCATCCCGACAGTTGGCTAGATGTCTAATTGACGCATAGCGCTAAGCGAAGCAACACACTTGGTCTGATGACACGGTGGAGGACAGAGAGTGGCGCCGCAGCGCATGCATTAAAGGTACGTCAACGTCCCCTTCTTTGAAATAGTGTGTCTTGAGTTAGTCTCAAAACAAAACGCTTGGACTTTTTGATAGAGCTTCGAAGAGCAGAAAGTCGCAGGAATAGTCTACAACTTAGCACGTACCGTACAGCATCAATTGAAGAACCTTTTGAATCCAGAGCAACTTTGGTCGACTCCATACGGTTATCGATCCGTAAGTACAGCTCGGCTCGAAAAAACCGGTAGTCGTGAGAGGATATGGAATACCTACCGAAAGTCTTTTGAGGCTTCTTCTGAGAAAGACTACTCCACAAAATTGGGAATAGGGTCCCGCTTATAGAGAATCGAGGAAAATTCCTGACGCAAGGTACGAGATAGTCCAATAGAACGACTGACCTGACACCAACAATACTGGGGGGGTTCGTAGGTAGAGTCGCCTTACTGAAATCGGTGTCTGCGACTATCGGGCGTAAGGCACGTATGATACCATTCCCACCATGGCGTACGGCACCTCAATTCTAATTGAAAAATGAAGCCAGGCGGCGAATAAGTACTACTCACATGAAGAAGAATATGTTTGTAATTTCCAACGTCGCACTAGTCGTCATTCCAAGTCCATATCTCTGCGTGGCGGGTGCTAATGAGTGCTAGTATACAAGACTAATATCTACCTGTGCTGGCGGTAGGTGTCATGAAAGAGGTACATAATAAGCGTTCAGAAAAAGAGGAACTAGGGAATAAGAGTGAATAAGCCAAGTATAACCCGGGGGCTGGAAAAGCTATGCGAACTCCATGTCATCCAAATTTGCAATGCGAGGAGGTAATAGCGGTCCAGGGTGAGGAATAGTGAGGGATTGAGCGATGTAATCCTCCATGGCATCCTTTCCAGCACCAATCTCGTGGTAAAAGACACCAGATTCTTCATCAAAATATTGCATCGCCGTAGCATGCGCATCCCGGCGTCGCTTAGACGCCCAGAAACCACCACCTGTTAGGTCAACTCTACCCCCATCCTCCTCAGTACTGGCTGCGCCCTGCAAAGTACCCATACTCCCCTCAACTCTCTCCTCCTCCTCCTCCAAATCCACACGAATAGATGGGCAAATGCAGTGTGCCATCACACAGTTCAAGAAATGTAGCTCCCAGAATTTAGGAGCTGGTTGATATATGCGAGTAATGTGTCGAACATCATACTGATATTCGGTGTAGTCAACGAGACCCTTTGAAAACGACAGAAGATGTCTGTTCTATGGCTAACATCAGGAAAGTGGTAAACGGTGCACACAATCAAAGCTTACGGTACTATCAATTGACAGCTCATTATCATCAAGGAGGTTAAGTATGTCGCATCGCACTGCACAGGTATTGCTCAGGCTGCATATCTTATGATATCCAAGATACCGGTGTTCAGAGGGTTGGGTCGCGGTCGCCGGACCTGGATCAGTGCAATATTGCTCCAGATTAGCCTCTCTCCACTGGCGGAAATGATAATGAGCACATATCCTTCAGTACGAAAAGGACAGCTTTACAAGATCGAGGTACGAGTGTTTCCAGATATGCATTATTTGCACGTTTGACGGCTGGTTGGAATTGATGGATAGCGCTGGGCCTTGACCGGTGAATGCGCATTTTCCGTGAACCTTCCATGTCCTCGCAGGCGCGTCAGATGCCTAAAGATCTGGTCAACAGCACCTGATGTATTGATACGAATATTACTGACCCTTGCTCGACTTTGAACTTCTGAGGGTAGGCCTTGGTCTCCATTTTGTGCGCTTTGAGTCCGATTGTCCGAAGTAGACACTCTGAGCGATTTAATATCCTCCTTTTGGACTTCTGTAGGGGCTTTGGGGGTAACGAGGGACCGTGTTCTCACTGGCGTTTGGACTAAGAAACAGTCAGACCGTTCAAGGCGGATCTTCTTGTACTCGTCTGTTAAGCGTATGAGTCAAGATATGATAAGGACACAAATTCAGGCTGTGTACCGACAATCTCATAGCAGCCCGCCGGCATTATATCTGCAATGCTATACTCGTTTTGTTCGAAGTCCACGCTACCTCTACATTCCGGAAACATGAGGGGGCCTGAGGGGTCGTATGGGATTAATCCCAGTCTGTACAAAGGGTAGCGAAACTGGAACACGCCACAGGTCAGGGCACGCAGGACCGTTCTATACGTGACATATTTGTTGGAGCAGAAACCTGAAATATCCTTATATCCCATGGCCTTTACAGAACAAGGTGCATGAACATACCAAAGATCAAGGCATGTCCTAGGTATATGTGGATGTCATTCCGCTCAAGGAAGGCCGTCATCTCCATATCTACAATGCCATCCTTTTGAATCATTAGTCCAGGACAACGAAAGAACAAAATAAGCAAACCGTGGACTCTCTTTGTTTTCTTTCGCGCGTCGTCATGGTTGGAAGAGACAAGGTACGGCGCGTGTAAGACAAAGTAAGACTCGGACATCGTCATGTCACAGTCACAACTATTCCGAATATATCATTCCGTCACATGTCACCCATATTGGCCCTTTGTTTCTACCATCTTCACGTCTACGGCTTGAACGAAAGGCTCCAGACGACAACGCCATCCCAGTACTGCTTCGACGCTGAACAGTTATCTGTTCAGACTGGGTCCTGCAGCTTCGATATCTTTCTGTATTTCACGATCCAATCTCTTTGAAAGTAGTACTGGTCGCAAAGGTCTCTCGTTTTCTAGTATGTTCCAGTGGTTCATCATTTATTTCTTTCTGTCAACTAAAAACGTAGTTTTCTTTTTGATTTACGCGAATGAACCATGCCTGGGCCCGGCAGTCAACGATCGAAGAAATCCAAAAGCAAAGCTAAACCGTCAACAGCCCCGGCCAGTTCGACTCCCGATGCCTACCTCGGTGACATAGATAATGCCGTGGGATGGAATATCGTTGTTGATATCTTGTGTGAAGGATTCGAACTGCCTGGTGAGTGCAATGACCCTGCGCATTGCTCCCTGGATCCACCAATCAGTCTACCATCCTAGATTTAACGACACGCAGCGGTCTAAAGAAAGTTCATGCAAATTTTGACAGTATATATCGACGTCTCGATAAAGCCTATGTCAAGCATGAAAGCAACGAGAAAGTTACAGGGGGGATCATCGGGATTTACGGCAGGATGTGCGCTGATAAAATATTACGGGATAGACTGTTCGAAAAAGGTATTCACGCACTGCGAATATTCATCCCTCATTCTGTCATGACTGTCACCATCATTAGGCTTTTTGAAACGACTTTTACCCTTGCTACATATACAAGAGACGCGGCATGTTGCTCTACGCGCCCTTTCCCTAATCACGCATCACGGAGGAGAGGAAATCAGGTTCGACATCGCTCGCCATTCCAATGAACTCACCAAGTCTCTTTCTAAATTCCCGGATGACACTGCGGGCTCAGAGCTCGTCGTCTCAGTACTCGCTCATTCCATCCCTGCTGTCGTCATGTTTGACTCTGTTTCACCTCAACCCGACATATTTCGCTCTCTAGACATGAACACCATCATAAAAGAGGTTACAGACAGTATGAAGAGACCTAATGCTTCAACATATCTTATCAACCACGCCTCTGAGCTCTTAAGCCTGTCGACCCTCAACTGTTATGCCGCCTTCAAACAGAATCCTTCTGCCATGACTTTCCTGGTTGCGGGCCTTAGGAGTGCTGATTGGGCATTCCGGTGTACTTGTTTGGGCGGTGTCATCCGATTCCATCGACACGAATCTGAAGCAGATATCCGAGGGATGGACCCCATGAAGTTCATGGCAGCTATCAGTAGGAAGTTCCCCCCGCACATTAACGACCTCCTCTTAGCCTACGGCTTTGAGCGGTGCGAGACTTTTATGACCCTCGCCGCGACTCGTGATTTCCAAAATGCCATTATGAAATCCGCTCAAGACCATGACTTGTGTCGGCTAGGACTATCCATCGCGCCTATCATCATCCGCACAGAGTTCTCGATTGCCGACGGAATGTTCGAAACTGAAAATCCCGTCACCGGTCGACGGGAAACCCTGGATATAGGATTACCATTCACAATATGGGGGGACTCTCTTCCACATTGTGCCAAGGCCATCCGGGCAAAGGGAAACCCAACTGAAGCTGATATTGCGGATATCCTCGACGTCAAGTATTTCATTAAGATAGGGCGTCTCCCGGAGGCCGTGCGTCTAGCTCAGGAATCCCTCAAGCGCAACCCCCAGTGCGCTTACTTTTACTACGCCATTACTCTTCTTGCGGACCCTGTTCAAGGTCTTCGGGCTGCGAAGAAGGGTTTGAAGTGTAAACAGATCAGTCCTTTCATTCGCTTCCAGTTACTCCAACGTGCAGTCTCGCACGCAATGGAATTGGGGCTGCGGAAACTTCAGGAGGCAAGTAGGTTTGACACGGTTCCTTGGCACGAGGGCGTCGCTTTCTTGACAAGCGCGCTCGAGGACTCCAAGACGTACATAAAGCAGGCGCCTCCTGATAATCGTCACATGAAGTCTGTTCTGTACTGGAACATTCTTTTGACGCTCGCAATCCAAGGAGCGGATATTAGTGTCAATCTCAGAGAACTCGAGGTGAGCGATATATTGCAGCGCTCTTTGGATACTGTTTACCATACTGTCTTTTCATAGAAAACGCGAAAACAACTCGAGATCGCAGACGAGATTAGCACCTTTATCGGAACCCCTCCCCCAAAGACAAACGAGCGTCTGGCGCAAGAGACCGTTTTGAAATTGTATACTCAGGCCGCTCAAGAATGGGAGAGCACCATATCGAATAATGACACTGAATGGGAAGAGATTGTCACACCAAAGAGAGCAGAAGATGATCTCCAGGCGTGGTTGGAGGAGCTCCATCTCGATGATCCCGCGGTGAAAGCGAATCCGTCATGTCTGCACCCGAAGATTACTTCCAATCACGTCGCATTATACCGGTGCTCGTGGTGTGGTACTCCAAGTGCGGTTCTCAGAAAGTGTTCTAGGTGTGGACAAACGAGGTGAGAGTTTTTGGATAGCGGTTTGGATAATCGCGCTAATGGTGATACAGGTACTGCGATGCTGGATGCCAAAAGTCCCACTGGGCGGATCATAAACGGCAATGTGCTCAGGCTTCAGATGCTGATTAGACAGCACTCTTTCCCCTTGCTTGCTCGTGTAACTCTATTGTATGCTTGTTAATCTACGTACCGCCTTTCTGGTCGACACACCGAGAAAAGATGAACATTGGGATCATATTGAAAATTGTATTCACGCGTGCGCGTGAAGCATAGAAATGTGGCGATGGAGCTGGATCTCTATGAATTTCCAAAGAAATGTTTGTATTACTGCTTCAAATATCAGTGGGGGTCAGAGTGACCGATTATCGACGATTATGAGGTCGATTATGGCAACGATTATGAGTCCGATTATGAGTCGTAATCGTCATCATAATCGCTCTAGCTCTGACCGTGTACCGATTACGGGTAACGATTATATTGACCCAAGAATTATGTAAAGGGGAGGATCCATAATCGTATAAGCGCCTCTGGAGTCGCTTATATGATTATGGTCGATTACGATTATTCCCACGATTATGGACCTCATAATCGTTGCCATAATCGTTTCCATAATCGTCCCATAATCGTTTACTCCGACTCCCACTATTTGCAGGGTAGCCTCTACCACTGCGTTGCGTTGATTTTCCAACTTCTTAGTCGTCCCGACCGTTCCGCTGTGTATGGACTCAGCTCTACTCCGTTACGAAGCCCGACAATGACCGACTTGATCAAGCCAGCGTGAGCATGGTGCTCAATCATGTCCATCACGATATTTTCCTTGTAGTGATCCAGCGAAGGAAATGTGTTGTCAACGCTCGGGGCCCATACCAACTTCAAACTGTCCAGCTCTGCCGGTTCATAGAGATATATAACCAATCTCGCTGATATGATAGACGAGCAATTGGGCCCTCTTTCATTTGCTTCGACAATCGAGAGATTCTTGAGATGTGGTATGTATTTGAGCATGCGGCGAACTTCCGCATCAGTGAAAGGAACTTCGGTAAGGGTGAGACGTAATAGGGGAGGGAGTCGAGAGCTGGCAGAGTTGCCGCAGGGAATTTTGAAGGTCGTCACGGAACGTAGGTGCAGTTGAGTAGGAGCGGGGTTTTGGCACAATTTCCAAGGAGGAAAGGCGGGGTAATGAAAAAGATGAATCCCTGATGAGGGGTTCGAGTAACGTGTTGGTCAACGTGAGAGATTCAAGCGCCAAAGGTATAGGTCCTTCGGAGCTAAAATTATATAAACTGGAGCTCGATAGACAGTCGACGAGGGTAGCTCTTATGGCCTTGGGGAATCTTTTTATGAGAGACGAGCGATGATCAGATAGAAAAAGAGTGGTGATCTGATTTTGACTAGGTAACTGCATTTGGAGTGAACTGATTAGCCCATGCATGTGAAGGCAGTCGACATTTGACGCGTTTCGACACATCGCCCAGGGACGCTGGATACCCGTACCAGACTCAACAGATCTGACTTCGAGGGACCTTAACAAAGGGAATTGACTGGTGATAGCGTTGAATATCGATCGTCCTCGACTGTTCGTAGTAAAACAGATGGAATGGCACCGGTCCAAAACGGACAGTACCGCGATGGCATTGCAAATGGCGTCGGACCCGCTATCACCCGGAAATCTACTCGTGATCGGCAAAAGTGATGGCCGCTACTAAATATGGACACGGCTGATCATTATTTTTTTTTTCGTTTGTGCTACTTCGCTAATGTCATTCTGCTTCTTTTTCTGATGCCCAAAGACACAATGCGACACGAACATGATGAGGCAGCAAAAAACCAGTTCATTGGTGCTATGCTCGCTACACACAAATTAAATGAAAGTGCCCTTCTCACTGGCATTCCATACGAGACGGCACAAAAAATCTGGCGGAAGTACAGGGAGCATGGTTCCATCGAAAATCTACCCCGTAGTGGATGGCCGAAGAAGATTGATGAGCGTACATCACGTCGTCTTGCCCGTGCAGCTGTAAAAAACCACCGACTGCCACTTAGAGACCTCAGTAATGAAGTTGGTATTGATGTGAGTGAGAAGGTTATTGCCAAGGCCTTGGAGGACCACGGACTGCATCGACGTGTTGCATGGAAACGACCCTTTCTCTCTGCAGACCAAAAGAAGGCACGAAAACAATGGGCAAAGGATCACAAGGAGCAGGATTGGAGGAAGGTGGTTTGGTCAGATGAATGTTACATCCATCTTGATGATAAGACAGGTCGGATTTTTGTGACACGGCATGTTGATGAAGAGTTGGATGAGAGCTGTGTAGTGCCAACATTTAAGCAGTCTTCCATGCGCGTAATGGTGTGGGGATGTGTCGCATTGGGGTGGAAGGGGCCATTAGCTGTTCTTGAGTATCCTGGTGGAAAAGGTGGAGGAATGACAGCAGCTCGCTATCAGGAGCAAGTGCTAGAGGGTCAGTTGAAGGTGTTTTGGAAGGATTTGGAGGAAGCCCGGCCAGGACTTGCCTTCCAGCAAGATGGCGCACCAAGTCATACAGCCAAGACCACCAAACGCTGGCTTGCGCAAAATGACATCCCTCTCTTTCCTCATCCACCAAATTCTCCTGATATCAACCCCATCGAACCAGTCTGGCATGAGCTCAAGAAGCGTCTCCGTGCACTCCCAAGGCATCCGACAAGCACCAAGGCACTGCGAGAGGCGGTTTTGCAAGAGTGGGCCTCAATGCCCTTAATGGATATTGATAAGCATATTGAGTCCATGTCAGATCGGGTCGAGGCTGTTCTCAAGGCAAAGGGAGGTCACACACGGTTTTAGAGGATGGATAGTTGGTATATTTGGAACAATGGCGACGGTAGATAGGCACAATTAGAATTTTTTGTGATCACGGTCCTGAGTACCATGCTGCACCAAATAAGGCATCGGCCATCACTTTTGCCGATCACGAGTATTGTCATAATCTGCTTTTTCATACGATGCTGTAAGATGGAAGGTGAGGCTGAGTGACTCAGACAATGACCGGTAATGATCTACGCGACGGGCGATGAGGGAGGAGTTATCTGGCCGAATGCGATGGCAGGCTGTTATATGTGTCCAAAGAATGGACCTTGAGAGGCAGACTTTACGCCAATGCGAGCACACTGAGGTCAATACTGTAGGTGGTATGAATGGTTCCGAGCCTGCAGAACTGGTACAGCATGCATCCTCGAATATTGCAGTGAGGATTTCCACGGGAAGAGTACGGATGGGTGAAGCAGAGGACTGTTGAAGATGCATACAGTCCCTAATCGCCGTCTTGGAGGCTTTAAGCGCCACCAAAACACCTTCAACACGTGAAATCTCCGCATCATATAGCGGGATTTGCGAATCGAGCAGGGAGAGCTTATCTGTGGTTGCTTCAGATAGAGAAGATCCTGCACGCAACACATTCAGGATGGAGCATTTGAGCTCTTCGATGTCTGCTAGGGCAAGAAATGTGTTGTTCCCCAGGCTACGCATCGTAAATCTGGAATAAATAATTAAAACGGCTGTACCCAAGTGATGTTAAACACTTACGGACGTAGAGGTTAGTGGGTAGTGTCAGATGTGGTCTATGGAGGGGATGTTGTCCGTCCTTTAAAGTTGATAAAGACAAAGAGGTCGAGAACAAAGAGAGCAAACAAAAGAGCAGACGGATCATGGTCACCTGACTAAAATCAGCGATTGTTTGAAATTTGAGGGAACGTCAGTCAGAACGAGGGCATGAGGTTGTTACGGAGGTTAGAAACGGGTCATGCAGCACTTGATGGACGCCAATAGTGTTTGTACTGCGTACCCACAGCGGCATTAATATACATCTATCACTGACAAAGAATAGACAAATAATTACCCCCAACACTGACTTCTATAACATGCAGAGCCTGCAGCATCAAACCCGAGATTTCGGGCAGAGGCCGGGCAGCGGGGACCACTTCATCCAGTATCAATAGACGGAGTGCGGGGGAACGTGCGAGACACTCTTTCATCTGAGATAGGTCTATCAGCTGGTGGAAGCAGCGAGATTGATGGATGTGATTACCCTCTCCGCCGCTTATTGCTTTTGCTGGCTTCAAGAGCACCTTCTCGCCGCTCTCCGACTCTCTCCAAAAATTCCATCTTTTCGAGATAGCCTCCTCCCCGCCGATTCGCTTCCAACTCATCCTTGAAATCGGAAGGTTCAGCCGAGACATGACTGCGCCAGTCCATGGCAGATTTATCGAGTGTCGTCAGCTTCTTGGGCTTTTGTTTCGAGGGACCAGGGAGATCTTTCAGGGATAGCTTTCCCTTCCTTGGTCCAGGTTTTTTCTTTGGAGGTACCGACGTGGATGTACCAGAAGTGACAGGCGGTGATTCAGTAGTAGTGCTGGAGCCTTCTCCTGTCGACTCAGACAATAAAGGCCATTTCTTCGCATCTGGGGAGTCTTCAGGGACTTCAACGACTTCTCTATAGCATTCAGTAAGGGCAAAGCACCATAGAGGAACGAGGATTGGACGTACACGACGTTCTTGCCAGCGAAGAGATATCTTTTCTCCACTTTGACCATCTTTTTCGGCACCTCTTGCTGTGGTGTCGTCGAAGTCGATGCTAGGGATTTCTGAAAGTCTGCCCACAGAGCATCGCGAGCTCTAGAAGTTCTGAGGTTAGGGCAGAACGTCTTGCACGGGTCAATGGACAAACTGTTTCTGTGATGCATCATCGTTCTCCGCTGCGGCGGGCTTTGGAGAACCTGTCCGTTGGCGTTTTATGTCCCTTTCTGCATCTGAGGAATCGGACTCTGTTGCAATGGTGAGCTGAGACTCACCGCCGTTGCACAGTAGTACATACCAGCATCACCAGCAGGTGGAACGTAGTCTTCGTCTTCAGAGTCGGAATCGTCCTTGGTATTTGGCATGTACAGAGAAGAAGCAGCGAGAACGGCGGTAAAGAGGAGCGGTGGAGGTCGTGATGGTTTACGGTCAAGGTCACATTACCCTGTCCCACTCTTTGCCGCCAACCACCATGACGTCCGGGGTCAACGTTCTCCTCCTTCGCGAACCGACACCGTCCTCTGACAGTGGTCAGGACAGGTATGAAGCCACCTTTGCTGCTGCACAATACACGCCTTTCTCGATTCCAGTGCTTGAGACAGTACTTACCAATATCACTGAGCTTGCATCAGTAACAGCGCAGGGCGATCTCGATGGAGTCATCATGACCAGTGCACGCTCATGCGAAGCTTGGGAAAAGGCGAATGGGACAGGGAAGGACGGTACGTATCGCGTTCACCTCCCTAGTATCGCGTTCTCACCCTCAGCGAAAGAATTTCCCTTCTATGTTGTCGGGAAGGCTACTGCCTCGACACTACGCTCCATCACTTCCAGCGCCGACATCCGAGGAGAATCTTCTGGAACGGCAGAGCAGCTTGCCAACTTCATTCTTGGAGAACAGCCTCGTCCCACAAAATTACTGTATCTTACTGGCGACAAGAATCGTGATACCCTTCCTAGCATCCTTGGCGGCGCAGGGGTTTCTCTTCATCCTCTCAAGGTGTACGAGACCCAAGGGAGCACTTCTTTCTCACAGCATTTGAAGGAGATCGTATCCGAAAGGCTGAAAGCACCGTGGTGGATCGTCTTCTTCGCACCGTCTGCTGCCGAGTTCGTTTTACCATTTCTGAAGGAGCACTTCGACATAGATTCAGTGAAGATTGCTGTCATCGGACCGACAACTGCGACATTCTTGCGGGAGACCTTGAAGCTTCGTGTAGATGCCGTTCCTGCTAAACCGTCACCAGAGGAGCTGCTGAAGACGATCGTGGACGCAGATGCAGCGTCTTGATGAAGGAATTCTGTTACCAATCTACTCTTAGCCTATCCGGGTAATGTTGAACCACTTTGCAAGGTACGGCTTCATGCCTCTGTTCTTCAAGGGCGACTTACTCAGATATTGAACAGAGTCCGTTTTTCTGATGCTCTTGTATATATACCATGGCTCTTGCGATTTCAATGACGCTTCTCCTCGGCCGCTGGACTTTATGCTCATCGTCTTGCTTCTGGTGTCATCTACATCAAATCTTTACCGACGTGCACCTCATTTTCCTACCGCGGACTCGCCTGAGAAGAAACCGGCGATTTGCAAACTTGTTTCGCCGGCAGATCGTCCTTCTCTGAGACATAATGGCGAGACCTACGTTGCTAAGGAGTGACGGAAGCAATCGAGTTATCGCGGAAAATCTCATGCTACACTTTGCCATCATTCCTCAAACATGATCACACCGCACTGGTTACCCATAGCTGCCGCCGGACGAGAATTCATCGCCATTCGAAACTGGGTCCAGCAATAGCCCCTTTTTAACTGATCGCAGACGATACTTCCGTAGAATAAAAAATGCCTCCTTTCAACCCGAGGGGCCATATTCAAAGAATCGGAGTTGGTTTCTCCGGAGTCCGTGTCTAAGACGTGCCAAAACACGCGCATACCGACAAAATGTATAAAATCGGTGGCCCCCGTAGCCTGGATCCCCACATTAACACACTTTGAACAACCAACAACAACCACCATCGAACCAAACATCTATTATCATCTATCATCATGTCTACCGATATGATATGCATGGACGGAGTGTACTGCGCCTTGTGCGACGAGTACTTCTTCGATAAACGGCAACGAGCCGAGCACATTATGAACTCCAACGACCATCCCGAATGTTGGAGATGTGGCCGTCGATTTTTGAATGGCCAAATTCTTCGTCGTGTAAATTGTTGTCTTTCGACGCTTGTTAAACCAGCTAACGCGTTCCTTTTCATAGCACTGTGTCACCGCACCAAATCACCACTACTGTGTGCCCTGCGATAAACACTGTCGTACAGCGGCAGGGTTTCGCGTCCACATGGAGCAGGTACACGGCTCCGACGACGACGACAGTGACGACGATGATTCAGACGAAGAGGACTATTACGACCTCGAAGACGGTTGGGAGGATGAAAGGAGCGAAGAGGAATATCCCGATGAAGTCTCTGAATCAGGAGACGAGCCCCTTGATACGTCATGGGAAGACAGCAATGAGTACGACTTTGAAGACCCGGAGTATCTCAGGTTGCCACCATTATTTGTGAGTAGTCATTCCTTTCCTCCGCCTCTAGTCTCGTCCTGACGTTGGGCCTCCCAGAATAATGCGGCAGCCGACGACGTAGAGGAAAGCGACGAAGACGTCGAAGAGACGTCTCACTTCTCGTGTCCAATGTGCCAAAAGGAGCACACGACCCTCTGCGCGACTCCGTGTGGACATGTGTATTGCGTACGGTGCATTCGCGCTGCGCTGAAATATACAGAGGCATGTCCCGTCTGCGACGAACGAGCCACCGAGGACCAGCTCCGGAAGATATACATCTCCCAGGAGTGACGAAAACAGAATGGCTCGGTGGTGTCGTATGAGGTCTTCAAGTTGATCTACCATCTTACCATTGCTCATGCTGTCGTGTAAATACCCCATACCTTCCACTATACCTCCTTCGCCTATCCCATAATCGCCTTCGGACGTTTATTTTTCTTTTGTATGGACTCTTTACCTATTATTTTTCAAATGGACTCAGACATACCATATGTTTACCTGCTTTATCATCAATAAAACTGCATTCCCACGTGACTCGGGTATTTATAACAACGGATAATTAGTAGTCCGAGACGCAAAAAGTTACTATGGCTTTATGTTATGTGCTCGTAGTCGGGTTGAGCATCGAGAAAATGAACGTACCCAATTTGCTTTTACATAAGTAAAATTATAAAGAATTATTTGAATAGGTAGTTGAATCAGGGATTTCGGCCTTTACCGGCCCCGCTCCGACCTCTACCTTGGTTGTAGCCACTCGTCCAAGCCACTGTAGAACCATACCAGAAATTGGTAGAAAATTGTTGCGCTACCATCCTTCTGTCAGAGGTAATATATTCGCATACATATTCCCCGATTCAATAGTCTTACAAGCTTTTCAAAGCATGCCGCAGCTTGAACGGTGTTCGCACTGTGGATTTCGCGAGAGCGATATTCCATCTGTGCAAATTCCTCCCCTAGCTTTGGTTGAGGGTCAAGATGTCTTCCATTTACTCCGCTCAGGAAACCCCACTTTCGGTGTCGACCCGACAGCGCTTGAGGAAAACATTGCACTCCTGCAAAAAACCGTTGACGATTTGGACCACCGTCTGAAGCACCTCAACGCATTAGGATATCGTATCTACGAGGAACGAGAAAAAATCTCGAAACACCTTGCAGCCAAGCGTTCACTTCTTTCTCCCATTCGACGCCTTAATCGTGATGTACTGCTCATTATATTTTCGTATGCATGCGACTGGAAATTCGCTGATGAGAAGACCAGCTCCAGTCTCGACGTGAAGCATGCGCCATGGATATTTCTTCACGTCTGTCACTGGTGGAGGCATATCGTCTCGTCTTCCCCGTCACTGTGGTCGACAGTTAGGCTTGTCCAGTCCCAAAATTCAGTCCTACCGCGCCACGCCCTATATATTGTCAGGCTACAGCTTCAGCTGTCGCGCAATTCGCCTTTGAAATTGCTACTCTACTGTAGCAACGAGTCTTACGATGCAATTGAAGATGATATAATCACAGAGCTAGTGAAGCATTCTAGTCGATGGAACAGGGTGTATATCCGTGTCTTCCCGCTTGCTTTATAGGAGCTCACGAACGACTCGGGAACCTCCCTGAACTGAAGACGCTCACTTTGAATGGCTTCAGAAACCGGGAATTCTCCTCCGACACCGTTTCTGATGCTCCTAATCTCGCCTCGCTTCACTTAGACGATGCGTGTAGAGTTTTACCCTCCATGTTCCCGGCATCAAACCTGCTCCAGTTTACAGGTCCATTTCATAATGGTGCAGAATTCCGCAATTTCATTTCTGCCGTGCCCCTTCTAGAGGTGCTGGAGGTGCATGGGATCGGTGAAGGTCAACACGCTCAGTCTTCCAACACAGTCGCTCCCGTCCCGGTGCCCCTGCATTATCTTCGCCAGCTCAGTTACCTCCCCTTCTCAGAAAAGTGTACAGAATATCTCACACTACCAGCTCTTCGGATCTTGAACGTCATGCAACGCACCCCCACCGCAAGCGCAATGGCTGCGTTTTACAACTGATCTCACTTCTTGTTGGATCAGCTTTATCTTTCAAGTTTTCGCAATTGTATTCAATTCCCCTCAGCCGCGCATTTCTTCGAGACAGGTGCCGTCCTTAACCTCACACGCCTTCATGTCGAGGTCGATAAATCCTCTGCTCATGACTGGATAACCGCGCTCACCGTCACGGCTTCTTCTTGCATATTGCCAAATCTTTCGGAGTTGGCAGTACAGGCCAGTAGCTGCCAAGGATCAGTACTAGTAAACCTAGATGAAGCACGGCATTTATTAGACATGGTTCATTCCAGGCTTCCGGACAGGGCTGGAGTAAATCCTTCTCTAAAGACTTGCCTGAAGAAAATGGATTTATTCATTTGGGAACCTTTGGATGTGTACACTGATGGCTTCAGGGCGTTCAGAGATGGAGGGCTAGATATGAACTTTCATTACCGTGAAGTAGCTTTTCCCTTTATCGAATCATCACCTAGGAGCTGGCTTTGGTAGGTAGATAGCATCACACGGCAGTGTCCAATATTGCTCCAATGCTCTATTATGGTAGACACCGGTTCTATTATACTTGCTGATATGTTTCTCTATTAAATAACGCTCTTAACAAAGGCCAACTGGTAGTGTTCCTTCCGAAGCACACAGAAGAAAGCTAGAACAGCATTAACTTGCTGTAAATGATACCTTTTAAGCAGTTCGCCCCGGTACAGATATGCCACATGGAATTTCCGATGCAAGCTAATCTCCTTGATCCCAGCCGATGCAAGTAACAACCACGAAGAAAGCCGAACAAAAATGAATTGCCCTCTCCTTCATGTCGCCGTGATTAAGGGGACTGATGACCTGTCCATTATATAGTATATATGCTTTGAAATTCATCGTTAAGTATACATGTAGCGTGTCTTCTGACTGTCATGCGCAGCAACGCAAGGCGAAAGTTACGTTCATACAATAGACACGGGATTTTTAAATATCAAGACGCAGCACGGGTGATAAAAACAAACAGATAGATCATTTCGCATGCAGTGCTTTCCTTGGCGGAATTGCGTCTTCCATCCCATTGAGTTCGCTTACTAAGACAGAACGTTGTCAGATGCCTGATGATTATCAGTCCGGTAGATACTAAGCACACTAAAGGCAGGACGGGGATTACCGCCACTCCTTTGAGATCTCTCAAGGTCTCGCCCTTCTCGAGTATGGTCCTATAAAAATTATCCACATTGATGCCACCTGGGAAGTTGTAATATCCCTGCTCCTCCAAGTCAAAGGCAAGTTTCATAACCCAAGTTGCGCAGGTCCAGCCAATAGGACCCGTCACACTCCACTCATCAACATTAGCAGGATGCCAAGCCCGAATGATTTCGTCAATCAGTTTCGTTGGTCCATCAAACTCTCCCAATTCTACGATCCCGGAAAATCTAGCGGATTCGATTGCTAGATCGGGTCGAGTAAAGTGCCATTTCCACACGACGGCATCTTGTCGAACGATTTCGTAACAGGTAGTGTCATTCTCGGACCAACGGAGTTCAGAGGAGATAGATGCCCAGTGGAAGTATGGGATCGGGTGTGAAGGGTCTGCATTTAGTCCGTAGTAGTAAAGAGCTATGCCGAAGCGCATCTTTGTTCAATCTATAGTAGGATTTTGGAGGAATCAGAGGGATACGGAGCTGGCAGTAATGGCACATACCATGCTTTGTAACGCTTAGAAACTGAACAGGATCAGATGCAGAGATAACTGGCCTCGTGTCTCTTATCGATTTTGTTTATTCTACCTGGTTCTTCCGATCAAGGCTTTTCAATCAACACCTCCCGATGCTGCCATATACGATGATAAATCAATAATTCCCGTCCGCTGCTAGATGCTAGTCCCTACCTTCCACAGATTGAAAGCAGACGATGAGATTATACAATCAAACAGATGCTTAGTATTATCAACTTCAACTGCATCATGTACATTTCTGAAGTGCACAGTATGAGACATAATATTAGCGACTGTGTACTCAGCGAGTCGAGAGGCGCACCAGATCACATTTCCATTTGGGTGAGCCCCATCCAAACCCAGCGTCGACATTAGCTTCAAATTGAAATGGCGTCAAGAAGTTATGGATTCCTAGACGCCACTCTACATCACAGGGTTCCGTGAACAAGGCCTTGAGGTATTCCCAATGCGCAGGATACCACCCAGAGCACTCCCAGTCCACGATACCAGTTACTTTGCCGCCATCGACCATGATGTTATGCTGGGCTAGGTCACTGTGCATAAAAACGAGAGGATGCCTACGGGAATGCGATTCGATGATATCCTCGGCGCGTTGTGGTTCGTCACAGAAGACACGTCGAACATCGTCGAAGGGGATACCGAGACGTAGCTGCAAGTTCATCTCTGCTTCATCTGCGTAAGGACCATCTGTACAAAGCTGTAGTCCCTAACTGGACCTCCAAGAACAGAGCATATCGTAGGGCTTTGAGGAGGAGGAATGGCTCTGAGTTCTCCCACAAAGCCGCGGAGTTGGGCATGTATATTATGTTTCTCTACGTCTGTGAGTCGATTCCAGCGAGTTTGAAGAATGTCTCGGCCAGGGAGCCTCTGCATGAAAGCGTAATTCTTTCCCCAGAAGTTGATGCTGCCGAACACTCTCGGAACGGGAATTGACGTATGGGCCCGTACAAAACGCAGGGAAGCGACCTCTTCAGGTCCTCTAGTTCGTTTAACAAAGATCCAGCGACCAAAATATTCTGCACCTAGGCAGTTAGAGCTATCGAAAGTAAAGATAATGGACACGGACTAAGCCACAGCCAGCGACAGATTGAAATGAAAAGGTGATTTCTACGGAGGCGTAGCGCAGTCGCGTCAGAATTCGCTCCCATAAAGGAGGGGGAGGATACTTTGCAAGTAGCTGACGGCGGCGTTCCTCTCGCGATAGTGACGCCATGATTCAAAAGTTGAACTTGGAGTTCAATCGTTCCGTTGCTCAAGTTGGCCTTGCAACAGCGTGGCCGGCACTTGCCGAAAAGTTCGATCCTCAACCGTAACAAATTTATTCCTTTCATCTCCCTTTCAGGTTCATGTTCCTCGCTTTCGACCTCCATGGTGCAGGCAGGCGCCTCTCTTCTTCTCTTCTTCGTGACACTCCTTGCCATCTTACTGCCTTCACTGTACTTTCTTCGATTGACATGGTCGTCGACACCACGACTTCGGCGAGGCATTAGCTGTTTTCTCCTCTTTCACTCGATATATCTCGCCTACTCTCTCATCATCCTGCCACCGCCAAATATCTTTACGGCACTCAATGTACCGCTGTCTACGCCGACTGACTCAATTCGCAGTCTCTTGTTGAAGAACTCGGACGAGCCAGAGTTGCCAAGGGCCATCGAGCAGCTTCTGCGGAGAATGGGGTCATTTGAGACGAGAACTCTATACGTTCGGTGCGTGCAGCATGCTTTACCTCTATAATAAAACATACTGATGTGATTGTAGATTCGGTCACGACGTCGTGGCCACTTGCGAATACTGCCATTCGTACGGCGATTTTGCCTTCTTTGCTCTGTCAACTTCAATTCTTTCCTATATTCGCGAGATTGCAATTGTCGGGGTGCGTTCTCGGCTCTACTTCCCCTTGTACGAAGTTGATAAGGTTGTAGCTCGTGACCATTAGAGGAACGCATAGAGAACGACATCGAACACTAGGTATCGGCGCACTGATATGTGTCGCTGTGATGGAGGGCTACTGTAAAACTACGCGCATCATCCAAATACCCAATGATCCCAATGCCAGTGTCTTCATGGTGAGCTCTTCTTACTTCCTCAAAAAAATCATCATACAAACGATTTGCAGTGGCACGACAACTTGTTCCTTCTTCGAAGAATCGTCTTCTTGATCCTTCCTTTGATAATACACCTTGTCCTTCGGCCTTCTCCTTCATCTCCTCCAACCCAGACGCGTGCAGCCATGACTCTCCAGGGCCTCGTTACCAAACTTCACCTACTGAAATATACCCGCGGCGCCATCGCGCGAACGCCATCCCTGCAAGCAGCTTCTCAGGAATGGTGGTCACGCGAGCACGATGAAGGCGAATGGGTGAGGAATGACAAGGCGACGCAGGACATGGCTGAGAAGCTTGGGTTAGGTTTCAATGAGGCAGAAGAGGGTAAGGAGGAAGGAAAGTTGCGGGCGAGCGCCAAGGCTGCGGTCAAAGGGTTAATGAGCGGCTTTGTACCGAGTGATTATTGGGCTCCCCCTCCACGTGACAAATCGGGCCCCATGATGTAGTAAGTATCATTCAATGATGATGGGCATTTACAGCCGAGAGTGGGATTCCAGGGCTTCAACTTTATGAAGAATCAAACTATATGTTTCAGGAAACATACAAGGTTCGTCATGTATCTGTTTCATGTTCAATTCCTATGTTGACAGGTACCTTAAAGGCTCTTAAAGGAGATGCACGGTAGGTTGTACGACAGGATTGTGCGTATCTATCACGCTATGGTTCACATCGAAGCTCCGGCTAGAAAGCAAGATGGTGATAGTCATATGCAGATGCATTCTCAACACGAGCTACTGTCCACTTGACAGCCAGATGTAATGTTCATCTTGATTGGAAGATCGCTGCTCATTCGTTGATCAACGAGCGGGGTATTGCTGGGACTTGGCAAGACTGCTGATATTATATCAGGGCTGTTTCCGGCTGTTTCATAACTGCCGGACCCCTGGCGCTCACAATGGATCTGCTGGATTCAATGGCGCGCTAATGCAGAACATGAAGGTCTGGATCTGATATCAAAGCAACCAAGATTTCGAAAGATAACTATTAGTCGATCTGCCTCATCAGCCAAGCATCCACTCATAGACGAGGTGACAATGGTATTTTCCATTCCATGCTCTTTTCTCATTGTCTTTTGACTGATTCCATTACTCGCATGGACAGGCCCTGATGGATTCAAGGTTTGATTGAATCTGTCTTCCACTTGCATGGTTGATATATATGTACATGTAGGACACTGATGTGTTGACGAGACTTGACTGCTCTCAACGTCATGATCCACGTCGTAATGTATACAAAAAAAGATTGCTGAAGATCTCTACCTGGGCGAGATTGAAGACCTGTACGACGGACAGCTTCTTGAACATCCAAAATCAATATGACATGGTCTCGCTTGTGTGCCATATGCTGCTATCCGAGGGACCGGTGCTTTTCTCTCGTCCAAGTGTACCTAGCACCGGCCGATGGTCAGCAGTCGGAAAGGTTTAGGTTCTGGATCTTACAACAACATGAAGCGCTGGAGGCGTAAACATATGATACATGTATCATCCGTCTTCCGGACTCTGCTGTGCAATGGAGCCAGTTCTGCAGGCATGCTAGGCGCATAAGCGAAATGCTCGCCCCTATATTCCTTGCTCCATAGGTATTCCATTGCGCCGCAACCCGAAGGCCCTCCATAAAGTCTTGGCTGTTATTTTTGGAGTCGGGCTCACATGGTGGCGCTCATAGCCGACAGAGCTCTGTCTTCTGTCGGCTTTGAAGGTGAACTTCTCGTCGGCGTGATAGAAGGACAACGGGCAAAGATAGATAAAGGGTGAAGTTCTTCTCTCCCCTCTCCTCGATACGTTGATTCGAACATGTCGTCCTTGACAGCTCTCGGAATTCAGATGGGCTTGGGAGCTCGGTATAATCTACTAGGGGTCCTAATCACTCGCTAAAGTCTGTGGGTCGATGAATCATTTGTTTTTATCGCGCCTTACCGATTCAACGGCAGTGATCACTTAATAATGAGGTGCTGTGCTTCGGCATTAATGATGGGCTGACTGTTCCGTTAATGACGAGGTTAGATGGGAAAGCACCCAGCCGTACACCGCGTTAGATCAGTCGACAAATTGTCCTGTCAGAGGTCAAGCCAATCAATTTTACCCTGGCACGGGAAAGATAATGCTGCTGAGTTGAGGCATTTTATACTTAACTTGCTGAAAGCGAGCAGCTGGCATGGACAGATGGGATCAGCCTTTAGCCTTAGTGCCAGTACTCGCTTCCTTGGTTCTGTTGTACTCGCGTCGTAACCTGTTTTTAGCTTGCTCATTGGCAATTCGCGTACCAAGTGAAATGTCGTTATGATGGTCCGACATATGTGGTTTAGCTCAACCATTCACATCTTTATACCATCCAGGGCTTTTTTAAAGTGCCATTCAGATCCATATCAACACGTGTGAGATCCTACAATATATAAGTACGCAGAGCTGTACAGTGTACTCCAGTTAGTACCCTTACGTACGCTATCGGCACCGGGAACGACCGGGGATACGGGGGGGATTAAGTGATACGTAAAAATAATTATTAATAGTAACCGGCGAAATTGAAAACCAAGTAAAGCCTCCGGGGTGAGCTTGCCTGGAGACGCCCACCAAGGCCACCCTTATTGTTCTTCTCTTCTACCCTTGGGGACTGAAAAAGAGGCCTCATCGTCGAGCCTCCGACTCTGCGACACGGTGTAACATTCGTTTGGTGAGGAGGAGTCTGTCTCTGCACCAATTTTGCTGGATACTCATTGTTGAAGGGCAGTTTTCATGCACACCGGGGTATCATACGAAAAACAATGAAGAAATTCGTTCTATTTGCTCTCTGGATGATGGTGAAGGGTGCTGTGGCGGAGAGAGGTGAATTTGGTGCCCGTGGTAAGTTTCTGGCTCTTTTCATCCCTTTTTTTCGCCCTGTGCAAGCCAACGGAAACGGGTCTCTTCGTGTCTATATGACAGCGACATCGCTGGCAACAGTCGTTGGGCCTCGCTGTTGGCAACGAGTGTCGAGGTCCGCGGATGTCTTGGACTGCCGTCGTCGCTTAGCGCTGTCAGTCACGTATGTGGCGAGATTAGGCTCATGCTAACCGCGTTTTCGGCTAAGAGGCGCACAATGGCGGCTATGTTTGACTCTGCGTCGATCTGTTATTACTATTGACAGAGGTGGCATTTCTGTATTGCCCGTGCCTTACCCGGCGACACTTCTCCTTCAATTCATTACCATCTCTCCTCCGTTCCTCAGCTGACTAGATGTATCTTCTAGGTCTCGCTGAACCGGCGCTGTTAGAACGTCAAGGTGTGTCTGGTTATCGGCATTAAATCGCTTATCTTAACGAAAAAATTCTATTCAGCCACTTCGTCCAGTGCTACAACCACTTCCAGCGCTGCATCGTCCACTTCTACGCCGTTTCTAGTGTTCGTTGGCATCTCAAGTCTGACGACATGTACTTCAGGGAGCGTCCGATGGGTATATTCTGGTCCCGATACTCCCTTGTCGCTCATGATAACGAACATCAACGTTACGCAAACGGGTTCTTCATCAGTGACCGCATCTTCATCTTCCACCACAGCATTGTCTTCTACGGCATCACGTAGCCCCATCACGGACCTTACGGCTCGGGCTATCCCCACTTATCTCACTGTTTCTGCTGGTGATGATACCAATACCTCCGACGACGGCTTTGTCAAGATTATCACAACAAGTGCTGATCCCAGCAATGATTTATTCACCTGGGACAAGGTTGATGTTCCGCAGGGATGGTACAAAATCTGGGCCTCCATGGAGGCTTACCCGGATTTTAGCCAGGCCACAAGTTCCGATTACTTCGTCACTAACGGGTCCGACATCTCCTGTCTTTTGAGTTCTGGCGGATCGTCATCGTCATCCACTTTTATGAGCAGCACGATGTCCTCTACCAGCAGCCCGTCCGCCACTGCCATCGTAGGTGCCGTATCTTCCGTCAACAAGGGCGCCATTGCCGGCGGTGTTGTGGGAGGCGTTGCTTTACTCTCCGCAGTGCTCGCCGCCCTCGTCTACTTCCTATGTGCCTCTCAACGCCGCCGCCGCACCGCCACCCTCGATCCTTCTAATGGTGGGACCGTAGGTAGATGGGGAACCCTCGGCTCCTTCGACTCTACCCATAGCAGTAAATCCCAACACGCCAAGGCGACAAAGCAAAAGGCCAAGAAGTACAACGGTGCTGGGGTTGTCGGAATGGGCGGGTATGACGCTGAAGCAAATGGAAGAGTCGAGAGGCATCATTCGCAAGCGGATTCGCTGGGCCCCATCGTCTCTTATGGACACGCTATAACCGAGAGTCCCGTCTCAGAAGAGACCTTCAACCCTTACGCCTCGTATGAGGATAAATATTCTTCGCGCTTCCCAGCGTCTCTTTCAGAGGAGAACGGGGAAGAGCTGGTCATGACTCATACAGTGGGCTATAGCCCGCGCCTACCGCACGCCGGCCGCCAATCAACATCCTCCATCGAGTCCTACGTCCTGAATAACAACTTCAGTCGACCTCGAAGCCAAACCCAGACTCAGAGGATGCCGCCCTCACCACAGCAGGCCTACCCTGAATCGCCCTCGACGAGCAGCGTACTCACTCCGGACAGCCGTCGCTTCTCATCACCAGTCCTGCCTATGGATGATGGCGTTTTTGTTGGGTACCAACAACAGCAACAACAACAAAGTCCTCGACAAACGCCCCGTCGGATGCCTCGCAAGCCTGTCCCATCATACAATCCCACGGATCTGCCGGAACCTCTCCCAGCACATCTACATTCCTCGATGACGAGCCTCCCTCATACTCCCTCGCCCGCACATTCAGTCCACTCCCTCGTTCTGACGGAAGATGTCCATCAGCTGATACATAAGGGCAGCTTCTCAGATGGAAGACCCGTGCATGTGCTCATGCCTGATTTGCCGCCTCCACAACGGATTTAGGGAGCATTCTTCCTGTGCCACGGTCTAAAACCCCCATTCCGAAGCTTCCCACCCCTTCTATGTATTCATCTAACGTTTAAGACTTATTTCACTTGCTCACGCTCCATTGCTTGTAACATTTTCGCACGCACTATTTCTTCACGGTTTTTCTCTTTTTCTTTGTCATGGATGGATACAACTGTGTTGGCATGGTAAAGATCTGGCATTGTTACCTAGCATTGGCTTTCTACGACTTTTCGTGTATGTTCCTTGTTGACTATAATGTGCCTCCCGTTCTATATATCTTGCCCCATTTTCATGTGTAGTCCTTAGTGTTGTTTTAATAAGTTCAAAAGGCAATGTATTGTCGTAATACCACAGCATATACAAACGAAGTTGAAGACGAGTAAGAATAAGAATAGCAATGTCCGATATGCCTCCGTACTAGCGAATGCTTCTTGACGCCGGCGTCAAGCGCTGCACAAATCTCTGTAAAAAACTGCTCTTCGGAACCACATCTCGAACCCATGTCGGCTTCCTCAGGTCCCTAAATTTGTGCCCCTTCCTTACTACCGATTCCAAATCCTCGTTCCCCGGGATACCCGGTACTTCCTCAATCTCAACTGGGACCACAGCAGCATGTGTTTCGGGAGTTATAGGCGCGATGCTGCTCGCCGCGGACATTAGTGAAGTGCTCGCATCAGGAACAGCGAGGACCGAGGTTTCTACAGCAGACGGCCCTGGAGCGGACAGCGGAGAAGCAGGGTCAATATCCTTGACGACGAGTAGTCCGATCCTGTCGATGAAAGAAGGGGTGATGCTGAGGAGACCAATACCACGGGATGAAAGAGCAGGCTGTATAGATATACCGGAGCGGCGAAGGCAAGCTGAGTTACGAGGCGATGTCTTGTCAGGTTTTATGGGCATGGATTCACTGGTGACGGGATCCTGGGCTGGCGAGAAGAATGTATCGAGCGCGACAATCTCGCTACGGAGCTGTGGAAGGGAGATACGCGTCGAAGGGTCAAGGTCAAATATCTTCTTGAAAATATTGTTCGCGCCTTCCGAGATGGGTAGAACGGCTAGAAAATAGTCGTTGTTGGCGAGATAGGCCTCGAAGCATTTGTCTTTCTTCCTAGCTACTGCCCACGGTGATCGAGCCGTAATCATGTTGACAAGAAGCACGCCAAGGGCCCAAGTATCGTTGGCTCGTGTTGAATACAACTTGCCCCGGAACCCGAATTCCTTGCCAATGCACTCTGTTTCAAAGCGAGTTAAAAACAGGCAGCATATAATAGGTATATGGCTCACCGGGACTCATATACTCCCAGCTACCGCACCTATGCTCGTCTGAATACGGCTCTAGCGTCGCTAAACCAAAGTCTGCGAGGAACGCCTGAGAGTGATCCTTCGAAAACAAGATATTCTCCGGTTTGATATCACGATGGAAAACGCTGTGTTGGTGACAGTAGTGCAGGGCGTCAAGAATCTGCAGAAAGGCGACTTTGATTCTGTCAGTCCGCTGAGTGAAGTAGCCGTCCGTGACGATAGCGCGGAACATATCGCCGCCGGCACACAGGTCGAGCACAACGTAAACATAAGGTTTATCGATGATGATTTCATGGAGAGTGACGACATTGTCATGGTCAGAAGCAGCGAGATGGCTGAGAAATTCGCGCCTTTGGAGGTCCGCCTCGAACGAACCACGCTCAGGTTTACGGAGACACTTGACGGCAAAGATACAGGGATCGTCCTTATGCGAGGTAACGTCAATCGCGCGGTAGACCTTGCCAAAGCTGCCAGCACCAAGACATTCCATGAAGAGAAGGCGGTCTTCGAGAAGAGTACCGGAGAGGTCAGGGATTGGTGCAGGCTTCGAAGATTCGTCAGGCATATTGGCGATATGAAGTGAAATAGGATGTGCGAGAAAAAAAGGGACTATCAAAGTCGACGAAGGTGAAAGAAGGAAAGCAAGATGTGTTGGCGGGATGTGATGCGCCTTTTTAAGGCTCAGTGTTTGGCTTTGCTTGGGTAGGCACACGTGTGAACGCGACGCGCAAAGGCACGCTTGTCAACACGTGGTTATACCTGTTCACCTTGCGTTTTTACTGTCAGTACCAGTGTTCTTCTCCGATGCAGCCTGGACTTGGGCGAGCTTTTTACTCAGCATCTTAAGTTCATTACTCACTTTTTCGAAGCAGTTCTTCGAGATATGGCCGGTTCAGGATCCAAGGCTTTTCTGATAGAGGTTTGGTAGCATTTCATCCTTACGTCAATATCCTTGAACATCATGAACGTCACAGCACATGGCTCGCGATATCAGGGTTGTGGACCCGGTCATCCCTGACCTAGGTCTTGTGCGGGGACAGCAGTAGCTGTACGTTACCACCAATGCTATGCATACTGCTGTAAACTGCTGTATGAAATGTCATAACCATGATAAAACGAAAGAATTAAGCGCGCATTGGAAAGTATATTTGTGTTACCTTTTCGATCCTTGCTTCCCATCATCATCACCCTGTAATACTGCTCACCCACCTACCACCCAACCCGCCTTCCAAGAAAGTGAGCATCTCTATTGCTCTCGCTTTGAGGTCAACTTGATAATGAACGTTCATCTAGCATGACTCGCTCGTCCAATCTGGAGACTTGGATTCAAATAGCTAAGGTTGCTGCGACCGCTGGGGAAATGGCACCATTTCCGTATATCAAAGGCCTTTGTGGATGTGTTGTACTCATACTAGAGGCCATTCAGGTATGCGACAAGCTTACGTGCGGCGTTTCATCGTCTTTAACTAGGGATTAACAGAAAGCTGACACGAATGATGAAGATCTACTAGATTTGGCGGAGAGCATAGAGAAGACAGTAGAGATGATTCAGAATGCCGTTATAGAACACGGCGAAAGTGGCGCTCTCCGTTTCCGTGGTGTTTGCGCAGAGCTTGAAATGTGAGTGGGCACAAAGGAATTATGAAGGTTTCCCTAACTAAAGCACCTTCAGATACTTAACCAATTTACTTACCGAGTTAAACAGCACCCGGCGCAAGTCCCGTGGCTTCAAGCGTTTCTTGAAAACAAATAAAGTATCTGACGCTGTTACTGGTTACCAGGAACGCGTGCGCGCGATCAAAGCAGACTTTCTGGTGTGTCTCGCCCTGGACCTTGACCGATATATGCTTACCCAGGTTGGTTGATAGATTCACACAGCTATCGACTCGCGCTTCGTTATTTCAGATATCAAGGATGAATTAAGGACCGGTACAGAGGCTCTTACCAGTGCCATCGAGACGTTGCAAAGGCATACCATGGCTAATATCGACAAGCACGCAGACAGCATATGCGAAGAGATACACACATTGGGTGTCCTGCAGAGCAAGAAAGCCGATGAACTTAGTGCAGACGTCCAGACATTGAAGGAGCGGAACAGCTATAAAGGATCTGTATGCCTTCTTCTTCTACGAAGAATCTGCGACTTATCTTCCTTTACATGATTCAGGTTCGGAATGTTCTTCTCGGGGATATCCATTTGAGAGATCGCCTCGACCACCCAAACGATTTCGCCGTGTTTACTCATTATAATGCCGACATTGGTAATGCACCTAAAATTGTTCATGTATATCGACGTAGTACCCACAGCAAGTTGAATGAGCAAGATGTCATGCGAGTGGGTTATGCCAGCACTGTGTTTGATCAAATCCTGGTGCTCACGTGTCCTCCAGCAATTCCACATAGACGCTGATAAACTGATAAAACTTAAGTATGCTTGCGACATTTTGTGACAGTGTTCATGCAACATTAATCTTATGGTCTAGACATCAAAATATTGCCCAGGTCTTTGGTGTGTGCAGGTCTCCGGAATTTCCTGCGATTATACTTCATGGTAATGATAATCATAAATTCTTTTCGAAATTCCAAGTTTATGTCCGTCTGCAGGTACCACGCAACACCGAGTCGAAGACTATCGTGTGTCTCTGACTGCAACTCAGTTGTTGCATTTCCATTTTCAACTGGTGGGCTTCTCCGAAATATACTGTAATGCTACTCAAATTACGTGCCTTTCTGTAGTTCAATGATTTGGAGGTGCCGCATTTCTCGATTCTCTGCATATCGATCTTGAATATTCAAATTAGTCGGCCTCAGATTACCTTGGTACATTGTACCGCACATCTCGCCAGGGTTGGAGTGTCCATGCACATGTGAGTAATTGCCTTGAAAGTATGCATGTAACAACTAATGGCCATGCTTCAAAGGACAGTAACCTTAGTCATATGTATATCAATGAAGGAGGCCGAATCGTCTTGGAAGAACTCTCGTCTTACTATGGTTTTGATGGCTTTCATGTGGATATAAGTGAACACTCTGCAGTGAGGTTGCACAAAAGCAGGATAGCTCCAGACACATCACACACTAATTTGATCAGAGATTGGAACTCGCTGATGCACCGTACACGCTTGGATAAAAGCCATCTCATACAGATTTATGATGCCCTCAGGCTTGATTGTTTCATGGACATTAAGTATAGGATGACATATAGCCAATGTCATTACAGCCGAGGCAGTGTATTTGTATGGACAGAGGAGTCAACCCTTCCTGTGTTGGTTGGCAAGATATTAATTGAGCCAATTGAATGGGAAGTAACATGGGATGACTTTTCAATGCCCTTTTCTATGTGCAGGTGTGATTGTCATGAATATTCATCTGTAGTCTCTGCTGACTCCTTCACCTGTCAGTGGATCATTTATCATTCATAATTTGTCTGTCATTCAGGAGCACTCTCTTCACATTGCACCCCGGGACCATGGGTCATCCAAATATTATGCAAAAACACAGCATATGGTGTACTCATGGTTTGCACAAGCTTCACGACTGTCATTGTCCTCTTCTCAGAATGTAAGGGGTCTTGATCGTAGGATGCATGACCTGAAATACGTCGGAGGTTGGTGTAGCATAAAGAGGAACTGGGCAATATACTGACCAAAGTCCAGTGTGTCAACACATGTCCTTCTACCTTCGTATAACACCATGTTATGACCCCTTCCAGTTACTGGACACGTTTATGGTGGACAACGAAGATACATTTGGTCCCTCGCTAACAATCTGTGAACCTCATGTTGATTCACAATCCAACATAATCTCCCGGCCAGTCATTCATTGGTTTTGTGACTCAAGTCTATCCAATGAGATATCTGTCAAGGAAGCGGAAGCTCTTTTCGGAATTCAAGTCAGCTTCATAGCTAATCTATATGTGTACTCCATACCGAAAGCTGCATTTTCGACAATCGTTGAAATAAACACCATGTGCGGGTTCGATCCTGCCCTCGAGGGTGCAGATATATGCGAATATTTTGATCTCCCTCGCATGGAGATCTTCGAGGATCCAATTGAACTCTTTTATGGTAAGTTGAAGAATTAGCATCTCAGGTTCGCGTACTCTGCTAAAAAAAAGCGCATAGACCACGAGATCGACCAAACTGCATTGCCAGTTACCGTTTGTGATCGCAAGGACGCTGCGGACGTTACCCCAGTTTCTCATATACGAGCCGAGAAAGAGCTGTCGGCCTCTTGCATGCCGCAGAACCGGCTCGTCGTGGCACTCATTGTGCTTAATATTGTTCTTCTATCATTGGTCATACGTTCGTCTATCGAGATATAGAGAAAATAGGTTATATGTCGCGCCAATAGCCACTTCGATGTGTCTTGGCTATTTGCATCTAAGATTCACGGACAACTCTTGCAGGTACTTGTTTCGTTTATGCTTGCAGCTGGACATGATGAACTGTGGCAAAGAAATGAAGGACTACTTATGCATTGAATGTAATTGATTCGTCGCCTCTTTGAAACCACTTAAATCTTTTCTGCTGACCGCTTTTCTATTGTTAGTACCAAGATAATATTCATGAAAAATCTTTACAAAAAGCTGTCTACCTTGACTTCTCCCAATGGTTATAGCTCATTGCGACCCGATCTGTGCTCATAATCCGGGCGTACTCCAGGAACACTCTGTACCTTTCAGTCAGCCGTGGGGGGGGAGATAACGAGCCTAAGGACAAACCTATAGTTATACGCAGTCATATCCTCCTTTCTCCAGAAGGTGCGACTCCAATTCCGGCCGGCGGAAGCAATCTTTCTTGCGAGATCTTCACGGTCGTTGTCCCCCTTCAGATCACCATGGAAGAACACGAGTGCGTCCCAGAGATCTGAGTAGTCTACTTGTATAGGGACGTAATGGACCCATGGCATGAGCCTATCTGTAAACCTGGACAAGAGTTCAGCTAGTTACTTAGTTCCTCGTCGGCGCCACGAACCATTCGGGATAGACAGTTGACTTGAAGATGAGCGCATGAGATGACAAGAGCCATTTAAAACGTCCGGACCATGCGTTGCCGTCGACCTACATATAAAAGAAATGAGCAACGACAGAAAGCAACCGAAGGATAACTCGGACACTGACATCAAAAATATACTTGTACCTTGCCTGCTCCTTCTGCGACTGCTGTTTCGCAAACTCATATGACTTCGCCAGAGCCTCGCAAACCTCAGGATCGCAATGTACAGGATCATCCGAGAACGCCATATCAAGCATTGCCGGACCATACCTCGCCTTCCTAACCACTTCGCCCTTCCCCACCCGTTCCTCTCTCGACCTCGGTGGTGCGAAAATCGTCACGTTCCCATCCATACCCCCCTCAACCCAATCCATCATCCGTATACGATGCGAAAAACGCCACTCCATATCCCGAACGAGAGAAATCCCCGTTGTACGGCCTCGCCACTGCAGTCGATCATCAGTCTTCTTCTCCCATACGACGGCCTCTTCGTCAGAGAGCTCGCCTAACCAGCTGGCCCTGTGTGCAATCGTGATGTCGTGATGCAGTAAGGTTTGGGAGTAAGCGAAGGAAGGGAGCATGTGGCGGGAGGGAATGGGTCCTTTACCGAAGGGGAGGAACTGTCCGTGCTCGCGAAGGATGTGTGGGTGCAGGCAAGGATCCATTGCCTTTCGGTGGTCGAAGATGAAGGTTTTGGGAGAGTCAGGTGGCGGTAGTGGCCAGGATACATTAAATGTAAAGTCGATGGGATCTCTCCGGGCGAGGGAAGTTGGGTCACAGCCTGAGATCCATCCGTCATATTTGATGGGTACAACAGGGTTGTCGACATCGATATCTGCGACCGGCGTTAGGTTGGAAAGAAAAAGAGAAGAAAAGTGGATGACGTACAAGTTCCTGCACGAGCGTGTTCGAGCATTTTTTCCCGCAGTTCCCAGTCAGTAACGTGCTCAGGGTTGTCATGCGGATGGAAAACGGCGCGGAAGGGCGGTAGGAAATCGTCGACGTCTTCGAGCAGTTCGCTAAGCATGCGGGTACCACTCAAGATGTGATCGTGGGTGCTGGGGTCGCGGATAGTATAGTTGACAAGTCTGATACGATGACCTTCCTCTTTACCAAGAGTAAAGGTATCGTCGTGACCTTCCCATTCGCTGACGATCCTTATTAGATCAACTGGACTGACGCCCCAATAAGGCTCGAGGTCTCGGTATATCTGATCATACTCGTCTGGAAGCTGAACGTTGTGCTTCTCAACATATTCCCACCTATGCACAGCTTAGATTTAAACAATCATCACAAAACTGCGGAAAGGCCCACCATTTATCAAATCCACGAGGAGGAGCCCGTTTATACCGGCGCTCATATTCGACGACCGCTTCGTCCAGGGTCTTACTCGCTCGCTGGAGCTTGGCTTCCCACTTCTTCTCCGAAAATTCGATGAGCTGGTAGATAGGATGCGGGCCCTCTGGATTGACTTCAAGCAGCCCATTCGACAGGAATTCGTGCATGGGTAGATTGTCTGCTCCCGCCGTGATCTTTTCTCCCGCTGCCTCGCGCTGCAAATCCCCTAGACCTCCCAAGTTCCCCCACGAATGGTATACAGGTTTGACATAGTCGACCGCAATAGGCTCGGTGAACGTCTTGAAAGTTACATTAACGATATCTGATCCATAGGAACTTGTCCAGAGTTGCCTGGCAATAACGAAGAGAGCCACGACTATGATAACGGCCCTTTGACGTCCTTGGCTTAGCCTGTGATAAGATGGAGTAACACGTAGCATGCTACACAGAAAAGAAGGACAAGTTGTGAGGGAATCGGCCAAGATTAAACTGAAGAGAGGTATCCTTACAATCAGATGTAAAATCCGGAGAAAGTTAAAGATCCTCAGCGATCTTGTTTTGCATAGGTTTTTACGATGTGGATCATAGCACTGAGAGCAGTTATATCTTGTCGCCATAACATGGTTATCAATCACGCAGCAGGAAGACAGATCTAGCCCAACGGGAAATGCAACAATCTGTTTATCCGGGAATCAGAAATCAGAAATCAGAAATCGATACGAAAAGCAAAAAAAAAAAAACCTCTGCTCGGGCTCTGGCACAAGTTGAAGAAATGAATTTATTTTCTCTTCTCTCGCCGTCGAAGTTTAGTGGATGGAGGAGACCAGTAGACCGAGGAATCCTTGCATTCATATCGAAGTCTATTCTGAGTTTGAGTATCAGTAAATTCCTCTGATATTTCAGGAACTCCCAAGTCTTGCAGTTGAGGCACGGAAGGAACCTGCCCTGATATGATATCAGCAAGCCAGGGCCCCAGCAGTGTTACTACACAGACCTGCTCATTAATCAGAACAGTAGGCAGTGGCCCTCCAATGTCGCGTTTGGCTGTCCAGGGGACAGTAACTCGCGACTGTTCATGGAAATGCACGTGCCCATCACCAGGACTACTATTCTTGCTATCTAACTGGAGCTTCAATATGAATCAAAGGTAGTGGCTAGTAGGGACACGTACTCCCATCGTATATTACATCATGCATCACCCTTCAGAGCCTTCAAGGCGCCTATCAGTATAAGAACTGAACGTGAAACAGATAACAGACCTTGTATGTTTACCCGAAAGATCATAGTCTGATTCTTCACGAGCTCAAGGCCTTGGAATAACCATGGAATCCTGCTATCGGCCGTAATGCCCGAATGAAACCTAAAATAATAGGGCTGCATGTGTTGATGTCAAGGGGGAGCCCAATAATGGCTGAAGGCAAAGCAACTCGCTAATCCCTGACCGCAGTCGTGGCGCTTTCCCTTATTCTTAGCCTCGACCTCATTGAAATATATGCGACCACGGCTCGTTCGGGACGTCGCACGGTAGTAACGACGAGAGGTCCTAGCTCATTTTGTCACGGCCCAAAGAGTTAGCACAGTGCATGAAATGAGCCATTCCAATGTATGATTAAAATCCAAGAGAGAGGGTATACAGGCCTTGATTAGCTCGCACTGTCAGAAAGGATGGTCACTAAGCAGTCCGGCCTCCATGAGAAAAGACTGACCTTATTTCTCCCCCTTCTTGACGAGTATCATACCTATCGGCCACTCCACCATGAGTTCGTCTGACTCCTCTACCGCCGTACTTCCCTCTTTCACCGCACCCTCTCTTAGCGCATTCCAAAATCGGTCCTCGATCCCTTGCTCCCCGCCCCGCTCCAAGTATGTGTGCAACGAGCTCCATGAGCGGAAATAAGTCAATAAACCACCCCATGTTGTCTTGGTACGTAGGATGACCGGGAGCGGGGAAGGAAGGTCCGGATAATGTGACCCTGAACCCGATTAGAACAAGATGAGCGAAGCATGGAGGTTACCTACCGGTAAAGAAAACACGATCCATCTTTCCCCACGACGGCTCTGGCACGTCAAGAAGATGGTTTTCTAATATAGTTCGTCCTGGACGCTGCCAGTGTGGACCAATAGACGTTGCTGGGTCCGTTCCTTGGGCGTAGTTGGTGATGAGAGGCGTCAGAGAAGGATACGCGGACAAGCGAAACTCTGAGTACACCCAGAAGGCAACTGTACCACTTGGGCGCAGTACACGGTCGAGCTCAGGCCACAGTTTTGAGTAGTCGAACCAATGAGCTGCTTGAGCTGCGATGACGAGATCCACGGTAGAAGACCCAAGGAAGGACAGATCCTCTGCACTGGAATTGACGAATTCGAAACGAGATTCGGCTGAGATGCTGTCAGTGCGATTCTTTGCTGAAGAGAACTACAACGCACCAGAGTCACCGATTTTCTCCTTTAGATATTTTCTCGCAGCTTCCAGCATTTTCTCCCCAGGCTCGACACCGACAACTTTCTTGAACGGAGTGAGCTCAATCGTAGCCTGACCTGTAGTCCTAAGTCAAGCAGCATAAACAAAAAAAGAGATAATTCACCTGTTCCACATCCTAGATCAACAGCAAGGTCCCATCGTGGCCTGTAGCGAGGTGAAGACGCCGACTGTTGGTGAGGAAGAATTCCAGATTCGTGGTATGCGAAGATATAGTCGAACAGAGCCTTGGGATATGTTGGCCTTGAGGCAGCATATATAGATGCATTGAAGGATTTCTTGGCAAAGGTCGCCATGGTTGATCGATCCAGTAGCGGCACTTGCCGGGTCCCCGATTCTTTCCTTTTTGTATGAAGAAACGGTTTGTAAATTAATCTGCGTGAACGTGCTTGTTCAAGCTGAAACATATAATACAGTTTGATTGATTTAAACTGGAAGTGTGGTGGTGCAAAAAAGCTCGCATTTTGCACAATCTAACATCTAATCCGAGCTGTGATAATAATGTATGTTATGCTTTTGCTCTCCATTCGAATTTCTGTCCATCCCTGCATATGCATTAGGTCTTGAAAATGAAAATATTTCCTACTGCATACCTTGTACTATGCAAATCAAGTGGGAGGCTACTGCAACCATAGCAAGTCCAAATCCTCAATCAATTTTATGAATTCAAAAGTATCATAGATGGATGAAAGGCAACTAAAGGTACACCTGCAGCGTGTAGCCGACACCGTAGCAACTCCCCTCGTCACCTGCATCCCACTCAGACATCGATGCCACTCTGAATATCTTGCCTAACCCACACGCACTCAAAGGTAACTCTACTCCATGCTCCCTGTATGCTAAAATGCTGGTCTTAGCCAAGTAGATCATCAGTAACGACGTATCGTCGCAGGTTCTTGATCGTTGTGTGCCTACGCAAATATCACTACAACAACAAACTGATTAGTAGGAAACAACGTCAAGGGGGTCCTAATAATGAATTAAAAGACAGTGGGTCGATTAAATAATTTCGTGCACCGACGATGGACCTACCTACCTTCACATGACATTTATGATGTCATTATACTAAATTTGGGTATCTTTCGACTCAATTCGGTGAATATTTTGCCTGAAATAGCCGTGATATTAATATTGAAAGTGTTTTGAACATAATCTGTACGCTATCAAGTCTAAATCATGGCTGTGCTCTAATGGGATGTCATAATGTCACCATGTCCAGTCAGCAGGGCCACTTTGCAATGGCATTGACTGAGTGTTGGTATCGCTAGGTATGATGCCCTAAGGTAAGTAGCACACTCACTAGCATATATTGTATCATGTATGCTCTAAAATTTACCCTTGAAGTCCATTTTTAGACCCCCAAAGTGGTGGTCAACTTTTTTTTTTCGTGACATCCGGCTGGACCTACCTACCTACCCGGTGTGCCGGGCCGGAATTCCGGTACCCCCTTGAACAACGTACTTGAGTGATACCAGACACGAAATCAAATCGTGTTCTGGAACTGAACCTAAAAAGAAAAAGAATCATGTTAAAGGATGGTAATGAAAAGAAAGGCATCTGCGACACCATAACAGTTCGTCGATCAATAGGGAGACACCCCTTCTCGGAATTTGCAGCACCATGGAGATGCACCAAACACAACTACAGGGAAAGACTTAGCATAAATGGAACAAACGGCCAGACGAAAGATGCAGCGGCATGCCAACACAACAGTAACATAAAAAGGCTGCAAACCCGGGAACACCTGTTAATATACACAGATGGATCACAGCGGGACGTACGGGGAAAGAGGCGAGTAGGAGCAGGAGTAGTGGGATTCAGAGACGGGACACAGGCCTTCGAGCTCAGCATGGGGCTGGGAGAGAAAGCAGAGGTCTATGATGGGGAGATGGCAGCCCTTGCGATGGGAGCGACAAAAGCGACGAACCACGCAAAAGAAGATGAAGAAATAAAGCACTTACACTTCTTCACGGACAACGCATCAGCAGTCGATGCGATATTCGACACCCTACCCAAGACTGGACAAGAATTCTCGATAGTCTTTCATCGTCGAATACGGCAATTCCTCGACAGCAACCCTTCACATACAGTCGAAATCTCATGGTGTCCAGGCCACAAGGATATCGTAGGGAATGAGCAAGCAGACTACCTAGCGAAAAGAGGAGCAGAAAAGTCAGTAGAGATGATGAGCAAAACAAGAGCTAATGCCAAAAGGGAAGCGAAAGCAAAGACATTGGAGGAATGAAAGAAACTGTGGGAGGCCAGTCCGAAACGGGGGTGATACGCAACAGCAAATAGACTCCCGCCATCGCTAAAGCCAACACGTCACTTCTTGGACCTTGCGCAAAAGAGGGAGACGTACAGCCGAGTCCTACAATGCAGAACCAGACATGGATACATAGGCGAGCTCTACCAGACATGAACATATCATTCGCGAGTGCCCACTCTATGAGACAGAGCGAGGAACACTTCGAAAAGTGTCGAGGTCCCTATACCTGCCAGACATTCTGGGCACCAGAGACAGAATTTCAGCCCTGAGTGAATTCATTGAGAAGACGGGTGCATTCACTAGGGCAGGAGAACCACGAAACCCTAGGCCGGCCCCAGTAATGGAGGAGGAAGAAGATGAACTTGAAGGAGACTGGTGGAAGAAAGAAGAAGACGACTCAGAAGACGAGCACGGTTAGTCACCGCACTCCTGCCACATCACGAGAGCATTACCTACATGACACACACACACGAAACGCTCGCAAATCATCACACGGCCATGGCCAAGTGCAGAACCAACTCAATTAGCCCAATCAGGGCGCAAAAACACCACAAAGTCCGTTACTCTACTCCACAACAGACGTCGAAACACCAGGAGAAAGCAGAGGAATGAGCGGAGGAAATGGAACAAGAGGGAAGGAAGTTGCCTGAGGACCTATACCTCCACCACGTCTTAGTAGTTAGTGTACTTGTTGCGGTTAACGAAATGCAGAGTTCAAAAAAAAAGAAAAAAAGACCAATAGGGAGAAGTCGGAAAGACAGAATTTTCAGCCACAGCGGCAATCACTTTCAGCCACCCGGCATGCCAGCCGTAGCATGCCACATGCTCGCCAATCACTGCAAATTAGCTAAGCCAACCTGGAGTATAGCCCCTGTCCAGACAGTTTGGCACTACTCATGACCAGTTACGGCTTTCTATAACCCTCTGTCGTTTCCTCATTCTTCGGAAAGAATCGGGGATACGTCAACAAATCGTGGCAAATCCCAATGCGCCTTTCTCTTTCCGTTCAACCACTTAAAAGTAAAAGGACCACCAACCATGAATAAAAACTACTTCTTTCCTTCTCACCCTACAGCTGGTATTGATTTTATTCCAGTTAATAGCGTGGTTACAAAGAGTTATTTTTGCAGCGGTCCGAAACAAGTCCGAACGGCGAAATGGATTCACAGACACATTTGTACAGTACCGATGCTTCCCCTTCAGCACACTCACAAGTAACTTTAGTGGATAAATCTTGCGTATCCTAGACAGCACTCCTTGTCACCATCAACTTACTAGAAGGATCCTCTCAATTATAAATGTTCCATGAATAGATGACTGATATGCGCTTTTCTTAGGCTTCAGCCTGCCTTCCTGGGCCAGATATTGGTGCACTTCTTATTGTAAGCCTCCTCGGCCAATAACATCACGAGGGTCGATTGATCAGATGAGTTACTTTGTCTTCCCTTTTCTACCGACAATACACAACACACTAGAGACCGACAATGCCGAGTTTGCTTGTGGCTGGTTTTCTTTGTGATGTTATAGCATCTTCTGTCCATTGTTCTTGCTTCTGTGGGTTCCAGGGGTTGATATTTAAAAGAGACCTAGAATGCTAGGAGACATTTTTCAGCTCTTCGACTCGGCCCTTTGACTTTGACTTTCAGACTCATCTTTTTCAAGATGTCAGATCTCTTCTCTCCCCAAGCCCTCTCCACCATTCTTGATCGCGTACAGTCCAATCACACCCCTCTGTATTTCTGTTAAAACTAATTTTCTATTTCCAGCATTCTTTCTTGTACAATCAACCCGAGACACTCGAATCCATCACTCAGGATTTTCTCAGCAACTTGACTCTCATCAAAGATAAAGCGATCATGGTAAAGCTGATCGGCGGTCATGCTGCCAGCAAGCAGTTTTACTACTCCTTTCGCGATACTTCGGTAAGTTTGTCATACATACTGTAATATTCCTACACCGACACGGTCTAGGGTCTGGATTTTATCATCACATACCCCGAAACGGTGAAGGATTTCCTCCTTTCCAAACATCCCGAGAAGTATTATCTGCACTTCAAGGGTTCCCAAACGACCCTCATCTACCGAGGATCATTCGTAGATTCAGATCCACGATCATGAGTCCGAATTGAGCTCAGACCATTCTCCCAAGTAAGTTCATCTTTCAGTTCATAGGGCCGAGATTTAACTCCACTTACCGACCTACAGATGCCTCTTGAACACCCCGTCGCTGTCAGCATGCATCCAATCGAAGAGACGTCCAACACCTCTACCTTATATGCGAGCATTTTGGATCTCATAATCATGAAAATCAAATGCATTATTGACTGGGCACGCAACAGCCAGCTAAAGGCACAGGATTACGATGACCTTCACGAGCTCGTAAAACTTCGAAATCGACAAGACCGAACGGCCTTGGATGCAAGCGAATTCCTACACGCTCGGTATATCCACTGTTATTTCGACGACGTTGCCTTTTGGGATATTTCCGATGTGCTGAAATCTTGGGTCACAGACATGATGGACGCGAAAGGCAACCTCATCGACCCAGGCAAAGGGCATCAGGTCTTTAGATTTGAGAGCCGCGGTGAACAGAAGGTGAAGTGGGAAGAAATGTCCCCGATGTACAAATGTAAAAAACGGATGCTTACTCCCGTTGATACCATTCACCTGGCCGACTTTTTCAAGTAATTTATCATTCTTTAGTTTGGCAGACGGTATCTGTATCCACCTCATAGGGTCGACGAAATATAATCAGCTGTGGTTGTCAACAGCATCAATCTCAGGTTCATCCCAATCCCCGAATGATTGAACTCTTCGGTCTACTATTCGAGGACTGTAGCAGACAAGTCCCTATAACTTCAGCGTTACAGGAGGGGGGCATAGATCAAGGCGAGCATGGTGCCCATGTTTGACCTATGGACATGCCATGTAACCCACTCCCAAGATAGTCTGATTGGGTAGTACAAATGAGATCGTACAAATGCGAGTACTAGCTATATCGCACAGTAAACTGTAGCCTAAGCCCTTAGTTATTGGCACCCTGAAGAGATTCAAGAACTGAGCTCGGCGTTACTCAGGCTGGGGATAGCCTGGTACCCGGGGCGGGGGTCCATAGAGGAACCCTCCAATCTTGCTGATTTTCCAACTCCGAAAGGATGCTGGAGATAAGCCGGCATGTGCTCCGTGTACCTCTAGCGCGACGCATCGCCAAATCATCTTTACACCACTGTTCCACTTGTTTGAGGCATTTCATGAGGTTATTATTGCTCTAGATATCTGTTGCCCATAACATAGCAAAACAGAAGCACTAATGGATGAATAATCAACAACATCATCCGCTTTGAGCCATATAGAGAATTTTCTTCAGTTAAACAACATCTGAATCCTGATATATGCCACTCCTCCATAGTTAAATACTTCATGCTACTCAATGTTCTAATCAATGAGCGCTTAATGCTGGGGTATGACAGTGCGAAGTACTAAGCCCTGAAATTTGGTGATGTGTCATCATGAATTAGTGAGCCGGACAGCCGGATCACGTCTGAGTTTGAAATCCGCTGAGATTTGGGGGATCCTCTATGGATCCCCGCCCCGGGTACCAGGCTTTATATACAGATACGAGTTCCGCGAGTATATAATAAAGACGGCTTGCCAGGCTAGGCTGGGGAAGTCATGACGAGTCACGTGCACCTTTCGCGTTCCTAAAATATCGCGGCAATGATTCTTTCTTTCCTTCCTTCCGATCCGATCCCAGCCTTCTAAAGTAAACGGACCCTCGCTTCCTGGCTCCAGTTCATCATGTCCAGAGCTGCACTCATAAATGAAAAAGGAGCTCGTCAGACTCACCCGTGAACCTTACGAAGATGAAAACGGCCAGGACGTATCTAGATTCTACGAGCAGTTCAAGAAGAACTCAAAGGGATCGAGGAAACTGAGGAAGAAATGCAACGTATCATGAAACATGCCAACACACTGAAAGCTGTTTTTGCCAAAAAAAGAGTATGCCCTTCAAGATAATGTACCCCTTTGCGTTTCTACGGTCTGAGCATCGAGCCTCGTAGAAAATCTCGTTTCAGCTATATCAACAACGGATCTAACGAACATGTGAATAGAACGGAAACGTCTAGCTATCAATCAGGCTATATTATCGAGGCAACTAGAAAGCTCGGCAGTCAGCGCAACCAGGTTTCAATGATCTTCAAGTGCAACTGAAACGTATGTATCGTCATGTCAGCATGAGGATGAGCGATCCAAATTCCAATAAGTGTATGTTATGAACCTGATAAATGGTCGCAGTGCGGGGCTAGGATGGTCTTCGATGCAATTTTCTTGGCCGTTGCAGAAACATCCACGAATGGCGAAGCAAAGTTGCCAATGGCAATCTTTCCGAAGATGCAGGCACCAACTCAGGACGGCGTTCTCATCGATAATCTCGGTACAGGTTTTGAAGTCTGGCTCACTGGAAATACTGATTATGGGGTCTGCACCTATGAAAACGAAAGAATGAGAAGTACGAAATTTCAGCTGACACGTTTTGTCTTTGATGGTATTTCCTCCTAGGTCGAATCCTCAAGGTGGCCATGTATGATATCATGATAGCTGCAAGGAGCCGGATTACCCTGGTGGAAGGAAAGCGTGAAGATCAAGAGCTTTATGACAGTATGCCAGAGGCAACGACTCAGGCCGTTGCTTAGAGCGAGGTGACTGGGTGCGTCCCTGCTGAATACCATGACAAAGGTAGTCATCATAATTTCATCCAGCAGTAAGATTGTTAGATATTGCTTGTCGGATGGAAGGACTTAAATATTTTCGCCTTACGTCAAGACGTGCAGGGCCGTCGCATATCCTATGAAGCGATCTTTTCACTATAATAGAATATCGTCCTGACGCGGAAGATGCTTTCAAGAAAGATATTCACACAGTTACAGAGCTCTTATGCCATTGGGTACGTAATGCTAAACTAAACTATATGACTTCATATTTGCTGAGACTGTTCCTAAAGTTGACCCTTTGAAGGATACTTATATACGTTGAAGGATTTCTGATATCCCAATCTATCTCACCGGTCTACAGGTCTTGTAATACAAACCAGAACTGGTCACCGAGATGAACGCGGGTTCGGGCTGTGCATTGTTCCAAAGCATGGGAAGCCTATCCATGTTCCAACTGAGACGGCATGCGTCTCTCGTTGTACCAAGGTGATTCCCGCTGATATTGTTCCGACTTCCGGGGTCTACGAGGATGAGCCTTACGGTCTTTGAAACTATATGCTCGAACTATGGCACTGCACCGTTCCGGCAGATCGACCTCAGCGACATTATGAATTCTATAACACGGATGGTGGACCGTAACTATGCAGACGCGACTGCGTTAAGCCGTATACTGTTCATTTAATATTTGTGTGTCACGTTCAAGTCTGTTCCCGACCCGCCAATTGTCACCAAAGAAATGGGCATATCGACAATCACCTTGGACGCAGAGGTGCCCCCCGGGGGATGCTTCCCAGCGTCATTGGATCGTCGTATGGTTACACCCGCCAGTTAAAGAGGGAGCATCGGTATGGGTCTTCCTATATAAACCTTCGTGCTCGCAGTGTGATACACCACCTCTCTGTCTGGTACTAGTCGAGCGCTGGTAAGCCCTTCCTTTCTGGCTATTCGCTACCACCATTGATTGGACGTACAGGTCGCTTGAACGCTTGCCTGGTGCACTCCAACATCTCTATTGTGCTGGTATTTCTCCATCTTTTCCTCTACATAAACAGTCAACCGAATCAATTGCTTTCAAGGTCACATTAACACCTCGCCCAATCCCGGGTAACAATGACTCCCAACAACTCCAACCTCCTCTGCCTCACCGTCCTGGCACTCCTAGTGGCCGTCCATGGCATACCCCTCGCGGTCGGCACTGCCGACCTCAATAGTACGATGGAAGGTGGTTCGATAACGCGTTCGGTGGAGGTGACCACGTTCAACCCCACAGCGGCTCCTGCTCCTTTAGTCCCGAGAAAGAAGAAATCTGGCGGCGGAAAAGACTACCAACAAAGCGACCACGCCAAACACTCCCACCACAACGAAAACGCAAGCACCGACAACTACAAGCAAGGCGATTACCACGACACCGCCGACTTCCACTGGAACTCTTAGTAGTACAACACGAACGTCGACGAGAACCGGGACAGCCAGCGAGTCGCCAACAACCACTTCAAGAGAACGCACTTTGAAAATTCCCTCGCTCACCCTCGGTAGGCACTCTTTCTGAGTCTGGAGATACTAATAAGTACATGGCGGCATCTTGCAGAGAATCCGTACGCCACTGATTCTTTGGACTACCCTTATCCAACGAGGGAACCAACTGAAGACCCGGGATTGTCTGATCCTACAGATGGAGATCCAGCATACGAAGGAGACGAGGGAGAAGGTCAAGACTCCAATGGAGATGGCGAAGTTGGCTCGTGTGACATGGGGTGTGGAGGGGAAAACGAGGATACTGAGACCGGTGGAGAAGAGAGCGGGGGAGTATCATCCACTTGAAACCTGTACTTTGAAAAATGTACAATTGCAATTGAGTCTGATTCTGTAGTCCAGAAGCACGTACTTCCAGTAGCTATGTCGCATAGAAGATTATAGTGTTTAATTGCTCGGCTTTGAGTACTAAGGGATAAACTCGCAGAAGCTTTTTCCAGATTCGGCGTAGATGGGATAGTTGACGGGCGAGGAAATAAACTTCATCTGAGGCCACTTTGGGGGCAGGAAGATCGTACAATATACTAAACTCGAGCACCCGAAGGTTTGCTTCTGGAACAGTATCACTCCATAATGAAGGGGAAAGCATCGGCGAAGGACTATAACCGCGCATGCTCAATTCCGTCGAATATGGGAACGAAAGAAAGAGATCACTGGCAAGCTCTGCGGAATTATCCAAGGTTATTAGAGTCTCGCAGAAATTACCCAAGAGGAGACGATCGTTCCGTGCTTCCACTTGACGTTCTTCCAGGTTCTTCCGCATCTCACTGGACAGGCTAGCAACTGATAAACTTGACGACGTCCATAGAAACGCAGAAAAACACTATATACGGCCTTTCGCCACCAGATTCTCGTGCCAATAAGAAATCCATTAAGAACTGAAGAAGAGGTGAACAAAAGCTGCAAAACAGACGATAAGCGGCGCAATTCGAATCTGCCGGCAGCTGTTTGTTCATGCTTGGCGAATGAACTTTTGAGTCGGCCTGCTGCCTCGTAGTCAATGTATGCTCGCTAACACTCGCAACTATAGTGCCCTTCGAAGTTCTCGCGGAAATAACTTGAAGAAAGCACAGAAGCGAAACAGTGGCGGTGGTGCCATTTCAGGCTCCTAATATCTGTTGCTTGACTACTACACTCAGGTTTATATACCTGCCAGTATTATTGCTTTGCTCAACGGTAAGCAAGCGCTCGTCCCCTCGATAGAGGCAGAGTCAGAAGATATTGAATAAGAATATATTAGCAGGACAAGAAGAACAACTCAGAGATCGTGAAAATTTGAACTCGGTATTCATGCCTTCGATCCATAGCGCGCAGAGTGATCATTCCATTCACACTGTGCCAAGTTATCCTCCATCCCCCAATGTGCAAAGTGATGAAGACGAGAAATATAGATCGATATCCTCTGGCTCTGACATTTCAGAGGACTCGGAGCCAGACGCTGAGAATATAAAATCATTTTCGGCGCGTCGGCGGCGAAGGCGGGGAAAGCGAAAGACTATGGGTATTCCACAATCCGGTTATCAGTTCGATGGTGTGTCTTTTATTGTCATACCCGCTTCCTACTCATTTGATAACGAAGAGAATGGACGTCAAGAAGGCGAGAGCAAGGGGAGCGATCCCTTTGATTACCAGCACAAATTCCCGGATGATAAGCAACATGAAGAGCTTGGGTCAACTGCTAAGATATGGAGAACATACCTTGAAGAATGCAGCGCCTTTGATCTTGGAATGGTGGAAGGATGGAGAGATGCTCTGGATGTTCTACTGGTTTTCGTCAGTACCAGTTTTCAAGAAAGGGTGTCCTACGCTGACCTGAGGGACTGGCTGGCAGGCTGGACTTTTCTCGGCAGTGGTCTCCACCTTTCTCGTCCAAGCAACACAGAGCCTACAGATCGACTACAGTGCAGTCACTGCATCCCTTCTCATCGAGCTCATCAACGTCCAGCGAGCTGCCGCCAATGGTTCCGTCGTGAACAACGTCCCTTCTACAGACCTCGCATCTCGTCCCTCGGCATCCGGCTCATGGGTCAATGGGTTATGGTTCACTAGTCTCGCCCTCAGTCTCGGCACCGCCCTCTTTGCTGTTCTGACGAAACAGTGGATCCACCAGTACCTGCTCGTTCCCTCAGGCACGCCTCGCGACAAATGCCGGGTGCGCCATTTTCGATACATGGGGCTGCGACAGTGGCGTGTGGATTTCATAATTGGCCTACTTCCTGTCCTCATGAGCTCTTCGCTTGCTCTGTTTCTAGTGGGACTTGTCATATTCATTGTCCCACTACATGTTACCATCTCGTGCGTCATCGGAGCTCTCACATTCATATCATTTGCTGCATATGGTGTGACTAACTTCCTCCCAATCTTGTATCTCGAGTGCCCTTATAAGACACCTTTGTCACACTACATGTTTCCCTTCTATTCCCACATCTATAATATTCGCGACAGCTTTCGCAAGTGGGTCGCTGCTCCTCTGGCATCCACCAGGCATTCCGAATCTGGGTCGGCTTCACCTCCACCTCCACCTCGCACGCTCCGCAAAGCCGAGCGTTCTACGGTCAAACTCAACTCAGAGGAAACCGATGTCCATGCAATGTCTTGGCTGTTCCATATGACTTCCAATCCTAGTGTATGGTCGGTTGTAGTAGAGTCAGTAGGTGCCCTGCCGCTTACATCCGTCAAGACCTTACGGCAGGAGATTGATCAGATCTCCTTCATATGCTACGAGGCGCTTCAGGGTCTTTTGTCGCAAGACGACGACGACGTTCAAGAACGTCGAATCGATCGTCTCATCCGAGCCCTCCTACGCTTCCCAGAGTGGTCCAGCCGTCTGTCTATACCGGCTTCTATCAAGGAGCGTTTCTCCCCTAGTACCTACGTAGAACTTCTCTCTCTACAGACTGGCTGCCATGATGAAGTAAAAGATTTGGTTCAGTTTAATCTAACTTCAAACGATAAACTTCTTGACTTACAACCTATCGTTTGGGCCTATCTGCTCAAGCAACTTATGCCGTTTGATGCCGCCGACTTCGACGTAGCCCGATTGCTTTTGCTCCATCTCCCGGAACATGCCTGGGCTTCAGGCTTTACTTTCCCTCCCATAACTTTCGAATGGAACGGGGTGGAGGTCTGGGACAATATGCCTCGCGATGGTGTCACGCTTACTGGAGCCATTGAACAATTTCTCTACCCCTCTATCGCAAATGCCATCTTCCTACGCTCAGCGCAAATCGAAGACGCTGTATCGAATGATGACCCCAACCCGGAGGCTGGGCCAGAGCCGCAACTGGACCCGCGAATCCGTTTCCTCCTGAACACAGTCCGCTGGCCCGAAATTCGAAGGATAGTCGTCGCCGATGACAATGATGATACTGCCCTCGAATGGGTTGTAGAAAAAATATCCATATTTTTTGCTATCGACGCCGAGTCGTTCGACCTTAACAGTGACACGCCCACGTCTGATTTAGACAGGAATCGTTATGCCATCCTGAAAGCACTCTATCCACTGATCTCTTTGCCTTCCTCATCCACCTTCCGAGATCAGCGTAACCTGCTCGCAGTCTTCCTTCGTCTCCTCAAATCCACATCGTGTTCGCCAGATTTTCTCGGCGAAAATTGGTGTACACCCGAACTAGCTTCCCGGCTGGTCCAGATTGCATTTGAGGGCGAAGCGTGGATCTGGCCATATGAACTACGTCTTGATGATCCTGCATGTGAACTCGTCAACTACTTTTTCCGATCTATCATATTCATGGACCATACATTTGCACACTTTGTCGACAAGCAACTCTTCACGACTCTCAATTGGTCAGGCAGACCAGAAATCATGGAATCGATAGTCGTTGGACTGGCATCGGCGAGACGCCGGCTGCCTCAGCAGGTATATGAACAATATCTTGACATCTTACATGAGCCGCAGAATTTGTTCACCTCTTGCGCTGCTCTCATTGTCCGAGGTCAGCGAAAGACGCTTCGCCAACTGGCGCTATTTCGCCGTCGGGATCCAGCCTGGGCCGCCTGTTTGAAGAGGCTACGCGAATATTATGATGACCGGCCTCCACCTATTTTTACGGAGTTTGAAGCGTTCGTCACAGGATCCTGCGTTGGAGAGTTTGGGTTGAATGGCCGCTTCCGGGACGAACGAATGAGCTTTAGTTCCGACCGAGACAGTAGTAACAATCCTTGTTAGTGCATCATTACAACAAGCGTTGTACCCTTGCCCTTCTCGGGCTAGTTGATGTCCATTTTCTCAGCCAGTTTTGTCTGCTCGCTACATCGAGCCAAAATCATTTTGCTCGAGTGCGACTGCCTGTTCTTCAAGCCGTATTGCAAAGCAAACTTCCCCCTCCTCGATTTGTGTGACACTAAATTCGATATATCATGTCTCTGTGCTGGATTTAGCTTATGGCGAAAGGAAATTGCATGCGTTCTCTGGCGCTTTTAGTCAAGTTCTTGACAGCAAGTATAGAAATGCTGGGAGGCTGTGTGGAAAAAGACGGAAGACTGGAGCCCTATTTATGTTGAATATTGAAGCTCATCATGACGTAGGAATAAGCGACCCAATTATAGTTTCGCCGAACGTTCGATATTGTAGGTCGTCGTCTTCCGCGATTGTCTAGTCACATGCATAAATTTCCTTGCGCGCGTTCACTCAGACTGTTCAGTGGCTGCCGTTCACCTCGTTTGTGCCATCATTGTCTATCCGAGGTCGAAGACGAAGCCCATATCTTGCTCTATTGTGAAGGATCTGACTCGCTGGCACATTTGCATGCTAATTTTTCCGTGATATTTTTCTACTTGACTCCGAGTCTTTTGCTCAACTGTTACGTGCCCGCCGTATCCGGATACGAGGTCATCATTCACACTCTTCTCGCAGCAGATGATATGAAAATCATTGGCGTGTTGGCTAAATACGTATCTGATGTTCTCCGTATTTTTTGTGCTGTACCTTTATATCGGGCTTAATTCATTTCCTTGTATACATTCCCCACGACGTGTCTCTACTCCGCGCGACACACTCAACAGTGTGATCACAACGGTACGAGCCTTCGTGGCCACAGCGCATGGCAAGCTTGCCATGTTTGGGCTGTGGACCCGGCCGTTTCTTGTTGGGACCTTGTGCCGGTACCAACACCTAGCCTAGCTTAGAACTAGCTCATAGCTGGTGATCTAAACCGAACCTTCAGCAATGCTGACAACAAAAGAACATATGCTATAATATAAGTAAAAAACTACTCTCATATGTACCAATAGTATTTTGTATGTGCACTGCGCACAGAACATCCTGACCAAGAACAATTATAAACTTAAAACTTAGACCCTCATCTTACCACCACCGTTGCCGCCTCTTCTCGACTTGTGGCCTCTCCGTCTCTTCTTCGAATCATCGTCAACAGGGTCCCCAAGCTCATCTCTATCTCTTTTCATGCCAGCCTCGATGGCACCACCACCACCAAGACGAGACAGTAACGTACCACCTCGTCTCAGTGGCGGTCGCTCCTCAAACCCATCCCTCCGATACCGACCGTCGTCAACGTCCATATCATCGCGTCTCGGTCGAGGCGGTAGTCCCTCCGGCTTGTTAGGAAGGCCGTGTCCAGGAGGTAGGCGGGAGGTACTAGGGCTGACAGGTCTTTCCCTCTCCCTCTCAATGCCATTCCGTGCAGGCTCTTCAAGAGGCGGTACAGAAGGCGGGGGTGCCCGATCCTCTCTGTCTCTGAATCGTTCTCTTCGGCCACTCTCTCGTTCCTTATCATATCGTACTGGCCTAGAACCTTCCCATGAGTGAGATTGTGATGGCTCTCTCGACAGAGGAGGTGGAGTCGCTGGTCGGTGTTCATCGGCCGGACTGGTACTAAAACTTTCTCTACGGGAGTACTGGCGAGAAGGAGGCTCATCCCTATTCCTATCTCCGCTTCGTCGTTCAGAAGACGGCGGAAGGGGTTCTGGAGCGTATCGTTGGAACTAAAAGCATGTCAGTGTCTACATACGAGAAGAGCTAGTCGATAGACAAACGTTGGGAGGAGGCTCTTGAGGTGAAGTGCGAGGCTATGCGACGTCAACCTATATCTTCGATACCAAAGGCAGACTACCGTACCTCTTCTTTTCTCATTCTATGCGGATAACCATTGTCCGACACTCTGTGTCGAGGGTTAATGTCAATCTCCATGTGCATCCGAGACTGTAACAAAAATTAATACGATGATAGGGGCAAGGAGGAGCAAACTAACATCAGGCGGGCCAAGTGAATTCCTTGGTTTCCTCGTCGGAGGGCCTCCACTATTGGCATCCGGGGGACGAGAGTCTGAAAACTTCCCAGATGACATAGGTGTATCACCTCCAGAAGACGATGGCGGGGGCCCACCAAGACTCTTCCTACTTCCAAGGGGAAGACTGTTAGTCCCAGACAATGTAGGCCGAGAAAACTCCCCGCGACCACGTGGTGGCCGACCCTAATGACTATCAGTCAACGTTCGAGACGACCTATGCGTCGGCGCATACCTGTCCCCGTTCCATTGGATGAGGATACATGGATCCTCGGCCCTGGTCTTCAAAGCTCCTCATATGACCTTCAGCACCAAACATGCTAGGTGGAGACCGTTCCCTGGTCCATCCTTGGTTCGAAGGAGGAGCAGATTCAGACGTAGGCGGGCGTAGCGCTCGAGGTCCTTTTGGTAAAGGATTACCAGAATTTTCCACAGCATTATCCCGACTTTCTCTACCATATCCGTTTGCAGGAAGTGGATGCGCCCTAGAAGAAGGAGAAGTCGAAGGCAAATCGTCAAAAACATCCCCACTCGTCGAGACCTGCCTGTTGCGTTTAGCCGCACGCGGCCCAGAAGGGGGGAGATTTGAATTTCTTTCAACCCATGTCGATAGTGGCGGTAATTCACTGGTCGGTGGTGCAGACGCTGGAGGCGGAGGAAGCTTGGACTTGGTAGACGTTTCGCGGAAACTCATCTCCTGAGGAGGAAGAGGCGGTCTTCGTCCTATCACGGAGAAATGAGAGGAGAAGATGCGGACATGCGGGCTGACATACGTGCTGCTGAGCTAGGTTGTTCTGTAGCGGGAGGTGACGAAGTGGAACGAGAGGCACTGCTGTGCCTCGGTGGTCCCTTGGGCCCGTTAGAAAACGGCACGAGCTCAGGCGGGTCAGCAATCCTCGGGGGAGGAAGCGACGTGAGGCCAGGAGTTGCCTCTATAGGACCACCAAAGCGCGACGGCCTATCCCTTTTGGATGATCGTTGCGAAGGCGGAGGCGTTTCAAACGACGAAGGCGGCGGCGATCTGTGTCCTGTTTAAAAGGAAGGAGGATATAGGAGAACAAAAAGTATACATGAGGAATGGATACATGATGAGAAAAGAGGGGGTGAAAGGGAAGAAACAGAGGGAGTCCATGATGAGCGTCCTTATGTCGGCAACAGCAGAGTGAGGGGAAGGGATCGGGAACGGTGCGTAACATGACAGCGCACCCATGAATACAGCATACACGCGGGTCACAACGCGAGCGCATACAGATGCGCGTACGGAGAAGGGGGAAGGGTGCATGATGAGGCGGATTAACGTACTGGAAGTGGTATTTTGAGGATGTGAATCACGAGGCTCCCGCTCTCGCGGATGACCACGGCTGTTGCGTGAGGAGGGCTCTTGTCGCGCCGGTAGTTTTTCCCTCTCCATCGGAAACTTAGATTGCACTTGAGGTGGTTCATAGTTGTGCACACGGTGCTGTCGCCTAGACTCTTGAAGAGTATCCGTTTCAGTTCGCCGAGGAGGAGTCATTGGACGACGAGAGTCGCCACGACCATCGACGGCTTCGCCATCGTAATTAGGGTGGCGCCGACGACGTCCACGTTGTGGCATCGGCGGTGGCGACCTAGATCGGTCTCTGTGCTGAGGAGAATCGGGTGGTGTGCGAGAGTCATAGCTTGGAGCCACAGCACTACCAAACCATGTATCAGTAGTACCATTCCTGTTTGACGGAGGTAAGACGGGAGGACGAGAATCTCCAGGAGGTGCGCCGTTCTCTCCCGGACGATAATGCCTATCTTCATAGGAAAGATCTTTGGGCCCAGAGCTTGAGGAAGTAGGGAAATGCAGGGGCTGAGAAATTTTGTCATCTTGCAAACCATTTCGCGGCTGTAACACATAGGTTGTAAGTGAAAGCATCATTGACAAGGAAACGGGCTTACGGGTCGTTCCCAGGTAGAGACATGTGTCTTGGTATTGTAATAATACATATCACCGTTGTGCGACTTGCGAATTTGCCAGTCCAACGGTAAATCCTTCGCATCTAGAGAAGAAGGTGGTTTTGCCGTAAATCCATTGTTACCTGATGAAGTTTTAGTTTTCGTGGTGGAACGCGACATTGCAGTCGCCTCGATGAGCGACGGGTGTGACGGATGCAAGAAAGGGACGTTGGCCACTACTGGTTTTGGAGGTAAACCATGAATGCGATGCTGAGAATGAGAACGCTGAGGAGAAGTAGTGTTTCTAGGAGAATTCATTGAATTCTCCCTCGTCAGTGGCTGTGGCTTGGGCTGGGAAGGATTGGCTGAATGTGGCGTCGAGCCTGGAGCAGCGCCATCATCATTGGCGTCGGCCATGTCTCCATCTCCCGATGGAAACGAATCATTCTGGTAGGAATCCTTGTGGTAGTAGCCAGGTTCGTCCTCGTCGGGCCCCAGAGAGACGGCGTCTTCGTCGTCGTCAACGTCCCCTGGGCGCGACGACTTGCGAGAATGGTCTGCGAGACCGGTCTCGTCCTCGTCGGCATAGTCATAGTCGACCTCGATGTCGTGTTCCATCATAGCAAAGACGGGAATAGAGAGAGGATCAAGCGCCTCAGCGGTAAGTACTTGATGGGAGGTAATGAAAGCTATTCAAACTCCGTCCAAATATTAGGGCGGTATTTCAGTCTCCGCCTCAACTAGATTGTAGCCTGTTTCGACGAGGCCGTTTCTAGCCGTCTCAAGGCTTGACAATGGACCTCCCTACATACAATGACCAGCAGGGACCGTCTGCTAGCCGTCCATCTGGCTCGATATCCCACCGTGTCTCCATAATATTCAGGCGACTGCACCGGTTCCAGCAGATGGTCCGCTTTTTCTACGTTGTGCGCAGTGCTCTACTCTAACTCTGGCGTAGGACTTCGAGCTGGCTGCCTGGCAGCTCACATACCTGTGTCTAGCACCCCGGAGAGTGTAAGTGTGAGCTTGAAGTCTGTATGCAGCTGATTCATGGTCTAATCCATCCCAAGGTACCGGAATGTATACTTTCACAAACGTACGCATTCAATACCTGGTCAATTATCGTATTTATGGAATATTGGGTGCAGAAACAAAAATACTTGGGCGCGAGATGATCCTGCGATATTGGTCCTCATTGGCGCATGTCTCTGTGGTGCGTTAATGAGTGCTAACCGGCCGTGGCTTGTTTAACTTGTTTTCTAGTTTCTGCTGTAGCATGGGCTGTCATATACTCTTACACCATTCTCGAAGCCATTCAATTAGCTTTTCTTATGATAGCCCGGGATTATCTGTTGACTGGCGTTGTAATAGCCACGTTACTTTGGTATGTCTGATGATGCATTATCCCTTCTTCGCTGATGTCGTCTAGGTTCACGTCTAATCGACTATTACTGTCTCCACCTTCGCATTCGACACCGGCAGATTCCTTCGTCGAGTGGGCCTACGCATTTGACGTCCATACGAATGCTTTTTTCCCGTTGTATCTTGCGCTCTACCTTGCTCAGCTGTTTCTACTTCCTATCGTTCTCAAAGATAATTGGGTGTGCCTCTGGGTTGGCAACACGCTCTACCTTGCTGCGTGGGTATCTATAGTTCTTCTTTTACCGCTATTCTTATCATTGCTGTTCAGTTTTGCGCAGTACACCTATGGGATATACCTCGGACTTAATGGTTCGTTACGAATATTGCGCTGCTGTGTGTGCGAATTTCTCACATTCGGTTCCACAGCGTTACCCTTCCTGGTTCGGTCCGAGCTTCTCCTGTCCCCGTTATTACCGTTATTCACAGCGTACATAATATCCCTGCTTGGATTCAATGTCGCTAAGCACGTCCTAGCGATATATTTCGGGTCGTAGAATGAACTGTAGATACAATAATTTATACACAGTTTGCTGAGCAATGGAGGTGCACACGATAGATGTTAAACGCTGTAATAAGCTGTCAGCCAAAGCTGTGCCATGCCCTTTGCCTCTGAATCTGGATCGCCACCCGGCGTCACGACTCTTCTTCGACCCTCACCTCGACCTTCTCCTTCTCTGCCCACGACGCCGTAACGACCTCTGGCACGATGAGTACCCATATGGCGCGGGCGATAGAGCAAATCTCTGACAAGGGACCGCTGCCAGAGATCGACTTTACCCAACACAAGCTGGACGATGGGAACATAGTCAGCACTCAGGAGCGGGTTATCAAAGATGTGCGTACCGCTGCCAATGATCCTGGCGACGCCGTCGTCGCTGTCGCTCAGCACTCATTCTGTTACACCCAGGTCCAAGCCCCAGCGATGCAGATCCCTACGCCAGAGCAGTTCTTCGCGAATGGCGGCAGAGATCGCTCAAAACCTGATGTTGCCTTCCTGAAGAACCACTTTTATCGTGAAGGGCGGCTGAGCGAGGAGCAGGCAATGTGGATATTGGAGAAGGGAACTGATGTCCTTCGGAGGGAGCCCAATGTCCTCAATGTCGACGCTCCAATAACTGGTGCGTGCTGCTCGTCTGCCTGGGTCTCGACCACTGACGGATCTCGACGACAGTCTGTGGCGATATACACGGTCAATATGTGAGTTCCGCCTTTGTGTATCGTGATCAGCGCTCATCGCCCTGCTACTAGTACGACTTGATGAAGCTCTTTGAGGTTGGAGGCAGTCCAGCGGACACACGATATCTCTTCTTGGGGGACTACGTGGACAGAGGATATTTTAGCATTGAGGTACGCAATGTTCGTCCCTGCTCTGCTCGTAATGGCCGACAAATCTCTGCAGTGCGTTCTCTATCTCTGGTCCCTCAAAATATGGTACCCCAACACTCTCTTCCTGCTCCGGGGAAATCATGAATGTCGGCACCTTACCGACTACTTCACCTTCAAGCTCGAGTGCAAGCATAAATATTCTGAGCGCATTTATGACGCCTGCATGGAATCTTTTTGTGCATTGCCCCTGGCAGCGATCATGAACAAACAGTTCTTGTGCATTCATGGTGGTCTGTCCCCGGAACTCAATACGCTGGATGATATTCGTGCTGTAAGTCTGCTCTTGTCGTCTCAGACATCTCGTCTTCATGTGCCATCATAGCTTGATCGTTTCCGAGAACCGCCTACACATGGATTGATGTGCGATATTCTTTGGGCTGATCCAGTCGAAGACTTTGGCACGGAGAAGATATCAGATAGCTTCATCCACAACCATGTCCGAGGTTGTTCATATTTCTTTACGTATGTCTGTCCATCCGCCAATTTTCGGTGTCTCATGTGAACTCTTGTCTAGATATGCCGCCGCCTGTCAATTCCTCGAACGGAACAATCTGCTATCCATAATTCGGGCACATGAAGCACAAGACGCTGGGTTTGTTCCCTCTGTCAGTTTCCCCTACACGATCTGACGCTCATACTCTGTAGGTATCGGATGTATCGCAAAACCAAAACGACAGGGTTCCCATCAGTCATGACCATCTTCTCTGCTCCAAATTACCTCGATTTCTACAATAACAAAGCTGCCGTGCTAAAGTATGAAAGCAATGTTATGAATATCCGGCAATTTAATTGCACTCCTCATCCTTACTGGCTGCCAAACTTTATGGACGTCTTTACTTGGAGTCTACCGTTTGTCGGTGAAAAGAGTGCGCGCTTTTGTAGATTCTTGTGCGCATATCTAATCCGCTTGCAGTTATTGACATGCTCGTTGCTGTATTAAACACGTGCACAAAGGAAGAATTGGAGGAGAGTGACGAAGAGTCAATCATATCCCCGGTATCTGTCGCCTCTGAAGATTCTGTCGAGCGGAGAAGAGCTATCAAGAGCAAGATTATGGCCGTTGGTCGGATGGCTCGCGTATTCGCACTTCTCCGGTGGGTGGACAAAGATGACTCTCACTGCTTCTAAATTAATATCTCATTCAGGGAGGAATCTGAAAAGGTTTCAGAACTCAAGAGCGTGTCTGGCTCGAACACTCTCCCCTACGGGACGCTTGCATCAGGGTCTGAAGGTATCAGAGAAGCTATCAGTAGCTTCGACGACGCGTTAGTCTTCTGCTATCCTCAATCTCCACGAAACTGATGCCCCATACTCAGGCGGAAGTCTGATATTGAGAACGAACGTCTTCCTCCCGACCTTTATGACGCAAAGTCAGAGGAAGGCAAGGCCATTTTAAACTCTCTTCCTACCACGCCCTCAGAGCACGACGAAACGCCAAGCACCCCAGTTGCTCCCAACGGCGTCACCGCGGGTATCGAGGCAGCAATTTCCAATGGCACGATTTCACCTACCCATCAGCGCAAACCACTCGGCCTCACCTATGTATTCACCGGCGGCCTCACCTGGCTCACCGACATCGCCTACTGCTGCTCCGTTTAGGAGAGGTCATGGACGACAAGCGAGCTTGGGTACGACGATGACGAGTCCTAGTAACAGGCGTAGAAGTCTAGAGAGTACGATGAGTCTGATACAGAACGTCTTGGATGGGAAAGAGCACAGGATTCCGGAGGGAGACGAAGCTGTCGAAGGATTGGCAGCACAGTTGGCTGGGTCATCTGTGGATAATCCGACAACTCCGAGTCGCTAATTTGAGTATCATCAATGGAGCCTTTATTTTAGGTTCTGGACTTGTATCTTTGTCTCGAGATGTGTCTTATCCTTTTAGTTTTCATCATATAATTTGCAAACCTCACGAGAACTGATTGTATTGCACATAATATTTTTTATGATGGATTTTGTTCGCCCTTCTGTGGGGATTTACCCGTCCTTGTGGCTGTGCTCGTCCGTTTTAGTTTCCGATAGCGGCGCTTGAAATTCCTTCGTCTGCGCAAAAAGTTTTTCTTCCGCTTTACATTCGACGTTCATGTTTCTCATCTGTGGTACCCGACAGCGTCCCCGAGCTGTATCATCGTAAGTTTCTGATTTTCTAACACTCTTTTTTGATGATATCTATCCATCTTTTCGAGTTGGTGACGATTCTCGATGATCCATACTCGCAACATGCATCACCAACTGATTTACCGCTTTTTACTCGTCCATTTCTCACCGTACCCTTACTAACCCTGTTTCTCAGATAGGCCGTAAGTTCATTTCCATCCAGTAACTGCGTGGATGATATGCGTTAGCGGGCGACAACGACATGGGCCCTCAGCTAACACACCATCCTCTGAATTTTTTTGCTCTTTGGGCGAGGAACGTAGAGCTGATGGCCTCGGTATAGGCGTGTGAGATAGGACCTCAGGGCAGTTCTGACAGGTGAGTCCGAGATGACCGCATTCCCTTTCATCATGATGTTCTATTTTTAAACAAGCATATGTCCGACCGCATATGAAGGACAGTTTTATCTCGTCTGAACAACTTTTTATCCTTAATATCTCTGCTTTTTTCGCCATCGTTTGCTAACAATATCTTATAGATTCTTCAAGGAGGCCGATTAGCATGATTCTAATGCAAGAGATGTCATGAAGGCCCTGCCTGCCGTCGGATAGGTCAGTTTCCATTTCTTATGTCGCGGCTTTCTTCCGTGATGAAATATTCAGTTCTGCTTCCGAATGAGAGCAATCAACCTCTTGTGGACATCCAATTACCAAAAATATTTCTGATTCTCACCTCTTCTACTCTTCTATTCTGGACCTTGCTAACTATACCTTCGTCTATCTACTAGGTTCCCTTCAGCGGGTCAAACGGTGCCTGAATATGTTGTGAGTGTCTCATCTGTCTCTTTTTCTTTTTGGAGGACGAAAACAAGTTCATCCATTCTTTGAATACCTTTTCGGAAGCTAAATGCGGTGACCCTCTTGCTGGTTTTCGGGCGAGAGTGTGGCTGTTCCGTTATGGAATGGCTAGTCCTGGTCGCCGGGTTGAGTTGACGATCATGGGAAGAAAACATCGGCTTCTCTGATCATATACATCTTTGCATTTATCTTGCCTGACGATTGAACTGTTGACTGATCAATTTCCCCTTACAGGTTCGTATTCTGTTCTATTACCGTTCATTGTAGTGTAGCGCTAATAAAATCAATGCTCTGCCCGCCCGAGACCTAAGTAAAGCTGACGACCGCTGTCATCTGATGGCCTAGCTTCATAGTACATAAGAAAGTTTGCGCAGCGGAAGTGTGGCAAGGGTTCATTCTCTGTCCACCTTCGTTATGCAGCCAATTGAAGTCCCGGTCCAGTCGAATCAGATCGTCGGCTCCCTCGAGATTGGTGTGTTCTTCAATCTTATTCTTATGGGCGCCGCTTTAGTCCAAGGAACTACCTACTTCCGTCGGTGTGGAAGAGACCTCTGGGTATTCAAGCTTCTCGTGAGTTCACCCATAATTTCGAGTTACATCCTCGTCATTGAAGACGAACAGGTTACTCTCTGTTTTGTGCGTTTGATCCGTAGTACATTGAATGCACGATTTAATTCGCGTACAGGACTCTGGAAGTCGCGCACTCGCTATGCTCCGTTTCTATCGATATACTACTTTACTCGTCATCATTGCAGACGTCGCAGACCCCCGCAAGCCGCGAAGTTCTTATTTCTTGGCTTCCGTGGCCATCGTAGAACCACTGTCGACGGCCTCTAGTCCAGGTATGCGCTGTTTCTATCCACTATCTTCCGTCACGGCTCATTGGAGCACACAGGGGTTTGTTTTGTTTCCGCGTCTACCGTCTCTCAGGCAGCAAATACAACTAGCGGTTGTAATGAGCTTGCTCGTTGCCTTTCGCCTGAGTGTAGGGATATTCTTAGGGTATCGCGCAGTGCGTGATGTGCCTATGGAACCTGCGTTTATGGTATTCCAGCGGCGGTGGGACTGGCTCCTCACCTCTGGCTTCGCCGTAGGCGCCCTGGCGGATCTGATGATCGCCTGTACGCTGTGCTATCATGTCAACCAGCTGGCTTCGCCGCTGGTCATGGAAACGTACGTGCGGGGGATATACGCGGACTTGATGACTGATGTTAATGAAACGTACAGATCGGGAGGAGTATTGAATGGGATATTCTTGCGGTCACTGCGTATGTTGTTTCTTGAATTAGCGAGGGGCCTTTCTGATGGTAGATTTTTCTGGGCAGAGACGGGGTTGATTACTAGGTACGGTTTCGGTGGTTGGTTTTCCGTACTGTGACTGATGGATGGATGAACACAGCCTTGCGTCAGTTACGGTTCTGATCTGCGTATGTTAATTGTTTGTGCTAGCCGCATCTCAGTTAATCTTGTTTGCTGCAGTTTCAGACGATGCAGGATACTTGTAGGTTCTATTCTGATGACTTTGTTTTTCTTAGACTAACGCTTTGTAACAGTCGCCTGGATTGGGGTATATATCGTCTTGGGTAAACGTGAGTTCTGCCCAGATTGTCTCCCGCATAATCTCTAACATGCTGCCAGTGTACTCCAACGCACTGCTTTCGTCGTAAGTGGGGCTCTTCCATTAGCCTTTACCCACTCATAGTGCTCAGTTTAAATGCGCGCCATTCCTATCGCCGGATGATGAATATGACACACCTCGATGATGACTCTGATACCAGTGTAAATTCCAAGGTGAAGCAGGCTTAGAGGTTGCTTTGGGAACCGTACTTACTTGTACATGATAGGAAACGACACGACGGGGGAAATGGAGATCGAGAAGGTTTACACACCCAGGAGTCATTGAATTGTAGAGTATAACTATCCACTTTCTCTGATCTCTGTTTAATTACTATTATACCCCGGAAAGACCTACCTGTAGCTACTTGGGAAAATTGTATTGTGCGGCATGGTGGACCCATATACCACAACAAATACCAACATGATCAACTGCCACAGAAAAATTGTTACTAATCCAACGCTTATAAACTACTGCTCACTAATCCAACTGCTTACTACAATGTCCAAGCGGAAACAGGACAAGAAAAATGACGACTCTGACTCTGACTCTGACTCCGACGTCGTAGGTCTCTTCCTGCCCACCAACAGCCGACTTCCTCACTCAGCGTCCTCAGTAGAGCCTGATCGATGTCGACTTTGACTTTTTCGACCCGAATCCCAACGTCGACTACCATGCCTTGAAGAGGCTCATTGGCCAGCTTTTCCAGCGCGACGCCGACCTTTTTCACACACACGAGTTCACGGAGCTGATACTGAGCCAGCCCAGGGTAGGGACGACGATAAAAACGGATGGAATGGAGAGTGATCCTTACGCGTTATTGACGGTGCTGAATATGCATAAACACAAGGTGCGTGCTATACCGTTTCTGGTTGATTTTTTCCTGACTTTGAAGGAAAAGGATCATCCGTCTATCAAGGCTCTGGCCCACTATTTCCTGGACAAGTCCTCGACAGACCCAGCTTTCCATGCTACCCTTCAAGGGCTCTTTTCACAAACAGAGTCGCATGTTGGTTTCGTGCTATGCGAACGGCTCATCAACATGCCTGTCCAAGTAATTCCTCCCATGTACCGCATGTTGATCGACGAGTTGAAATGGGCGATTGCTGATGTGTGTTCTTTTATGTCGTCATATTAACCTCCTGTGCTGACCGCGGCAGAACGAGCCGTACACGTTTTCGCACCTTATCTTCGTATCGCGGACCTACCATCTCACGGAAGATGAAGAAACGATGTTATCGTCCACCCAGACAAAATCACACAAGTCGAAGAAGACGAGAAAAGCTCCGGCTCCGACATTCGCCCGTCCTGCAGACGGCATTTATCCATTCCACCCCGAAGACGAATATATCAAGCAGGTGAGGCCACTTCTTAATCCGAAGGATAAGTTCCGATATCACACTTCATTACGCTAGGCCTCTATGCATGCGGTTGACTATACCTTCTCAACGTCGCCTACTGAGCCCCGCGACAAAGAATCTTTCGGACTTGACACTCGAGGAAGAATGATGCTCGTTCCGGCCGAAAATTTCGCGGCTTTGGTTGGGAAGATGTCTGAAGCGTACGCCGTTGGATGAATGAAATTGTACGTCAGTGTCTACATGTTCCAGGTCAATAAAATGTCACTTTAGAGGATAAAAAAAGGGTATTGGAAAATACACAGATGTCCTCGTGCTTAATGAAGAGCGAAGCGGAGCCTTGCCGGGGCCTATCGTATCGAGAGGTCAGATAAGATAGGGGCATTATTCTGCTTCCTGAAACGAATGTAGAACATGACCGTGCTATAAGCGGCACAGACTCATTCCTTTCTTACTCAGTGACTATCACCTTGGACCCCCTCCGGATCTTGCGATTGGTTTCCCAATGTCCTTAGGTATCTTTACTCGACGCTTTGGGTCGACATTAGGTCGAGGAGCCCCCAATGGGCGGCGGCTATTCAGCTCTAGGGTACCTCACAGAACTTCTCGCTTGAGGATTGGTGCGATATCTGGGGGGATATTGCTGGCAACCGGCTTGGGCCTATCATCGTCTTCTATCCACGCCGATAGCGATAGTAACGATTCTGCAGACAAGAAGACACCACTGCGTGAATTGGTCCGGTCCTACATAGTCTTCACGATGTGCTCGTTCCCGACCTTGATCGATCTATCCCCCACAATGCTTGACGTACTCACCAGCATTCCGGGTGTCAAGCAAGTAACAGAGGCTTTGGTTAGGGTTACTTTCTTCAATCAGGTAGCGCCGATTTATATTTCATTGTTTACCTTCCATTCACTCTAGGCGATTAGTTTGTCGGAGGGGATACCGCTTTACAGACGCTTCCGCTACTGAAGAATCTTCGCTCCGCTAACAAGGGAACATTATTTGCTTATTCTGTAGAGGTTGACGAGCACGAGGCGACGGCAACGGCGTCACTGAAGAAGGTGTCGGAGCCTGTGCATAAACGGATAGTAAATGAAATGGTCATTGCATTGATGTCGCCGCCGATTTCGAGGATGGCTATCGTTGCGGGCGCAGCGGCAGGCCGGAGGACGTGGGTGGCAGTGAAACTGGTTCGTTCGTCCTTTTTGATATCGTGGAATGTTAAGGCTGATTATATGTAGAGCGCGCTACTTCCAGACGCCAATTCTCTGCTCCACTTATTCGAAAGGCTCTCGCGTCACGGCCCAAATCTCCCGTTCCGTTCCCTGGCTGTCCCTCACGCTAGTGATCTCGACATTCTCTACGCTCCGATTGGTTCCATCAAGAGCGATCTAACTGAAGATGACATCAAATCCCTCCGAGAGTTGCATGCTGACCTTATCGAATCTGCAAACGTGCTAAGGAAAGAGGTGTCAAGATTATCATCGATGCAGAATATAGGCAAGTTCTGCCGCCGCCATCCGTCACAACGATTTTCTGACCATCATGGATAATCCAGCTGGTACCAACCCGCCATCGACGCTCTCCAGCTAGGCTCTCATGCGCGAGTTCAACAAACTGGGAGAATCGAGCAGCGTACAGCCACTAATATACGGAACTTTCCAGGCATATCTCAAAAGGTGAATGACTCGTCGCCAGCCATTTCAATGACTCACTCGCATATGAAAGGACCCCATCCTTCCTCGAACAGTCCTTCAAAGATGCCAAGGCCGGAAACTATTCCCTCGGCGTCAAGTTAGTCCGGGGAGCCTATCACCCTCACGAGACCACCGCCCACCAAGCCTTCCAAGCCGGCAAGACGTCCCTCTCGCTATCATCCGATCCTCTCCCGCCTGTATGGGCGGAGAAGTGGGAAACGGATAAATGCTACAACGAATGCGCAAAGATGCTTATCGGGGAGCTGAAGCAGGATCTAGGAGGGAAGGCTCAGACGATGGGGATCTTATTCGGGACACATAATTGGACGAGCTGTGATTTGATTTTAACGGAGTTGGTGGGGAGGGGACTGGCGAAGCGTGTAGAGGGAGATGTTGTGAGTTTAGGTGATGAGGTTACGGAGAGACTAACGATTGGGCAACTTTTTGGTAAGCATCACTTCTTATATGGGGTTGGATGATGACGAATAATCTTTTTAGGTATGGGTGATGCTTTGACTGATTACTTGGTAGAGAGGACGCGATCGAGTACTCCCATGATCATCAAGTGAGAACAATCTCTTATTTTTACACATCGCCAAGCTTATCAACTCAAACCGCTCAGATATGTTCCGTATGGTGCTATGTCAGAGGTATGCAGTTGTTTATGCATCAACTATTTATTCATTTAGCGATCTGTCTAGGTGATGCCTTACCTGTCACGGAGAGCAATTGAGAACAAGTCGGTTCTCGGAGACGGACAAGCATCTGAAGAGAGACGGAGAGCGGGGTCACAAATTTGGAAGCGTATATTTGGGTAGGTTTATCAGTACAAGATTTGGGTGGATTGAAGTGGCCAGTGCTAGTGTGGTATAAAACCTGTTTCCTCTATACCTTCATAGACAAATGAATAACCAATGACAGAAGAGCAATAATAATTGCAATGAGTACTAGAATGAGCCGATTCTGACTCGTGTGAGAGGCCGACGGCCCTTTCTCAGCTCGGATATGAGTAACTGGGGTAATGTCTGCAGTGTCCTTGCGATCACAAACGGTAATTGGCAATGTGGTTTGGTCAATCTCATGGTCTATGCGCTTTTTCTTTAGTAGAGTACACGAGCCCAAGATACTAATTCTTCAACTTACCAGAGAGTTCAATTGGATGCTTGAAGATTTCCATGCGAGGGAGATCAAAATATTTGCATATATCTGCACCTTTGAGGGCAGGGTTGAACCCACACATGGTATTTATTTCAACAGTTGTTGAAAATGCTTTTTCTGATATGGAGTATGCATGTGGAGTAGGCCAGAAATGGATTTGAATTCCAAAAAGAGCTTCCACTTCTTCGACAGATATTTCATTGGATAGACTTGAGTCACAAAACCAATGAATGACAGGCAAGGACAATGTGTTGGATTGTGAATCAACATGGGGTTCACAGATTGTTAGTGACAGAGCAAACATATATTCGCTGTCTGCCATAAATGTATCCAGTAACTGGAAGGGGTCATAACATGGTCTTATATGAAGGTAGAAGGACCAGTCTTGACACACTGAACTTTGGTCAGTATATTGCCCAGTTCATCTGTTATGCCACACCAACCTCCAATGTATTTTATGCCATGCATCCTATGATCAAGGCCCCTTATGTCCTGAGAAGAGGACAATGACAGTTGTGAAGCTTGTGCAAACCATGAGTACACCATTATCTGCTGTATTCTTGTATAATATTCAGATGACCCATGGTCCCAGGGTGCTATGTGAAGAGAGTGCTCCTGAGTGACAGACAAATTATGAATGGTAAATGATCCACTGACAGGTGAAGGAGTCAGCAGAGACTACAGATAAATATTCATGACAATCACACCTGCACATAGAAAAGGGCATTGAAAAGTCATCTTGGGCCCATACTACTTCCCATTCAATTGGCTCAATTAATATCTTGCCAACCAACATAGGAAGAGTTGACTCCTCTGTCCATACAAGTATGCTGCCTCAGCTGTAATGACATTGGCTATATGTCATCCTATACTTAATGTCCATGAAACAATTGAAGGGCATCGTAAATCTGTATGAGATGGCTTTTATCCAAGCATGTATGGTGCATTAGCAAGTTCCAATCTCTGATCAAATTAGTGTGTGATGTGTCTGGAGCTATCCAGCCTTTGTGCAACCTCACTGCAGAGTGTTCACTTATATCCATATGAAAGCCATCAAAACCATAGTAAGATGAGAGTTCTTCCAAGATGATTTGGCCTCCTTCATTGATATACATATGACTAAGGTCAACTTCCTTTGAAGCATGGCCATTAGTTGTTAGCCTATACATACTTTCAAGAGAATTACTCACATATGCATGGATACTCCAATGCTGGTGAGATGTGTAGTATAATGTACTGAGGTAATCTGAGGTTGACTGATTTGACTATTTAAGATTGATATGCAGGGAATCAAGAAATGTGGCACCTCCAAATCATTGAACTACAGAAAGACACATGATTTAAGTAGCATTATTGTATATTTTGAAGAAGCACACCAGTTGAAAATGAAAATGCAACAACTGAGTCGCAGTCAGAGATGCACGATAGTCTTTGACTAGGTGTTGTGTGGTACCTGTAGATGGACATGAACTTGGAATTTCAAAAAGAATTTATGATTATCATTACCATGAAGTATAATTGCAGGAAATTCTGGAGATCTGCATACACCAAAGACCTGAGCAATATTTTGATGTCTAGACCATAAGATTAATGTTGCATGAACACCATCACAAAATGTCACAAGCATACTTAAGTTTTATCAGTTTATCAGCATCTATGTGGAATTGCTGGAGAACATGTGAGCACCAGGATTTGATCAGACACAGAGCTAGCACAACCCACTTGCATGACATCTTGCTCATTCAACTTGCTGTGGGTACTATGTCAATATACACGAACAATTTTAGATGTGTTACCAATGTCAGCATTATAATGAGTAAACATGGTGAAATTGTTTGGATGATCGAGGCAATCTCTCAAATGGATATCCCCAAGAAGAACATGCTGAACCTGAATCATGTAAGGGAAGATAAGTCACAGATTCTTCATAGAAGAAGAAGGCATACATATCCTTTATAGCTACTCTGCTCCTCCAATGTCCGGACATCTGCACTAAGTTCATCGGCTTTCTTGCTCTGCAGGACACCCAATGTGTGTATCTCTTCACATATGCTGTCTGCATGCTTGTCAATATTAGCCATGGTATGCCTTTGTGACATCTCAATGGCACTGGTAAGAGCCTCTGTACCAGTCCTTAATTCATGTTTGATATCTGAAATAATGAAGCGCGAGTCGATGGCTGTGCAAATCTATCCAACCTGGGTCAGCATATACCAGTCAAGATCTCAAGACATGCCATAAATTTTTCCTTGATCATGTGGACGCGTTCCTGGTAACCATTAACTGCGTCGCATACTTCATTTCTCTTCAGGAAACGCTTGAACCGCTTGAATCGTCCACGGGACTCGAGTCGGGTGCTGTTCACCTCATCATGTAAGTACGTCAAGTACCTAAAAAGATGTCTTGTCAATTGAATTCATCAGAATTCAATTGTGCCCACTCACTTTTCAAACTCTGCACAAACATCGTCCAAAGTGGAGAGCACTACTTTTGTCGTGTTCTTCAACAGCATCCTGGATGAGTTCTATAGTCTCCCCTATAGCCTCCGCTAAATCTAGCAGGTCCTCATCATTCTTGCCGGCTTTCTGCAATCCCTAGTTAAAGACAACGAAACGCCATGTGCAAGCTTGTCACGTACCTGAATAGCTTCCAGTATGAGTACAGCACACCCACCAATGCCTTTGATATACGGAAATGGTGCCATGTCCCCAACGGCCGCAGCAACCTTAGCTATCTGAATCCAAGTATCCAGATTAGACGAGCGAGCCATGCTAGTTGAGCGCTCGTTATCAAGTTAACCTCAAAGCAGGAGCAATAGAGATAGGCACCTTCTTGGAAGGACGGTAAGGTGGTATGGTAGGTGGGCAGTATGACAGGATGATGATGATGGGACTCGAAGACAAGGTCGAAAAGGTACACAGTGACATATATACTTTCCACGGGGCACCTATTCTTTCGTTTTCTCACAGCTATGGCATTACATATAGCAATTTATAGCAGTACACATGGTATTGACGTTAACACACAGCTAGTGCTGCACTCGCACAAGGTCCAGGTAAGGAACGTCCGGGTCCACAGTCCTGATATAGCGAGCCATGCGCTGTGATGCTCATGACGTTAAAGGATATTGGCGTGGGGTGGGAAATACTACGAAACGTTTGTCGGTAAAGTCTTCGATACTGAACCAGCCATATCCCGAAGAACCGCTTCGAAAAAGTCAGTAATGAACCTAAGTTGTTATATCCGAGTAAAAGGCTCACCCAAGTCCAATAAGTCCTAAGAATGACTCCGAATGGATTGTGGAGCCGTTGACAACTTGAATTTTATCAGGATACGTCAAGATATAGGACCGCATCAGTTTTACCTGTTCGAATCCGAGGTGCCAGTTTCTCTGCAGCATCCAGATTCGACGTCCAGAGAGATGAAGAAAGCGTGTAATCGGACATGTTGGCGAGTCCTAACGCTTCATCAATCTTGTCGAAGATCGTAATTGAAAACTTGTTGAAAGCTCTGCAACATCAGTTAGAATTTGGACATGCGCGGGTCACGAAAACACCCACAAACACTTCCCGCTCCGACAGACCAGTACCCGGTTTAACGCCTGTGAACACATGCGGTTGTATCGCGGAATCATTCCTCGTGATGTCCCCTACGAGGACCTTCGTTCCCCTCTCCAATCGCCTCACGAAACATATCTAGTACATTTTCTATGGAACTGGGAAAACAAAGCAGAGAGCATGGCCATAGGGTCCGTATGTGGATCTTCGGCTTCCAGAGATTTGCAGAGCCCGCATATTTTCTCTGTCAGAGCGTCGGGTCGGATACGTCTCGCTGTGCAAGGACTCGACTAGTAGACCTGCACACTTGGCCAGAGTAGAGGAGGGCTCCGGATACGATACCTTTCGCCGCGGCATCTATATCAGCATCGTCGAGAACCTTTGGAAGCTGTTTTGAGGGAACGTTCATATACACAGAAGGTGGTCAATGACCTACAATTGCAGGCACCGTTCCGCCAAGCTCAAAAACACAAGGTTTGAGGATACTTTGCTGCTTCACTTGTGATTATCCTTCCCGCACGATTGCTACCTGTGAACTGCAAGGAATGAGTACGTCGATGCAAAGAAACCCAAGTCCAACGACCGACGTTGATTTTCCGCACAGACGGATGTGCAATGAATTCAGCAGTCAAAGCAGGCGAATCCTCTCGTCGATCTCGGAAACCAGCTACGATAGGTCTCGTCTGTTGGGTACGATATCCTTCAAACGGCGCAGGGAAGTGGAGTGGCCTTTAATGATCTTGTGCATCTTGAGAGAATGAAGAGAAACCGTGACGTACACGCCACCAAGGATGCTAGCAAGGGTGGCACGATTCTCATCGCCAGTGAGATACTGAAATTTCCGGGACGAGGCCGTTCTGCGATAACGCTGCTCTGTTGTCTGCTAACATTCTCCACGGTCCACGGATGTTAGCGTTGGTCATAGTGGAATGCAGCATCAAGGCAGTAGCACTCCCGACAACATGGAAGGGAAATTCTGTTGATGCGAGTGAGAACAGGATTTTGGATATGTGTATACGACACGTACCTTCCTTCCCTGTACCGTTTACATTATCCAAATATTCGAATGAGCGTGCACCAGCCATGATAGTTCCATCGAAATCGCTTACTGACGAGAGCTCAGTGATATCGAGCACCGTCTCAAGTACTAGAATCAAGGTACGGGTTATGCTGCGGCAAAAGCGATATCATACTGGTTCGTGCCATTGTCGGTCAACGGTATCAAGTCGCGAAGAAGGAGAATGGTGGCAGGGAACGTCGTGGTGGTCGGCGGTAAAGAGCAAGGCAGGGTAATGTGACCTTGATCATCGACCATCACGACGTCTACGGCTTGTTCAGGACTATTCTGACCTTGAAGACGAAGGCTACGTTTCTATGGCTGGTGATGCTGGTACGTATTTGATTCGTGATGACGAAATTTTGCTCACCCTGCTGCAGTAGCGTCTAAAATTCAACTGAATGTCAAGGAATAAATTCTCGAGCGCCTTCAGTAACAGTGCAGTAGCGTTCGATTTCTCTCGTGAAGAACGAGGTGCTAAATGTCGACGAATGCGTTCTCCAATACTTTCGACCTCTGTGGACGATGGTATCATGCAGATTTCTGCTCCTCTAATCTTCTTGCAACGTCAAGGGCGATCGGAGAGATGGTCGCTAGTCTAATAGGCCCCGGCCAAGGCTCCGCTTCGCTCTTGCGATTTTTGGGGGAGGAAGGGAGGCATAGGAGCGGCTGCGGGTGACTTGAGAAAGAAACTGCTCAAGAGCGAGCAAGCCAAATCGACGATCCGGAAAACTAGAGCACGAGAGACAGCGTCTCCTTCTCTTTCCAGGGTGCCAGTCGCCCACGCCGGCTGATGGTGGTCCAGCTGAAGGCCAGCAACGACGGGTCAAGGAATACGTTCTTCACGAATACCCACCTTTATGTTTCGCTGCGACTACTCGAGGTACGTTGGTCAGACATTTCTGTCCCGCAGCTTCTGATACTATTGTCGTGATAGGTGATGTATACGCGTCTTTTAAAGTTCCGAAACATCTCGAACCAGCTTGCGACGGAGGGGCCACAAAGTAAAGCTCCCCTCATTGTTACTGGACTTTCACCTCAGGCTACCGCTTTCATCGAGAGCATGGGCGATCCTAATGCGAATGCGAGCCACTTTTACGAGTTGATGCTCGAATCTTGCGAACGCGTGTTTGATAACGAAGTGGAGCAGGCAGCGTTTGAGGAACAGATGCGGCTTATGTTTGGAGTCAAGGTGCGTCTTCTTCACTCATTAGGATTCGACGGTATGGCTGATAACTACCCTTCAGGAAGCCTAGAAGATCTTTACCAACGACAAGCTAATCGGATCGATTATCAAGCAGGTAAGAGCTGTTTCTCGATGATGATATGTGTTTTACGTGTCCGACAGGTTCAAGTAATCCTCGCCGACTCCAAGAGTCAAGAGCTGCTAGAAACTCTGAAGCGAGACCGAAGTATTCCTTCATTCACGACGCAAGACTACCTAAATAGTCAGCATAACGCTGAAAAGGTGCTTGGGCCGGACGAGAATCTGTTCCGTATCGACTGGGTAGGTTCTTTCAGCTCTTTTAGATTGTAATATGGAATTGACGCGATGGGATCAGCTGCCGGAATCTAAGAAGATAACGATGCAGTTAATTGGGAAGGATGATTCAGAGGTATTGACTGGGTGATGGCAGGCGTACACTAAATCCTATGCTCAGGTGAGCTATGATTATTTCTTTAATCGCTGTCTATGATCCTCACCTTGCTAAACAGACTGGTCCGACCACCGATGTTCACCAAACGAAGATCAGGCGACCGTTCCTACGAAAGTGAGTTCAGCCTCTCCTTGAAACATGTCGGTTGCTCACTCGTTCTTTACTAGAAATCTACCGACGACTATTCCAACCGAAGCAAACATCAAGACAAGTGACGGCTTGAAGATCAAAGTGTGCGTTCGTACATACCGTCTGTTCTTCGTGTCGGATTCGGAGGATTATTTGCCAATCTTCATACCCTCTTCTGATAGTTCGAGACCGTTGACCCAAGCCTACCTTAAGAAATGGCGCGAGTGGTTGGGGGACATTGACGTCAGGGAAAAGGTGTGCTTTCGCCTCGTTTCTCAAGGTCGGGTGTATACTGACACTTGAAACGCAGAGAAAGGAGGAGAACGCGTACCATGAGAGAGAGAGAGAAATAATAATACAAGAGACGGAAGGACTCCGGCGAGAGGTAGAAGCAGATAGGCAAGAGACTGAAAGGAGAAGATAGAGATACAACTGATGATCGCAAGGGAGAAGGAGGAAACAAGAAGGTTGCAGAAGGAAATTGACGACTCCGAACGGGAGCTGGCATTGCGTATGGACCGGTCGTCCTCTTCGCGGCCTAGCGTGATTTGATAACACTCGTTCTCTCCAAGTTTCCACCTCGTTTTGTTATCCCACCGCATGCTCTTGCCTTTGTTTCGGTTAATCATGTCGCTATTCTGGTTCCTAGTGTTCCTTTCTTGCACGTTTTTTGTTGTGATAGTATCTGTGTATGTACTTCCTGATCCATGTTTTCGAGCCCGAGTTTATCTGCTTTCGCATGAAATACTCCTGTGCAACAACCAATCATCTTTATGGTCAAAGTTGAGACTCATAATCATTGTTATATGAGCTCTGCAAAGTATCTGATAAACGGCTTCGCCAAGCTAATTCTTTGCTCAAACCTGAGAGAGACCAGTAAACGATTTTACATTCTTTATATCATTTATTTCAGAAAATGATACATACGACACATCGATACGAGAAAATAACATGAAGACGTGGTATCGTAGTTGCTAGAAACAAAGGGAACAAGAGGTAGAGTAACGGAGTAACATAGATGACGCATCGAGAACCAAGAATCAATGGGCTCATCAGAACTCGACATCTGATTCGGGCTCGCGTTCAATAAACGACAGTACATCAGCCAGAAATGGTCAAGAGGATAGGAGATCATGGTGGTGGGGAAGTGTGACTGGTCTTCATCTCCCCACCATGATCAAACCACGTGCGTCCTCTCCGCATGCGCATACACAAAGACCCTCCGTTCCCAAAACGCAGTCCCCCTTCGCCTCATTACTAGTTTTCTCAAGCATCAACATAATCCTGATGCGGGCGTGCGCTCGTTTGGTCGGGGTTTCCTTGGAGCCGTACTGATATAGCTCGCAAGATGAAGGGAGGCGGAGACGGAGGGAGTAGAGCACGGAGGGATCAGTGGAATGAACATGGGACGTAGGCGGATGGGAAGGAAAGGGTACGGTGTGCGGCTTTACACGCCCAGAGAGACAAGAAACCAACCTCGCACTGTTAGTCTTGCACAATGCAGTGTCGATTCCAACAGCCAACAAGCACCTCGCCGTATCGTCGAGTGCTTACATCTGAAGGGGACGTGGACCTGACTCTTTGGACAAGGGAGCTGAACTATATCCATGTTCAGTAGAGCCGTCGGTCTTTCCACTGACCATCCCAGCCCCAGGCATTCAGACTCGAGTACACCATCCCAGGTCTGAGAGCCCTGGCCCCAATCCTCCTCAGCTTATCCCTCCCTTCCTGGGTATTCAGAAATCGACACGAAGGATTCGACTTGAGAGGCATGCGGCGGTGTGGCTGGGGAGGGTAGTCGTCTGTTTGGAGGGTGGAAGGGTTGCGCTCAAGGTCTACCCACCCTGACCCAAACCCTCTCGCCTCCAACCCTCCTGACCGATATGCCGGCAGAAACACATCCGCCTCCTATCAAAGCACTCCCTCTCATCCTGTATCCAAATCCAGCTGCGTGGTGCGCTCGCCTCGAGAACGAAGAGGATGTCCGCAAGTGAAGGAAGCAAGCAGCAGTGGAGATCCATGGTAGCGATCCTGTGACTGACAGGTCCAAGTGACCTGCTAGTGAAAATGGCGCTCGTGAGACGGTGAGAGTATTGTCGGATTCCAGCGACATTGTGTGCTAGGATGGCAGTCGGTATGCGCGTCGAAGGCATTCTTCTCGGCGACATCAAGGTCACTAGCGAATTTGTCGGGCATTACCGTATTTGGGAATTACACTAGTCGCATCTGGGGTTCCAACTCTACAAGAATTCTAGACAGCTTCCTCCCCGTCAAGCTTGAAGCTGGAAGAACACCAGTGGCGCCAGACGATAGCTGGTTTGTCAATTCGAAGCCATTGGTGGTCACGTCTGTGACTTCAACAGTTTCTCTCTATTGCGTGTATTAAGAGTGAGGTACCATAGAAGCATGGGTAGTGGACGTAGATGACGTTCCTGCCATCGAAGGGGTGTGTTTTCTCCATTTCGATCGTCTTGTTGCCTGGTATTGCAGCGTCACCAAAGTCGACGCTACCGGTTCCAGCCATAGGGCATCACGAGCTCAGCCAGGGCTGCTGCAAATTCCCACAGTATCGTTGTCCACGGCATTGTGTAACCCATTCATCGACGGTTGACACCTAAGTTTCCTCTTCTGAAGAATTGGACGACACTGCAGCACGGTGAGCAGAATCTCGTCGGCGCGAATCAGATACGTACCAGCATGACCAGCAGGTGTAATTCTTCGTCTTCGGTGGAGGAATCATCCTGGAAGGCAGCAAGGGTGAGCCATATTGGACGCCATGATGGTTGAGGGTCAAGGTCACATTACCCTGTCCTGCTCTTTGCCGCCGACCACCATGATGTCCAATGGCAGCATCTCCTCCTTTGTAGATCGACGCCGTCGTCTGACAGCAGTCAGAACCGATATCGATATAAGCCACTTTCACTGCAGCAAAATAAACACCTCTCTTGATTCCAACACCACTGAGCTTGCATCAGAAGGGTTCAAGGCGATTTCGATGGAATTATCATGAATAGTACAGGCTCATGAGAAGATTGAGATAAGGCGAGCGTACAGGGTACAGGGAAGACGGTACGTGTCGTATCCAGTTACCAAAAATCCTGTACTCACCTTCAGCGAAAGAATTTCCCTTTTATGTTGTCGGGAAGGCTACTGCCTCGGCACTACGTTCCATCATGCTCAACGCCGACATCCGTGAAAAGCTTCTGGGACAGTCGAGTACCTCGCCAATTCGCTCACAGAACAACCCCTCCTACAAGATTACTGTATCTTATTGGCAACTAGAATCGTAACACCATTCCTAGCATCCTTAGCGGTGCAGGAATTTCTCCGTATCCTCTCAAGGTACATGAGACCCAAGGAATCTCTACTTTCTCGCAGCATTTGAAGGATATCGTACCCGAAGGCCTGATTGCACCATGATATCGTGTTCTTCGCAATGTCGGCCGCTGAATCCATTCTACCGTTTCTGAACAAACTGTTCGGCCTTGAATCTGTGAAGATTATCGCCATTGGACCGAAAATAGCGATGTTATTGTGCTAGACCCTGGAGCTTCGTATGGACGCCATCCCTGCTGGACCGTCGCTATAGGAGTTGCAGGGTGTCATCGTAGACGCGGACTCATCGCCTTGATCCTCGTTGCCGTTGCGCTCTTGGCTTATCATATCAATAATGCAGAATCACCTCGCAAGGTAGGAATTCAAGCTTCATGCCTCGTCAGAGAGACGGCCTAACTCATATATCGGATAGAATTCTTTCTTAATGCTGCTATTCCTCCTGCGCAGGACCTATGGTGTTTGTCACTTCAAAGACCACCTCAAGTGCTATCTTTTGTGCTCATTTTCCTTTTTCACCGGCGATACATCTATATATACCAGGTATACACCTCATTTTCTCCCCTACAGGAAACTTGTAGTCTGCTAATGTTGTTTCGCTATATCGGTGAGACCCGCATGTCACCACGGAAGCTATCGGGAGCCTCCTTCTGACGCTCTGCCTCAGGCAAGGTCGCACCGCACTGGTTGCTGCCGCCAGGAAAGAATTTGCCCTTTATTAACCGATCGCCAACCATTCCTTTCTAGGTCCCGCGCGACGATCTTCGAGACAAATAATATCGATTTGAGATCTCAAGATCTCAGGCGCGATCCAAATGACAGAGCGCCTCCATGATGATTTTGGTAAGTATCTGCAAGCGTTCGGGTGGAAGTATCGCCCCAAAGACGAGCTCCTCGTACATACCAGCGGGCACGCTAGTAGTATATCATCTGAGCAAGTGGAACCCTGCTTTAGCTCATTTTGAATGCCACAACAGGTAGCGCTGATACATCGAATCGTCATGGTAGGGTCCGTTTGTGATGATGTATCAGCATTTACGGTTACTTGGAAATGATGTGCTAGCATGTCTTCGGGAAAATATATCAGTTTTTGCATTATTTTGGTGTCTAACTCAGATGCATCCTTAAATAAATAGTTGCTTATGTGCCCACGGTAGTGATAGTACAGATAGAACTGTCCATGGATTACGGAGGGCTAGCACCTAGCGGGACCCGAGGGAAAGGTACGATCATAACATAAGAGGAGGCATTTGCAATATGCAGACAGTACCATAGAGGCTACGTATGGGTTTACCAATGCATTCACGATGTTATGAGTCTTATGACCTCTCGTTTGTTGCTGGACAGCAGACAATATTGTCAGAGGAACATTGATACCCCTTTGGTTGTGGATGGGAATGCCCCACCAATGCTAACACCATTCACAAAACCGGAAATTGATCATTGGTTAAATCTTGCATTTCATCGCAATTATATTATACACTAAAGTCGGATTTCAGTAAGTACTTTTCCTTTTCCTAGTCACAAAAAATGCCTCCATTGATAGACACCTAGTAAGGTAATAGAGTGAGTTTCAGAGGTATATTACATCAGAGCACATGGATTGTACTGATTGACCTGGCTAAGGACTGAATCTCCAAGTTCAGGAAGAACCAGAATGGTACAAAAAATTTGTACCTGTAATGAAGCTGGCCTCCTTAGATGCGAGGTATGATACCAAGTTGGCAATATCAGCCGGTGTCCTGTTTCTTCCTACATCGCTCCATTCTCTTACATCTTTATAGTATTGTTCCGGATTACTGGGGTTGATAGCACTGGCAATGCTGGCACCTCAGGTTGACAGTTAGTGTATGAATAAGCCATAGAAGAGGAAAGAGCATACTCATGTCAGTTTCAATATAACCTGGTATGCACCATAATTAATGTGATTAATACATGTAACATAGACATGCCTGGAGCATAAGTAGGGCTGCGCACCATACTGTATATGGTATACAGCCGTAAGGTCCTGGTCTTAGTCAGTAACAGAAGTTACCATATACCGTACTGTAAAACATAATCTGAAAGCCTTTCAGTGTTGGTACAGATATCTTACGGCTATCCATGGCCGTTTATGACTGTCAATAAATAAAATGTGTCTATTTAATTGTACTCTAGCTCATTACTCATTCAAAGTCTTACCAATAGCCACATGCTCATGCCAGAGATGATGTTTCATATCCCCTGACTCACTCTCAATGGAGAAGCCGTTTTACATGGCGGATCATGACGTTCTGTCACCTGTGACCGAGTGTGACCAGGGACGAGAGGGAAGGCAAACAGCCGAGCCGAGTCGGCCGAGACACGCCAAGGTGAACGCTCCTGCGGCGAGACACGGCGGCGGACCCAAAAGAAAGACAGCACACCCAACCGACCGCAATGCGATCAAATGAAGGAAGAGGAGGCGCGAAAGAGCGGAGGAAAAAAGGAAAAAGGACGTGTACTGACTGGACTGCGACGAGAGAGAAAGAAAGGAAGAAAAAAGGATAGGATAGAAGGAAGAAAAAGGACGTGTACTGAAACTGAACTAATGTAATTTAATGGGGAGACCAAGACCGAGAGACAGAGACAAGACAAGACAAGAGAAAGAAAAAAGAGAGGAAAGAAAAGAAACTCACAAACTGTAAGCAACTGGAGGAGCCATGAATGAAATTGATAGCGATGGGTAGGAAAGCGAATGAACGAAGTGACGCGAAGCCAAACCTCTTTTTATACAATACAAAATACATCAAGAAGAGAAGGACCAAAGAGGTCAGTCAGGGATGTGTGGGGATCTGCCGTATGTAGCGCATCGTGTTGTTGTGTAAATGAATGTGAAATGTGAAGTGACGTGATTATACATCAAACCAAACCAAGACCGAGGTCAGGGATATGTATCTGTATCTAGGGGATCTGCCGTATTCTTCTTATTTCAAAAAATAAAGGTAAACGTCTTTGATAGAGCCAAAACGTCTTTGATTTTCTCGGACCGTACCTTGAAATGTCTTTATGTGCACTTCCTGATGCTTCCAAACCACCGTCAGTCCCTGCCAAAAAAGTTTGGAAGTTTTCTCGAGCCTGAAAAATGACGTTCACTACAACCTCGCAAGACGTTCAGCCCAGCCTCGTGTCAATGTCGTATTGTATTATATTTCGGCCATGTAGCTTCCGCTGCCTTACAGTGGCAAATTCTTTTTCATGTTCGCCACCTTAGTTCAGTTGTCTTTATCAATGTCACAATGTCAATGTTTATTTACTACTGAATGCCCAGTACATCAAACTTGAAATACAATGGAGAGAAACGTATATATTTTATTCAATGTCCCATTCAAGGCTCAAACCAAGTCCTCAATATCTAAATAAACACCTGACCGGGTTGTCGCAACCCTGGTCATGAGGTTCTGGGACGTACGACTCCGAGGTCTGGTGAGCCAATTGGCGAGGAAGAACAGGTGCGCGGCCAAAATACAAGAAGAACATATCACAATAATGAGCCGCAATAGAATTTTCAATGCTCAAAAACTCATCCTCGGTCCAACCAGTGGATTTTACCACATCCAGGAATGCCTGGATGATTCCCATCCCACGTCTTCATCAGCTTCTTCATTGCGAATATGTACGGGGCTCAGTTGCAGCCATAAATGATGGGCGAGGCCATAATTCAGCAGAGCCGACATCGATTTGTCCTGGTAGTTGCCAGTCCATCAGGAAAGCAACGGAAGACATCCAGTGCTCGTATGCCATCACTTGTGTTCACTGTGGCTCGTCGATGCAGCGCTCTGAACTCACAGCGGAAATTCACCTCCGACAGTTCCCAGCATATCTCCATACGCTTCCTCCCTTGTAAGGGTCTCATATGCCTTTCCTCACCAAAACGCCGTTGACGCATTGTTATCCGCACGGAGAGGGAATTCTGCATAGCCTTCCATGATCTTTGTCACCTCCTGCCGCCGTCTCGTTGCTAGCCCACCACTCTCTCCCGCTGAATGCAGAAATCCCAGCGCCAACACAGTCCGCCACTCTTGATGATACAAGTTTGGAGGTACCCGCTCTGTTACCTGTGAGACGTGCGAACAAAGGTGTTCGCAGACGCAACCAAGAAATCAGAAAGGAGTTGACTTTTTCCTCCGTATTCACAGTGGCAATGATATCTGGCCTAGGGAAGGCGTATTGCGATTCCCTCGGAATCGCGGTTGGCTGTGGACGACCAGAGGAATGACAGCGAGAAGGATTCGCATCCACGGCCAGTAGTCCATGACGCCACGGCTCGATCAATGGCGGAAGTAGAGGGTGTTGAGGGTCCATCAGCTGATGAGGTTTCCCAGACTGTGGTCTGCACTTTTTATGATCTATTAAACACGTTAACGTCCACTTTAAAAACCAAAACAGAGAGAAACACCCACACGGAGAATATCGAGACGTCGATGACGACGCTGCAGTGAGAGGAACATCTGGACGACCCAGGATGATGGGGGACGCCAACGCAAATGGATCGATCCATCGACAAGAGTGCAACACGCTGCTCTTGAATCTTCGAGTATTTCCGTGGATCTCTGGATGACCCTACAAAGACAGAGGGCAATCGCAGCGCGCAAGGACCCTGCAGCCATGGCGAGGTCGCAAATTCAGTGAGGGAATCCACACGGGTACCTGGGAGGTTCTTCATGTCCACAATGTGCCAGACTGGTATTCCCGCCTTGAAAAATCTCTGGAGAACTGTTGCATCCTGGACGTACGCACCCACAAGACTCTCATCAACAGGCATGGCAGGCACTGTCGGTCTCGGGAGAGTCCATGAGGGGCTTGAACACGGTCATGTACTCGACAAAGGCCCTAAGTTCCAGGGCCACATGCTGAGTTTCTGCGAACGTCAAGCAGATGCGTAGGAAGGATGTTGGTAGAGCATGCAGACGCCCGAGAAGCAACTCAATGACATTCAGGTGTCCACGCATGCTACAGGGACACAGGTGCGCTGCCATTGACTGAGTTCATCGACTCAATGACGACTTTGCAAGCGGCTTGAATTTTGAGAAATGTCGAGTAACGCAGACGACCAACTCCCTCCACGAGACTGTCTGGGTCGCACTCAACAAAATCGTACTTTGTCAAGCTGCGATACAGCGGATGGAAGGGATCGTTTGGAGAGGCAGGAGCTATCCAGCGTATGCAAGCCAGATGAGGAAACTGCTCGACATAGGCCTGTGGCCATTGGAGCGGGTCGTCGTGGCCGTATCGAAAGTTTTCCCGCATGTATACCTCCCGGTTCGCCCCAAGGGGAGGCCTGCAGATGATAGAGGAGTTTGGGGTGACTATGAAGGAGTCGGAACCATCCAAGATGATACCGTTCTTGCCGTCAAAAGGACCCAAAGCTAGCATAGTTGTTAATATATGACCAGTCACAAGCTACGTCAATGAACGTACGAAAAGTGGGATTTGCCTTGTGCAAGAGCAATCTCGGATCCCCGCGAACTTTGGAAGGCGTCCAGTCGACCGGCAGCATGGTTTATCCTGCAAACGTTGAGATTCTGTCAGCAACGGTGGCTGGAGACAACACAGGCGACGAAGATTGAAGATTGTCTACGGCCATTAGGACACCCGTGGGCCGCCGAGGTTCGTCCAGCGTTGAGGCAAAGCGGAGGGCACATAGGACTGCCGACGAAAGACGTCACGCCACAGCGACAACACCATCGGTGTTAATCGCGACTCACACGATCCGCCGATGAAGGACGTCAAACGGGAGTAGCGACACATTCGTGTCAACCGTGATGAATCCACCAGAAGAGAAGAACATATATAAAAAATCTCATCGACGAAAGACGTCAAATGAGATAGGCGACACATTTGTGTCAACCCTCAGAAATTAACTAGGTGGTTGTACTCACCTTTGTGTGTAGATTGATGGCCAAGACTTGAGGTGGGAGAGTGAGCGAAAGCGAGAGAGAATTAGTGGTGAGTGGTGAGCAGTGAGAGCGAGCAGTGAGCATGGGAGACAAGGGCACGCAGCGCTTGATTGACGCGTCTAACGCACGGGCCATCAGAGAGGCGTGCCGGTGAGCCGGATGCGCTTAATTGGTATCCCTGGGCGCTTCGCGTTGGTGGCTGTGGCTGACTAAATGCCACACAGTGCTTAATTGGCGCTGTACCGGTGAGCCGACGATGCACTTAATTGGTACCTTGGCGCTTGGCCTCGGTGGCTATGGCTGACTAAGTGCCACGACGTGGCACTTAGGCATTTGGCCTGCTCTCTCCTCCACTGCTCACCCACTGGCTTGACCCTCTTGGGTCGGCTTGTCCGTTTGACAGTCTTTCGTCGTCAGACCATAGGGCTTGACGGATGCCATTTTTCCTGCTCTCTCCACTGCTCACCCACTGGCTTGACCCTCTTGGGGGTCGGCTTGTCCTGTTTGACGTCTTTTGTCATCAGGACCATGGGCTTGACGATGCCATCTGGCCGCTATCCTTAGCATCTTTTGCTGGGATAATCCTTCTCTTTTCTCAGTCTCTGTCGATTTTGCTCCCTTGTCAAGCGTGCATGTCTATCGATGACTCGCGCTGTGCTTGTATCCTGCTGGGACTGATACTCTTGTGTCAGCGGTACCACTTGGCATGTTTTGCCAGGTGGTACACACCACGAGTGTTGTCTCCTGGTCGGTCTACGGTAAGTTTCTTTTAAATCTGCTGTCAATTCTAAATTTTCAGACTTACTGAACAGGCGGCCAGTGTGTATTGCCTTGTTCTTGCCATTCCTGGGCACTCACCCTCGTCATCCTCGCCTCTGTCCCCACTCTGGTTTTAGTACAAGCCTCCTCCCAGGCGGTAGCCTGGTCCTCTCCTTTCCATCGAACGATCCCAAGAATCCTGTCGCAGCCACGCTTATTGACCATGCTGTGTCTGCAGTTGCTACTGTCAAAGCGTTCAATGCAGCATCTCAGGAACGCGACTCTCTAAGCACCGTTCTCGACCGCGTCAAGGTCGCCGACAAAAAACTCATTGCAGTCTGGGGTCTTACATCAGGCCTGTCGCAATTCGTCATGATGTCCGTGTTCATGCAAGCCTTTTGGTTTGGGTCGAAGCTGGTCAAACAAAGCAAAGTGGAACCAGGGGATGTTATGGCCGTATTTTGGACTTGCCTCATCGCTACAAGTAATCTGCAGATGTGCATTCCCAAGTTCATCACGTTGACGAAGGGGAAATTTGCCATGGTGGCCTTGCTCGTGCTTGCTGACTCGGAAGAGGCAGGTGCTCTGACTCCCGTATCTCCATCGTATTATTCCCGTGCATCGATCTTTCATGGCCGCCCAGTAAGGTCGACGCATTTGCCCAAAATCATACCGTCCAAGTGTCATGGCGAGATAGCACTCCATAACGTCACCTTCGCAGTATCCCTCCCGACCTTCCGTACTGGTCCTGCGAGACGTCTCCATCTATCTTCCCGCTCTTCCCGCTTCAGAAACCACTTTTGTTGTAGGGAGCTCCGGACCCGGAAAGTCGACCATTGCGTCACTTCTCCTTCGGTTGTATAAGCCTCGGAGCGGGCAGATAGAGCTTGACGACCAAGATATTGCCTATTTGGACGACAACTGGACGACTGAACACATCTGTCATTTCCCAAAACTGTATCCTATCTGACATAAGTGTTCATGACAATGTTGCCATGGGACTTGCCGGAAGTGAAACTGGGAGAAAGCTGGAACACGCGACGAGGGCAGAAGTCATGCAGGCTTGCCAGGCTGCTATGATTCCTGATTTCATCCGCGATTTACCTGACGGATATGAGACGAAGCTAGGCAATGGAGGTGCGAACTTGAGCGGTGGTCAGAAGCAAAGGCTAGCTATTGCGCAAGCACGATTAAGGAATCCTTCTGTATTAATTCTTGGTGAGCTTTTACCCAAACATTCGAACCCTATCGTGTTCTTATCTTTATTACCAGATGAAGCTACTTCTGCCTTGGATCCTACTTCTCGCGTCTTGGTGTTCGAGGCTATCAAGCAATAGCAGGAAACCCGAACCACCATTGTCATCACTCATGATCTGTCGCAGATCACGTCGAAGGACTTTGTCTATGTCTTGAAGAACGGTACCGTCATCGAGCAAGGCTATCGCGCTGACCTTGAGCGATCTGAAGGTGAATTCAAGGCAATGATGGGCTCCCAAGCGGTTGCAGATGTGTCAACAATCGACGATACAGAGCGCCCAGAATCGGTAACAACGGAGGGGGATGAGGAAAAAGACTCAGTCTCTCAACCGTTCTCGTACGTTCCAACCATCCTGGTGCCTGAATAGTGCCATCCTTGGTCACTGGATGTTCGACGTGGTGGCGGACTTGACGTCGAAAAGCAGCGGGCCTACGCCTTTTTGTCCCGCTGTCGTTCGGTCTTGAGAGTCTCAACAACTTAGTCGCTTTATTCTTGCCGACGCATTCACAGCCCAGCACTCAGAGAGACGACGACGACCTTCCAGCGTTCAGGTTATCCCCGCATTTCCGCCGCCCCCTTCTCAGACTCTCACTACCCATACGCGCCTGATACAGCCTTCAATTCACACTAACCTCGCCAGCATTCTCTCACCATTCCGCAACTTCTTTGTTGATCAAGAAGGATAATTGTGCTGTGACGAGACGGAGGTCGACTAGACCGTCTCGCATGAACCGACGCAGAGCGACTCTTGCTGACATTCACGAGTTACTGGATCCGGTCGCGGATACCAAGGTGGAGAAGAATTTGTCTTCATCATCTGAAAAGAGTCTACAGTTGTCTCCCGACAATGACTGACCCCATTCATTTTGGGGTTTAATGAGGGACGTCTATCTGACTGTACCCTACAAGCCGCTCAGTCGTATTTGCTCTGATCATTTGCTTGCTGAGCGGCGGTACTGTCACCCCCATTTTCTCCTTCGTCCTTTCTCGACTTTTCTTTGAGGTTTCTAACGAAGCCCAGAACACCTCTGTCATCAACACCTTCGGCGCCATCGTTCTCAGCATCGCAGCTGTTGATGGTCTTCTCATGGGCTTGAAATACTTTATCATGGAGACTCGCATTCCTGCACCATCTTGAAGCAGGACAAGAAGTGGTTTGACAAGTCCGAGAACAGTGCTGCTCGGTGCAATTTTAAATGAAGGATGGGGACGACGCGCGGACGCTTATTGTTATCGTCATTGCACAGTTTGTTGTGGTCAGTGCCATGCTCACTGTAGAGTTTCTATGGGCGTTGGTACGTGGGTGGCAGATGACGCTCGCCAGGGTGTGCTATTACTACTGTCTTTGCCGGAGTGATGGCCCTTCAAGCCAAACTCGTCGCAAGCTGGGATTATGCAATAAACGCGTCCGAGTAGATGTTTCAAAAGTTTACTACGAGGTAAATTGTTTGACATCAGGTCTAGAATTGAATACGTATCTGACTCTTCTAATATAGACCATCACTACTATTCGTGGAATTCGGGATAGCGTTCAAAAGTGTGTTTCGTAGCGAATCATAGGAGCATTGATACCGCCGCAAAGCGCGTACTTTATTGTTGAATCTCCGTTGATACAGACAAATCTCCTGGTATCTTGCGATCATCCTTGGATGGGACAGTCAGTTCCAACACTGTTGGCTTTGCTTATCCTGAACGTCACGATATTCTTCCAACCGTGGGTGATCTCTTCTGATCCCGCCAAACTTGTTGACACCGCATTCATCCAGGCTAGACTGCTGCCCTAAATGTCGTACTTGCACCTCCAAAAATTGGGATTCGGGAGGTGCAAGTACGTCATAACTGCTCGTCTGCGTATACCTAAACTTCACGTATGGATATACTCTACCCACCATAAACCCCAGTTGTGATTGCCCTTTCCGACCTATGGTTGGTTTGCGCAACTGGTCTCCTAGCTGTCCCATGAGTGCCAGTGATGGATTCCTGCAGCTGGGCTTGATGATGCGCCTCAGACTATGATACTATGTACTGCGCAGATTTAGAACCCTCAAGGTTGCCTTGTATTTCCAGATATTATATTCATGCTGCTTTTTCTGCCATCATCTTTTGTCAGCAAGTAGTCGGCTCTCAGACAACCCCTATAGCAGCCTCTTCCTCTTACCATGGGTGTCAAAGGCGGCTGGGATGTTTGTTTATTTTTCTCCTGTGATTCGTATGCTAGTTCTAACATCTTCCTTTGCAGCTTCTGAACCCTACAAGCTCTGTATCATTCGTCGACTGGTCTTCCCAGAAGATATCCACCGGCGCTGTACATGAGTTCGTTCCACGTATAGGCGTAGATGCTAGGTAGCTATATCTAGTGTATTATACATATCAAGTCTAACTAGTATTACCTCTTTCTAGTGGATGGATGTCTGCAGCGACATTCCATCATGGGCAGACGAAGAGTCCAGCCCAAGCGTCACTTTTCAAACGACTAGGACGCCTATTTCATCTCCCAGTCATACCTTTATTCGTGTTCGATGGCCCACACCGCCCTACTTATAAGCATAAAAAGATTGTGAAGAAGATGCCAATCTGGTTAACCAATGATTTCAAGCGACTGCTGGAAGGATTTGGGTTCTCCTATTGGGACGTATGGCCTGTTCTTTTCTTTTCTTTTCTCTTCCTGACATGAAACACAGGCTCCAGGCGAAGCAGAGGCTGAGCTTGCGATGCTCTCATGCCTTGGCCAGATTGATGCTGTGATGTCAGAGGACTTTGATACCATGCTATTTGGTGCTCAGCAAGTGATTCGGATGTGAGAGCAACAGTTACATTTTATCAGTGTGATTTTTAAACATATTTATTAGCAAAGAGGAAAGCAACTCCAAATATCTGATCGAGGTTCATGAGGCCAGATCCCAGTTCTCCTGCAACAATCTTGTAATGATCGCGTTACTCGCAGGGGGTGATTATGATGTAAGTTACGCAATGTTTTCAGTTGATATAGACTCATTCTTATGTGATAGGATGGAATTCAAGGATGTGGCGTCCAAACTGCAGCTAATATCGCAAAGTCAAGTGTTGGAGAATGGCTGTTTGATGCCCTTGAAGCATCCGAAGTTGATGATTATGCCGCTGTTGCCTCCGCATGGCGTCGGGACCTTTGCACGGCATTGGAAAAGCAGGGGGCTGGCCGTCTTCATTCTTGGCAGCGTTCGCTAGCTTCACGTATCCCGCTTGACTTCCCGAAGGTGTCGGTTCTCATCCAATATATTCACCCAGTGACATCCCAATCCAATGGGGCGGGTAATCTACCTGCCGCTCCATCGCTGCGTCAACCGGACATATCCCAACTCGCAAAGCTATGTGAGGAGCTCTTTGTTTGGGGACATTTGATGGGCATCATCCGCAATTTCCGTGATCATGTCTTCCCAGGATTAGCCACCCGTGACCTGCTTCAAGATCTATGTAAACGACGGGGACTCTTGAAAGACGACGACACTCATATCTCCCAGCATGCTATAGTTTCCAAAGTACGTGCTGTACGTGTGAATCAACGCGAACGATCACATTCGGAGTTATATGTATCTCTCATCATTCCCGGTGAAATCCTAACTCAGATCACCTCTGCGATTGATGGGACATACAATACCGATACCACGTCAGACGAGTACGATCAGTTTGTGAAGAAACCCCAAGTTCATGCATGGCTCTCTCGTGTATTGGCCCTTCATGCACGGCCGAACATCTTGGATGATACACAACATCAGACCCTCAAAGCTGGCAAAAAACGTAAGACAGTGTTGCGACTGCAGCCTATTTACGCGTGTAATTTTGCAATCTAGAGTGTTTTACACGCATACTGAGAAATAGTGAGCAAGCGGACTAAAACTACGCGTCGACACTAATGCTACGTGGTGCAATGATATGGAATATAACTTATGGCATAAGAAGCAACGGGATTCTAAACAGGACTTAGTCACAGCACTGTACCTGACGGGCATGCGTGATGAGAAGGCCAAACCCTATACCCAATGCCTTAGGCTCTAACTTACAGGCACACTCGCGGGAGCTAGATAAAACCTTGAAGATTGCACTGGCACTGAGAACACTTAGCACGCTCGCTAACTGTGACGCACCGTACCTGAAAATCCAGGGAAATCCTTAAGCGAGCTGACAGATATCACCGGCACGAGCTTGGGCAATGGGCTTCGGCTGAAGTCCACGAGCCCGCGTTCCATTGTTCTGAGTCCCATTGTTCGAAGACTCACTTGTTGCCATGTCTACGAGAAGCCTCTGTGAATCCAAGAAAGAAGTCCTGAACGACATACGCCAGAACTGATAGTTCCGTGCACCTAGACCTGTCGGTCGCTAGAGAACGAGCCCGCGGGTGTCGGGAGAGCACCTCTTGGCACGCGTTTAGCGAGCTCACTATAGAAATGAGACTAAAACTGGGAAGTCCGACTCGGATGCTCAGTAAGGCAGCGGTGGCAACGTGCTACGCATGTAGGAGTCTGGGTACTGCGCGATGTTTGTAATTCTAATTCCCCTGTAGTATAAGTAGACTGGTTACAGTAGGTAGAGGCCAGGTTTCGAGCCCCCGAGTTCCCGTGCACGTGTTGAAGGCGGTACTGTAACAAAGGATCAGTTTGTGACTTCGAGCTGTGCATAGAATTAGCGAGCTCACTCAGAGAAATACGAGATACCCTTTTGATAAGACTTTTGAGAACTTAGTCAGAGTGAATACAAATCAGTGACGCTGTTTCTGTTCTGTTAAGTCTGTTAAGTCTGTTCGGAGAATGTGTTGAAGTGGAAATCTGAGATCTGTTCTGTTCTGTTCTGTTCTGTTCTGTTTCAGTCTGTTCCGTGTCAGTTCTGTTCGAAGTTCCGTTTCTGAATCTGTTTTCCGAGCACTTCTGAAGTGTTCTTGAGTCGAGATAACCTGCTGGAGTTAGTTGGAGAACCCCTACATACAGTTGTGTAGCGAGCGGGCTAAGTCAGTGCTTGCCTGTGGTGTTCTTTTAGCGAGCTCACTAAAGTTTCAGCATGTATTGCCTCTGTTTCTGTTGGGATCAGTGTCCCTTGTGTATTATAACTCAAATCTGCCTTGAAGGTTGCGTCGCGCCAGTGAACGACCTTCCTGTAAAAGTTCCTAGACTTAGGAAGTCATTAGAGAAAGCTTAGCTTCGCTAAGAGCGCTGAGAATAAGAGAAACTCTTCAAGATATTGAAGTATAGTTGGATCGCATTAGAAATAATCGCTCCCCCTAGAACTTACGAGGGTGATTGTAGTTTGTGTAGTTGTGTGAGTGTGTGTGTGGGTTTTTGAGGTTCGCCTTTTAGCCCGCTCACTATTCCACAGGTGCCCACAGCCAGCCTCTTCAACGGTTGAACCAAGTATCAAGAAAATGAGGCTCATCGAAGCAGAGCCAAGCCTCGCTCAGCCCGTTGGTATGTCAAGTATCCCTGCCTGTCAAATCTCTCTTACAATAACTTTTATGATGCCCTAGCTTCGACTTCTGCCAATCTACGAAACACCAGTCAAGGCTCAGCAGAACAGAACAGGTCTTACCCGGTCTTAGAGATATCTAGTGACGAGAGTGGCGAGGAAATGACAGGCAGGGCTCATTTCAATGCCATGTATGGCCTGTTTCTTACAGTTTTTTTTTAAAGAAGCCACTCCAATAAAGCGCCAGAAACGTAACTCATCTCCAAAGTACCGAATCGAAGTTCGCTATACAGTGAAAGGGGAGATCCTGGAGCTATGCACAGATGACGAGAATGGATTCTAAATAGGAGCACCTACCCCTCTTTTTTTCATATATATAGATAGCATATCATGGACTTTATCGCTTGACTCACTGTTCTCTCTTCCTCTCAGTATCATATGGACATGAACATGACCAATGATATCACAAATGCGCTAGGAATTCGCAAGGTCCTAGAAACCCTATCCTCAGATTTAGAGATCATAGACGACATTGAGGGTGAGCAGGAGAGTTGCGGTGTGTCCAATGAGTACGATGGTAATATGCAGATGGACCTGAGTGCATCGGACGATGTTGAGGAGGTTTTAGCCAATATTAGCGAAGCATCAAAGGGTGTCATGGAAGGCACTGATGCTGCATATAAAAGGTCAACTGTTATCCTCAGTTTCTGATACCCTGCATTATTCTAACGTTCAACACTTACACAGGGTCATGATGGCATTTAATAACTTCCTCATTAAGGAGAACATCATCCAGCCAGGGCACTAATATATTCAATCTGCAGAAGCTTGACCTGAATATTGACTACTACATCGTAGGATTTATTATGAAAAAGTATGCCTGAGCATTCAGTCCATATCATGTCTATCTGACTTGACGAGGTGTGATGATATTGATATGCATGGCACAAGCAAAGGGCCTGACGACGCACAGAGGAGCTACTCACACGCTCAAAAGCTTAGGGCAGGCACCACCTATGGCTTCCGTAAGACTGGTCGTCGAGGTAAGGTACCTTGGAACAGAGCAACGGTGCTTGGAAACCCGTCGATCTCTGATCTCGTGTCCTCATACATGTTGGGTCTGCACAAACGCAAGGTACGCTGTGAAACTCATCAGTAATATATGTAGGCTGATGAGAAACAGGTCGCCAAAGGCAAAACTTCAACTAGTGCTCGAGCCATTGGTCCTGTATGTCTCTGTTTCTGTTGTCGAAAACTCATTACATCTTTTACTTTCTAGGGTATTCTGAAGCAGCTCTATGTGCATAATCATAAGCACGAAAACTGGGATAATAATCACCTGTCCCAGGGAAACTGGTGCGGAGGAAACATGCGGCGATTGCTCCAGGCTGTCTACCTCGTAGCGTTTACATGCTTACTCCGCATTGACGAGGTGTTGAACATTCAGGCCCACGAGGTTGATCTCTACAATGATGAAGTTGATAACACTGCCTGTGTTTCGATCACCCTTCCTTTTCGTAAAAACACGCAATTTGGTGGTAAGTGCATTTTGCTGCTACAGTGCCATTGCCTGCTGACTTGTTTGGGATAACAGACATACCTCTGTTTGTATTACGAGAACTGCCAGAACATATGGCGCATCTCTGTCCTGTTCGAGCTCTCGCCACATGGATTGGCACCTCAAGGATTAACAAAGGGAATCTTTTCCCCAACATCGATAAACGCGACCAGTCCCAACACTGCCAAGAACACCGCAATGGTAAGGTATGGGTTCTATATGCAAGTGGTCCATGCTCATTCGGAACTTTGTTAGAAACCAGAGGTCTTCCTGCAGCTCTTTCAGAATAACCTGTGGGACTTGGGTATCACACCATATCCCTATGGTACACATTCTTTTCGCCGTGGTGGATGCCAGTGGTTCTCATGTGATCTTCATTGGTCAATTCGACAAATCTGTGAGTGGGGTGGTTGGAGCTTGGACTTTTCACATATGACAATTGTCAAGTATTTGATTTCATCAAATGACACTCCTGACTCTTCATCGTGATGAATTTTTCAAGCTTGACCGCCAAGTAGTCAAATGCTGGACCTGTGGACGAACATGTCCATGTGCTTAATTTTAATTGTGTAGTTATCTCATGTCACAAAGTAAATAAGAAAAACATTGTAGCATTCCAAAACTACGACATGAACTGTGAACTAAACATCCTCATTGCAACTAATTCCCATCTTCTTCCTATAGTGTCAGGGCAATTGTTGGACCATCCTTCATGGCAACCAATTTCCTACCCCTTTTATAACCAAAGTGATTGATAAAATCATCACCATACTCAGCTGTCACTTGTTTTGCTAATTTGAGATTTGCAGGCTGTTCATCGCTCTAAAAGAATTTTTTTGATTCGAGAGAATTTCAGCCTCTGTCCTCGAGAGTCGGAAAACTCGGCCCAGAAGGCTTCAGGTGTCTCGAATGCCTGATATGCTTCAATAAAATGCTGAAGGCAAGAGGTGAGAATATGAACAACAGAAAGAAAAGCAAACATACTTTCCAATCTAGCCAATTGCTCTTGAGTTTTTCCCATTCGTTCCCTGTTTTTTTATTGAGTTTGTAGATGTCTTTCCAGTACTTTATTGGAACCTGGGCGACCATGGATGATGATTGGATAATCAACGGATGGGGCCCAGTCTGGATTACGATCATCCCAGCACCGAATGAGACTTTCGAGATTTGATGCATAGCAGAACGGTTTAGTCGGCAGAACGTCACCCTGATGAACAGTTATGGTCTGGCCATCAGCAAAGACCAACGAGCACTGAATTGGGTTGATGGCAGTATCATCAGATGATACTGGAGCATTCCCGTCGAGTTCAGACGTCGGCAGAGCAGGTGGAGAGAGCAGCATGGATGGTGAAGTCATCTGCATGGGCTCAAAGGGTGGTAGGATCGGTGAGTCTGGTCGGTCCACAATACCAGAGAAGACTTCAGTCGAACTTGCAGTGAGCCCCATAATGGTCGAGTCGAAATCCATGGAGGGACAGGGGGTTTCAGGTGATACAGTCGAAGACAAGGACGAGGGGGAGGAGTTTTGATGAGCAGCCAACCGCTCCTCGACTGATAGAGGCAACACACTGGACAAAGTCAGGGACTCACAAAAGGATTCTGTGCATTGGAGATGGCTGTCAGGTCGAATCAACAGTGAAAAGTAATGACACTGTACCATACCAGGCTTTTGCGCACTATGATTGTGGACACTGTTGACCCCAGGTTCTGGGAGATGGGTATTGCAGAGATTCTGTGCATGTTCTTCTTCTTTCGCTATCTTGACCATAAGAACTTCAGCCTGAAAATGCAATCAACAAACCAAGCATGAACAGGAACAAAAACGGACTCACCCAAGGTATGAAGCCGTCTATCTTGGCCTGGCTACGAGTATCCTCGAATCTTGACGTAGGGAGGAGTACCCTTTGAGGGTTGCTCACCGGTATGCTCACCTCATGAATGCGGGTTGCTCGACATGTGTCAGCTTCCTCTTCGTAATAGCACCATCCCTCACCACCCTCACTCCCTTGTGAGGAATACGCGTCGGAGTGAGAATACTGTGAGAGGAGAGGGAGATGAGCTCGCATCTGTGTATGGCATGAATGAACGTACTTTGCCTTCCACTTTTCCATCCCGGCTTGGCTGAACTTCACAAGCCGCTCATGAAGCGTCATTTTGTTGCCCGTATGTGCGAGTCCGAAACGCTGGCAAAGTTCTGCAAACCAGGGGACCTTGTGTGTAAGAGACCTGGGGAATGGCATCAGTCAAAGCAAGACCAGCAAACAGGAACAACATACAGGTCAATTTCCTCCGTTTGAAAATTGCTGTTCTCATCAAGCCAATTTTTATTAGGGCCATCTTGACGAGGGCAAGGGAAGACATATTGCTGCTGCTGCTCTGGTGGCAGCACGTTTGGAGGCAGTGGAAAAGAATCCATGATGAGTCTGAGTGTGTTGGTGGATGCGCGTCGCTGCCGTTGAACAAGTTGCCTCCTCCTAATGAAGAAGAAAGCGAGGACGAGGATGCCGACAAAGGACCCTGTGAGACAAGCAGCGAGACGAAGGCCATGATCGGTGGCGTCGTCGTTAACCCTGGCGGCAAAATGTCTGGGTTTAGTCAGGGGTGTGGTGTGGAGAGAGAGAGAGAGACACGATCTGGAGAGAGAAAGGGAAAATGGGAGGAGTACAATGTCTCCAAACCCAAACCCAAAAACGAGCAAGCGAGCAAAAATCAAGCGAGCATCGAGCGAGCGAACAAAAGCAGCGCTCCCCGACAAAAGACATCACGCCACAGTCACGAACTCTCACCAATCCGCTGACGAAGGACGTCAAACAGACACAGCGACACATTCGTGTCAACCGTGTCAACCATTGGAATCCACCCACACGCACAAACACAAAAATCTCATCGACGAAAGACGTCAAATGAGATGGGCGACATATTTGTGTCAACCCACCCAGAGGGAAAAGAGAAAGGGCCAAGACCCCCGCGGAGGCAGTAGGGGAGGGAGCCAAACAGATCGTGGAGATGGTCACAGGGACGGGAAACGTCTTTGTGGCTGTGACAACAATTGATCCCAGGAGTTGCCACGTGATGGGACCATTGTTACTCCGAGGGAAGTCACCATCGTCTGGATCAGAATTGATTTTATTCATTCCAGCTGAGGAAAATGAGCAGGAGTGATAGGGATCCTCACTATACCCATATATGGGTATGACCATCAACTATATGGGTTGGATGTGGATACGGATATCCCATACCCACAACCCTACACAAGAAATCCATGAGCCATATGGGTCAGTACGGTAATAGGTCTGCCTGTATTATGGGTATATGACTGTACCTGTACTTAAAACATGTATATAAAACTACGGCACAAAGTTTTCCTCATCATCATTATTAGCTAGAAGTTCCTCAACAGTGTTGTGAGCAAGTCGAAGCCTATGTTTGACCAGCATTAGAATGCGAATGGTGTCAGGCTTTAGCCAGGCTCAGCGCAGAGAAATAGTATCTCTACTTCCAGAAAACACACACTCTACTGCTACTGCAGAACCTGACATTGAGTATGATGTTAGCAAGAATGAAGCATGATCCAGAATGCAATCATACCTGGGATTGATAATAGGTCATGGGCTAGGCGATACAATCATGGAAAGTCATGATGGCGAATGTACCACCAATTCACTGGGTTAGTCATCCGAAAATTCTCCTTTGGGAGAGAGAAGTATCGCTCAAGCTCATCCACAGTGACCACAGAATCATCGTCATCATCATATTGAGATGTGAAGTCTACCTTTTGAGGAGATCCATCAAGGAATGTAGATCCCAATGGTCCAGCTGCTGGGGATGATGGAGTATCAAGACAATTAGATGTTGTAGAAGGGTAGTGATGGTCAAAGTAGTCTTGCAAAAGCTGCTTTGAGCTCTCGAGATAAGTATCCAGATCGGCATCATTTTTGTAGTCCCGCTTTAACCCTTTGGTGTATGAGATTCGAGGATCAAGAACTATGGAAGAATTATTAGACCCTGGTCATGTCACATAATGGATAACTTACGAGCAGCCCATGTATAGAACGGTGAATCATCATACTTGTAGTAGTAGTCGCTGAGTTTGTGATGCGCATCTAATAGGCCCTTCTTCAACTTGGGAGGTGTTGTTGGGGGAAGAGTGGCAATAATCTTTTTAACATCGTCTTGAAGGCCCCGAAAAATAGCATGAGTTGTAGAGAGCATTGGCTTGGTTGTCGTCGACATTTGTGTGGTTGCTGAACAGAATGCTTTCAGCCACTTCGTGACCATAGAGATCGCCTCCTAGTCATCACTTGAAAGCTCAAGGGAGCATAGGTCTTGATTGATGGTGACAAATTGGTCAACCACAGCATGATATTTGAGAGCACGGCCTGAATGATACCTTAGTACAATTGAATATAGTACTAGAAGTGAATGAATACTTATGAAGCATCTGATGAGTAGAGGACCACCGTGTTTGCACATCAAGAATAAGCATATGTGCGCCAGTAGTCACCGAACCCACAGCAGCCACTGCAGCACTTGCTATTTGTTGATACCATGCTTGTCATTGCTGGGGACTTGACCATACAGCTTGAACAACCTTTTGAAGCTGATATGAGTTAGAACAGTGTACTGAACACCCTGGAGTTGATAAATTTCTTACCTTCAACACAACTGTGTTCAGGCTTGATGATCCTGCAAATGACTCAAAATCATTGGAATTCTCAGGTTCAGCTTCCTCATCTAATAACGCAGCCTCATCATCATGAGAAGCATCAAGTGGAGCAGATATTGAGTCCTGGTAAGATGAAGTACAGCTATCCTTTGCTTTTTTCCCATCGTCTTTGGATATTGCACCAATTCCTTCTAATAACTATATAAATATACTTCAGAATTATATTGGTTTGCATTATATTCAAACGTACCTTGACAACAGTGAGATGGACTGTATGTGGCATGCAATGGAGATGTGAATTTCTGGCTGAAAACGGAATCCCTCATTCCCTGCACCTCTGCTTGATGGCTTCCACCATAGTATCGTTATTCATGGCATTGTCCATCATGAATGCCATCACCTATCGGAAAATTGTTATCATTTGAGTCCCAGTCATAACAAGAGACTTACATGGCTGACAAGGCTATATTTCACAAGTGTGTCCCATACCACCTCGGCCATGTTCTCTCCCAAATGCTCACCAACGAGTTCTTGGAAGTCGATGAGTATTTCCTCTATCAAAGAGATGCATCATCATCAAACTGCAAATAAAGCAATAAAACACTGTCATACCTAACTTTCCCTTGTTCGTAACATAATGTGCAACAATTGCTATGAACACATACCCATTGGGTGAGGTCCATGTGTCAAGTGAGATTGAAACTTTGGATTCAAGTTCCTAAGACCGGATTTAGCTGTGAACTATTGGCATGGAGAACTGCATTTCTTACCTCAAAGAACATGTGTAAACCCTTTGCAACCTCATCACCCATCTTCATAATCTTATGCTGGATGGTATCTGCAGATGGTATATGAAGTGATGGTGAGGGATGATGTGTATACTGTAACAGGCAGCGAAATTCAGGGTGTTCAACCTCTTCGAAAGGCTGGTCGCAGGCCACAATCCATTCAATAAGTAGCTGCTTGAACTTTTTCTGGTCCCAATCACCCTGTAAACAATCTTAAATACAAGCGGGAGTTTAATACAACTAGAACGTACCACAGCCTGTGCTGCCTGATGTGTGAAGGCAGCATCAAGGTCTCCAGATGCCTTGGCAAGCTTGTCTAGATATTGTGAAGCTGTCTGAGGGTCCAACGTTTTTTGTGCAGAGGCAATTTGGATCTCCTCCTCTGTCAGCGGTGAAGAGGCTGGCTGTGGGCACCTGTGGAATAGTGAGCAGGCTAAAAGGTGAACCTCAAAAACCCACACACACACTCACACAACTACACAAACTACAATCACCCTTGTAAGTTCTAGGGGGAGCAATTATTTCTAATGCAATCCAACTATACCTCAATATCTCAAAGAGTTTCTCTTATTCTCGATGCTCTTAGCAAAGCTAAGCTTTCTCTAATGAATTCCTAAGTCTAGGAACTTTTACAGGAAGGTTGTTCAGTGGCACAATGTAACCTTCAAGGCAGATTCAAGTTAAAATATACAAGGGACACTGATCCCGACAGAAACAGACGATACATGTTGAAACAATAGTGAGCTCACTAAAAGAACACCACAGGCAAGCACTGACTTAGCCCACTCACTACACAACTGTATGTAGGGATTCTCCAACTAACTCCAGCAGGTTATCTCGACTCAAGAACACTTCAGAAGCACTTGGAAACAGATTCAGAAACGGAACTTCGAACAGAACTGACACAGAACAGACTGAAACAGAACAGAACAGAACAGAACAGAACAGATCTCAGATTTCCACTTCAACACATTCTCTGAACAGACTTATCACACTTAACAGAACAGAAACAGTGTCACTGATTCGTATTCACTCTGACTAAGTTCTCAAAAGTCTTATCAAAAGGGTATCTCGTATTTCTCTGAGTGAGCTCGCTAATTCTATGCAAAGCTCAAAGTCACAAACTGATCCTTTGTTACAGTACTGCCTTCAACACATGCATGGGAACTCAGGGGCTTGAAACTTGGCTTTTATCTACTGGAACTGTCCTACTTATACTACAGGGAATTTAGAATTACAAACGTCACGCAGTACCCAGACTCCTACATGCATAGTACATTGCCACCACCGCCTTACTGAGCATCTGAGTTGGACTTCCCAGTTTTAGTCTCATTTCTATAGTGAGCTTGCTAAACGTGTGCCAAAAGGTGCTCTCCTGACACCTGCAGGCTTGTTCCCTGATGACTGACAGGTCTAGGCATACAGAACTATCACTTCTGACATATGTCCTTCAGTACTTCTTTCTTGGATTCACAGAGGCTTCTTGTAGACACGGCAACAAGTGAGTCTTTGAACAATGAGACCCCGGACAATGGAACGTGGGCTCATGGACTTCGGCTGAGACCCACTGTCCAAGTTTGCTCTGGTGATATCTGTCATCTCGCATAAGGATTTCCCTGGATTTTCAGGTACAGCACATCATAGTTAGTGAGCATGCTAAATACTTTCAATGTTAATGCAACCTTCGAAGTGTCATCCAACTCCTGTGAGCATGCTTGTAAGTTAGAGCATAGTGCACTGGGTATAGGGTTCAGCCTTCTCATCACACATGCCCATCAGGTACAGTGCTGTGACTAAGTCCTGTTTAGAATCCCATCGCTTCTTATGCCATAAGTTATATTCTGCATCATTGCACCACGTAGCATTAGTGTCAATGTGTCATTTTAGTCCACTCGCTCACTATATCTCTGTGTGTGTGTAAAACACGCTAGATTGCAAAATTCCATGCATAAGTAGGCTGCAGTCGCAACAACGCGTGGTTATGTTATAAGAAGTAAAGGGATGTGAAGTGGTGGGAGCAAGGGTACATGGGTACTGTATGAGATGGTGGAGGTGTGAACGAGAGAGAGCTATCTGCAGGTATGTACATATATATATGAATAGGTGTGCCACAGTATATATAACCACAGGCAATGAGGTAGGCATGATATGATGACTTGGGATCAGAATGGGGCAATGGGATCAGATCAGTCAGTATTCATCAGCATTCATCAGCATGAGATGTAAGCAGGGCTTACACTCTCCTCTACCCAGGAAAATTCGAGCCTACAGTCGAAGCAGCCACAGTGCGATTCAACCAAACATCAAGTGCTTTGCATTCTTCGAGTTCATGGCATGGTAACCAACAATCATCTTCAGCACCATAACCAACCCAGCGAACCAAGTATTGGAAGCCACAACTGTGCTGTTGTTCATCAATTATTTTATCGATCAGGTGTTCTTCAAGACCATCTTCCATTAACACAGGACCAGGGCGAGCATGTTCTCTACTTGGGAACAGCTCTGGATCGTTAGCTATGAAGGGACAAAGCTCAGAAATGTGGAAAGTATTAAACTTAGTCAGGGAATTAGGAATATCCAGTGTGTATGAAGACAGTTTCAGGTTGGCATGAGTTACCACATAAGGGCCATCATATCTAGGCATAAATTTTGCAACATGATTCTTATCTCTGTTTTTGTAATCTCATCTGTGATGAAACGTACTGAGCATGACATGATCACCAGTCACAATCTCGAAATCAGACTTCCTGTGGTTGTTTGCATAAGAAGCTTGACAGACTTTGTAAATAATAAGTTATCCTTTGTGGTTTCAGTGTCATCAATAAGTTGTTCTATCACATGTGCAGCATTAATGTCTTCTTGGAGGCAGCCTGGACTTAAGGCCTTTGGGACAAGAGGAGGGATCAAGCAAGATGATCATCCCATATGCAGCTAAAATCCTGAAAAGCCTGTAGAAGCATTAATCGTGTTCATCATTCCAAAATGAATATGTGATAAAGCCTTAACCTAACCATGTTGTTGTCAGTCGACATGGTAGCAGATCAATTGATTTATAGTCTTATTTGAGTGTTCAGATGAACCATCTGTCTGAGGGTGAAACGAGGAGGACATAGTGAGTTTGACTCCAGTCAATTTGTGTAGGGCTTTCCAAAATTTAGAAATAAACAACTTGTCCCGGTCGGAAACGATTTCGAGAGGAAGGCCATTTTCACAGTACCAATGATCAAAGAACAGAGCTGCCATCTTTTTTGCTGACAAGTCTGTGCATGTAGGCACCATTCTGATGTCTGAGCCGAGGCGATCGGTAAAGGTAGCTGTAACCCACTAGTAGGACAAACAAGGTCAAACTCATGATGTGACTCGCACTTCGGTCAAGTGTACAACGAGCAGGCGCAAGTGGTCTCTTTAGCAGATGACTTAGGCAGCCTAAGCGAGAGCGATTGAGTCGATAACTAGGTATATAAACCTTAGCCAAAGCTGGGGCTTAAGGCCACAGCTTGGTGCATTTAAATACAAGAGTGTAGTTCTAAAAATGGTGCTAATAAGTCCGTGTATCGTACGATGAGCTGGCATTATGGCCTGAATAGAAGTGCTGATGTGACGTCTGTGTGTCACAGTACTAAGCATGTATGAGTCAATAAGGTACCATGTGAAAAGGAAAAATAAGGAAAAGTAAGGATCCGTAACATTACCCTCTCCTTAAGACTCAGTCGTCCCGACTGAGTCCGCATCCTCTTCATCGTCACTGCCCTCATCCGTTTCCTCTGCGTCAGAGTCGT